AGGCCCAGAATTATTGAGGACCACAGACCAAGAAAGTCGTGCCCTTATAATGGTGAAGTCGTATTCAAGGATTACTCCACCAGACATAGAACAGAATTGGACTTGGTTTTGAAGAACGTTAACTTATCTATCAAACCTCATGAGAAAATCGGAATTGTTGGAAGAACTGGTGCAGGAAAGTCGTCTTTAACCCTTGCATTGTTCAGAATCATTGAAGCTGCTGGAGGACATATTGACATTGATCAATTGAATACGAGCACTATTGGATTGGCTGACTTGCGCCATAAGTTGTCGATTATTCCTCAGGATGCACAAGTGTTTGAGGGTTCGATTAGAAGCAATTTGGATCCTACTAATATTTACACTGATGAACAATTGTGGAAATCCTTGGAGTTATCTCACTTGAAGGATCATGTTTTGAACATGTATGCTGAGAGAAGCACCGAGGAAAGCGACATTACCAGTGCTTTGGATGTGAAAATGAGTGAAGGTGGTTCGAACTTGTCGGTTGGACAAAGACAGCTCATGTGTCTTGCCAGAGCTTTGTTGGTGCCATCGCCAATATTGGTACTTGACGAAGCCACAGCTGCAGTTGATGTTGAGACCGACCAAGTTCTTCAAGAAACCATTCGTAGTGAGTTTAAGGACAGAACTATCTTGACAATTGCTCACCGTTTGAACACTATTATGGACTCAGACCGTATCGTGGTATTGGAGCATGGAGAAGTGGCTGAATTTGACACTCCAGCTAATCTTTTAAAGAGAAAAGATTCATTATTCTATTCCTTGAGTAAGCAAGGAGGCTTTGTTGATGAAGAGGAAGAAGAAGATAAAGAAGGCAAGGAAACATAAGATGAAGAGTTGCCGTTTATAGAAAAATTCTCGTTAGTAATTCGATATTTATTTAGACTATGCGTAGCTAATCTTTATGGTTCAATGCTCACTCCGCTTTCTTAAGGAGCTAATATAGTACAATGGATAGAAATCCGCTCGAGATTCAACCTCGCAGTCGCTTGCAACCGAGATTTTCTTGATGATGTCAGATGATGTATGTTCTAAGATTGAAGAGTCGTTGAACTTGAATAATTCTAGTAATTCATCGTCACTTTCTGTGTCAATTGCAGCAAAAATAGTGTTCTTCACAATCACAAAGTCGACCAATTTATGCTCGGATGAAAGCGTTTGCTTGTGTTCAACGGAAAAGTCTTCCTTGACTTCAAAAGTTAAAAGGCACTTTGTGTTCTCACATAAAACAACGATCAATCGTATGCCATTGATGGTACAAGTTGCAACCTTGGCCACGGAAATCTCCATCGGAGAGTCGTCAGCCAAAAACCTTGCTGGAGGTAAGTGCTCATCAGTCAAGAAGGGTTGCACCAAGGAACGAAGGTCCACCTGGGCAAGATTTTCTTTTGTGAACCATTTCCACAAGACCAAGTAATCGTCTCCTCCTCCACTGATGAGAAGATCATCATCAAACTCACAAATATGCAAGCACGAGACAAACTCGTGGTGACCAAAAAGCCAATGTTTCACAACGTAAGATTTCGGGTAGTTGGTAATCTTAATATGCTCGTCTCTGTCTCCGGTCAAAATGTATTGTCTTTTGTCGTGTTCAGCGACGAGAACATCACTCAACATCGAAACATGGCCCAAAATCGGAACTAGCGCTTTTTCATCAAGAGGCTCTGCCCCGTCAATTGGCAAACTGTACACGTCACCAAATTTGTCAGCAACAATCAAGTCAGAATCGTCCATAGTCGTCGATACAGCACACGGTCTCTTTGGAAACACTTGGCGTTTGACCAACTTGAGACAATTTTCATCGCCAAAGTCAATTTCAAATAAAACTGCAGCCTTGTCACTATCTGTGGTTCCAATTAGATATTTCTCATTTCTTGTTAAAGTCAAGGAACGGATGTAATTGTAGATAGTAGGCGCACCAGGACCAGGGACAGGCACCTTAGGTTCCTTTTTATTGGTTTTTGCCTTTTTCTTTGGTTGCTCAGAATCTTCCGGAGAACCTTCTTTAGTCTGCTCCTTTGCAGCTTCCTCCTTTCTCTTCTCTTTGAACTTTTGTTCTTGAACACTCTGCAAATCAACAGTATCCACCCAAGAGCCCACCAAAGCGCCGTCAGATAAACGGTATACTAGCACGTGGTTTTTCACCCCCACAAACAAGTGTTCTCCGTTTTTGTCCGCCACCAAAATCTGGAATGGATGTTTCATTTTCTGTGTTTCCAATTAAGAGTCAAGATTAGAGATTTTCGAGCATTCTCATCGCAACACATACGACTGCACATAGTGCAAATGTTGATGTACGCCTAATTGCTAGACTACTTCTTGAAACCCCAGTTCCAGGCAGATTTTTTAGCCGGAGTTTCTTCTTCCTTTGGATTGTCTTCAGTTTCAGAAATGAACTTCTGTGGTTTTTGTGCGTGCGAAAAATATTGGTCTGCAATATCTGCAAGTCCCTGCGGTTGAGACGTTTTGCGGAACGAAAAGAAATTAGACAAGTAAGGCGTAGGCTCGTCCATTCCACACGCAATGTGGACCGGATCATGGAAATTGAAAATAAACTCATCACACATGGCGTCCCAAATCTTGAAATTTTCTGTCTCGAACCATGCAGTGATGAAATGCTCGTTGAATGTACGGAGATCGCCCATATGCTTATGTGTCTGGAGATCAAAGCCCGGTGGCGCACTTTTGAACCGATCGTAATATTGTTGGAACCTTGTCGTTGAGAGCATACTGCGGATATAGTCTTCAAATTGGTATCGCATGTAATCGTCGCTTCCCACGTACGATTCCCCCGTTTGGTGAGTGGCAAGTAGGTTGGCAATGAACTTTTTATCGTAGCTGGATAAACCCAAGTCCTCACATTTACCTGATGGGAAACTCACCAGATGCGTGTCGATATCCACAAGCAAATCCACTTTGAATTTTGCCAGCTGATTGGCGATGAGTAAATTGGAACAACCAACCATGAACGTTTTTGTGGTAAGCTCATCTAGCTGCTGAAGGGGCAAGTAGGGATTCCAGAACGAGCCCTTTGTGTTGAAGATTTGCAAAGGTAAACCGAAAAACCGAAGCATGGATTTTCTATCGTTTGTCTTGAGTGAAGTTGGCTTCAGGAGAGGAGCATGCTTTTCCGTGTAGTCACTAAGGGGGCAACCTGAAAGTTCCAAGTTGTTCAAAAGATCAGGAATAATGGCGATAAGGTTATTTTGAAACTGAGTGAGAAGCTCTAAATTGTCATTGGAATAAACGAGCACCCTCTTCTCAAGCAAGAGCGCCTTCAAAATCACAAGAATGTTCGTTTTGAAGTTTCTGAGGATGTGCCGCAAATTGAGATTAACAAAAAACTCTTCTTGACGCTCATTCTTCTTGTTTTCAAGAAGTGCCGCTTCAGACGGAAACATGCGAACGGTGGACGAATCGTCGTCTTCGACAAGTTTGAAAGAGTCTTTCAAATTCTCAAATAGATCTTCAAGCAACTCAAAGTTCGTAAAGTTGGATTGCTGGAAGTAGCTGTGTGTAATGATACTGAGCTTCTCTTTGATTTTAGTGAAAACAGGTTGTTTCCGTGTGATTACCACCACTGCTTTTTGAACAATTGACCTTGTGATATCCTTATTACGCTCCAACTCTTCCGCAGGCAAGTCTGTTGTTTTCACTTGACGCACGCACGAACACCCAAAGAGGGTCTCAAGATGGTTAGGATTACCCCGAAACAGTTCAATGTCAGCCAGATTATCCAAAGATACACCCGTGTTGAAGTCGTACACCAAATTGAAGTTACTGAACGTTTCCTCGAACAAGTGAGATCCGTCTGGCAACGCCTGGAACGACAAGTTTCGGAAAAGCTTGTCTTCAGGCAAGTACTTTTTATGGTAATTTGAGCGCCACCACTGGATCTCTGGACCACGTACGTGATGGAAATCCACCAAACACACAGCAAACACCATGTCTCCGAGCACCGGGCCCGTTTCTTGCGGCTTTTGCTTGAAGGGCAAGTTCTTGATGTGGATGGATGTTCTCCGAGGCAGGCCCTGGGCACTTTGCGCCACGGTTTTGGCAGCGCCACGTTTCGGCGACGTCAAATGATCGTCGCTTTTGTGTCCTGCTTGTGACGCCAGGCTAAGACGCATCGGGCGGCACACAAACTCAGATGTGGAATCACTGTGGGCGGAATTGCGTCTTGATGCGCTCTGTTCGGGTGCAGAAACTGGAGCAGGGTCTGTCCTTTTCCGAATACGAAGCGGACGCAACGAGAACTCCGCAAGCTCGTCCTGCGAGCCAGGTTCAGCACGGTCGGCGGACATAATAGAGTAAGGTGTAGGTGAGAGCGTTGATAGTGGCATGTACAGGACATTGGATTTGTGCGAGATTGTAGGAGTATACGTAGCCATTGAGAATATGGTAGCGGATTAAAGAACGTGAGAGCGAGCAAGAAAAATAGAGGGGGAATTGAAGCAATGGTACAAAAATAATAGTGTGAGGGATATCACTTTAGTACAAAATCCCCATATCGACTATGGAAGCTGTAGAGAAATGGTAGAAGTGAGTACGAATCGAAAGAAACACGTTTCCATTAAGATAGCCCAAACGAACAATCCATAGAGAACTGATGAGACAATTAAGATCAAAAGGGGCGAGAATACTTCCTTTTGAAGAAATGGCTCAACAGAAGGTGCCAATTTGTAACCTGTATTATGAGGGTATCGAAACCCTGAATTCCATTGCCTCGACGCTAGATCTACCCTAGCGATATTAAGGCCCACGTAGAAGCACTATTGTAGTGATAAAGAAGTATTTTACAATGATACAGAAAATTTGAATACTCCGATTTTATACCAGGAACAGGCGACTATTGATCATAAATCATATTTATACCCGATGGCATGTTAGAAGAAGGACAAATCAGATTAAGATACAGATATATCTATAGTTGTCCCTGTTGTCAGCTTATCACTGCTAATGATTGTACACTCAATCCACTGTTCCTTCATTACGTATTAATTGGCTGTTTAAAATAAAGTTGGCACTTTAATACAAAGAACAGGTGCTTATTAAAGTCATTGTAGCGAATTACATGGAGTGACCAATCGTAATTCCTATTGAAGTTAATGTGTACCTTTCGCTGATTGAATGACTATCAAACGATTATGTATATTACTTTTAAATAGTAACTTATAAATAATAAATTATTATTTATTCATCGTATACCTTAGGGGAGTTTTATTTCTAATGAAAGGCCCTCCCTTAAGGGATAACAAATACTTGCACGTACCATGTGAGTTAAAAAATAACAAGGAAGTTATAATAAGGAGAACAATAATAAATAGGTAGATGTAAGTTGTGAGGTAAAGCAGTGTACTGTTGATACATAGATTTTGGTTCAAGTCCTATTAGTATATACTCAAAGAAGGGAAGATGGGCTCACCGATGAAATACTAGTGACAATCATTGGAAGGTTGATCTACTAATCAAAAAGATGAATAAACAAAAAATAAATTTATAAGTGAATTATCAAGTCTATTAGCTATAGGATTATTATCGCCAGTACAAATGATTAATAATATTATTTACGAGCCTGCGATGTGGTCATATAGTCAAGCATATGTTTCAATGAGAATCTTATGAACTAATGTATATAGGAGCAATAGCAGTATTATCTTAATTTATCGTGCTACACAATTTTTTAGGCAGAGTGGAGACTATTGTACGACAAAAAATAGAGTGGGTAGACAACGAGAAGTCGAACAATTACATGCACAGTAATCCCTCAAATCCAGTCGGAGCCGATTACGGTCGTAACTCCGATGATCGGACCTTGCGACACTTTCTCCTCCAGCAATACACTAATAGCCCTTTCGCCTGCAAAACCAGAGCAATGGTGCAACACTAAAAGTAGTGTCGATCTGGGTCCATAACTATGGAGGTAAGACTTCATGCAGAGCAACTACACAGGGCGAAAAGAAACGGCCCTCATACTGCGAGGGACCAATGATGAGTAAAAGTGACCCCACCGGATCGGCAGAAACTTCAGAAACCTTTTCTGAAGCAAGTTTCCAAATGTCGCATCATGGGATTACAATAGAAGGCAATTGTGCATAGTTGGGTAACAGTTGCTATGAGAAATGTCCATCATGAGCCGAGCAATCGAGTTGAGAAAGACATTAGAAACAAGTTCGAGATTTGTGAGTCTCGTAACCAATTGAGAGTTTCAAAGACATCGACAGTCCAAAGACTGCTCGCGAAGTAGATTTTCTCCAGATATGCACATTTTGCCATGAATAGAAGACAAAATGTGGCGGCCCAAAACCTGCATAGTTTTGCATGGTCAACAGAATACGTTACATCACATCATGCGAATGTGCGGCCCCTCAAGTAATTGCGGAGGCACTGGTGTCGGCTTGGCTCTATCCACTCCGACAGACACCGAAGCGAATATAAAAGCTCTATGGCTCGCCCCTCACTGTGGAAATTATTCCAAAACATTATAAAAATGACCATTTCCAAAGGACAAAAGTTCCCATCCGGTGTTGAATTCGCCTACGTTCCAATTGACTTGGACTCCGTCTCCAAAGAAGATGCTTTGGCCTGCTCCACACCATTGCCATTGAGCTTGGACAAGTTGTTTGAGAAGAACAAGGGCGGCAACGTTTTGTTTGTCTCTGTTCCTGGTGCCTTCACCCCAACTTGTACCGCCAACCACATTCCACCATACTTGTCTCACTTGAAGGAATTGAAGTCTTCCAAGAAGATCACCACCGTGGTGGTTTTGAGTGCCAACGATCCATTTGTCAACAATGCTTGGGGCAAATTGTTGTTGCAAAAAGCGGACTTGTCCGGCGACTTGCCAAAGGTGGTTTTCGCTTCGGACCCTAATGCTAAGTTCTCGTCGGACAATGGCATTTCGCTCGATTTGACCGAAAAGGGTCTCGGAGTCAGAACGGCAAGATACGCCTTTGTTGTCAACGCAGACACGAAGGAAGTTTCCTACTTTGGATCTGAGCCTGGTTCTGACGTGACTGTTAGCGGATACGAGGCCATCTTGGACGCAAAGTTGTAATTGCTATGAATATACGTTACGATTTCAAAAGTGTAGGATGCAATTTATACAAAGTAAGCCAATCCGGATAAAGTAGCACGGACACGGACAGATAACGTTCAGTACCTGAGGCAATTCTACAATTTTAGGACAGATCAGTAAGTGCGCGAGCAGACAACAACTGATGCTGTTGTTTGAAACCAAGCCACTAACATAACCTCAATTGAGGTCAATGGCTGCTTCAACTTACTCAGCCGCAATATCTATTCAATGTATTGTCGCTCTACGCGGGGTAAAGCAATCGTAAATCATAAAAGTACTTACAACTCACCGCAAGCGTCGATGGTGATTCTAGCTCTGGTGGCACCAGAGTTGGAACCGTAAGATTCAACCTGCTTGACAACATCGTAGCCGTCAACAACCTCACCAAAGACAACGTGCTTACCGTCCAACCATGGGCATGGCACAGTGGTGATGAAGAATTGAGAGCCGTTGGTGTTTGGACCGGCGTTGGCCATGGACAACAAACCTGGCTTCTCGTGCTTCTTGGCAAAGTTCTCGTCAGCAAACTTCTCACCGTAGATAGATCTGCCACCAGTTCCGTTACCTCTGGTGAAGTCACCACCTTGCAACATGAATTGAGGGATGACTCTGTGGAAAGCAGAGTTGGCGTAGCCAAAACCCTTTTCGCCAGTGCACAAGGCTCTGAAGTTTTCGGCGGTCTTTGGGACAATGTCGTTGTACAACTTGAAGGTGACTCTACCGAGCTTGTTGCCGTTGGCGGAAATGTCAAAGTAAACTTGGGACATGGCTTTTTAGGGGGGTGTTTGACTGTAGCAGGAAAAGTCCGGGAATTGAACGCGCTTTATAGGTTTTTTTTTTTTGGGTTGGGAAGGAAGGCTATGGAAGGACTGAATGACGAAATGGGCGAATGTTGCGTGCAGGCCATGATACATATTCTCTGCAGACACGTGCCACTCCGATATACCGGAGAAAAGAAAAGTAAAAGGGGTCCGGGAAAAGGTAAAGAGACTGGCACCAAGCGACGAAACAATATATAACATTACAATGGCATTGGCCAATTTCGGCGCCCGCACAAACCATGGCGGCCGATAAGTAAGAGGTGGGTCTCCGGTCACGTGCTGCCGGCAAAATGTGCCCAAGAGGCAAAAGGAGAAGAGTATGCGTGGGGGTGAGATGAGTGCAGGAACAGAGCTTTTCTCTTTGACACGACAGGGCAAGTTGGGAAAATGGTATACTGTAGATTCGAGAAGGAGAAGTAGCTTTTATTCGGCCTTTTTTTAAGAGTAAATGCCTCGAGAAATGCTCAATTCCGTCGAAAAACCGTGTTGCGCACGTTGACTTCTTTCTCCAAATAGGGTCAGGGTCAGCCCAATGGTTCTCCTTTAGGCAGGTCGGAATCCAAGTATGCGACTGAAATTCGCCGTGGTGCATTGTTCATTCTGAGATAACATGATGTCCGCAAATGCTCTGGCCGGAAACAAATATTCACTTGAATTTTAAACCTTTGTTGCTGCAGAATACGAGCTTTGCTCCCTGCAGCTGTCGTTTTCGTTTGTACGTTTCCAATGCCGCAGCTTGGGCTAATATTGACTGGGTTATTGCCTAAGTAGATCGTTTCTAAGCTGCAATTCACTCAAGACTCAAAGTACTGTAATGCTGTTCTTCTGCTTTTTCACTAATCTCGTATACGGGACGCTGGCTTGCCATGACGCAATAGAACACTCTGAACCTCTTTCGCAAACATGTACATTATTTAACTTGGTAATTGGCCAAGTGGCCAAAAACGGACAAAGCGATGGTTAATAGAAACCATGCTTATACGATATACTTTAGGTATAAAATTATAACAAGAGTTCGTTCTCTTCACATACACCAAAGTTCTCCTTTTACTCTACTTTAATTAATTGCGTAAGCGTTATTCCAGTTATCACCATGGACGTTTCAAAATATTCAGTATTCAGCTTCTTCGGTATTTGGCCAGTCTTTTCAGCCATTCCAATGCTTTTTTTCTATTGCATCGAAGATTCTTCCTAAACACCTTGTACATACTTTGTTCTTAGGGCTTGAATCGTCGTGTGTGCCCCAATACATCGCATATATAAAGCGCTCGCATCGCCAAAGTTTTTTTGCTCTTTAATCAAAAAGTATCCGGGAATATTTGCCACGACGGTATGATGTAAATTGTCAAGTCGTAACCGTTGCCATATATCTTAGATATCACATTCCCCAGAGTAGTAGCTCCCACTAGGAAGTTTGATAACCGATGGGTCTCTTGAGTGAGGCGATGGATATTGAATGTCGATTTAATGGGATACATTTACTGTACAATCATCAAGATCTCTTTGAACTGTAATATCTCTACCCTTACGCGAGTTACCTAACCGAAGGTTAGGCTCAAGCTCACGTTGCCTCAAGCATCTTGCATTCTTGTTCGATCTTGCGATAGGGTCTACATTGATCATCGTTCAGATGGTCTGATTCACAACACTACAAGTTTTAAGATCAACCTCCAAAGATTGCAATTACAGGGTACGAAGAAGCTTAACAATGAGCTTGGAAGACGATTACTGGAATCTTCTTGAATGAAAAATAACATGGATCTGATTCGCTAGCCATATTTCTCGTTTTAAACTACGATATCGAGCTTGTCTCACCAGAAGAAACAAAAAACTTCAACCTACACCATATAGCACTGAGTTATGTTTTAATTATACACGGAAACCAGCGGAGTCCCCAGATATGTATAGCGCTTTAACGGTACTTGTGGAAACCAATGTCAGAAGCTCTCTCTCTGAAACATTGACGGCAGATGTCCAAACCGTACTTTCTGATCAAACCAGAGTGGGAAGCACAGACTCTGCACTTTCTAGAACCCTTACCGTAGTGTCTTGGGTGGGAGAACCAAACGTTTTCGTGAGCCATATTGCTAGAGAAGTTAGTATTTGCAAAGAAAAGAAACTGGAGTAGCGTCGCACGTCAGGCAGTCAAAAAAAAACTTCGGATGAAGACAACTGAAAGTCAGCGCAAATAGATCTGCTGCTTCGGATATATGGGATGCAAATCACTTTGTGAAATAAGGGAAGTCAATGTGGTTCATGGAACTTGACAAGAAAGCTCAGACCACCCGAAGCCAATACACATTTCTGGCGGTCATTGGATATGTAATTTGTTGTGGATATGACGCTTGTTTCTCCCTAGTTCTGATTAAACGGAAACATACATTTATAACTTTGTGTTGGATATGGGGTTTAGAAGGAGGTGAAAATTCCAGTGATAGATGAAACGAAAAGACTAGTCGCACCGCGTGGGAAAAATTTGCTGGTTGTGCATAGGAGTGCGCGAGCCAGTGATACGCATGATCACGTGCCACAACCTCATTAACCGCCCACAGACTAGGGCTTGTGCCCTGGTCATCGCATCGGCCCGATGGCCCAGGAAAACAAGATGTGCATCTGCCCCATATTATCCACAAGAGGCGAAAACATGGCCAAAGGCGGACATTCACATAGAACTACGCTCAAAAAGGAGCATAAGCCATTCAAGTCCAAGCATGCGTCCAAGGGTCTGTTGAAAAACCAGTTTAAAGGTAAAGTGGAAAAGTCCACCAGCGGGAACAATAAGCTGATTCGGGTCATGAGCAAAGCCGAGAGAAAGAACACCTCCAAGCAGTTGAAAGAGAAGAAAATTCTCGACACGAAGATGTCGCGTCGCTTGTTTGAAGGCAGTCTGGGCGCTGAAAAGATTATCACCATCATTGGACTTACAGACGACATTAACACCGGAGAGATTTTGGGCCAATTGGTGAACTCTTTGAAGGAAGAGGAGGATGACGTTGAAACAGAGTTTTCTGCTCCACGAGTGTATAGTTTGCGCTTGCCACGGTTCAAGAACAACGTTAAGTTTGTGTTGCCTGATCCCAATGATTTCATTTCCATTTTGGATGCGGCTAAGGCCTCCGACTATGTTGTGTTTGGTCTTTCTGCAGAACAAGAAGTGGAAAAGGAGTATGGTGAACAGATTTTGCGGGCTGTGGTGGCGCAGGGCGTGGCCACTGTTCTTGGTGTCGTTCCCAACCTTGTTTCAGCATACCCAAAGAAAAATCTCCAGCAAGATATTCGTCAATCATTGCAGTCTTTCTTCAGCCATTTCTTTCCGAACGAGGATAAGCTTTTCGCTTTGGAAAACACTAGCGAGTGCTTGAATTGCATTCGGGCCATAGCACAGAAGTTCCCCAAATCGGTCAATTGGAGAGATGCTCGGGCGTACATTTTGGCCGACCAAACCTATTGGAATGGGGAAGGTGAATCAGGGTTTGTCGTGGTCGAAGGTACAGCAAGAGGCATTGGATTCAATGCCAATCGTTTGGTCCATATTCCAGGCCATGGTGATTTCCAATTGGAGCGGATTGAGAAAATTACCAAGCACAAAAATGACGAAGGCGACGTTTTTACGCCGACTCTGGAACAAGAAGGTTTGGAGGAGTTGAATCCAGAAGAGTTTGACATGGAGGATGATTTCCAGTACGACGATATGGGTGTTCAGATGGAAGGTAAAAACTACTTCGACGACAATGCTGGACCAGCTGCCCGCAAGTACAAAGTTCCGAAAGGAACATCTGAGTACCAAAGCAAATGGCTTTTGGATGATGTTTTGGAAGGCGCTTCTGACGTCGAGGAAGAAGGAGATGACGAGGAGGCCGAAATGGAAATGGAGAATATGGATGATGCCATGGACGTCAACGGACTCAATGGAAGTGAACAGATGGACATGGATGATATGGACGATAGACAAACAGTTGCTGACGATTTTGTGGAGTTGTCTCCCCAAGAAGAAGAGGAACAGTTGCGTCAGTACCGTGAGATGGAGAAAGAGGACCGGGAGTTCCCAGACGAAATCGAATTGGCGCCATCTGAATCAGCAAAAGAAAAACTTCGCGAGTACCGTGGAATCAAATCTTTGGGTACCTGCGACTGGGACTGGGACGAATATGACTCGCATAGACCAAGCATCTATAGTCGTTTGTTGCACATCACCAACTTCAAGGCCACTCGCAACAAAATTCACAAAGATGCTATCAAAGAAGCACAAGTGAATATTGGAAGCAAAGTGCGTCTTTTCATTCGTGCGCCCAAATTCGTGCTTGACAATGTGGATGTTCTCCGTGCTCCTTTTGTTGTGTATTCCCTTTTAGCTCACGAACACAAGCTTGCAGTTACCAACTTCTCCTTCCAAACATGGGAAGACCACGAGGAGCCAGTTCCTTCGGGCGAAAACATCGTTGTTCAATATGGTTTCCGAAGACAGGTGATTCTGCCTATGTTCAACCAGGCACTGAACACTTCGAACAATGTTCACAAATATGAGAGGTTTGCACACCAGGGCAATCTTAGCATCGCCACGGCAATTGCTCCTGTGCTTTTCTATAATGCACCGGCGCTTTTCTTCAAACCAGGCCCTGACGGCTCTATCCAGATGGTGGGTCAGGGTACATTCTTGAACTGTGACCACACACGTGTTGCAGCAGAAAGAGTGGTGCTTACGGGCCATCCAGTCAAAATTCACAAGAGACTTGTCACCGTCAGATACATGTTCTTCCATGTGGAAGATATCAACTGGTTCAAGGCTGTTCCTTTGTTCACGAAATCAGGCCGCACAGGTTTTATCAAGGAAAGTTTGGGTACGCATGGCTACTTCAAGTGTACTTTCGACGGACGACTCACGGCTCAGGATGTGGTGGCCATGGCGCTTTACAGACGGGTGTGGCCCAGCATTCTGGAACCATACTAGAGCATGCATTTTTTTCAATGTCCAAGATTGGTAACTTCTCGTTGTTCCCAATTTGCATTCATACCTGAATCTCACGATTCTAGAAATTTTTATTCCACTCCGCAGCATGATTGAATTCATGTGCCGCATAGTATTGTACAATAAAGGTTAATTAGAATGGTTTACGTCCCTAGGCATAGTTTCGAGTAACAAACTATTTAAAATGGTAAATGTGGAAATGGAATTTCTAGCAGTAGAACTTTCCCAAGTAATGTACTTGAAGAAGATAATACTTGCACCAATTATCAACTTCTCAGTTGGAGTACCCTCCAAGATATTTCATGGAAAATCCATAACCAAAAGTGCTCAGCCAACACAATTTGAATTAGTACCTTAGTCCTTTCGATTACAAGCACCTTCCCCCAATAACCTTATGCATCTAGTTCTAGCGCAATTGGTTATCTTGACTGGAGTGCACATCGCTCGCATCACCAACTCACTACTACTCTTTTACCATGAGTTTTTTGCCCCATCAATCGACCCCGCAAAATGCTGCTTTCACATGTAATACATGCGGCGTTCGCTTTGTCGTGGCTGACTTGCAAAGACAACATATGAAGACAGACTGGCATCGCTACAATCTAAAACGAAGAGTGGCCCTGTTGCCGTCGATTGCGCTGGACGTTTTTGCGGAAAAGGTATTGGCGCAACAAAAACAGGCACAGGAGGACGATAGCAACGACGAGTTTGGGTTTCCGGAGCGCCGCCGTGTATCACGGGGTGTCCGCCAGCTCACAAAGAAGGACTTGAAGATGATGGCTCGATACGAGGCTGTTCGAGGCCGGGCCAGTGGCCTGGGCTCTGGAGAAACTCGAGAAAGCAGTCCTGCTGTTTCTGTTGCATCAGAGCTTTCAGCGTTTTCTTTGGGAGATTCGGAGCACCTTTCGGAAGCAGAATCATTTGAAACTGGTTCAGAACTCAACTACTCAGACGTCAGCGAGGATAGCTGGGCAGGCAGCGAATCTGAAGGAGACAGTGACGTGGAAAGCATTGAAAGCGGCGATTTGGGTATCGTGTCTTTGCCGAATTGGATGTGTTTTTACTGTGGAAAGAACAATTCCGAGGTGGAAAATAACATAAGGCACATGTCGCATGTGCACGGCCTCTATATCCCAGAAAGAACATACTTGGTTGATTTGGACGGCCTACTCACATTTTTGAATGAAGTTATTACTTTGGACCATGACTGCTTGGTTTGCGGCTTCCATGGGAAAAGCTTGGAAAGCATCAGGCTGCATGTCGCATCCAAGGGCCATTGCAAGTTGCCGTATGAGTCAGCCGAAGAAAAGCTGGTCTTTGCTGAATTTTACGACTTTACCGAAGATGAGCCAGCAAAGAAGAGCAGTCTGGCCAAGAAGGTCTCTTTTGCGGCTACTGATGATGAATTGACTCTTCCATCTGGCTCAAAGGTGTGCCATCGCTCTCTAGTCAGAGCCAGCAAACCCAATGTGGTTGCACGTGAAGCTCCAGACTCTTGCAAAACTGTAGCATTAGTTGACCGCCGCTTTTCGCCGGGCCTCAATAATTATCTTGTGGCTCGACAGGAGCGCGAGACTCAGCGACTCGTTACAAGAGCAGGAAACAGATACGAACGCAAGATGAAATTGAAGAAGGCAAACTACCAGCCACACTTCCGTGACGAGATTCTTGGAACATAATGCTGATCGACGATGCATGTCGGGCGGAGGACAGAACCTTTGGTATTACGATTTGGTTTAGGATACGGAAATTCAAGCTTTGCTGGTGATACATTGATGTAGGTGGTGTGAGGTCTGGTTTTGTATGCGAAAGATACTTTTACCATTGGCATGTAAGAGAGGTGTACTCATATCTGGGGGTGGAGTGCTCCGACGTAAGAATAGAGTTTATTAAGAGAGCCCAACATGAAATAAGGATAAACCATGCTTTATTTCCTTTCCTCTATATTTTCGGGTGCAATAGTCAAATAATTGACACAAATCACTTGCTAGATACATTCGTACTACAGAATAACTCATTACTGGAAATGGTTATGGAGCAGCACTTCGGCGCTCCCTTCTCTTTTTTGCAGTATATTGCTTCTGCAAGGAAAGATCATATATCAGTTCTGCTCGTCGTCTTCGGATCCCTTTTTTCTGAAGTCTACACTGGTACTCCAATTTGCAGGTGTGCTCATATTTCCATCCGCTCTTCCTCAACTATTCTCACGTAATGAGGAATTGCCAACTTCTTACCTCGTGATGCTCACATACCAAAAATGTATATATTGATGCGCAACTACTCTAAAATGTGATATAAACTGATTTAGAAACAAGCCACATTTCATTAGCCACAAGTGTCACAAGCGACGTCGAAAGTGGTAAAGTCCGGAGGCCCGCTTCTATTTTTTTCGCTTCTTTTGGGTTCCCCACAGCATTACACTGCTATCATGCGGCATGCATAACCTGCACAGTGCGCGGCGCGGAAAGCGATCGAATTCTCTATCCTACATCTTCTGCTGCGGGCCATCACATTATTCAAGTTTCCGTCTGCTGGTCCGCATCCGTCTAAATTATTTCTCTTCTCTTCTTGTTTGATCCACTTTCCTTATTCTTTTTTCATCCTACACATTTGTTTCACAGATTCATGCTTTATTTTTGTTGATGGTTTACGATACGCGTTTGTATGACATATTGACCGTTTCAACCACGGCCACCATCGAAGAAATCACAAAGTCCTACAAGAAGTTGGCGCTTAAGTACCACCCGGACAAAACAAATCACGACCCCGTTCTCACAGAAAAGTTTAAAGATGCCACCCATGCGTATGAAATTCTAAAAGACCCCCGCCAAAGATCCGTTTACGATGCATACGGCGAAAGTGGCCTAGATGGATCTATAGCCACACAAGAACCTCCCTCTGCCCCAGTTCCGAACGTCAATGTTGCTGCTCATGGTCCGTTCCCCTTTCCCTCGGGGAATACGCTTTTTTCCCAAATATTCAACGATGTTTCGTCCGTTTTCGGCGCTAGCCTGCCTTTTGGCGATGATATGGCGAACCCGTTTGATTTTGCAACCTACAACACTGAAGGCATGTCAAAGAGTGTACAGCCAGCACCCCCAGATCCGGCTGCTAACAGAGTACATCGCGGAGAGGATATCCACCACACTTTTGATGTCTCCTTGGCCGATATGTACTATGGTAAAGTAGCGAAGTTCCTGCTTCCGAAGATCACAAAGTGCTCCACATGTAAGGGAGTGGGCTGTTTGCAGCCACGCACTTGTCGCGTGTGCAAAGGCAGTGGCCGTGTTGTGGTGACAATGGTTAATCAGTTCTCGAAGTTCCAAGAAGTAGGCTCGTGTTCTCCATGTAATGGGACGGGCGTCTACTGTGACAGAAACAGCAAATGCCGTCGCTGTGACAATGGGTTCTTGATGGAGAAGAAGCTTCTCCTGGTAAACATCTTCCCCGGATCTAAAGACGGAGATAAGATAATATTGAAGGGCCAAGCTGACGAGGGCCGAAACATCATTCCTGGAGACGTGGTGATTCATATTCACGAAACTCCTCATCCATTTTTGGTGAGGAAATTTAATGATTTGTACATGGAGCATGACATTGATCTCCGGACAGCTCTTTTAGGCGGAAGCATTTTGGTTCATGATTTCTTGCGTCTGGGAAACGATCTTCGCATTTATGTTAATTCCCATGGCGACAGCACTCTAAATGATATGGAAGATCCTTCGATTAAGCAAGGTCAAATTGTGGGAAGCATAAATTCGGGCAGCCCCAAAATCGTAAAGGGCTTGGGAATGCCAATCAACAACAAAATCCGCAACGGTGTTATTTACCAGAATGGCACTGCGGCCAAATTCGACCTTCCTAGGTACAAGCGTGGCGACCTCTTTATCAAGTTTAACGTGCAGATTCCCCTGGTGGGTCAGTTTAGCACTAGCGATCTTGAAATGTTGGGCCGCATTCTTCCAGCACCAGAGAAAATAAATCAACCTGCTCAACAGCATCATTTGGCCAATTTGCCATATGATGACGGAAACGTGCCTATGGCGGATGTCGATCTGGATGCTTCCGACGGAAAGCGCAAGTCGGACGGATCATCGGATGAGTTTGATTATGATCAACTCGAGATCGACAGTGATGGAGCCAACGAGGAACATGAAGATGATCAATTTTATGCACAAAAATGGTCCGAGCCAGAGCAGAAGAAGAAGCGCCGGAAGAATAATAACAGCAGAAACAGTACAAACATTGGTAAGAATACCAATGACAACAGCGAAAACAACAACAACAGCAACAACAACAAGAACAACAACAACAACACCACCACCAATAACAGTACCGCTTTTTATATGGGCCCCAGTCTGGTGGGCGTATCAGGCTGACTATTTGACGACTGACGACTTGTGATTACTAATTATTCGACTATTTATTACTGGGAAGGAAAAGATATGTTACGTGATTTTAACAGATGTAGCGATTACAGTAAGACATGTTAAGCAACCAAGGGGAATGTTACTAGTTTTAAAGCTAGGGATTTCCGTATCATGGTGAAACGCCTTGTGGCAATATGACGATTATTCTGTCTACTTCTTATTATCTCTTGGATATGCATCTACAGAACCTTTGGGAAAATCCCTAAGAGTACTAAAGTGAGGCTTACGGACTTTCGTTAGTGGTCAAAGCTGCAAAGCTTTCGTTCTCATGTTATATAATTTTTGGAATTGTGCATCAAGAGCCTTTTGTCACCTTCAGATATTCCAGTTTCTGAATGATGGCTTCATTTTCATATGCCGACAAATCAAATACACGTTACGAATCAATGAAGACTGTAACGAATTTTCCAAAGCACGAAAAGTAGTAGTATGTACATACTAGTATGCTGGCTTAATTAGCTATCACCCAAGTGGGATCACGTATATTTTAAACTATCTTTTACACGTAATTTGCAAAAGATCGTTTATAATGAGAAAAATAGGAAAAAGGAGGACACACTTTTGCTGTTGTATAACTAGTTTCCCTTGACTCGAGGTAGTTTTACGCAATAACGGGAATGCACTAAGTGTGATTTTCTCCATTAATCGATTGAATGCACATTTCTATCATATTGTAGTATTTTGATTTGTAGTCGAGATTTCTTCATCTTTTGGTGCTTAGCATCAAATCGCTCCTCGTGAATTTCAGCTTTTATTGTAATTTTTGCACTATGTTAATTTCCTTTTCTCTATTTAATATTTACCCACACTGTTCCAGATAGCGCGCGATATAATATAGGTACAATCTTCCACTATCAACACTCAACATGAGCGAACCCCGAATTTTAGATCAGGCGATTGTCAAGGATTTACTGAATCATATTTACGAAAAGAGAAAAGCCACGGCTTTCCAAATTGAAAGTGTTACCAAAGCCGCCTTGAGCCAGAATGATTCGGCTACCATATATAAAATCATTGCCGAATTAACAGAGTTAGCCAATAGCGGCTCCACGCCGGCGAAAATGGGCGCTATTACAGCATTGGGGAGTGTCTCTGTTGCTCTTGGCTCTTTTGCAATTGCATACTTTTTGGAAGATATTGTGAAGCCCATATTTGCTACTTTTCGAGACACTGATGCCCGGGTCCGGTACTACGCGTGTGAGTCCTTATATAACATTGCCAAAATCGCCAGAGGAGAGATATTGTTGTACTTCAACGAGGTCTTTGACATCTTGTGTATCTTGGTCACAGATACTGAGCTGTCAGTGAAGAACGCCGCGGATATTTTAGATCGTCTCATCAAAGACATCGTCAGTGCTAAACTGACTATCTACGTTTCGATTTTACATCAGCAAAACCGGGAAAATGAGATCCGCTCGAATGTTGTGGGTGACGATGGGATGTCTGTGCAAGTAAACGAAATCCAAGACCCCATGAAGGCATTTCTGTTGCCCAAGTTTATTCCAACGTTATTGGAACGGATGTATACAGTGGAGCCGTTTTCCAAAAAGTTCTTGTTGAGTTGGCTCGAATTGTTTGATGATATTCCTTCGTCGGAGCTAATTACGTTTTTACCCAACTTCTTGGAACCACTTTTTCGCTTCTTGATGAACAATTGTCCCTCAGATGTTCGTATTGAGACACAAAATTTGTTGAATATTTTCCTCAAAGAAATCAAGGCCATTTACAAAGTAAGGTATGAGGTAAAGAAGGTTCAGATTGTGAGCGAAAGAAAACGGAAATGGGCTGAAGCCCAGGCAACTTCTCAAGAGTCTGCGCAGGCTGATTCTCCAGAAGACGAAGCTATTACTCAAGATTTAGAAAACTTGTCTGTGAAAAGCGGGAATAATCCCAACATTGATGACAGTGCATCCATAAAATCATGCAGCACAACAATCATCCGTAAATCCGACAATGAAAAGTCTTCGGTGCGTGATCAAAGTGAAGTTTATGACGAAGGCGACTCTTCATTATTTATTAATGGTCAAGACATTTTTATTGACTACTCACGGATTATTGATATTCTTCTATCTTTTTTGAGAACTGGCGTGCCTCGTGCAAATAACAGTGGTACCAAATTCAACGACTTGGCTGGCGAGAGTCACGACATCTACTTGGAAATTCAATCTACAGTCCTCAAGTGGCTTCAGGAAATCATCACTATCAGCCCTGTTAGCTTTTCTAAATACTTGCCTGACTGCGTTTCGATAATTGTGCAAAATGTTGCCCTCACAGACGACAATAATGATACAGACTTACGGAACCAATTTTTGAGCTTCAATAAATCTTTGCAGTTATTTTTGGAGCGTTTAAATGAAGGAGGCGTTGCAGACGAAGGATCCCTGGAAAACTTATCATCGCCGCCAGAATATGAAGTAAGCGAAAGTACCATTCAGGGATTGAACAAAGAAGCCTACGATGAATTTTTGGAGCTCTACCTAAATAGCACTCTTCAAGTGGTCATGGCCGAGTGTATGCTTTCCATAAATGAACTTGCTCGCTTGACACTGTTGGACTGGTTGACGTTTCTATACTCGAGCTATCCCACCAGCTTTTTCATTCCAGACTCATCGAAAACCGATGATACTCTGCCCCCATCTAACAAGTACACCTTCGACTTAACATCGCTTCTCCGATCTTTTGCGGACGCCAGTCACGATGTCATTTCCAAGGTTTTGAATCTCGCATCGCGGATATCCGAAGACAATCAAGACTTCTTCAAAGACTTCATGATCAAGTTAATCTTATTTTTTGAAGCCGATGGTGCTGAAGGGAACAGGACAGTGAATGTGGGTCTGGCTGGTGTCTCGCAAACATTGTCACGAAGCAAAATCGAGTTTATTATTCGTCGCTTGAGTGTCACTATAAGTTCTGAGAAAATCTTCAAAACCCTCTCAGAAGTGCTTGTGTCACTCAAACAGAAAAATATCGAGTTTATTAGCAATATCGTGGTTACAATCAATAACATTCTATTGACTTCACACGAACTTCAGGACCTTCGCAAGAAACTCAAAAATCTTGACATCTACAAAACTGAGGATTGGAACCTCTTTTCAACTTTATTCCAGAGCTGGTGCTACAATGTCCCAAGCGCTTTGTCTTTGTGTTTATTGACATCAAACTACGAGTTGGCTTATTCTATCATCAAAAACTTGGCAGAACTGGAGGTCACCTTTCAGCTTTTGACCCAACTTGATGTTCTCGTTCAGCTTCTTGAACTGCACATTTTCTTGAAGTTGAGGCTCCAGCTTTTGGAGCCAGACAAGCATCCTTATCTTTACAAAACATTGTACGGCATTTTGATGATCATGCCGCAGTCTTCCACCTATAACACCCTCAAGAACAGATTAGCTGCGCTCGCTAATTTTCATCATTCTGGACTGGGTCTTCCTGTACCAATTGTACCAGTTTCAACTCCTAGCGCAGTTGGCGCTTCTTCTTCCACTTCTACAACGTCTGCTCAACTCTCCACTAAGCGGAAGCGCATTAATGAGCTCGCTGAGAAGTTTGCCCGAGTTAACGACATGCACGATACCTACATTAATGAAGCGCGTCAAAGAGAAGCATTATCGGATGAATTATCGAAAAGTTCAATCAAGGCTGGTAAAATCACGTCTCAGGCAGGTTCAGATAGGCACGGAACTGATAATGGTGTACGTGGCTATGCAACAAGTACCCATCGCGTGCCAACAGCCTCAATCCATGATAATGGGAGCAGTATCTTACATCCATAGATAAGGTTAACAGAAATGGACCAACAGATTTTGAAAGAGTGCTCGTTCGTGCTGTATGACTGTGAATGGAATCAGTAGGTCAGTCCACGAAACGTTATCATTGAAACTAAGAATTCAGTTCACGTTGTATCACAGGTAGATGATACAGGTCAATAGATTCCATTTAGGATAATGAGAGTAAATTGGGACATTAATTTCGGATGTGCGCTACCATTGGGTAAACATCTTGATCCTCTCTTCACTATTATTCTAAATCATTTAATTTAATCCTAGCTAGGGACTGAGTACACGCCAGATAGGGTCGACTACCATTTGCATGTACGTGTCAGTGGCAAGCATTTTTTATATTTGAGTCAAGCTAGTTCAGGAACATTCAGCAAAATATTCTAATAGAGAATAAACGGAGACGAAACATAGTAAGAAAATTACCCTAATTTACAATTGATATGAGTCAAAATCATGTAATGGGACAAAACACGTTCTCGCATCGCTAAGTTTTCCTGCCGTGACCTGAAGGGTCCTTTTACCTTATTAATGATTTCCTGTCATTTCTAAATATGCAATTTCCTATATGTATAATTCTGGTATCTATCTTATTTATATCGTGGCATCAGGGCTTTCAAATTCTTCTCCTCTAAGGTACTGAGCCACGCTTTTATTCAAGTCATCCAAACTTTGAAAGAGTGAGGTATTTGTTGTAGAGTTCGATGCTCTTATATCCTCCGCCGGTCTATGGGGCAGAGAAGGGTCTTTATGGTCTTCTTTATCCGTCTTATTTCTTAGTACAGAATCAACAGTCAGCGCTGAAGAAACCGTGACAACAGATCTGTTCATCGGCTGTAACGAATACATATTCATGTTCGATAAGCTGTTTGCCTCCGACAACTCCGACAGAAACATGAACCGGTCAAACCTTATTCCGAGAGTTGGGAATGTGAGCTGCTGTTTGGACGAGCCTGAAGAATATCTAGAAGATGAAGTGAAACGAGATTTCGGTGTGTTTTCAGCGTCTTTGCCAATGATGTGTAAAGGGCTAATGGAACTTTCTGAATCCTTTTTAATTTCTGATGAGACATCATTGATGTGATGTCGTGATGTCTTAGGGGATTTGCCAAATCGAGAAGTAGAACTAATTTGAGGCGAAGGAAGCGGCTTGGAATAGACTGATGATGCGCTGTGTGGCTCCGAGTAAGAAGGCAGGTCACTTGCTCCCCAGCGTCCAGATTTGTTCCTTTTATCTTTCTTGGGGCCAAACGGATCGCTTTCCGAAGAGCTTGACAGGGCATTATCACTGGTGTTATTTGAAGAAGTAGAACTCCGGTTGAGAAAGCCATTTTGGCGGAGCCGGTACTCTAACTTTGCAGCTGTTGTTCTCCTTAATAATATTTCTAGAAGAAGCTTCGTGTCCATGTCTTCTCTTTCTTCCGGCTTCATGACACCAGCTTCGAAGGGTAAGAGAAGTTCGAATCTCGGTGGTACTTTGTATTTGCCTGCAAAAACTTTCTCCCGATATTCTTTATAGACTGTGTTGAGGAAGAGTTGACGTCTTGTAGAGGAAACAGATGCTCTCTTTGCTGGTGGGATCCTCTGCTTTATGCTTTTTTCTGAAGCCAGAGAGATTTTTGTGGCATGAAGTGGAGCCGCAGTAGAGTAAATTTCGGGATGCACTATTCTGGTGAAACTATTGTTCTTCGATATCTCAAAATACTCGGGCCGTGAGTGCAACTCCGGAATGACTTTGGCGATCTTCTTGTACTTGAATGTAAGCATTGTCCTAGGTAGCATTTCCCGCACAACAGCAAAAATATTGTCAAGAGAGAAAAAGTCATCTATCTCTTTCTGTGAATCGAAGCGTCGGTGCTGTTTGGAAATCGGTGTGTACTTAAAGGACGTTCTTCTTTTAATTGGGAATAGAAAACTGAATTTGGAGCCTTTTGGTTTGAATTTTGGGACTTTTTCTTTGTTAGAGCTTGACGAAAACACTGATTCCAGGCTGGGATTGTGCCTATCCCTTTTCATCATCTTATTTCGGCGCCTGATGGTTCTGTGCCTCATAGTGGACAGATTTCTTGAGATGACAGATCCAGCCCGATTCAACTCGGAGTCGTCAATCAAAGTTACAGTTGGGATCAGTTTGCCTGGACTAGCCTTAGCCGGCGACCGTCCAGCTTGAAGCTCCTTTTCAATATGAAGGTAGCTCAAAGACTTATACTCCCCTGAATCTGGAGTCACATTGAGCGAAGGAACCGATTGAGGGTCATAGAGGACACTAAAAGGGTTGGAGACACCTCGTTGATGTTGAGGTGGATTCCCTGTTTGCCGGGCTGGGGTTACGAGATATGGGCCTGAGTTGGGGCTGTTCCGATCTGGTGTAGCATTATCTCTACCTGGATGGGAATTCGAAGGCACAAGTGAATTTTGCGAGGAAAGAATCAGGCTAATGGGGTCTGACCACTGCGTTGGACTAACGATGATCAGCATTCTGTGCCCCTTTCTAGTTTTCAAAGAGTGTGAGGATCAAGGTCACAAAAAGAGGCCGATGAGTGAAGGAACGTGGAAAGAAAGTGAAGGTCGGGAATTGGAAGAAAAACAGGTGGGAAACAAGATCAAAGGAAGTGTTGGCTATGGTTAAGAAAAAGGTGATTTACATTCGCCTGATCAGGCAAGCTTTTTTTTTTTTTCTGTAAGCCATGGTTATTCGGTTAAGTTTATGCGCACTGGCTGGTTGCGAGTTCCCAAAAAGGAAACATTGTTGATGCAATCCTATCTTGGCTGGCTGTTGAGATGGTTTGTTCCAATCTGCCGGATACAAAAAAAAAAAGTACCAGCGGCCCTTCCAAAATTAAGCTAAGCTATTCAAGGACACACATGAAGGCAAAGTTATGATTCTATACCTTTGCCTTACTTTTTCCTTTAAGGACTTTTGTGAGCGATCTTGACGTATCTGAATCTGGCGTGTGCAGAAAAAAGTCGCACTCGTCCTTTTTAAACGGTGCAATCGTTGATAAAAAAAAAAAGTGCGCAAGCCCGGAATCGAACCGGGGGCCCAACGATGGCAACGTTGGATTTTACCACTAAACCACTTGCGCTAAGGAGCTCCGCGACGGGGAATTGAACCCCGGTCTACCGCGCGACAAGCGGTAATTCTAGCCACTAAACTATCACGGATTTCTTGTTTTCATATTTTTGGCATGCCAATAATATGTAGTCCTTTATACTTCGAATTGATTACAGAGATTAGCTCAAAGCTTATCTGCTTAATGCTACTCTGATCAATTTTATTTGTTCTCTAAATCACCGCTATGTGTCTGTCATAGCTTTCAAAGGCTGTTAAGATTGAAAATTACCAGCTTTGGAATATTTTGGACAGGAAACACATACCTTTCCTTCAGTTTCGATCCTCTGAACCTGTAAATGGGCGTGAGAAAGCTATTTCAATATCACTTCATCCAATTTAGGTGTTTGCTCAAGACAATCAGGTAACTTTGCGTCTTGAGAATAGAGAGAATTCTGGAAAAAAACCTTACTAAGCGTATCAAGTCTCCTTTCTTATATATCTCTTAGCATGTGTCAGAATCGTATCTTAGTATGTGATTGTGCAAGTAAAAGAAAGTAAAGGACATGATATCATGTACTATCAAAAAACCTGTTTGTTTCTGATTATTGTGCGGTAGTTCTCTTTACGGGAGCTTTGTCTCCTGTTGTGTAGGGTTTCTAAAGGTTAACTAGAAGGCAAATATGCAATCTGGAAACAAATTTAGGCTTCGTGTGATTTTATGTGTGAAACAACACTTTTGATGAAGGTCGTCAAGTCGAGAGAAAAAGTAAGAAAGGCTAAATAGTATGAGAGTTCACAGTAATGTAATGGAAACAAAAATGGTTTACATAGATTTAACTGATTTCATAGACTATAGTTTTCCTATACTGATCTTAAAGTCGTTCCCTCATTACCCATAGAATAATATCTAACAAGTCCCTTTCATGCTTCGCGTGTGTTCTCTCGTCCACTCCTTCCAAATTACATATCCGTCTCATTTCTACGTCTGATACCTACTATTGTTGGAAATACTCCCACTCTCTTTAAAACCCGCTCCATTTATTTTTCAAATCTCCCTTCTCTTGACTCGCTTTTTGCTTGAGCATCAGAGTACTGCGACCTCCAACCTTTAGTTGGAGAAGCGCGCCTTTAATAACGCTCTCAATATGCGCCTTCCACTTTCACTTCGGTTCACCAGAAAGTACAACGTAGCCATCGTTGGCACAGGCCCAGCTGGCTTTTACACAGCTCACCATTTGCTACAGAAAAGTACAAGTCCGCTTAAAATAGACTTTTTCGACCGTTTGCCCGCACCATATGGGCTTTCGAGATATGGCGTGGCGCCCGATCATCCTGAGGTGAAGAAATGTGAAGAGTACTTGGACAGAATCATGGATGAGCACAGCGAGAATGTACGGTTTTTTGGCAATGTCAATGTTGGTCAAGATGTCTCGTTGGCCCAATTGGAGAAACACTACCATTCGGTGGTTTTAGCGTACGGATGTACTGCCGCTGACAAGAGTCTCAGCATTGAAGGCTCGTCTTTACCAGGCGTGGTACCGGCGCGGAAAATTGTTAATTGGTACAATGGGCATCCGGACTCTGTTTCGGCAGAGATCCCCCCGTGGGAGAAAATCGAAAATGTCACCATCATAGGAAACGGAAACGTTGCAATTGATGTTGCGCGTGTTTTACTTGCTGGTCCTCGCCACTGGGCGCCAACAGACATGCTGACACGGGCGGTGGAGCAGCTTGAGCGGAGTGCAGTGAAGAAAGTCAATATAGTGGCTCGTCGTGGCTTATTGCACTCTGCATTCACAAATAAGGAGATGCGCGAGCTCTTGCAACTCCCGGAGCTGCATTTTCTTCCCATTGCCGATTCTGTGATGGAGCCAATACGGCCCTTGGTGAAAACATTAGGACGTGTGGACAAGCGCAAGTTTACAATGCTAGAAAAGGCGTGTGGTGCGCCTCCCCCACCAGAAGCTAAAAATTCATGGGCCCTTGAGTTCTTTCAGTCTCCAAGGCAATTTGTGGCCGCACAAGATCCTCAACTTCTCTCGGAAACTGTTTTTGAGGAAAACGAACAAGACGGGGCAGGGGTGCGTCCTACAGGCCGTCTTCGGCGCCTCAAAAACGATTTGGCAGTGTTATCTATAGGCTATTCCGGGAGAGGCTTGCCCGGCTTCGAAGAGTGCGGGCTCGTTTTCGACGAGAAGAAGAACTGTGCTCTGCATATCGGAGGACGCATGTTAAGTCCACAGGGAGAGATTGTACCTGGGTGGTATGCAGCCGGATGGCTACGCAGCGGACCTCGTGGTGTGATTGCATCTACAATGATGGAGGCGTTCGACACAGCAGAAAAAGTTCTACTGGATCTCGATCTGAGAGGCATGTCGGAAGACAAAGAGGACATCAAGCCTCTTTTGCCTGAAGTCGTTGAGTGGGATGGATGGACGAGAGTGGACAAGTATGAGTTGGAAGAGGGCGCACGATTGGGCAAAAGTCGAAGCAAGGTAGAGAGCGCCGAAGAAATGGTGCGTTTAGCCCGCTCTTAAACGCGATTGATATCTTGGGAGTATCTGTAGCAAGGGCAAATGGATACTGAGCTAAGTTTATCCAATCGAGAATTGAAATATACTTGTTTGATTGGTACTTTTGACGCCTATCATCTACCCATTTGTCTCACGTCGAATGAATGTCTATGTATATATAACCATTGACCAAACTGGTCATCAATGAAAACTAAAGATGAAATTCCCAATCAGGAATATGATGAGAATTAACTAGAGGGGAGACAAGACTCTTTTTTATTTCTTGATTGTTTTGGTCTAAAGATACAACCACAAGATGACATTCGTTTACCTTGAAAGCGGCGGCCCCTATGAATGGAGAGAAATGTAATTGAGAACAAAAAATGAAAAGAACCACGAGTCTGGGAAGTCACTCACATTAGCTTTCATCGCAGGGAACCTAAAATCATCTTATCCGTTTTGAAAACAGTATCTACCTTACTTGTCATAAAGTAAGAAAGAAAAAAAATTGTATTGGAAGGTTGACTAATGAACTTGAGAGTTATACTTTAGCAAAGGCTATTAACGTTAAGATTCAACTTGAAAAATTGCTTTTCTACTAGGCTATTAACTTAAGCATCAACTTAAAATTTGCTCTTCTAACTGCTCTTGCATGTCGAGACACGATAAAAGTAGCCCACATGGTCAGTGGTGCTATACTCGGTTGGAAAACGGCGGCCAAAATCATACTTTGCCTCGGTGTTATAGTCAAGTCCACCACGCGTCACCAGCTCCCGAGTCTGGTTGACGCCAGCTTCGCCCAAGAAATATTCGTAGCCAGAGTGCTTGTAACCAGGCGGGAGCATTGGAACCACGTCGTGGCGGTGAACCATTCTCACTAGCGCGGTGCGGAGGGCGGTAAACGAGCGGTTCTGGTCAATGTGCGCGGCGGCCGCGCGAGTGTCGAACAACTTGTCTGCAAACAGGGCGAACTTGCTGTTCCCCACGCGCGGTGCGCCCAAAGTCACCGCCAAAACGTCGTGGCCCAAAAGTCGGAGCTCAATGGCAGACATAAGAGCCATGGCTCCTCCTAGCGAATGGCCTGCTACCACCAATCGATAATCGGGATAGTCGGAAATACATTCTTGAACCTTCTTAAGAATAGTGGCTCCGTTTGTTCGAGTGAAAGTGCCAAAGCCTTTGTGGATATAGCACCCTTCACAATCAAAGCCAAGCGCAGGCGAAAAGTTTGGGTTAGAGTGCACAACAGGCTCGTATCGCACAGGAAACGCATTGAGGTTTTTCACCCAGTCGCGCGCAGACCCAGTCCCCTTATACACCAAAAAGAGAGTCTGTTCCTGGTGGTCAACGGCAATAAAGCCCAGCCCGACTTCAAGGAAACCCAGAAAATCAAACACATGGTTCACTTGGAGCGTGTCAAATGCTGAATCTGAACATGCTTCGGCGGGACAGTGGGTTGTATTCATAAACGTTTGTTCGTGCCACGGGCGCACACAATAGGCGAGCGACGCGAGGCGCGCAAACCACTGGAGCTGGGAAAAGTCGGGGTCGGTTCGAACAGGATGCGGGGCGGCCGCGGCCCACGAAATGAGCGAAAGCGCGACAAGCGCGAGGAAACACTGCATTGGCTTCGCCCGACCAAGTGCGCGCAGACACTTTTATAGCGGGCGTCGCCCGGTAGAGCACACGCGCGGAACATAAATCGGGCCAGGCGAGTTTCTAACAAGCTGGTTACAACTTCACTGTGAGGCAATAGGAGAAACTACAACCCAGACAGAGACCATTACCGTGGAGTGGAATCTATAGAGCAGGGATAAATCTAGTGGATATCTGGTTAGATTGTAGTTAAATGAGATTTTTATCACACCATGGTCATGTCTTCGAGAAATTACTTTGATCAGTCACAGCTTCTCACCATCTTGCCCCTAAAAGAGTCAGAGTGTAGCTTTAAAGAATGCAGACATTTAACCTACGCCCTCTTTGGCTCTACAAAAGATACTTCGTTTCCTTTCTTCCTGTATTGATATAGACAATGTGACACCCGGAAGATACGGGACCCTTGATCCCGTAGGTACCAACGGTTTTTGCTGTTCTACTTCTTCAACTCCTCAAACGGCTGATCTTCACGTGCTTTGTCCAACATAGGCTTGATTTTGTGGCTGGCCAATGCTGTGTTCACACATGTGATGTAATTGTCCCAAAGTTCCGTGCACTCGTTATGGAGCGACTTGCCCTGCAAGAATTTTTCGGTGTACCACTTGTTGAAGCAGTCATCGTACTTCGTTTTGGCATCGGTGCATTCTGGAGCAAACGATACCGACATGATGTTTCCCATTGTGAAGAGGAGAAGTGTTCTGGCAGATGGACGGGTGCAGGACTACGTGAGAGAAGTTCAGCAAAAGTAGAGTGAGAAAAGACGAAAACAGAAAAAAAACAAAGAATGATAGGAGGGGCAGATAAGAATAGAAACAGGTTGTGAAGGAGAGATATGAGGAGCTTCTATAATTTGACTTCACAATTACCTTTGCGCGGGAGTACTACAGACATACCCACTAAATCCTGGAAGACAAAATGCGCAACGAGAAACCAATGAAAATAAATGGTTCGAACAATAAGAAGGAATGCCTCCGTTTCATCACATTTACATGTACAATAGCAGTAAACTGGGGAGTGAGCATCAATATCGGTAGAAACCGTCCTTTAAATTGAAAACCTATTTTGTGGTCAACAGAAACCAAACCAGAAGACAAAATACAAGAGGGACTTGTTGTCAGAAACGGTATATCATGGAAATAAACTGACCTTGTGGACAAAAGTATACTTGCAAACTATGTTCAATACACCTTTACTTTTGGTCCGTCCCGTATCCAAGACTGCAAATGATAAACATGATTCCTTTGTTTCGAGGCGTGCAGACGTAGAAGATCTAATTCAGTCGAAAAAATTCAGCTAACGGATAAGTCAATTTCGGTAACGTCATAAACACAAACTAAGCAAGACGTCTGAAGTTCTAATTGATGAGTAGATTTTTCTTTCCGCTTCAACATTATCTTTTTATAAGCAGTAGCTTCAGCATCTGAATTGACGCGAATCTAACAAATGACACCTACGGCCGACTTAGACTCCAATTATAGACAGACTCCTCATCATTGCAGTATACCTTGGTACTATAGTTTATAACACACAATTACCAAAAATAAAAAACGTTCACGGAACTAGAGTCGCATCTCCAATAAGCGGGTGCAAAAACGTGTGGATAGGCGGTATGAAGGAAATCCGATGCGTATTCTCTGCGCGAAATCGCGACTCAAAACAACCCCACGAAAAACAGAAGTACTCATAATAAAAACGAAAGCACCAAGAGCTGGAAAATAAAGCTCTGAGAAAGAAAACCAAAACAATGTCCAGACGAAAATCAACAGTCCATGTGGCACGTGCACGCGAACAGGAGGACTCACCAGCGTTGGAACTCGAACGGTTAGAACAAGCATCAACTTTACTTCTACAGGAGATTGACCATAACCTTTCACGAGCTAACGCCATCATAGGCGATTCTATATTCCCCGTGTTAAAGAAATATGCTGCTGCTACTGCGCAGGCGTCGAGCCATGTGGGTTTTTGGAAGCATTTTTTGGAAGAGGCTGCCGATGTGGAGATTTCCACAGTTGAAGAACCGCTTCAGGAGCCAACGCTGCAAAAACAAGAAAGCCAATCGACGAGCAGAAAAACAGACAGCAAAAACAAGAACGATTTACAGCCCCTGGCGGCTAGCACGCCGCCATCATCCGATCGGCACATCGAGACCTCCACTCCGCAGCTTCGCCGCACCCTGCCGTCATCACCACAACTAGTGGCTGTCTCTGGTGGACAAGTGGCTGTGTCGCCACGGAAACGCACGCCTCGTGCTGCTGATACTCGTCTGCTGGTGCTTCAGAACTTTCTCAATTCTTCTCCCACACTTCCTGAACCTCCCGTACTTCTCAGCGAAATTGGCCGCGCACATGCAAGCAGCTCCAGCGCTCAGCCGCGTGCTCTTTCGCCTCATAGCGATTTGGGTCGTCTTCTGCCGATAGCACTTCCCCCAGTACTTCCAGCTGCAACGCCGGCGCGACAAGGTTCGCCGCAGCGATTTCCGCTCACACCTAATTTCGGCTCTTCTGCAGCTAGGGCGCCGCCAAGGTCCACCACTCAGTTTGCTGATGAATCAGATTTGCCTGCTCCCACCCAAATCGCACGTCAAGATGAGAGCGATTTACTCCCACTTCCACGTCTCCAGACTGTTGCATGGGGTGGAGAAACGGACGATTTGAACAAGAGCAGCAGAGAAGAGCAAGGGTCGCCGAAGAGACGCCGCATGGATAATGTCTTCCTTGAACGAAGTGAATTCCATAGTGTAGAGAAGACGCGCTCCATGTCGGACATATTCGACGAAGTCCTTCTGGAGCACATACCAGGGATCGACCAGGAGAAGAAAAACACTGAAGCAGAAAAGCAGAGGAACGCAGAAAGAGGCACGATAAACGGTGAAAGTGAAGAGAATATCGTAACACACACTCTGGAAGCGATTTTCGAAGCAAATCTACCAACGAACCCCAAAGAGACTATAGGGGAGGACTTTGATGACAACTTAGCCGAGGGAGATTTACGAGGCAGAGGCGCTGGATATGCATCGGCCGCTTTTACGCGAGAATTGTCTGCTGAGAGTTCTGAGATTGCTGGTATAACGTCAACTACTCCATTATACACAACGGCAAATCTCGATGCAGAAGAAACCAGAGCTGAAAATGCAAACGAGAGCCATACTGGAACAAATCAGAACTTATCCCATTCTCTCGATTCAAACACTTCGGACCTCGGCTCTTTCTTAGGGGAACGGTGGAAATCATTGGCGAAATCGCTCCACAAGAGATAGGGTTTGTGTGCACACCAACATCTTTAACTTGTTAAGCTACACCCATTGAATGCGGTAATGGCCAAAAGAGGCAATGCAGAGCAAGCATCAAAAGTAACCAAGCCATCTCAACCTCATTCACGTATCTCCCGCCTTATCACTGCCTGTCTGCGATGCCGTCACAAGAAGATTAAATGCGATCACAAGTTCCCTACATGCACCAATTGCGAGAAAGCCAATGAACAGTGTGTGGTCAAGGACCCTGAAACCGGCGAGGAAATATCACGGTTGAGCATTCAAAGCTTGGAAATCAAGCTTCGAGAAACTACAGAAGAATTGAACAGATTAAGAATGGAAAAAAAGGGGAAAGCATTCCAACCGCAGGAACCCAATCCATTAACTTTTGGTAAGGTTTTGTTCATGCGAGATTCCGACATGGATCAGAAACATGCAAACGACATACCCTTTGACAGCATCAATCTTCCTGAACGCTCATTCGCAGAATCTTGCATTGTGTCATTCTTCAATCTGTCCAATGTTCAGGTTCCCGTATTGCACCGTGATTATTATATGCATACGTATTTCAAGCCTCTTTATGGTACAGTGGGGAAAGATTTGTGGTCGAGGCTTCTTGAAGAGCACGTTGAACATCTGAAGTACATTGAAACGCCCGTGAGCGTGAATCATGTTGACCTGAAACAGAAGTGCTTGTTTTTTCTTCACATTATCATCGCCATTCTGACGTCACAGCACCAACAAAAGTTTCCACTCACAATATCTGACCATTACAAGAATCAGGCATTCAAGTACGTGGACCACGTATGGAAGGAAGAGGATAAAACAGATAGGCCAGAGATATCAAAGCTTGAAATATTGCAGTCTTTACTCTTACTTGCCCAATACTCTCTTATGAGACCGTGTCATCCAGGTGCATGGTATTTAGTTGGAACGTGTGTTCGGTTGTGCCAAGATTTAGGTCTTCATGACGAACCGTTGTATACAAGGTCGCTGGATGCTTTCGTTATTGACATGAGAAGAAGGTTGTTTTGGTCCTGTTACTCGCTCGATCGTCAAGTGTCTATCTATTTTGGGCGCCAATTTGGCATTAATAGCAAGCAAATTGAGTGCCCGTTTCCTTCGGCTCTCGACGATCTGATGATTTCTGTTGACATGTCAGAGTTATCACAGAATAGTGTGCCGATCACGAATAATCCTAACCTGAAACTAATATCATTTCACTTTTTCCGATTACGAATCCTTCAAGGGGAAATATATGACTTCGTCAATGACGTATCTCATAGGATAACTAAGCTGGAGAATCTAAACGATGATAAAATCCACCAGAAAATACATCAACATGATGATTGGAAAAGTCAAAAGCATACGGAACTTTTGTCGTGGTTTGAAAACGCCCCCAAGGGTAATGCAAATCAACAATTTAATGAAATGGTATTTAAACTTAACTTGAACCAAACAATAATCCAAATCTACAACATCAGTGCTATTACTCCGTACATTATACAATCAAGTCACCACCGGATTCTCTACGAGGCAAGTCGGCAAATAATATGGACATATGTGCAACTCACGGAGCAACAGCTAATCAACTTTTCATGGGTAGCGATCAACAATCTCTTCATTGGTGCTAGTGTTTATCTTTCGCTGATCACGGGGGATGATCAGATCCGAAATTCCATATCTTTGGCTGGGCTTCGAAAAGATTGTGCTGGAGTATTGACAGTTTTTGATGAGCTTTGCAATATATGTTATGAGCCAGCAAAAGAGTTCAGCAAAAAATTTGAGATACACAGCCGCAGCGTCATTGAGCAATGTCAGAGAGAGCAGGAGGCTAAGAGGAACGTACAATTGTCTTCGAATTCAATATCTAAAAGCGTATCCGAATCCAATATTTTCAGCAGCGTTGGAGGGACAGTAATAGTTCCTGCTAATCTTGTTACTTCGCCACAGATAAACACGAGCGTTTACGATGGGCAAAATGAACCTCAGCCTTTCCAAATTGAGCCAGACTACTTTGATGTGTTGCACGATAATGATCAACTAATAAAGCAGATGATCGGAAGCATTGACGCCACATATGAGGGCATTTTCAATGACATTGAGTATGATGATCAAGATGGCAAGTAATCAGCGTTTAAGATGAGATGCTGGGCTGGTCCAGTATGACCCAAAACGGCATTATACTCAATTAGTCAATTCTATCGATAAGCTTCCATGGCAACAGGCTGACATTTACGCGGCTTATGATTGGCTGTTACCCACAAACAAAGCCCGTGCACCATGACCAATGAATTTCTATCTGCAGTCCCGGGACTTCTGTTTTCGGAATCGCATGATTTGGCTGCAACAAGTGGAATGTATAAATAGTCTTCGTTTCGCAGATACTTTCCTGTTCAATATTTACATTTCCATCATCTCTTTAATCATGTCCTGCTCTGCTGCTGAATGCGTCTGTGCCAAAAAGTCTACCTGCTCCTGTGGAAAGCAAGCTGCTTTGCACTGCAACTGTGAGAAGGCTCCAGTTGAAAACGCTGTTCCTCCAAAGGAAAACTCTTGCTCGTGTGGCAAAAGAGTCAAGGGCCAATGCACTTGCGGCAACAACGACTGTGCTTCCAAAGAAGGTGAAGTCGATTTCACTGGTACTATGTGATTAATTAATCAAGGTGGGTTATATAATGGGTTGTATAATAGAATAAAGCCATCCGGATAGTTGAATGTAAGTGTAAAATTTGAAGGCCAAATAAACATAAAATGACGTGTTTTTGGCACGTATTCCTGAAAATCACCCACCCAAATGAAGACGCCTTAAGGTGATTGTTTACCGCTTCGAAGAAGTGTTTACAGGTTATGTTATGTTTCCTAAGTTTATAACATGTTATTCTCATTCGTAACTTTTTTTTGCTTTGCAGCTGCATACGATCAGCATCTGAAATTGGCTACAGTCTCATCAAAATTAAGGTATTGTAAAGTATAGTCTGTAACGTTGGTGCCACTTCCTGTTTGAATATTGCGTCGTAGAAAAAGCGATCGAGAATTGTTTAGCACCGTTCGCTTCAGACAGCACCGAAGCATTAAAGATTAAATCAACTTAAGCATTTGTAGAAGAGAAGAGGTTGATGTTTGAGGCTAATATATTTGGATCGAACTTCTAAAGCTACCTGATAGTTATAGTTCTTGGATCTTAGCAGACCATTGATCCAAAGAAGAATGTAGTGCGGAACTTGTTCCTTTGTGAGAAAACACTAGCATCTCTACACCAGTCTTTACATTATTCCACAACCAAGAATGTGTATAAAACAATAGGAATACGAACAATTTGATGGAGCATTCGGGCATGGCAACTGTTCCTGGACTATGCTTTGAGCGACGTGACAAAAGTGTGCATATAAGCACAAAGACTCCACAAATTCTGCATCTATCCAACTTCACCTCTTAAACTCATCTTCTTTTGTCATGGCCAGGCTTTCCGGACTACAAAGAGAGGTGCTTAAGCTTTACAGGGCATGCATGCGATCAGTTAAAACAAAACCACTTGATACCCAGGACCATTGGCGTTCCTATGTGCGGGCCGAGTTTGACAAGTACCGGTCTCTTCCGAAAAAATCATTTAGTGTGATTGAGCATCTTCTCCGCGTGGGCGCCCGGAGGCACGAGATGTACCTGAATCCCAATATCAAAGATATTCATTAGTACTTAACAAGAGAGAGTGGTGAAGTGAAGTTGTCCAACTTCAATGATACAGGGAGATAATGAGACAAGAAGCACAATGAGACTTGTAGGGCAGTGAGTCATGAAACACGTCATTTTGACGTGGATTATAGATCGTGCGCTTCAAACACCTGCGCAAAGTTGGTGAAAAGCAATTCGGTGGCCTCATTCCGCGGCCCCATGTCTGTCATCTCGCGTTCGCCCGTGACGTCTCTTGCAATAGTCGGCGCAAACACTACCGACAAGTTTTTGAAGTTCATGCGGTTGACACTACTGTAGTAGTTGACTAAGTCTAGGTGCTTGGCCACCAAGTACAATACGTGCCTGTTGGCGGGAGGGAGGCGGGCGACCACTTGGCTCGACAACTCATTGCACCGCTCGTTTATATCGCTGGTGCTTTTACCTACCAGAATGTAGCCATCGTACAAGTTATAGGGAATCAACGGATCAGGCAATTTGCGTAAGTAGCGCTTTAACGCGCTAGTCACAGCATTGATGTCGCCAGCCAAAACCTCTTGCAAGCGGGCCATCAGACGTTTATCTTGGGAAGAGCTGGCAGGAAGCGCAGCAAAAGCATTTTCAATGGCTGTGATTGCTGTGTTTCCACCAGATATACGATAAATGCCCTCCACATCCAACCCACGCTTTTCAACCTCTTCAATGCATTTTGACACTATAAGCGGCACCTTTTCGTTTTCGTAAATGGCACGCCTTTGTATGGTGGATGAGAAAAGTGGCACCTCAGGCCCACTGCTTCCATTGGCAATGGCATCGAGGACTGTGGTCAGTCGTGACTTACTGATGATCGTGTTGAGCGCTTTCCGCGCTCCAGACTCTTCGTTGCCGCTCTGGATGGTGTTCGAAGACACAGACGTGCTCATTTTCAGGCTTGATGGTGAAGGCGCTAATGCAGGGGAAGAACTGTCTCCAGGAGTCATTCGCGGCCGACGCCAAAACCGGAGCCGTGTAGCACGCTGAGTTTCACCGCCATCTTCAGCAACTGCATCCAAGGTGGCCGCATCGTTATCCAGAAACCGCGAATCCAAGTCAAAACGGCGAGACTCTACATCAGAGCGACGCAGTTCCACACGCAGAGTGACATCTGAACGGCGAGACATACTGTTCTCGTCAGCAAGGGAGCTGTTCTCGTCAGCGAGAATTCGGTTTTCTTCTGAGAGTCTTTTCTTCTCCGCTACCATCTCATTGATATCGCGAAGTAACAGCTCATGAGTCTGAGTCTCAGTAGCGATTTTCTTCTGGAGCGTCTTTATCGCTTCAAATAACTTGTTCTTGTCGCTGTTCAACTTCATGTTCTCCGCAATCAAGTTTTGCTTGTAGTTCTCGAGTTGGTAGATCTCGAGCTTGGCCAGCCGCATCTCGAGATCCGTACGGTGCATCTCGCTGTCTCCACGCGAGTTGTCCTTATAAGGCAGACTCAAAGGTAACGGAGGAGTGCTAAAGGCCAGGCCGTGCACCGAACCCTCCGACACGTGCCGCAGGTGGCCCTTGTCCAGGCGCGCCTCGTCTTTGTTTTTGAAAAAGCCAAACTTGTTAGAGAGTCCACCCAGTCCGCCAGAAATTGAGCGCTTGTGCTTGATCAGCATCTTGCGCCGCACAGTCTGCTTAATACCACCACGGTCGTCATCACGGGAGATGGTAGCTTCCAAGTTGGTCACTGTGCGCGGACCCAAGTCCAACCCCAAGCCACGCGGCTCATCTGCAACATCTGGCACATCCGGCAATGCAATACGAGGAGGCGGTGATACAGCGTGGCGCGGTGTACGGAGTTGCGGTGTCCCCAATGGGATTTCGTCTTGCGTGATACTGTCGAGACTGGCGTCAGGGTTGCCCATGTGGGAGTCGATCGTGCTGAAGTTAGAGTACCCGCCAAGTTGAGAACCATTGCCGCTCGTATCGATATCGCGGCTTGAACCTAATTCACGACCGGTAAGCCCATTGTCACGACTGTCGCGACTTGTGTTAGTGTCGATGTTGGTGTCTCGGCTAGTGTTGGCATCAAAGTTCGAGGTATCTGGCTCAACCACACGCGCCTGTCTGTTGGCACGAGCCATGGGTGACGATGCAGTGGATCTGCGACCCAGATCCTCACGACGGCCGTCTTCCACCGACCGACCCAGATCTTCTGCGGACGGACGGCTCAGTTCAGCAGAAAAGCCGGCACTTGAGAGTTCTGCTGCGTGGAACCCATTATCATGGTACTGGCCAGGAGATAATAACAAAAAGTTCTTGTGAGGAGAGTCTAAGCGTGGTGGGTCGCCCAAGCGAGGCAGCGGGCTGTCCAGATTCGGCGTGTTGGGCCCGCTGAAGGAACCGATGAGGTCCAAGATAGCGCCTGAGTCGTGTTTATGTTGCAGCCGTGAGAAGCGGCGTTCTAAGCGTTCGCGCACGCGCCGGAGTTTCAATTCATCTTCGGAGTCGTTGACCTCTTCAATGTCACTGGCCATTGCCGCAGGATCAAGGGAGCCTGTGAAGTTTGACGTTGAGGCCTGGACTGGAGTTTTCGCAGGATCATCTGTTTTCGTATCGACCCCTTTGTGTTCAGCTACTTTATTCTCTCCGAGCTTGTTGTTTTCATAATGATCAGAAGGTCCAGCGACAGGGCTTGGAACCTTTCCAGTAAACGGAGGTTCCTTTTCCTCTCCAACTTCTATGTCACGCACACCAATTCTAGCCACATCGGGGCTAGCGTCTCTTGATGTGGCCCTTGTATCACGCGAAAGGAGGCTTTCACGGGAAACATCCCTCGAAAGCCCATCCCTTGAGACAGCGTTACGCGAGATGGCATCTCTTGAAGGCGTTTCTTTAGAGATAGCATCTTTGGCAGGTGTAGACGTCTTTGTTAGATTCGTGAGGTTTGTAAGGTTTGATAGATTTGAAAGATTGGAAATGTTGGATATATTCGAGATGTCTCTCGCAAGAAAGTCTCTAGGCTCGAGGTATGGTCCATCTTTTGAAGTTTCACTGGATTTATCTTCATCTGTGTCATCTTTACGAAGAGCAGGATGAGGTGGCAACTGTTTGTTCAAGGAAACGTCCAGTGAATCTGGACGCAGCAGCAGTTCAAGCTGAGCCATCTGACGGCGCTTGAGATCGTACTTCTTCTTCTTTGCAATCAAGCGTTCGTGACATGACATACAAAACAAACCTTTCGAAGTCCGAGCATAGCGCAAGTCCTCGATTTTCAGCTTACAAACTCGACAACGGAAACAGCTCGAGCAGTAAGCTTGGTCACCCGTGAGAATGGCCAAGTCATCAATTTTCTTACCGCATTGTTTGCAGTTGTATGAACATTCCAGACATATCAAGCTTCCGTTGCCGAGGACAAGGAAATTGGAGTTGCAACCCAATGATTTGGAGCATTTCGAACATGTGAAGCATTGAATGTGCCAGCGATCATCGCCGAGTTCGTATGCGTGGCCACCGACAATCTCCAAGCCACATTTTTTACAAGCTTGATCCTCAGACATAGCGGCGAGAGCTCAGATAAATGGGGCCTGTAGATTGAAATTGGATGAAACTGGACAGTGACAGGTGCCAAAAACGAAGTAAATCGACGAGAATCAGTTGGGTGTAGTAAGCGGCTAGAAAAGGACTAATCAAATACCACGAGATTGACAGAAAGCAGCCAATAAAAGATGGAATCAAGATAAGTTCTTCTGCGGTCAAGCGGCACAATCCGATAGGGATCTAGATTTCAAGTGGCGCGTCTCCCGTGGGGTTTGAGGGGTCGATGCAGAAGACGAAAACCAGGTTTGTCTTTGTCTTTCTTCAGAGAAACCGGGATCAGGCGAAGTAGTGAAAGATGGGTTGCCTGGGTTGGTCAAGCGGAGATCCGTCAGCGGGAGTCTGTGATCTCAGCGGAAGATGAGAAGAAAAGTGGGTTTGTCTCGGAGAGCCAGGCGGTCCTGCACTGCGGACGATGTGGATGTGAATTCAGTAGCCAGGCGGCAAGCAATTGGCACAGCGAAGGAGTGGAAAGGGCTGGGATCAGAGGCCAGGCTATGGAAACGGAAAATGATGGGTACTACTAAAAAGGTGTCGTTCTACTGTGCGCGCGCGTGCACTCCATTTACTGGTGAAACAATGTCGCAGAATGCATGGAGTTGGTGCGACGCTGGTTGCTATTGGAGCTGGGCCCATTGTTCTTATCAGTTTGTTGGCACGGCACTAGTAGCCTTGGTCTAAATGGCGGGGCTTTGGCCGGCGGAATGTGTGTAGTTTTGTGTCCGACATTCTCGCGACATAATGGGCCATGCTTCAGTCTTCGCACTCTCGTCCGAACGGATTCATTTTACGTCTGACATGAGTGCTTTTGTGCTGTAGTTGGATGATGGGGGGTTGGACTATGCAAGTTTAAGCTTGGGACGGTCTGGGACGTTACATTTTACCGGCCGAGTCAATCATGTATGCCGTAATTATTCACGTGTTCAATTTTTACGATGTCTCCACTAATTATGTCTCTATCGGGTAATTCCGTTTCATGCATGTCTCTACTATCATGTCTCTTGCAATAGATATGTAGTACCTCTACTAAGGATGGGTGTTAACAAATTCTTTCTGTGACCACTCCACCAAACCTTTACCACAATCTACTAATTTTCGTGTTAGTCTGGTTTTTAAGTCTGGTTTTTACGTGCAATAGAGTCGATAAAGTAAAGGTTGATTTCGCAGTCAACTTGACCCAAACAATATTCACAGAACATAAATCAAAGGCCATCGAACGGTTCAGACTTTTCATACTTCTATCGGTGTGATTTTGAAACGTCTTCTCCAACAGGAATCGACAGCCCTTCATTTTGAACCGTACATTTCCTTACCCAAGCTCACCTATATAACCTCTCACTTCTGGAAAGAATAAATGACATGGAGTTCTGTTTGACTCTGAGAATCGCAGATTACGAGCTTGTTACTATTTTTCCTCCAAAGGAATGAAAGGAGGTTCGAGCACTGAGCCGTGTTGGCCGAGAGTGCATAATCACACAGACGATGCTGTACATCAAGTTTACTGTCGAACTTACAATCATGAGAATACTCGTGGTATATTATATTACTAAGCTGCAGAAAGGCAGATGCTGAGACTCGGAATGGTGCTTGGCTGGAGGAAAGAGGGACAAAAGGAACGAAATCCAGCGGCACCACACCGCGTAAAGGTCAGGATTTTGAAAGTCAGACAGACTCCAGAGTGGCATGGCCAAAATTCTAAGACAGAATATTGACAAGATGCCAGCTCTTCAAGAAGAATGCTATAAGCATGAACAAGCCACGGCTTACGGCACGAAAGTAATCAAGGGGCTCAATCTGTGAGCGGCGGTCTAGAACTTCACACTTGAGACAAGACAAAATAAAGGCTAGAGAAACAGGACCGGCGCAAAAAAACTGAAAAGGGAAGAACAACGGTAAGTAATTTGTCTATGGCTTGAAATCAGCTAGCTGTTTTCCATCGCCATCATCAATGTACAAGTCATCCTCTCCTGACCAGTCAACCACAATGTGGCGGTCAAGATCGGTGTTTTTCAAAATGTCATTACGTTCTTGTTCCCAGTTGCGCTGCCTGTCGGCAAAGCCTTTATCCCAGACCTTGTCGTAAACCTTCATGATTTTAGCTTGCTCTTCTTGACGAACCTCTTCCAATGCCATCCACTCCATGTGTTTCAAGTCATCAGAAGAAGGTTCGTAAATGTGCCAGATGACATAATGAGGTAAGCCGACCACGGAATAGCCCATGCGCTTACTCAATTTGCCGAACGCCTCTGTTTCGGCGTGCTTTTCAAAGGAAAATGCTGGGAAGTGTGAGCCCGTGCGGAAAACACGCGCCTTTGTCAAGATGGAAACACCACCAATGCCATCCAAGTCCATTTCCACCTCTGGATCTCCATATGGATCACGTAAGTACGCCAAGTGCGGTCTCCAGGTTTGGTATTCGACGTAACCTTCGACAATGCATGCGTCCTCGTCCAAAGTGTCTGCTAGCTGCAAACCTCCGTCAGATTCCTGCCACGAGTTCAAGTCGTACGGTTGTTGGTTTCCCAACCAGTCTGGTAACGGTCTCCAAACATTTGGCACAATCACATCTTTGTCATGGTGCATCAAATCTTCTAAAATAGTTGGAGGCACAGTTTCCACATCAATATCACGCCAATAGACATAAGAGTGGTAGGGTTTCACTGCCACGGTCCAAAGCCAATTACGGGCACGTGCCATCAACTTACGACGGGGACCTTGGGCGGCAAACCCGTGTCTATCACTGAAGGACTGACCAATAACCTGGCCAAAGTCCTTTTCGAAGATTTCGATTTCGCCAAAACGCATGCTGGTGTCTGGGTCGTTTTGCACTTCGTTCAAGTGTCTCTTTAGTTCGCCCATGGTATCATCGCTCGAGTCACTGACAAGGAACGCCAAATCAATTAAGTTGTGCGGATAAGTCATGTTCTTCATGTGGCCAAAGAACATGGGTAAGTGCGCAGCAGCGTCTCTCAAGGGAACGCAGAAGAGCACACGCTCATCGCGTTGCCAGCCGTCGGGCAGCCCCGTGTAATGCTGCAAATCAAAGTATTGCACTGACGGAACGCGGCCGAAGTCAGGGGTATACAACCCTCCTCGAGGCACCAAAAATTGGAAAGCCGCCAATACGAATAGAAAAACAGCCACCAAGACGAGTTTTGCCCGGTGACGAGCCCATGACGCGGTGAGATCTAGTCGGTGCAATGCCGCACTTAACAGAAAACCCCGCAGAACATCTTTTTCCGAGCTGTAGTCGTACGGCGTCATTTGGATGATTTGCGCCATTGGCGAGTAGGAAAAAAAGACAACGGGTACGTGGAAAAGAGAATAGAAACACGCGGCTCAGGAGGGGGCGATGGAAGCACGTCCACGAGAGTTGCAGTGGAGCGGCGGGAAGGCTTTTTTTTTGCAACGATTTCTCCCTGCTGTGGTAGAAGATGAATCTGAGCAGTATAAAGTAAAAGAGTTGAGAGAAATTGTCTTGGGCTCAGTGCGGCGCCCGACTTGTGTGCACTCCAGAAGATTCACTTTCTGGGTTCTTTAATTAGGGGCAAGAAGCAGGAAGCGGAGGAAGCGGAATCTTCTGTCGGGCTCGAGAGGAAAAGGTCCTTTAGATTTAATCTTTTTTCCTTTTTCCGGTTTGCAATCTGTTTATGATATGCATAGGGGCTAGATCTATATTTGACCAGTGTTTTGGTTTCAGCCCTGAACCTACGTTGTATACAGAGACCCGTACATCTGGCATAAATGTCCGGCGTGTATTTTGAATTTTTATAGTTGCGGAGCGCAAAGCAGCCCTTTAGGTCGGGAAGAGGGTACGTGGCCATGATTTGAGATGTGGGATACCTTGGGACTGTCAGACCCTCAACCCCTAAACTGAAATACTGGTTCTGTCTGCAGGATAAATTTCATTTGAGACGCCAACGGTCCGCGATCTTCTTTCCTATGCATTTCGACTGATTTGGAAATTGTGCATAGGCTCGAAATGTTCCGACTCACAAGATTGGTGAAGTTCGGCTGATTGCCTGCTGGCTAGCGTAGAATTTTTTTCATGTTTCCTTTTGCTTTCTTTCCACTCCTTTTAATGTAACTTGCTTATCTGTGAGTCCGTTGGCTTATGTTTAATGTTAAGTCTGGCACCATTTTTTTGTTAAAAGCATGTCCGCCCAGGTCCGTCCTAATTTTTTTCCCTGTGGACATACAGTCTGGAAAATGCGCTACAAAGTTACATCAGTAGAATCAAACTAGGGCAACATTTGTGACTCGTACAAGATTTTGCGTCGACATCCAATGTTTACCTATCTTGCTTATTATTGAGGTTCTGGTGTTGGTAATTTTTCAATCAGGTTTGTTGTATTCCGTATTGATTGTCAAATCATTATACACTCAATTCCTTCGCTGCTTCTAATCCTGTTATTATTGTTCTGCACACAACAACTTTGTTTATCCACAATGTCTGCAGAACCCAAACTAGTGTTTCTTAGTACGTTCCAGAAATGAAGGTCGAGGAGCTTATCATTGATGGATTCAAGTCCTATGCCACTCGTACTGTGGTGACAGGCTGGGATCCACAGTTTAATGCCATTACTGGACTCAACGGATCGGGAAAATCCAACATTCTTGACGCCATATGCTTTGTATTGGGAATCGCCTCCATGTCGACAGTTCGGGCTTCCAATTTGCAAGATTTGATTTACAAAAGAGGCCAAGCAGGTGTAACGAAAGCTAGTGTCACCATAGTATTTGATAATTCCGATAAGGCCAAGTCACCTATAGGCTTTGAAAACTCTGCCAAAATAAGTGTCACGCGTCAGATCATCTTAGGTGGCACCTCTAAGTATTTGGTCAATGGGCACAAGGCTCAACAACAGACAGTGCTTAACTTATTCCAGTCGGTTCAACTCAACATCAACAATCCAAACTTTTTGATCATGCAGGGCAAAATCACAAAGGTCTTGAACATGAAACCTTCTGAAATCTTGGCCCTCATTGAAGAAGCCGCCGGAACGCGTACTTTCGAAGATAGAAAGGACAAGGCTCAAAAAACCATGGCCAAAAAGGAAGCCAAGTTGGTTGAAATCCGTAACTTGCTTCACGAGGAAATCGAGCCAAAGTTGGAACGTTTCCGGTCGGAGAAACGTACGTTTTTGGAGTTCCAAAAAGTACAAACTGACTTGGAGAAGCTCAATCGGATCATTGCAAGTCATAACTATGTGATGTACTCGAAAAAGTTCCACCATTATTCTACTTTGCGTCTGGAGCACGAATCCATCATGTCATCTTTGACTTCACAAATAGATCGCCTAACTGATGAGATCAAAAATCTTAATGCAGATTTAGAGCAGGTCAAGAAACAAAAAGAGAATGACCTCTCGAAGGGTGGCAAAATCGAAGCCTTGGAAAAGTCAGAAACGTCTCTATCACACGAAATTACCCGTCTTACAACATCTCGTGACTTGACTATGCAAACGGTAAAGGAAGAGTCATCAAAGTTAGAAAACCTTCGAAAACAACTTTCTGATTTGGAGAATCAACTCTCGAGCAATTCCAGCACCTTTTTCACCTTTGAAGAAGATCACAATGAGCGTACATCCAAACTTGCCCAGTTGAAGGAAGAATACAACAAAAAGGAAGAGCTTTTGTCTACTTTGTCTACTGGAGTATCGGCGAAAGGAAGCACTGATGGGGGCTACCTTTCGCAGTTGAAACAAGCGAAGGAAGAATTAAACAAAAAACAAAACTTTATCAAACAGTCAGTGTTAAAGATTGGACACCTAAATGATAAATTACAAAATGATACTACACGCCTTCAGAAAGCGAAAGAAGAGAACCTGTCTATACTCCAGGAAATCGAGACATATGAGAAAGAGATTGCTGCCAAAGAAGAGAAATTTAAAGCCTACGGGTACGACTTTAAGGCATACACAGCTTTGCGCGATCAGGAAAGCATGATACGCAAACAAGTGGAAGAATACCACAATCAACTAAATCATCTCCGAAGAGAGGTAGGTAATATTGAGTTCAACTATACAAAACCATATCCGGATTTCAATGAATCTTCTGTCAGGGGTGTCGCAATTCAATTGTTCAATCTCAATAGCGCGCATAATGATAAAGCATTAGCGCTTCAGGTTTGCGCTGGAGGAAGGCTTTATAACGTGATTGTTGATAGTGTGAGTGCGGCTTCAGCACTTTTAGAGCGTGGCCAATTAAAGCGAAGAGTGACAATTATTCCATTGGATAAGATATCTGCCAGATCGCTACCGCCGAATATTGTTACATATGCCAAAGAGAAATGCCCGGAAAAAGTGGAACTTGCACTCAATTTGATTGACTTTGAGAATGAATTGAGCAAAGCCATGACGTATATTTTTGGTTCAACTTTTATTTGCATGGACCCAAATACTGCCAAGGCTGTGACATTTGATCCGAAAATTAGAGCACGCTCCATCACTTTGGATGGTGACATTTATGATCCAGAAGGGAACCTATCAGGCGGTTCTCGTAAACAGGGGTCCTCTATTTTGCTTACCATGCAAAAATACAATAGACTCGTTGCCCTGATTAAGGACCTTGAGGCTAAACTTTCCCAAATTCATCATGAGTTGAACCGTCTTGAAAAATTGGGCCATGAGACAAAGGCGTTGCAGAATGAACTTAATCTCAGTAAACATGAGTTGTCGCTTCTTCAGCGTAAATTGGCCAATAATCCTTCATCGATGATCATCAAGGAGAGCGAGTCCAACATGAAAGAGATAGAACATCTCAACGCGAAAATCGAAATTGAGAAAACAGCATGTGTCAGTTTGGAGGATCAAATTTCAAGCATTGAAAATGACATCAAGGAGTTCAATCAAGATAAAGGTTTGAAATTGAAGGAGTTGGAAGGTGAATTGAAAGAATTGAAGAAAAAGCTCTCGCATCAAGAAGCAGAGGTCTCTAACCACAAGGAAAAATACCAGTCTCTCCAAATTGAAATTGAACAACAGAAGACGGATATACAGGCGCTTAAAGAAGCAATTGAAGCGACAGAAGTGGTATTGCAGGAAGCAGAACAAACAATTGAAACGACTGATAGCCAGATTTCTAGGCACAATGAGGAGCTAGAGGTCCTTCATACACAATTGGAAGATGAAAGGACCAAGATGCTTGGTTTTAATGAAGAGATCAATGAGGTGACAAACCTTTTGGCAACAAAGAATGAAGAACTTAACCAAGCGCGACTTTCGATCCAAAAACTAAATCACGACTTGGAGAAAGCAAGTCACAATACAACTGCGTTGAAAACTAAGCTTGATAGCTTGATCAAAGAAAATGAATGGCTCACTGACGAAAATGTTACCAATAGCATTATTCAGCAGTATCCTGATATTAACATCGAAGATTACGAGAGCCAAGCAGCTGTACTTAGTGAGCGGTTTCAACACATGAAACGTAAAGTAAACCCCAATATTATGAGCATGATTGATAATGTGGAGAAGAAAGAAGCTTCATTAAAGCATATGATCAAAACAATTGAGAAGGACAAATCGAAGATAGAAAACACCATTGAAAAATTAAACGGCTACAAACGTGACACGCTTAATACCACATACCAAAAAGTATCTGACGACTTTGGTGACATTTTCGCCGATCTTCTCCCTGGATCGTATGCTAAGTTGGTCCCTTCCAACCCAATGGATGTTACTCGAGGTCTTGAAGTCAAGGTAAAGTTGGGACCTGTGTGGAAACAAAGTTTAGTTGAATTATCGGGCGGTCAACGTTCTTTGATTGCATTGTCGTTGATTATGGCGTTACTTCAATTCAAACCAGCACCCATGTACATTTTGGACGAGGTAGATGCAGCTTTGGACTTGTCTCACACGCAAAATATTGGCCATTTGATCAAGACAAGATTTAAAGGGTCACAATTTATTGTCGTTTCTTTGAAAGAAGGCATGTTCACGAATGCCAATCGTGTATTTCGAACTCGGTTTCAAGATGGTACTTCGATGGTGTCGGCCATGTGAGCGTTTGAACTTGTCCGAAATAAAACATCATCTCCATTTTATAATAGCATATATAGGGAAATTAATTAGAGGTAGTGCATGATTCGTCTGATCTGTCGACCAATGCCCATTGGCTTAAGCACCAATCCGAATCGTTTCTCTTGAATACTTAAAATGCCATGTCTCGAGGCGAATAAGTTCAACAGGAGAATTAAAAATAGAAAATGTAAAAGGATTATTAGAGATACTCTAGGCATCTTTACTTTTCTAAACTAAATCACTTGCATTCTTTGGTCAGTTGGAGCTTCCAGTCTGGTGATCTAATTGTGCAAATCGCTGGTCTTTTCCTAAGCAAATGAACTGCCACAAATAGATATGCTCCAGCTTACAAATGGCATGTCTACCCTATTAATCAACTGCTATGTACTTCTTGTACTTACGATTCTTCTACTCATTTTTCTTAGTGTCGAGATCCGAGTCATCAGACTCTGGGTCAGCAAAACGCAAGCTCTTGCGGCGAGGCGTGTCTGGCTTAGCATCCAGCTCGAAGACCAACTCAGCAGTACGAATCCACCGGCGCCGCCTAGTATACTTGGAGTACAGGTCTTCCGTACTAGGTTTCTTCCACACATTGTCGTAGTAGATGAATCCCTCATCCGAGTTTGGATTGGCAGTTGTCTTCAGACGTTTTCCAGAAGGGAGTGCAATAGCACCGTCGTTGGTCAAATCCAAACGCCAAGTCTTGTCGACCCAGCGCCAGCGAGCACCTGTAATTTCTGGATGCTGCAGCACGTACTGTTGGTGTTGCAGGGAAAATGACAGGTCTGCATTGGGTAACTCAAACGAATCGATTGAAGACAGCTCATTCAAGAATTCGTCTGTCCAAGGTGCCCGCTCATACGTGAGCAAGTTGGCGGTCCAGCCAATGCCGATCCAGCGGCGCTGGTTCTCATATATCACGTAAGTGAACCGCACGGGCTTTGCTAGATCCGAAACAGGGCCCGTAGCCTTCTGTACCTTGGCGAATGCTGCAGCAAAGAGTGTGCTATTGCGTGCACGGGATAAGTCAAGACCTGTCAAGTAGAAGAACAAGACCCTAGTAAACCGAAGCAGCCATAAAAGACGGCGGGCAATGCGCATGTGGGCCAGATGATACGACATGGCGTAGAGGCCAACCACAAGTACAATGGTACGTGGAGCCACCAAGAACACTGTTACGGCTAAGTATACAGGCGTGAGGAAAACAGTGGTGAATATGAGTCGTTTGATGTCGTAAGAAGTGAGCGCCATCAGCGTCACCGGGCTAAGCACCATGTCTGCATGAACACATGTAGTGGTAAGAGCATGCACCACATCGTCCAAAGTGGGACGGCGTGCTGCTTCGTCAGATATACGCTGATTAAGAACAGCGTACAGAACTAGCACAAGCACCAAAAGGAAATGGCCCAGCCAGGTGACCAACGTTTCGAAATGCAACACAACTAAGGCGTAAACGCCCATAGCTGCCACATTGAGCCAGGTGTTGTCATTGGTCCATGTGGCTACTTGCAATGTCTTGTTGACTATGAGTAAGTATGGGTAAGCCTTTACCAACGCTTTTGCGACCGCAGGTGGCGTCGAAGAGAGCAATGGCAGAGTCTGTGGCTGCACTTTTGCCTCTGAGTCAGGCGCAAACTCGGCACGAAGCGGCTCGCTGGGTTCTTGTACGTCGTATTCATCCATCACGCTACCAGTGGTATTATCAGTGTAAAACTGCAAGCTGAAACAGGATTAGGTTGATTAGAAATTGAAACAAACGAGTTCAACTGGGTTTGTACGGGTTGAATGTAGGAAAGATAACTACTTAGACCACCACTGTAAAACTAGGATATCGTTATGGAACTTGGATCTTGGTGACACTAACACTAGACAAGAACTTTCGTCAATCACACTTGGGTTCAAACTTCTTTAGGCAAATGCGTTTTCTTGTGTGTGAAGAATCAATCTCCTCCACTTGTCCTTTTGTGATCCGTGCTCTTGTAGTTGTATCAGGATAGCGCTTAGTTTTCCTTTTCGTGATACGCCCTTCTTGTTTTAGCTTCACGTATCTTTATTCGTATTATTTGCCTTGGCCTCTTTGTGCCCTTTGATTGGTGAATAGGTGTTGGCAATCCTTGACAGTGTCTGATCGCTTCCTTTGGGATTCAAAATTGCTAGCTGATTTTGTCATGTATCGCGCTCGCCTGTTAGGTGTTGGGTGGTACCTCTGTTATCCGGATTGCATGAGATACTTTTGATCGGCATGAAACAGTTAAATATCTTCTGACGAGAAACAAACAAGATTCATCTTTTGATTTGTTTTGGGGCGAGAAGAAGATTTCGGTGCCATTATAGAAGGACCGAAGCTACGATTTCGAAAAGTACGGACTTCGACAATTTGATGTTTGAGTGCAAACTTTATACGCCTATAAACATGCTTCAGCGTATATTAAGCATAATCAAGAATGCTAAATGACAATTTCTTCACAAGAAATCTGCGTCCCTTTTGCAAATAGCCTTTTATTGTTATTCAAGGGAAGTATTCATTGGAAAACACGTCAAAAAAAAAAAAAAAAAACGGAACACTTACTACTTTTACATCTCCTTCGGTCATGTTACATATATTTAAAATAACTGATTCGGTAGGAAAATTGGTTCCGTGTGAGCATTGATACAGTTAAAACTGTTCTACACAACTAAAGTGAAACGTCTGATGTATACATCCGCTTAGGAGGAGTGCGAATTCTATCAGGGCCAAATCTACCAACTTCCCTTTAAATTTAGCCTATTGAGCGTCTAAACCAGAAAACCTTTCACATAGCCGTAGCTCCTATCCTCTTTCATCGTTATCTTTTTTTGCAAAGTGTCTGTCGTTTCCCATCATCTATGGTGGTACGGGTGTTTACCCCAGACTAATCGAATTCTTTCTTACTCATACATCAGCGCCATGAACTTTGGGAAGCTACTTCTGAAAGAAATAGAGCGTAAACGGAAGACGTCTCAGCCCACACCTGCCTCAAAAAAGACTAAGCAAAATGTTCCCTCCGCATCTGAAGCTCCATCGGTAGAAGACCAATTTCTTGCGTCGGTACCGGATGATAAACTTCAGCAATCGCTTCAATCTTTAGAGCAAGCACCAGATGAGGATCTTTCTAAAGCAGAGCAGCTCCATAAGCTTGAGATCTTGGTGCGCCACGAAAAGAAAAACGCCCGGTACAAAGCTTACTTGGATATGGAGAACGACGTGGATGTGACGATTCATCTCGAAGACATCGGATCCATTTCAGAGAAAGATAGCAGCACGCGTCTAGCTATGCAAGTTCGCAAGTTCATCAAGCAGATTGTGAGAAACTGGGAGTCAGCGCCGTCGGAGAAGTTCCCCGAATCTCTACTAACTGAAACTAAACGGGACTTGGTCAAACTCATGTACAAGCTCCGCAGTGGCAAACTTAAACGAGATATGTTGGTGTCTCTATGCACAATAGTCTATTATATCCAAACAGAAAACTTTACGAAGGCTAACGAAGCATACATGAAGCTCAGTATAGGCAATGTCGCATGGCCCATTGGGGTGCGAGATGTGGGTATTCATGCACGAAGTGCTGATGCAAAAATTACAGGTGACAACAAGGATTCTGTTGCCAACATCATGCAGAATGAAAGGACCCGACTTTGGATCATTGCCGTCAAACGCTTGCTCAATTACAGCGAACAGAGCTATTTGAACTTATCACGTGCAGGCACATAGGGCTATTGCCCTTTTTTCCTCCCTCATCGGTACCGGTCCTTTACGCTGTGTGCAGGTGGTTCTCGCGCGAAAAATTCGCACTCTGAAGCGAACATTTTGGTGAGTTTCTTCTCTTTTGATACTACCGTACTAAGAAAAGATGGCTGTATGTACCGCATATTCAAAAGTTGGCGGGCGTTGTTAAAATGAGTGACGGATTTCTTGGCCGTTGTTATTGCCTTTTATTTGGTAGCTTTAAGAGCTGAATTTATTGCCTATTTTTTTAAAGATTTCCCCACTCCACCAATCACTGCCCCTTCATGGACCCTATACTAACTTTTCAGAGAGAGATCAAGGACATTAAGGAATTCGTCGAATTGGCTAGAAGAGCTGACATCAAGTCTGCTGTCGTCAAGGTTAACAAGAAGCTTAACGCTAACGGTAAGCCATTCAAGCAAACCAAGTTCAAGGTCAGAGGTTCTAGATACCAATACACCTTGGTTGTCAACGACGCTACTAAGGCCAAGAAGTTGCAACAATCCTTGCCACCAACCTTGGAAATCAAGAACTTGTAAGTTTAATGCTACGCAAACCTTAATAAACGGCTGAAATAGAAGGGACGAGCCATATGGCTCAGATGTAGATGGCACTAATCTTTGGATGTACATGTGAGAAGCTTATATCCGGAATCAATCAAACATGTGACAATTCATTGTTGCACTATTGATATCTGCTATATTCTCCTTTAACATGTGCGTTTTGGATCTACTAAAAGGAGTACGCCACGAGGTTGTTAAAGTATCTAGTACCAACCTCTGCTTATTTTCAATGAACCACTCAATTTCAAATGTATTCTTCAGATGTTGAGGTTTATGTCTTGGTGTGCTGGTTCCCGCTGTTCAATGTTCAGCATCAGTAGAGCACATAATGTTATAGTAGTATGCGTACTCTACGTTCGCTACCTCATATTGAAAAGGTAACCTTGCTGGGTCAATACCGTATATTATGTTCCGATTAAACTATGTGATTCCCAGCTCAACCGCAATGAGCTCAAATGACATCCTCCATTTCAATGTCGTCATCTTCATCTTTATTGTCTTCGTCATTACCATCATCCCCAACCACTGCTCCGAGACGAGCGGCTCTTTCTGCGTCTCTCAATCTTTTATATTCTGGCTTCAAGTTATACTTGGACGTGTAAGGACCCTTTTTGTTAAGGTTCGCAATTGACTCTAATGATTCCTTCAAGTATGTTTCTGGTTGTCTGGTTCGTTCCTTCAACCCTTTCATAGACCAATATTCATACTCCTCGAAAAGCCTGAAAAGCAAATCCAATAAATCTTTCTTGGGCATTCTGATAGCACGACCCTCTGTCTTGCTCTTTGGGCCAGTTGTTGACTTGAGGAAAAGTGACGTGCTCTTACCTGTAAGAGAGGGGCCTGCTTGAGACTGTACCACTCCCGGAATCTCATTCAAAAACGTCACCTTAGGTCGTTCTTGCGTCAATGGCATATTCTGGCGCTTCAACAACATCTGTGCGTATCTCGAATCGTTCTTCAGGGGCACGATTTGGCAGTCGTGGACGATTTTGCCGACCAAATTGGTTTTCTTTGGGATGGTTTTAACGAATGGAATGTACTTCTTTTCGCCATCGGGGCCGTTTTTCTGCACACGGAAGAACTTGTTCGGTCTTCTAGGAGACTCGTTCTTGTCTAATTCGGGTAATTCGGGTTGGTCGGGCATATCGCCTATTTCTGTCACCTCCTGTTTAAATCTTTTCAAGTTTTCTTCGCTAAACACATATGAGTTGTGAACTTGGGTGTTAAGAATGGACAAGTCGTATTCGTGGGGGATATCTTCTGTTTCAGGAGAGTCGTTTAATACAAGCTTAACTTCTAGCTTCTTTTTGCCGTTGACGGGCTTGTTGTTCTGTCTAATTTTCACTTGGCCCAACTGCTGCCCGTTCAAATTGGCAGGATTTGTCCACCTCTCCGCCAAGTACCGAGGTAACTTCACGAGCCATACCTTTTGGTTGCCACGGGTCAAGTTCATGTCTAAAGATTCATTCTCCTCCAAGTAATCCTCTGGATCTGAAAGGAGCGCATGATCGCCGTCTTCCTCCAGCTTCACATTGCCGTTTTGTGGATCTTTCTCTGTTTCCAGCAGAAGCTTATCCTTTCCTGCCACCAGCTCTTTTATGATCTTTTTTAACGGACTTTGGGTGCTCATAGAGTATTGTGGCAAAAGAGACAACGGAGACCTCACTAGAAGAAATGATGTAAAGTCTCTCACTTGGGATATGTCAATGGTGTACGGGTGTAGGGTTCCACCTTATCTTTTATCAAGACGATTGTAATGAAAACTCGGTCTCAAGAAAATCTCAGCCCGTTGCTTTTGTAAATCGGTTCAGGTCATATTTGCTCCAGATTTTGTGTGCTGTTTCTTTCTGACTGGTAGCATCGTTGTCCGCAACCTTTCCATTTGCGCATATTCTGTGTACGTATTCTCCGCGTTATATGAGGGAAGGACCATGCTTTCCTCTTCGGGCACGTTTGTTATTTCCTCCCCTATGTACTATTCCCATTCTGATTGCGGGTATTGCGAAGGGAAAAAGGAAAAGTTTCTAGGGCTAAATCTACCAGCAGGAGCAAATGCACCAAAGCAATGTCTCAGTTCCTCCGTTGGAACTCACGTTGAACAAATGACATGTCAGCATTACGATTTTCTAATCAACCGGAATTTCAGGCGCTCTGGTAACTTTCTATACAAAGGCGATATGCTTCGAGGATGCTGTCGCATGTACACTATCCGAACAGATATGGGACAAATGAAAATTACAAAAGAGCACCGACAGGTGGTGAATCGCTTTAAGCGTGCAATTCGGGATGACAAACAAAGTACGCAAGTCAGCACAAACTCCAAAAAGGGTGAGAGTTTCGAATTAGTGTCCTTAATCCGTGCTGAGCAGCAGTCACTGCGCTTTCGGACCAGATATGAACCCGCAGTGTTTTCTAAAGAAAAGTTTGAGCTATACAAGAAGTACCAGGTCCGTGTACATAATGACAATCCAAAAACTGTCAGCGAGTCATCATTCAACCGCTTTTTGTGCCAGTCTCCATTTACAGAAACAGAGCTCGAAGGCACGCCCGAACAGTGGCTTGCACTAAACAGTTGGACTAAAAATTGGCCACATCATGAAAAATGTCACAGATTAGGACCAACACACGAGTGCTATTATTTGGACGAAAAATTAATTGCCATTTCGGTTTTGGACTTTCTTCCGTCAGGATTATCGTCTGTTTATTTTATTTGGGATCCTGATTACGCTCATCTTTCTTTGGGAACGCTTCTGGGGATAAGAGAAATTCAAATGTGCAAGGAGCTTGGCTTGGGCTACTATTATCTTGGGTATTATATTGAAGACTGTGCGAAAATGAGATACAAGGGCAAATTTGGCGGAGAGGTATTAGATGTTTGCAATGGAGCATATGCTCCTTTGGAAAGGATCAAGCCGTTTTTGCATGATGGTAAGTTCTTTACCCTATCAGAACTGGACTCGTCAGAAATATCAGAGAAGGAGCTCGATTTTCTGGAAATGCCCATAAAGTGGAGTTCAGATTACGTGGATGCAAGTGAGGCGATCTATGGCTTGGAGAAAACCTACGATGATGCTAAGAAGACAAAAGACACACTTGCACAGAAGCTTCATCTTGCGGACCCAAAGGGAAATGTAAACATGGAATTACCGGATGTATTCCCAGGATGCCTTCCTTTGCATCAGATACTCACGCTTTTTGAGAATTTAGGCGACATAGACTTGCCTGTACGTGTTTATGATTACGAACGCAATGCCTTGTGTCGGTCGTTCAGCCATCTCCCTGCTAGATTGAAATGTGCTGCGGTTGATTGTATCCGCCTTTTCGGTGTGGAGATGTTCCTTAACTCAATTATGTACGGCTAGCTTTGCATCATTACCATACGTGTATTGTATTCTATTCTACACGTACAATACATTACGAATAGTCAATCTAACTCTTTGATCCTAAATCATTGAAACTGGTTTAACAAAAAAAATAGCAAAGTTTTATTATTCTGTACCTTTTTTCATTTCAAACGTCCTAAAGCCCTAACCACAATACTAGTAGTTGGGAAAGACCTAGACTATGCGGTCCTGTATATATTGCGTGTTACCCGCAACTCCATCGCCTATATAAGCAGATCCATCATCGCCGCCTTACTGGTTTTTCTTTTTTTTTCTCTGTCGACGTACTTCATAGGATCATTTCTATAGGTCACGTCCCACTTTGACTCTTCTAAAGAGCCACTGAATCCAACTTGGTTGATGAGCGAGATACCCTTATGCCCTCAAAGTGAGAATAGATTTAGCTTGTCCACGATCCTTTGCGGTCTGGTCATCTATAATTTGTTTGCCTTTTATTTAGCGCAGAGCTTTGTGCTCTTGCGTTTTCAAAAGGAGCGATGATCTTGACCACTTTCTAAATGCTCTCTCGGGAGTCTTAGTTAGTGGTGGGCATAAGTGGCTGTCTGACAAGTTACTTCACTATATGCTCTGCTTATAGTGAGTGACTATAGTTCGTCCTGTTGATTTCATGTCGACCAAATTGTAGGTGTAATTTGCGCTCTTGGTAAAGTAAACTACGTGTTTGTTTTACGAGACAGCGGTTTACGAGCACTATGACGAAAAAAAGGGGCTCTTCCTTTGTCTCGGTGACAGGTTAGTCCTGTATGGTGTAGCTGTCAACTTCTGTTGTGCATGAGGCACGCGAGCAACCCAAGAAGGTAATTTCGTGATCGTCGTGTACAGCCGGATTTTAGTGGCTGTGTCCGCACAAGGAGGTTTCCCACACATTCCAAGGACAAAAAGTCTCAAAACCGCCGTACATAGAAGATGCACTTTTTCAAGAATCATTATGCAATAGTGCGCTTTTCGGTAGATATGCTTCGATTATTTCGAAATCCGCGCGAAAGTTCGGCCCCGGCTCCTGCAGGTTCTCTTCCGCCGTGCATGAATCCTAAAAGAATCACTAGAAGATAAAACAGAAAAGCACCAGGATCGGTCAACATTTGTTTTTCCTTTATCCTGGCCGCTCTTTCCGTTTACTTCTCGAGTTTTTCGTTGTCTTTTCTTCCTTCTTTTGCATCCATCTATTCAGCAGCGTTTATACCTTTGGTGGCTAGCCAACCTCATACGGAATGAAATTTCGCCGAATCCGCTTTTTAATCGTTACCGTTTTCCTTATTTACGGTATCAGTCTCTTCACACTAAGGTATTATGCAGCTCACGAAGACTTGATACCGTCTAGCTTAAAGGAGACCGACATAGATTTCGGGAGCTTGTTTAGTCTATTTCAAGGGAAAGATTCTTACTCATTCAACTTATGGACCGACAAACTTTTTGATCGTCTTATTGCAGAGAGAGGTGATGATGATGATTTTGTGAGGATGGCCAAGTTGCGTGTTGACCCTTATATTCCAGAAGAACGTGACTCCATCGATATTCCGAAATACGTCGATAGCGAAACCGACAATCCCCACATGGTTCCCTTTGATCCAAGGCTAACGCTCGGTATCATTTTGAACGACTTGAATACACAGCTAACTAGTGTGAACACAACTGAAGATTTGCGCCTTGAAGTGTTTCACTGGAGTGACTGGACAGATTTAACTATTCTTCATGAGCAGATGTTAGTTGCCGGCTCCAAACGGCATACCTGCTCTGATTTTGCCGAGAATGCAAGACCTCCGCTGTTCAAGTTCAAGGACTACATGGATGTGTCAGAGTTTTGTGTAAACGACGTTGATCTCGGAAATATAATTCAAGACATGAGCCCAGAAGATCCCATGAGAGCTCAGTTGCAAAGCATACAAAAGTCACCGTATAGACTAGGCTTTCATATTACCAAATTTGGTGGCCGTGTTCCTAAGCAAGACAGGATCCTTCAAAGTGCAGCATACTTGGCCGAATTCATGCCTCCCCCATTGGCGATAGTGATGCTTCTTCCTTCCCAAAATCAGAACTCCACTCTTTTAAAAATGCCCGTAAATGGCGACTTACTGGCACGCACCAAGTTGGTGGATTCAGAGCTAGCACGTCTGGTTCTTCGAAAGACTGAAAGGCTTACTCTTAGCAAGGAGGTCGCAGGTGTTCAACTGCGTCTAAACACAAAGTCCGCACCTAAATTTGTGGAATTCAAGCATATGAATTCTGACCTATTCGAAGACAAACTGGCAACGTATCATGGACAACTAATGGGGGAAGCAGAACTTTCACCGAGTTTGCTTAACTACAGAGAGAGTCTTAATCTTTCTCTTACGACTGAACGTCCGTCTAAGTACTTTGACGAGGCAAAATTTGTTAATTCATTCAAAGACTGGGCTAAAGGCAACCATTACGACTGGCGGTTTTTCAAAGAAATTCTAGATGAAAAAGAAATGATGGTGCCGCATCTACATGCGCTTCTACTGGCATGGCTTCGATTTGTGGAGTCGGCTGGTCTCAACTCCTGGGTAGCTCACGGTTCCTTGCTATCATGGTACTGGAATGGAGGTATTTTCCCCTGGGATCTGGATATCGACGTTCAGATGCCTATTGATGACCTTCATCGATTGTCACGAGACTACAATCAAACTATCATAGTGGACTTTGGGCTGGATCCAAACAAGGAAGTTAGGACAGGTCGGTTCTTCTTGGACTCGAGCACTTGGATCAGTCACAGAACAAGCGGCGAGGGCCTTAATAATATTGATGCAAGATTCATTGATTTAGACTCCGGGCTTTACATTGACATTACTGGTTTGGCTGTTAGTAATACTGTTGCACCTGCGAGATACGATGGTCTCATTCCAGAATCTCTCAAAAGAGCTGCTTCCAAGGTCACAAAAGGAGGGAAACTGGGATCGGATATTGTTCCTGATGAGCGTGAAATAGAGCGGAATTCGGAAGCCAGATTGTACAATTGCAGAAATAATCATTTTCTGTCATTGCGAGAACTCTCTCCTTTACGTTTGACATATGTGGAAGGCATTCCAGCACGCGTTCCAAACAAGTTTACGGAAATTTTACAAACAGAATATGGTGAAGGAAGCACAACAATGCAAAAGTTCAAAAAGTATGCTTTCTTCCCACGTTTATCTTTGTGGCAACCACGGAAAACGTTTCAAAAATACACTTTGAAATCAAAGAAGCCCGAGCCAAAACTAGATTTAGGTGAAGATCTTGACCTTGCGGTCAATCAGGTTGATTCAGTTTCAGTGTTCCATCTCAACGATAGAGATTACCTTGAATTGTTAGCCGAAGAACCAGAAGTCTTATTGCAGTATATTGTCTCGCGTAATGTGACACAATTCCATAAGCAGGAGATGGTTCTATTGCTGGAGGGCAGAAACACGGGCAAAACCATAATTTCTAAAAGAGGCAAGTTGCTATGGAATTTTGGGGACGTTTTCCGGGACGTTAACAACATCAAGGCAATCACGAGAAAAACAGATTTCAACAAGCAAGTAGAAGAGCTTCAAGAACAAGTTAACAAATTCCGAAGTGGCGAATCTGAAAACCAGTATGGGGAAAAAGAGATTGGTGATTCGCCCAAGGAAGAAAAGAAGGCGGGAGATGCTATAAGTGAACCTGAGGATCCTCCAGAGTTGATGGTGGAACAAACACAGGAAATGGCAGATAATGCAGACAAGGCTCGTGGTCAGGTGTCAGGATGAGAGTAAAATTGGGTTAATACATAATAAAACACTGGATGTCAAGTGGTTCAATGTAAATTAATACATCCATGTAAGCAACGGGTGGTGTAGCGGTGCGTTGTCTAATGTATCAGGCTTTCTCATATAAGAAAATATATAACTTAATTATAAATGTTTATTCTTGGGCCATTGATTTGGACTTTGGTGAATAAAACTGACATAGACTTATCTCAGTATTGGATTGTACAATAAAGTGACCGAGCATTTTTGGCAGAAAATTGCGAATTGTACAATGCGCCAGGAATAAAAGAAGCTCTCTGAGCAAAAAAAAAGCAAGGAGTAAAAATTACCACAGTAATCAACATAAAGCTCTTTGTTTTCTCCCTTGGAACGCAATGAGATCTACTTGCAAAAAATAATCAAACCAGGGCGCTGGCCAGAAGCAGGTTTAATACCAAGGCCAGTGCATTATAATGGCTTTTGGTGGGCAACAGAAAAAAAGTAAGTACGACTCTCACAATAAAGACTTCTCTATAATGAACGCCCAATTGTTTGCTACATGTGCTATTTTCATACTATCTTGTTCCTTGATGGTTCTCTGGTAAAATGGTGAGACTTTTTGTCCTGCACATCACACAACCAATCACACGGCGTCTCGATTATCTCAGACCATAAGCACAAAAAAAATAGACTGCCTTTCATTAACAACTACAATGTTCAGAAAAATTGCCCAACGCTCTTTCCAAAGATTCAACTCGCACGGCCACGGCCACGTCTCCAAGTTCATCAAGGAAGACGCCTTCCGCCACAAGTACAACAAGGAGGCTGGTGAAGCTTTCAAGAAATCTTACGAGGAGAAGGTTCACCACTCTGTTGGCATTACTGCTTTGTGGAAGAAGATCACATTCTTCGTTGCTTTCCCAGTTGTCGCTTTGACTGCTATTCCTGTCACCAAGATTGAGCTTGAGCACGCTAAGCACAGAGAACACTTAAAACACTTGTCTGACGAGGAATGGCCTGTTCAGTACGAGTACCAAAACCTCAGACAAAAGAAGTTCTTCTGGGGTGATGGAGACAAGACCTTGTTCTGGAACTCCGACATCAACAGACACGTGGAGTCTTAAAGAGCCGGACAATGGGTTAGTGTCTAAGTATCGCATTAGGAATGAACATCACTATATAAAGTCGGACTTAGTAAGATATTCTATCAATGATATGTGCAACTAGATGGATCGTAGCTGTGTATAGTGTTGCTCGCAGTAGGAAGGGAATCTTCTTCATCCTTCAACTACTCCTCAATTCTCCAATTTCATATGATAAGTGGTATCTTGAGGAATGTATTGCAAGCTCCGTGGTTAGATACTCATACCAACGGAGTCTATTTCCAATCGTCCACCTCGGATAATAACACATTCGCCATGCAAATGGCCATTGTTGAATTAGAATGCTCTCAATTACAACGCACTTCCATGCTCAATAGTTACATTTACAGATAAAAGTCCTGAATCAATTCACTTCTCCCAAGACTACAAATGCTCCAGGTAACGATGCCCATCAGAGAGCTTTACCCATATACATCGTCGACATTACTTGTACCAAGGTTCATGAACCCCCGCTAGCAGAGGCCTTATAAAGTGGAAAATATATAGAGGTTGTTGGTGGCCGCAATTGCCACAGAGTTCTCCTGCGGATGCCACGATAGATGCAAAATGCTCTTCTTGAAGTCAAATATAGTCATTGTGGTCGCCTGTTCCCACACCGCTCATCAACCTCCTGCGTGTGGTTTGGTCTCCGTGGCCTACCTTCTTGGACTTGAACGCAGACTTGTCCGCCTGCAAAATGATTTCCTCCTGCTCTTCATCATTCTCAAGATTTGGCGACTGTGGATAGTCTCTACCAGCAGGAGGAGTATCGACATCGTCATCGTCGTCAGAGTCCTCGTCATCATCATCCAAACGCTTCTTTTTGAGAGTGTCCTTGAAGCTGATCAGTGAAAAGTCTTTCGCTTTTGCAGAGTCCGTGTGCGGACCAACTGCGTTCGGATAAATCATGAAGTTGTTGTTGTACGAACCCGTCATCACCGAACGATTGTCACCACTGAATTGAACCTCGAACTTGTCAAAGATAGCATCGTTCTCATAAGTGTCACATAAACGGTCACGCAAGTGTTCATGAACGTTGATAGTTTTCACCGGCTTCAGTTCCATTGCCAAATCCCATATCTTCACAGTCATGTAATCTCTCGAAACGATGTAGCGACCATCGTGGGAAAACTTTACATCAGAGATTGACAGCGTGATTTCTGTGAAGAAATTGTGCGATGCTGGATCCAAATACTCTTCAAACACTCGTGCGTGGGTATCGCACAAGGAGTTGGACCGCATGTCCGACAACTTGATAGTTCCCTTAGACAGCGAATACATGAACAAATTACAATGTTGCGGGTGGAACTCAGCGCTCGTTATCACCTCCGTTAACTCTTCCATGTTTGTTGGCTTGATGTCCACAATGTTGAACAGCTGATCGGGAATTTCCAAGTTCCATAAGTTGATTCTGAGGTCGTCTGAGGAAAGATATGTCTCTTGATCCGAGTTGACGGAAATGGAGTTAATATGGTACGCATGTGCGTTGGAGTAGATTTTCTTAGGTTGAGCCAGAATCAACTTGTCATGGAAAGTCATCTTAGGCAACTTCAAGTCGGCGATGGTGAACTTATTTGACGGTAAATGATCCATTCCATTAAGATTGGTTTCACTCACCAACTTGACCTGACGTTCCATTATTTTCCATAACTTTATTGTCTTGTCATTGGTCGACAAAAGATACAACGAGTTGTTGGAGCTTTTCAACCACTTGATCTTGTTAATTTTCTCCTCAACTTCCAAAGACTTCAAGTAATCAAACTCGGCATCGTGACTTTGAAACTCTGTGAAGAACTTGTACTCGCAACTGTTTTTCTTGCTGGCGTTACGCTCAAACAAAACAACTCTTCCACCTTTATCACCAGTCGCCAAAAATGTGCCGTTTCCGTCAAACTCGACGGTCGAGATGATATCTGCTTCGGTGATATTTTCGATATCGCCTTTGTCACCAAAACATTGGGAGAACTTCCAATTGTGGTCCACGGTCATGGCTATAGCATGCAATTAAGGTCACACTAGAATCAACAGTGGGGACTGTGGAAAGACAAAAACGGGCCCAGAAAACGTTTGATTTATAAAAAGGATACACTAAGCACAGGAGATAGTAGCTTCAGCAATACTTAGAAATGTCCAATCGGGGGAGTGGCACGGGAAAAGATGGTTTTGGTTTTTGTGATGGGGCACCAAATTAGGGATGACGGAGGAAAATGACGTTCGCAAACCACTCTAGAGAGAGAGCAAAACCCACATCCGTACACCACCACCATCGACCACACACACAGGTCGGAAAATGTGTGTGTCTCTTTTATTTAATAGAGAAGGCTAGGTAGAGGTGTTTTAGCATGCAATTGTCGAGCGTCAAAACGAGAGCCATATACTTTTATGCTATTTTCTTCTCCTAGGCAAAAGCATACGATGGCCCACCTTGGTACTAGGTGCAGTATAATCTGTTAGCGAAGCATTCCACATTTTGGCGAAGGCGAGAGACGATCATGCATCCTCAATAACCTAGGTGCATGTCGTATTTGAGCCTGATTTGCTCACTATTACATCAGAGCCGACTCACCACATGTGCGGAAAAAAATTGGCACTATAATTATGTTAAAAGGCCAGCCCAGAGCATTGTGAGCAATCCATCTAGACATTTGCGAGTAGCAATTGTAGCACAATCAAGTAGCAATACAATAGAACGGCGATGAGAATCGTCACAAAGTTCCAAGCGCGATAATAGTAGACATAACTGAAGCGTAGTACATTATATTTGCTAGATTAACGCATTTGCCTTTCACTACAATACATCTAGGATGGGTGCAATATATGTGAACTTGCCCAAAGTTACAGGTACTTGCTTAACCATACTGAGCATCTTGTGTAATTAAAAGTTCATTGTTCTAGTCACAATGTATGCTATGGTCTTGCAATCTTTGGAGTAACTTACTAGTGCAATCCCCATTCGCCCTAATGATTGCTACACCTGTGACAATTTATCTTTCTTGGTCTTATGTTAGCGACCTTTCATCATTCAAATAGATTCATGGTAAATCATGAATCTGTAAAAGACGTACACCAAAGACTTCAGTGAACTTTTGCAGACGCATACAATTTAGGAAAACGTGCATTTCTACATGGTGAATGCAAGTCTTGATGATATCCATCTACCAAGTAAACCATGATATCATTGACTTTAAAAATATTGTAGACCAGTGTACGGTTTATAGCAATTAGAAAAATGGTCAGTGTACAGCAAAAAGTATCATGGATTCGTAGTAATTAGACTTGCACCACAATGCTAACGGCAAAGAAGACTTAGCATGTTCATTGTGTTCTGTATCCGAACATCTTCAGACGTGTTATTAAAGGATAAGGCAGATGGGACCTATGCATACACGAAGCGATTCCCTGGATGGAGAGAATGAATTACGTACTTTAGCAATTAAACTGACAAAGTGAACACGAGAAAGCCATCAACCTCAAAGATAAGCTATTCAGGTTGACAACAAGTCACAGAATCAGCAGTTACTATTGGTAGTTGTCGAAGCCTACATCAGTAGACGTGGCCACATCCCACAACGCGTCTCCTCTGCTACTGCAAGGATCCAATATAAATGGTGGCCATCAAAACCCCAGATACAGCCAAAGCTATATATAAGCTTCTCCAACAGCTACAGCAGTTTTAGAGTATGTATATTATAGTAACACAGCCAGGCAGCAGCCCGGACTATAAGCATCAAGATTCATCACGAGACATTTAGTTGGCCTTCTTGGCAGCGTCTTGAGGAGAAACCTTTCTGTCCTGGTTGAATCTCTTTCTTTGTGGAGGAGTTCTGATTCTTCTGTCGGATCTGGATCTGACTCTGACAATTCTGGCGTGAATAGCACAAGAGACACAGTAGTGCAACTTGTTGTACAACTTTGGCAAAGCGTATTCTTGGTAGACAGAAGCCTCAGACAAGTCTCTAACAGCAGCAGCCTCAACCATGTTTCTGATGGTGACTCTCTTGATGGCCTTGTCCTTTGGAACACATCTGGCACAGTTCAAACATCTGACTGGCTTGACGTGACCTCTGCCCTTCTTGTTTCTACCGTTCGACGATCTCTTCTTTGGCATGTTTGCTTAGTTGTAGAGAAGAATCAGGAAAGTCGGTTGAAAAAAATTTAACTTGGGTGCGCCTGCGAGCGGGCGCTGGGAACTTCGGACTGCAGGTAACTCGCGACCGCCTTCTCGATAGTGCGTATTGTCACGTGTGTTAGGGCGGGTGCCCTAATGGCGACTCCAATAATGTTTGTAAGTGGCCGTATGCTAAGAGGAAGAAAGGATAAAGGTTTTGCTATCGAACTATTGTTGCGAGGACACGGAAGGAAGAGAAAGACAATTCAGTATGAAGATTAAGTATGTTCGTCTTAACGCGATCGGACCACCAACTATATGTAGATGGCAATAGCACAAACGTGGTACAGACATTGAGCTTAGTCTTATTGTAGTATTATTGAGCTGTTCATAACGTGACATGTCTACCAATACCATTGATTCTTTTTCTTGTTTGGTCGATGCAATTCTATGCACTAGATTTTCTGCGAAAAACCACTGGTACGAAATGAAACAAGAAAGAAAAGATGCTCGTATTCTCATTCATTAGAGCCATTCATCTAGCTGCTTGCAATCCAAGATTGTAATTCAACAGATCACCTCCGCTGATTGATGCAACACGAGCATAAATGGAATTTTTGCTCCACAACGATGGGGAAGGCAGAGTTCTATGAAATAACCTAGAGACGTGAGCAATAGTAGAGATGCAAGACGAAAAGAAGGCAGTAAGAAAGCAGTAAGAAAGCAGTAAGCAAGCAGTAACTTAAGGTCACTGGGTACAAACGCTGACAACACCAGTAAGGAAGCAGGTCAAATAAAGACGATAGACATATCAACCAAAATCACTCATTTATAGACGAAAAGAGGATCCAGCAGCACAAGGTACGAATTTCCAGTCATATCAAACTTCCGTTACGTCTGTTGAGTTGTGGGTTTACAATACGTATCTTGATTGTCAGCCACCTTTATCATTGACGCTTTTTCGCATACTTTACCTGCTCGTATCAGTATGCACCCACACGCGCACCTGCAGAAACAAAGTAGACAGCACATCATCAAGTCCGAAACAATACCCAATGCCAAACAACGCAAGCTACAATGTGTTCAATTCCAACTCCATTGCAGTCTTCTAGAGGTATAAACACAAGAGCAAAGTGAAATAGGGAAAGTCACATGATTCATATCACGTGACAGTTATCCGCACCAGCCAATGGCGCTTCTTATTTTCTCTCCAGTTAGCTGATTTTTTCGTACCTCCCATCGTCATACCTCTGGCGCCCAAACAATCTCTCCGGTTGTACTCATCCTCATCAAAAATGTATGTACTTTCCCCCATCTGCAATGGTTCGCTCTCACAAAATTCGTCATTTCCCATTATCCTCCAGTTGCCGATGACACACTGATGTTCATGCCACCGCCTAATTGACACCATCTGCCCTCGTGTTCTCCTTTGGCCATTCCTTCCCCCTTCAGAACCAGGCAATCCATCGATACTGCTAGCAGCTCTTACTAACATTTAGGCTCTCTCGTACACTTGTTCGTACTGCCAGACAGTCCAGATTGTTGACCACCAGCAGAATCTTGGCCCAATCGACCAAAGTTGAATCCAAATCTGCCTTTAAGTTGTCCGAGGTTACGGGTCCAGACTCGTCCTTGATCGGTCCTGGTGCCAAGCCAGGAACTATCCCAACCGACTTGGACCAAGCCACTGGTTTGGAAAGATTCGAATTGTTGGGTAAGATGGAAGGTGTGGATGTTTTCGACATGGAAAACCCAATCTTCGAAGGTAAAGGCACCATGAAGGACCCATACCAAGTTCCTACTTACATCGGCTACCGTTACGTTGGATGCAGAGGCCGTGGAGGCGAGGACCACAAGGCATACTGGATGAAGGTGGAAGAAGAGAAACCTTCTAGATGCTGGCACTGTGGCAGTGTTTACGCTGCCAAGTACTTGGGTGAGCCAGGCCACCACCACCACTAAATGGCCCCAGCGGCTGTGGAAATACATCTTGAATGCATATTCGTATAGTCAAGCGTAGGAAAGACGACATAGAGGTGCTGGTAGCTCGAAATGTCTGATAATACCCGTTTTTAAAGACGAATTGTATACGGTCGTTGTTCAAATGCAAAAGAAAGGCGACGGGAAATGGTTTGGCTACGCTTCCCCTTGTTTTTATGACACACAGTTAGGAGGTCGGAATGTCATCCTTGTGCATTTAATACAAGGTAAGTTGTAACGAGTGTCTTTCGACATTCACCTAACACTGTAGATAATTTGTTCAAATTATAATACCCCAGTGGATCCGATAATATAAAAAAATTTCCCACTCAATGATAGATGCAAATGAAAATTGAAGGAATTGCCAGAAGATAGAACACCAAGTAATGTGGAGGTTTTACTCATTCGAACGGCATTATCTCTTGTCATGATGAATTATCTCTAACGGCTGGAAGTTTACAGTATGTAAAGTATTGGTAAGAAAGTGCATGTGTGTGATCGTGAGTCAACGTAGGTTTCATTTAAAAGTTCACAGATGTAGTCAAAAGCCTTCATCTGTCAAAATGATGACTCTCACGTCAACTTTACTTTGGGCGAGACAAGCGGGACATGTACTGTTAATGAAGTAGCCTGGTATTCAACATTCCTCAATCTCATATAAAACTATGAAACCAAAATCTTGTAATTATTGCATTTATCATTGTTTCCCAGATCCCAGTATTCCAGCATCTTTCGGCTTTTAATGTACACAACTCCACACTTTTTAGAGCCGCTTAGATTACGCAATGCGCGTCCGTCAGATCGACAAAACCAATTTCAGTTCTTGTTTCTTTTTCATCCTCAAGCACATGACCAAACCAAAAGTTCTCTTCATTGGCGATTTGAACACTCAATTGCCCGAGTATAAGGATTTCTCATCCCGTTTCGATTGCGTGAAGTATGAGGTGCCCTCAACCAAGGAAGAATTGATTTCGGATTTCAAGAACAAATTCCAAGATGTCTCGGCTATTTATGGTGCATGGCTTGGCTTTGGGCTCCTTGGAGGGTTTAAGGATGAAATTGTCGCCGCAGCTCCTCCCTCTTTGAAAGTCGTTCTGGTTTGTTCCGTTGGTTATAACCACTATAATGGAGAGCAGATGGCTGAACGAGGAATCGCCTTAACCAATGTTCCTTCTGATAGCGCTGCGGACCCAGTAGCAGATTTGGTCTTGTACAATACCTTGGCAGCATTCAGGAACTTCAAGATGGCTTCGGAAAACTTCGCTGGAGATGTCAAGCATCTGGTCCAGGCAAGATGCATGGCTGACAGCAACGAGTTTGATCTCAAGACCGGTTCTGTTCTTTTGAAGCCAAGAAATGGGTACTCTTTTGGCGAGCAAATCGGTGGCAGACCGTGTCTCAACCCAAAAAATCATAACGTGGTGATTGTGGGTTTTGGCAATATTGGCCAGACTATTGCCCGGAGATTGTCTCTGATTGGTATGCACATTCATTATGTGAAAAGAAGAAGGCTCTCTGAGTCAGAAGAGGCCGACTTGGGCTTTCCAGTCACCTACCACGCTACAGTTTCCGATGCCAAGGAAGTTGCTGATTTGGTAGTTATTGCATGTCCTGGAACACCAGAAACATACCACTTGATCGATGGACTGGTAATTTCCTCCTTCGCTAAACCAATTCGCATTATTAACATTGGTCGTGGGTCTGTGATCGATGAGCAGGCCTTAGTGGACGGCTTGAAACTGGGAAAAGTGTTGTTTGCTGGTCTTGACGTTTTCGAAAATGAACCAAACGTGCACCCGGAATTATTTGGACGTCAAGATGTGGTGTTGACACCACATATTGGTGCATCTACTGTGGAGAACTTTGACTACACTGCAATTTATGCCATGAAGAACATCGAGGATATTTTGGGTGGTGGTCCAGGTCTCAGCAGAGTCAACTAAACGGATTCCAAAATCATATTTAATAAGACCCAATAAGAAAAGTGAGATGATTGTCCACTGGCCAAAACAAGTCTGAGAAGAAAAAAGAAGCTCCATGAGCGAAATAGACTATAGATTCCATTGAAAAGCTCCTTTGTCTAGATTTTGAATACAAAAATTTAGTTATTGGTAAATGGATGTATTCGTATTACTATTCAGCAGAAAAAGACAGCATTTACAATCGTGGGAAAAACAAACTCTTAGGATATTCTGCATTGTCAAGAGTTGCATTCAGAATCCCAACTGATTTACGTTAACTTTTCAGTCCATTCAAATTCATCCATCTACATAACTACCACACTATTCACGGTTGTACATTCAATAAGATTTGGTCATTGTGTCAGCTCGTCAGTCCAGAAGAGTTCTGAGTTGCATAATTGCAATCGAGAGTCTTTTCCACTGCCCGCGAATTATTCGAGTGTCTTGTCCCCCCATATCTCCTAGGTCGTGCACCAACCATCTTCTTGTTGCTGGACTTTATCGCTGATCTCTCCAAATACCTCCACCAGAAATGGCATCACTCTACATCGGGGTGTACCGTGCATTGTACGACTACGATGCGCGGGCTGAAGAAGAATTGTCCATTCGCACAAATGACTTGTTATATTTGTTGGAACGGTCTGACATTGACGAATGGTGGAAAGTGAAAAAAAGAGTCTTACCTGTGGGCGACGAGGAAGTGGTGGAACCTGTAGGTTTGATCCCTTCCAACTACATCGAAGAAGTATGTGTCACGTCATGAATGGCGGTTTTTTGTGGATCTTTTCATGGAGATTTTTTTATGTCTTTCGTTTACTAACATCTAGGCTCCGGTGGTGAAGACTTGTCATGCTTTGTATGACTATGACAAACAGACTGAAGAAGAGCTCACTTTCAAAGAAGGTGACCAGTTTAACGTCTTCGATCTCAGCGATCCCGACTGGTTGTTAGTGGGTGACATGGCCGGCCAAATGTATGGTTTTATTCCTTCCAATTACATCGAATTTAATTCTGCTGCACCTACTGCGCAATCGCTGGCCCCATTGCCGATATCTAGTTTTGCCCCTCCTCCAGTGCATAAGGACCTTACGCCGCAACCGCAACTGCAACCGCAACTGCAACCGCAACAAAGCCAACCAGAAAAGGAAGAGATTGTGGATGAATATCCAGAGGAAGAAGATGAAGCTCCTCCGCCTATGCCTTCCAGACCAGGTAATACAGGTTCTCAAGCTGTTGCGGCTGCTCCAAGACCAGCGCAACCTTCGAACAACTCTCCGCCTCAACCTGTACTTCAAGATGTCGATGGAAACCATAAGGAACATACATTTGATGGAGAATATTTCAAGTGGTTCATAGACGAGGTGGACGGGCGGAAAAAGCGGTCTGTGGTGCTTTCTGTCGGAAACGGCTTGATCATCTTGAAACCCAACACGGACAATCCCAAAAAGTTGAAATTGCGCTCTGCCTCCTCACTTGATAACAACTGGAGAATAAGAGACTTGATGCAATACAACCATGAGAAGAAGCACGTTTTCCTTGAGTTCCGCAACCCAACAGCCTCTATCGAGTTACACGCCGGAACTAAAGATGTGGCGGAAGCCATTGTTACTATCTTGGGCGACTTAAAGGGTGTTGAAGAAGCAAAGGGTTTGAAAGAAGTAGCTAGAGCTTCTCTGACCAAGGCAAGTGGAAACAACAAAAGGATTGGCGTGTTGCTATACGATTTCCGTGCGCAGGGCGATGACGAACTATCTGTCAGAGAAGGCGATGAGATCTACATTGTGGATCTGAGCAAATCTAAAGAGTGGTGGATGTGCGAACGTGTATCCGACGGAAAACAAGGTGTGGTTCCATCGAGTTATATTGAGATCACAGGAACCACGAACTTGGATAAATTGACTGCAGGGGTCACACGAAGGAAATCTGAAAGAGCACCAACGTCGTCGAAAGGGAGAATCATCGATGGCGACTCTTCAAGCAAAAAGAAACTGTACAATTACAACAGAGATGAACGCGAGCGCATCAGAGAATCTGACAGAATCAAAAGAGACAAGAACAAGTCCAAAAAAGATGATAAGAGCATGCCTAATTACCACAGAGTGCGTACTTGGATCGACAGTACCGGATCATTCAAAGTTGAGGCTGAGTTTTTGGGCTGTGTTGAAGGCAAAATCCACTTGCACAAGTCAAATGGTGTTAAGATTGCGGTAGCTGCGACAAAGTTGTCTATTGAAGACTTAGAGTACGTGGAAAAAGTGACCGGCACTTCCCTTGAATCATACAAGGAAGAGGTTGCCAGACAATCACAAAGGAGAAGCCCTGTCAAAGGTTCAAGGTCCAGTGGCGTCGGAGCAACATCCCCTGTACAAGATAACAAGCACGAAAATAGATCGAGATCAGCTACTGCTGTTATCAATGACGTTACACCATCCCAACCAACTAGGCCTACAACAGGAAAATTGTCTGTCAACGAGCCGGATTATGATTGGTTTGACTTCTTTCTCCAATGTGGAGTTGACATTGGCAACTGCCAGCGCTACTCTATCAACTTTGGCAAAGAACAGATGGATGAAAGTGTCCTCGAAGATATCACACCTTCGTTATTGAGGTCTTTGGGTTTGCGTGAGGGTGATATTTTGAGGGTAATGAAGTTCTTGGACAACAAGTTCAACCGCAAGAAACAAACAGCAGACGAGGCGCCATCTGGTGGACTTTTCACGGAAGCCACTGGTGCGTTGAAGAACAACAGCACGACTCAAGTTTCGAAAGTTTCAGCGAGTGCTTTACCTACTCCATCGACATTGCCCGAGTCATCTGCATTGCCCAGTTCTGGGGCACAAGGTGCTGCTTCCGACAAATCAACTACAGCAAGTAAGTTTGAGGACGATGCATGGGCAGTCAAACCTGCCGCTCGCTCCAGCGAAGATATCACCAACACGGCTCAAAACAGACCACATTACACTGGTTCTTTGCAGGACCTTGTGGACATCAAGCCTTTGGAAAGCACACAGCCTCAGACTCCAAATGGCACCGAGAAGAGCGGCGGTGCTCCTACCGCTCCAACATTGACACCAGTAAAAACGGGAACGTTGATTCAACCCAACCAGCAATTCACCGTGCAGAAAACTGGAAACGGAACCGCACCACTCAATCCCGTCAGAACAGGGAATGCGCCAAACTTGGTGCCCGTTCAAACAGGCGGCATGATGCCAGCTCAGCCCACTGGCTTTGTTGCCATTGGCGCCCAGCCGACCGGGTTTGTTCCAATTCAGGCTACAGGCGGAATTGTGCCCCAGTTGACCATTGGCATTGTTCCGTTGCAGACAGGCAGTGCCACGTTTGCGCCACCACCTATGGGCGGCCAAAAGACTGGGGAACCCATGGCTGGTCCACCACCCACGACTTTTGGGCTTCCTGCGCAGACGACCAGCTCGTTTGTGCCGCTACAGCCCGGAAACGTCACCATGCCGGCAACTTCCTTCAACCAAACGACTCACACTGGAGGGTTTTCCTCGATGCCCAATCTTGCGAGCCAGGTAACAGGAGGTGTCATGCAGGGCCAAATGACCGGAGGCCCTATGATGGGCCAAATGACCGGAGGTCCTGTGATGGGCCAGATGACTGGAGGAGCAATAAAATCAACATTTGTTCCCCAGTCAGCGTTCGGAAAGCAAATCACAGGAGGATTCATGTCCCAGCCTTCGCAGACTGGCTTTGGTCAAAGCATGCCTCCAACAAGTTTTGGTCAACAGACCGGAGGCATGCCCTCTACAACCTTTGGCCAGCAGACGGGAGGAAACATGCCTACTTCTTTTGGTCAGCAGACTGGTGGTATGATGCCCGCTACTAGCTTCGGCCAACAAACTGGAGGAATGATGCCCACCACTAGTTTCGGTCAACAAACTGGAGGTATGATGCCTACAACCAGTTTTGGCCAACAGACGGGGGGAATGATGCCCACAAGCTCGTTTGGCCAGCCAGGTAGCATGCCTCCTACCAGTTTTGGCCAACCAGGCAACAATCCCGGTTTCAACCAGCCAATGAACCCGGCGTTTGGCCAAAACACAGGCATGCCACCCACTAGTTTCGGCACCAACAATTTTGCCCAGAGCCAGCCTAGTTATGGCCAGCCAAACAATTTCTCTCAACCAAATTATGGCCAACCCAACTACGGTCAACCCAATGTTGGCCAAGTCACAAGCATGTTTCAGAATACGAGCATCGGCTCGCCCTACGGCCAGCCCCAAAACTTTGGTGCGTCGCAGTTTGAAGGCTTTGGCAATCAGCCTCTTCAAGCCCAGCCCACCGGAGCAGGGTTTGGAAACGGCCCTTCATTGCAGCCTCAGCAAACAGGAAGAAGAGCAAACTTACAGGCTGCTTCTGCAGACAATCCGTTTGGCTTTTAGCTTTACGCGCACGCGTTTCAGCGATGTCTCATCTTTATATAACTTTACATTCATGTTCTATTTCGCGTAATGTAGTATCAATCAAGTGTTGCAATTTTTCTTTGCGGCAAACACCCCTTTATATGCTCTATCAATTTCTCTTCTTTAATCACTTTTTCTTTTCTGCTTATTTTTTTTTTTTTTTTTCATTTTTCTCAGTTATGTCAACTCCTACGCCTCAACAAAAGTTTGGCAACTTCATTGCTTTTTTGCTATACTACCAACAATCTCTTTCGCAAGATCCGTACAGGGGAAAACTCGATGCAATAAAATGGGCTTTTGCTTATTTTTGCCAAAGAAGAGGCATTGACGAGGAGTTTGAAGACCTTGCCGCTTTCGATAACTTTTTGCAGCAATTCAATGAAATATCTGGCAATGCTTTGGTGTTCTCTAATGGCAGTTACGGTGACTTTAAAATCTTGTCGTACATAAAAATAACCAACGTGTACTTACTTCGGGAACGACTTGACAACCAATGCCAATTGCCTATTGGGGAAATTTCCGATGCAGGCCCGCCTAAAGCTGATAAGGCCCCACTCAAGCGTTTACAGACCCTCTTGGAAAAACCACTCGGCACTGTTGTGCCTGCTGCAAATCCGAAAGAGAAGGGCTTTTCTTTTGACTTGGATCGACTCTCATCATTGATAAGTGAACCTACTGCTGCCACTCGATTGGGAATTTCGCGGGCACAACTTTTGACTGCAAAAAAGCCTTTTATGGATATATGCGAGTCTGGTAGCCATAGCCAGATGCTCGCCAACTTATGTTTGGGTTCGAAAAACATCGGTAACAGTATCCATGACTTGCCATCAAATGCAAAAATCCATAAAGTTATAAGCTCTTGCAAATCGCTTATGGACAAGCAAATACAAAATTGCGTCAAATCGAAAGTTCATTTTTTGCCATTGGTCACAGGTGTGACAGACTTGTATTTAGGGAATTGTTCCTACTTGGATACCTGTCATAAGTTGAAAAGCTGTCGCTATTTGCATTACTACACGTTGAATCCACCGCCGTCAGCAACCAAGTCTAAGGATTCAGAGTCAAAACCAGTGCTCGCTCTCGACTATACTGTGGGTGAATGCCACGATACAATTCGTCGCCAGGAGACACCAGCTCAGTGGATTAGCTGCGATGTGCGTCACTTGCCTTTTAGTATCCTAGGTAAGTTCTCGGCCATCATCTCTGATCCTGCTTGGGACATCCACATGTCACTTCCATATGGGACGTGCAAAGACGCAGAACTTTTGTCTTTGCCCATGAACCAATTGCAAGACGAAGGTATCTTGATGCTCTGGGTAACGGGCCGCTCAATTGAAATTGGTCGCCGAGCATTGGCACAATGGGGCTACTCTGTGTCTGATGAGATGATTTGGATTAAACTAAACCAGTTGCGCAGGACTATAGTTACAGGCCGTACTGGCCACTGGCTTAATCATTCGAAGGAGCATTTACTTGTGGGTATCAAAGGCAACCCAAGGTGGCTCAACCGTAAAATCGACTTAGATTTTATCGTCAGTGGTACCCGCGAGACGCTGCGGAAACCGGATGAGCTTTACGGTGTGGTTGAGCGTTTAGTGGGACGCCATTCACGCAAATTGGAAATTTTTGGGCGTGATCATAATATTCGCCCTGGTTGGTTCAGTACGTATCATTCATTCATTTACTTATTCAGGTCTCCGTTCATTCATTCATTTCGTCGTTACTAACATCAGCTATCGGAAATCAGGTCACTGGCTCATCTATCCATGAAAAAGAAGTACTAGCGAAGTACAACGCTTACATGGGACAATAAGCACATTCACTTTAGGCGCTTTGTCTCTTTTACGTATTTCTCTTTTCTCGAATCTTTCTTTCTTCTTTCTTCATTCATTTGCTTCACAAGAAGGCCAGCACGGTTGTCCATACGCTTTTTGGTGTCCAACTTAAAGCCCATCCAGAAGGCAATCTCGAAAACCACAAAAAATGGAGCCAACACCAATGCCTGTAGCAAATTGTCAAACAACGCCGGGGCCCGGCGCTCATAAAAGGCATGGCCGTAAAATTGGGCCAACCAGCAAACGACATGGAGTGCAATTGCATAGTGCACAAACAGGCGCTGGGTGTCCGAATTCAAGTTGAGGTAAGCTGTTTTAATCCAATGAACAAAGCCGGTGAGGAATATCGCCAGCGGTACTCCTAATTGCCAGTCCAATAGGATATAATAAATCCCATATACCCAGGCCAAAAGTGATCCGGCATTTACATGTGGATGATCCGGGCCAACTAACAAGATGGGGCTAAGAAATGTGATTGTAGTCAACAAGATAAGGGGAATGCAACACAAGTGGATCGTCACATTGGAAGGGTTGAAATGGTATTTGCGGTAGAACACGAGATGTTCGTCAAGATCGAAAAGTCCGGCCATGTTGGTTAAGGAATAGGATGCGGGGTGCATTTATATACCTGGTTTGGGTTTCGGTTCGCACAGCCAATTATGCATATGGCATTTGATTTGGCGCATGATGTTGGGGTTAGGAGGAGACTAACCGTTAGGAAAAAGGAAATGTGGGGATAAATGTAATTTGTTGCTACTTAATGGGTTCTGTTATTCGTTAAGCCCCACTTTTTGCAAGCTCTTTTTGCTTTTCTCGCTCTATTCGATCTTCTCGCTCTATTCGCTTGAGTCTATTTTGCTTTTCAGCTTAGCTCTATGGGTCAGATTCTCGAAGTGTTGACCTTCTGAAATTTGAAAAATTTCTTCTGACGTAGCACAGGCTCCAGATCACCTTACAATTCAACAGATTAATGGCACATTGTCTCAGGTATAGCTACTCTAACATCTCAGTGAACTGTTGTATTTTGAAGCTATATATGAAGCATGCTTACTCCCGCAAGCCGACAGCCGGCTTCTTCACCGCACGAGTGCGTTTCATTTGCGACGAGTCTGAACTACGCTCAAACTCGCCAGCAATGTGCATATCTCTACCAAGGTTGTCCAAGTCCTTCACCTTATAGATACGCACAATCCAATTCTGCGATGTGAAGGCCTCTTCCATGGTGTCCAAGGTAATCTTGCGCGTAGCTGGAATGTGCTGGTTACGCACACGGTCGATACCATCTCTTCCGCCAAACAATTCAGCAAAACGGTAGTACGACAACTTGTACATCAAGGAATTCTTCATAGCATCTGGAGCATCCTTGTCCATACGGTACTCGCCACGCTCAGTGAAGTAGTTACGCTCTTTGATCTCATCGGGCCAAATACCCTCGGCAATACGCACCATCCACAAGAACTTGTTGATATCGTCGCCCGAGTAGCCCAATACACCGCCGAAAATGACAAGGACATAGTCGACATCATGTTTCTTCAAGATTTCGTACGACACTTCTTCCGGAGAAGACATGGCTTTTCCAACTGTGGCGATGTGGGTATTGTTCCAGGTGTTGTTGTCCACTAAAGTGGTACGGTCAGCCATGCCACCAATTTGATAGCCATAGTCCCACCAGGCCATAACTTTGGCGTCTTCAGGAGTATTCATGCGCAACCAATAGTATGCCTCACGGTAGTCATCAATGACAGCAGGCGAGCCGTCAGGATTTCTCGATGCCAACACAACAGAGGGCGACAGGTAGGCGTTGGATGTGACCCAAGTGCAGTGGTAGACAAAGCAAATGAGGTAGTAACCAAATGACACAAGCACAAGAGCACGGGTTAACAACTGCATCAATGGGAACGCTCTCTTCTCTTCCTTCTTGAAAAGGTCCACGACGTTCATGTACACATCAAATAACTTGGATAAGGCCACGGCAGCAGCCACGCACACCACAGGAGTCAAAGTCAACATCAAGCGCACCATGACGCCGGCGAAATAAGACCCCAAAACGGCATATATGATCACAAACAAGTGCTCATCACGCAATTCGCGGAAGCAGAAGTATACTCCAGCTGGGAAGAGCCATACCAACATTCCCGTATCGAAGAAAAACGCAGGCCATGCGGTCGGTTGATGTTCTGACACGGAGGCAATGATAGGGATATGGATTTTAGCGTAGTTGGTGTCCCACAACAGGTAGAAACGGCCAGTCCATGGTGCAATCCAGCCTGCAGCGGTCAAGACGGCCAATCCAGCAATACCCAAAATGGCAACGAGCGCAACGCCAACAACCAAAAATGTCTTGAACTGGCGAGCAGAAACGGCTGCTCTGACAGAGGCTGCCGCAGCCAGCAATTGCAACAAACCAAACACGCCGAGGGCAGCCATGTGGTCGTTGGAGCGGATGGGCAAAAAGCCTACAAAAGGAATCTGCATCGACGCCAAAGTACCGAGAGCGTACCATGTTGTGTATGCCGTGTACATGCGTGAGGAGTAGCGTCCCATGACAAGCAAGACAAACACGTGCAAGGGAATCAAGTTGGTGATGAAGACATATCCACCCCAAGCGGAAACCATGTAAAAGTACGCCGCAGCAGTCAAAGTACCGTACAAGATCAGCCCCAACTTCAAGGCCTTGATCCAGAAATAGAAGGTGGCCATAAGCAAGGTGATAGCAATGGCCTCGTTATCATACGACCCAGCCACAGACCGCGAGATGTAACCTGGAGCTATGCCCATGAAAAGTGCCGCCAACAAACCGGCACTGGCGTCTTTCATCTCGCATGTGAGCAAGTACGTGAAGATGGCCGTGAGTCCCGAAAAGGCTGGGGCAAACATCACACATACGTTTCTAATGTCCACTGGAAGACGGAACCAGTTTCTGAGCACGTGCCAAACGGCACCCGAGGTCACCATAAGCCCAGGATATAACGTGCCGCCGGTGACACGGCCCAACGGGTACCAGGTTCTGTCATCGAACCAGTTCAAAAAGTCGTAGAACGAGTTGGCTACCAAGTACTTTGTGGCGCGGAAGTTGAACCACGGGTCGAACTCGTGGATGATGGACTCGAAGCGGATCACGGCAAAAAGGCGCAGCGAAATGGCAGCGCCCGCGATTGCGATGAAGATGACCGCGCGAAGTAACGTGCGCGCTGTGTCGATGCTCTTCAATTGCATGGCCGGCGGGTGTGTTTTCTTGGTGAAGTTTCCAAACACTTTGGCTTAGCGTTAGTGCCAGGTGGCTCGGGTGCGCACCCGTACCTCCCGTACTATGCCTCCAGCATTGCATCTCCGGCTCGACGCGTCGAGTGAACAATCGGTAAAACTACACGGGGTGTACTACAAGATCCATGTATACGATACACACTCTGCTGACGAAACGGGTAATGATGGGGCAAGGAAACTTGTCTATCAAGAGTGCTAGAGTGTATGAGCACTGGACGCGCTTATTGTATGTCGGATTTTTCACGTCAAAGTACAGACAATCAAGACAACATCAGCGGCTTCGTAACCTAGGGCACCATATAAAATAACTTGGGTGGCATTCCCATATGGCATGAGGAGAAACGACCCTATGGACTTTTACTGAGCCTTAACCAGAAACATCTGTGTACTTGTGCCTCAAGTGCCTAATAGTTTCTAGGTATTGTATTCGGTGCACGAAGATCTTCTTCTTTTACCGTCCTTTGTTTCGGCCAGAAGAATTATGTCTACAAGCCTTTCAGTAGCCCATTAATTGAGATGTTTAGAGACGCGTATCCAGCCATTGAATGATATCCCTAGATCAGATACTGGCGTGCCCAATAATAAATATCTTTACCCAGATTCGAGGCTATTATCAAGTTGATCACGACAGCGCCATTCAGAAGCGTCTGCAAGTAACTGCGAGACTTATTAGACTTTAAGGTTATCGGTAGATTGAAAGAGACTTTTAACGCGGAAGTTATATGTCATCTGACCAATCCAGCTATCTGCTGGGTCATGGATCGATTTGCATTCGATCGAAGGAGGGGCTAGAAGCATAGAAGGATGCACAAACGACAAAGTGAGGCCAACCTGACAAAATAGAGCTTACTGCAATCGGCGATGCTGGTTCGTCAATTTCATTTCTCTCCAGTAATTAGAAGGACGACCAACTCCAGTTGGCAGGCACACTTCCTACTACCAGGTCCTGGCGAGTGTCCCGCACTGGGCGTCCTGCGAGCACGTCTCGAAGCAAGCTTGTCTCCCTCGCTTCAGTAGAATGGGCCGTCCGGGCAGGTGGGCCGAATTCCTGGCGAATGAAGTCGTTGTACTCGTCAATACAGCGGTCACATACGCGTGAGAGCGTTCCGCGGCCACCTGTGGTGAATTGTGCAAGGTGGTTGATGTACAAAAAGTGCAGTGTGTGGTCTTTGCAGAAAATACCACCGCATTTCCGGCAATGATGACGACGGTCAAAAAACGTGAAGTGGCGGCGACAGTTAGGCATGCCACATTCGGTTACCGCATCATCCTTGAGCCAGTGGCGCCGTGTTGGTGGTGCACGAGCAATATAGTCGTGGGTGAGCGCCAGAGCGTCCGAAACACGCAGATCTGCCGATGCGCTGCTTTCAGGTGATCCAGGCGCCTCTGGTCCCTGTGTACGGCGGAGCACAGCAGGAACGTACATCGGACTCCGGAAATGTTTGATTTGTTGAAGGTGGTTAGGTTCGTCTTTAGCAGGATGTGGGAATGAGGAAGACGACCGGTCCGCAGTATCGGCGACAGTGGGAGGGGCTGTATCTCCGTTTCCGGAAGCACCTGTGACCGTAATAGCGTCGTTGGCTGATCCAGTAAAAGAAGCATTATTATGGGTGAAGTATTCGTCCTTTTTCATGGCAGCTTCATTCGCCGTTATTATCGTTCCGGTGTTGGTTCCTGCCAAGGTATTCGTTGTTTCATTGACAGTCGTTGGAGAAAGTGTGAGCGCCAGCGCAGGCGTTTGCACCATGGGGTGTGTATTTCCACTCATACTGAGGTTTCCGTGCACGTTCATCACGCTCGTCGGACTAACAAGGCCAAGATCCAGACTCGTATCTTTGTTTTTTCCCGCCCCAATATCGCTGTCTTGAGCGTGTTGCGTGCCGTTTTCCTGCCTTCCACTCACCTGCGTTTGGCTCTCCCGTTTTTCATCTCCCTGTCTTTCACCTTCCTGTCTTTCATTGTCCTTCGGTCTCTCTTGCTCCTTATCTACTTTTTCCTGCTCATTATGTCCAGTCTCTCTCTCCTGGTGTCGACTCTGTCTAGTCAAGCTTGCAAAAGTTGAAAGATCCACCTGTGCAGGCGCATATGGCCGTCTAGCAGTAGTCAATGGCCGTGTCCTGTCACCTTCCAGTCCTGCAATTGGTGCCAACGAAAGCAGGAGCTTTCGGAGGGCGTTAAGAGTAAGTCGCTGTTGTTCTCTCGTTGTTTGCTCTCCATAATCATCAGGGCTAGTACTTACCGGAGGCTCAGGCTCTGCCTCACGCTCAAAAGGCATCTGCTGGCCTATTGGAACTTCGTCAGTTCGGCGAATTGCCAGTAGCACGGGTGCCTGGATAAACAGTTGGAAGTTTTTGCTCGCAGAAGCGGACCGGGGAGCAGGCGTGGCAAGATGCTGCAGCTTGAGCGACTTGAGCGACGCAGACAGGAGAACAGATTGAAACAGCTGCGTGCGCAGGCGGTAGTCCTTTTTCTGAAAAAGACCATCGCCTTGGTCGGAGTTTGTGTTTTCCTCTGCCGCGCCCGGAATTTTCGTACCGGGAGTCTGTGAGTCTGAAACTTCCGTGCTCCGCTCAGTGCCTCCCTCTGCGTTTTGTTCTACGTTCTGTGCTGTATTTGGATCTGTCCTTGGTTCACTCCTCAGTTCATGGCCAGCGACAGCTGATTCCGTTTGGGGTGGGATTTCGTTTTCCATTCGACCTTCTGCCGGCTTCGCCAGTATTAAGGTAGAAGCCTCCATTTGTATGCCCTCGCCCTTTGATGAATCCTCAAGATTGGTCTGGCTCTCCTTCTGCGTTCCATTTTCGGGGGTATTCCAACGTTGACTGAGCCCGGCATTACTCGAATGAGTCATTTCAAGCTGCAAATCCGTCTCCTTCGGTCCATGTATAAGTTGCAGATCTTCTCCGGTCACAAGTAATGCCTCGTTCGTTCTGTTATTCAGGGTAGATTTGTCAGTAGAGCCATTTACGCCTGGGTCTAGCGCCAACTCGTGCCCATTATGGCTGGATTGAATTCCCTCGCTTTGGCCACTTTTCCCATTTTGGTGAGTTCCTTCCCTTTGGCTTTGTTCCGTTTCATGACTTTGCTTTCCATCCTCTTGACACTCATTGCGTTCCCCATGTTCTTCTTCCTGTCTATTCTCTCTTTGTTCATGCTTGCGCTCTGTCACTTCCCTAATGGGAGCCTTCCCATTTTCGACGTTGTCAGTCTCGTGGTATGTCGTCATTTCAGATTGCTCAACCTGAAGGTTTCCTGTTGGGTTTATTCCGCTGGGATGTAAGCTTTCTTCTCTCTTTTGTATCGTCAGCTTTAGTGGGCCCGACCTTTCCATATCGGGCACCTGGTCGTATAAAGAAGCGGCCATGCACAGAACGTGTTACAAGGTACAAATTTGAGCCTAAATGGGTAATTCTTTCTGTCCTTCGATGATGTTCACAGGCGCAACTGTTCTCAAATATCCTCCGGGGAAATTATATGCTAGTGGGGAGTCACTATGGCTTCCGTTATGGTAAGACGGGCGCGATAGCAGCACACCCGTGCCTCCCACAATCAGGAAGACAAAATCTGTCACTCATCTTCATGCTCTTTGGAGCAGCCCGTCGTGAACCCAGCGCTTGCAAATGCACCTTGATTCATCAATAACAAGAGCTGTACGGCCTCTACCCAAAACGAAACCAGTTGCAAGAATGTTTGGTTGTGTCACGTGACTTGTGTCACGTTCCCACCACACCGCCATGAGTTTGGGTGCAACTTTCCCTTGGCTCGCCTATCCTCTAGTCTGTGGGCGGCACTATTGTCTCTTTCGCCCACCCTTGTAGCTTTGCTTGCTACATCACGTTGGCCCGGGTATGAGATCACGTGCCCGGCACTTGTATCTTGCTTCTTCGGCGGTACCCCCGGAGTTGCATAATTCGCGCGCGTTCATTGGCCCAAGCACTAGAGGCTTTTTATAAAAACTGGAGTATTCTCACTTTTCCTTCTCACCACTACCATGCTTTCCCGTGTCGGATTAAGACGTATGTTTTGCATTTAAAGAGAGAGCCCTAGCAGTGCTATGCTGTTAGATTGAGAACATCAATTTGAGATTTTACATCGTTTATCCCATTCCACCATCCCTCCTCATATCCCTTTTATCCTCCGCTTTTTCCTTGGAGTCATTTCCCCCAAAAGCACTTTTTTCCTCAAGTGGACAAAGCTTGACTTGTTCAATATACTCTATAATTGTGTATCAGCTACGGCCCATTATTATGCATCAGCTACGGTCTATCCTTATGACCGTGCTATAGATTTTCTCTTGAGGTTTCTTTATTTCTGAGCTTTTTTTTGGCACATTTCATGGTCCATTTTTCGTGCTTACCTTCGCTACATTCTCATGTTGTGTTCTCATGTTGTGTTCTCATATTCCAATCTGTTTATTCTTGTACTAACTTCAGCCCTTGCTAGAGCTACGCCTAGATTCTCTCCTCTCCTTGTGAGACACCTGTCCACAATCAAGGTCAGCCATGAGCAGGAACAAGAGCTTCTTGTTGCTCAAAGAAAAAACAGACCAGTGTCTCCTCACTTGGACATCTATAAGCCCCAGCTCACCTGGTTGTTGTCTGGTCTTCACAGACTCACCGGTGTAGGTATGGCAGGTGCCTTTTACGGTTTGACCGTCACTTACGCGGCCACTTCCTTGTTGTCCGTTCCATTTGACTCGGCTTCCATCGTTACTGCATTTGCTTCGTTGCCTTTTGCCGCCAAACTTGGTGCTAAAATCGCAATGGCATACCCTTTTGCTTTCCATTTCTTCAATGGTATCAGACACTTGGTGTGGGATTTTGGAAAGGAATTGACCATTCCTGGTGTCTACAGAACAGGATACCTCGTGTTGGCCGGTACTGCTTTGCTCGGTAGTTACTTTGCCTTTTTCTAGTGCATTTATGGGGGCGCTGGGCTCTGGTGGCCTCAATCGTCAATAAATATTGCTTTTTGTATCATTTAGTAGTTGGTGCTTCGTTTACTCGCCAAAAATGTTGTCTGCATCGAAACAAAGACATGGTGTCTCTGTGTTGCAAAAGCCGCATACCATCTTGCGCAGCTTGCGCTCGCTCCTGACCTCGCCTGCAAGGCCGAGAATGTCCGGTGCTGCCGACTCTTCCAATTTTAGACGATCAGTCGCAAAGAAATCCTGTCCTTGCGGGCCGAAGTTGTCTCGACTGAACAGAGTAGTATCTCGGCCGAGCGCGAGAAGGTTCTCCCGGCTGAGCAGGCTGATATTGTCGCGGTTGAAGGCAGCAAGGTTCTCCCGGCTGAGCGTCTTCCCATCCTTATCCTTCGTTAGAAATGGAAGCGTTTCTTTGGTCAGCGTATCGCCAAACTGTTCCAGAAGTCCTTCGTCTGGAGCGCGTGCGCGACCTGTTTCACGATCGAGAAGCGAATCTCCGTCGTTGATGATATCGACATCAATCACATCATCTTCACTATCAAACAAGTTCATTTTCAAAGGTCGTAGAAGACTTGGTGTAAATCCTGGTTTGGGCGCAGCTGCAATTGGTGGGGCTACAGCCTGTCTGGGTGGTGGAGCGCGGGGCGTACCAGTTGCACGGTGTTTTGCCCGAAGTTCTAAATAGTAGCGAATTTGCAGTTGCAATCCGGGACCTTGTGAACCAGTTCCTGAAGTAAGTTTTTTTGTGACGCTGTGAATCACGTTGGACTGCGTTGTGAGATGTGCAACGAAGCGATCCAAGTCATGTATATTGTTGATCTGGTCAAGCTGTTCAACCGTTTGTGGCACAGCAATTTTAGGCAGCGTACGCGAACTAGAGTCCAAAGCATCTACTGTTATAACGCCGCTTTGAACAAATCGAAGCTCTTTGATCTGATTAGTGAGTACTTCGATGTAGTTGCGAATAAGCTCTTGCTCCTTGAGCCTAGCAAGGTACGTGCTGCGAAGATCAGTGGCTTGCCGTGGAGCAGGTTGAAGAGTTGGGCGCGACGTCGTATCAATAGCGGGGGCTACTGACACGCTGGATGATCCATGGGACTGCGTGGACATCAGCAGACTCGACGGTTTGCTATCCAGTTGCGAAAAGCTTGAAGATGAAATACTCATTGCTGAGGACATCGAGTTCGTCGACGCGGAACCCTCCATCTTTGCTGAAAGTGGTGCCAGATTCCCACTATCGCCCAGATCGGGTTTAGTCAAACGCAGCATCTTCGGTTTCTTTTTGCATGCCGCTTTCCTTTCGTCTGCTGCGGCAGTTTGCGCGCTCGGTTTGCGTCCTGGTCTTGGTCTTGGCGGAAGAATCCATTTTCGCAGTGTGTTGATAGCCTCTTCGTGGAGTAATGTGGCCGACGATGACGATGAAGGATCGTAGTGGGGATTGAAGGCTGTTTTCACAGAAGGTGACGGGGTCAGTGGCTTGGGCTTTATGGCGATAGCTGGTTGTATCTTAGCATACTTGGCAAAAGATGGGGGTGGGCTATTCAGGGTCGAGCCGACACTGGCATGCGCAGCCATAGAAGTGGAAGCGCGGAGGCTCGATGATTGTTGCATGGGCGTTTTGGTTGCTCCCATGGCAGGAGGTGTGGAGTTCGATTATGTATGCTGGCGGCTAGCGGGATAGCTGGAAAAAGGAAAAAAAAGAAGGAAGTGGGAGCGATTTTTTGTGGGGTGGCTTCTATCTTTCTTGTTTTTTATCTCTTTTCGTCTCTTTTGTGGTTACCAACGGACTGTACTTGCCTAGTTCTTTTTCACTCGTTGGCTTAAAGTTTACAACACCTATGGCTGCCTCTGTCTTCTTTTAGTGTTTTTGCAGCGACGGTGCCGCTAGTGTTAAAAAAATGTGGGCGACCTTGCAAGTCTAAGGTTAGGCCAACCTATTGATAAACAAGCGGTCTAAGGAAGCTTCTCTGGGCTAGTATAGTATCACGGAGAGAAAAACTCGATTGGCCGGGGATTTCGTGGAAAAAGCTGGGGTCAGTTTGATGGTGTGAGTTGGAAGTCGCGGAACGGGAATTAACGAACATGCAGTTTGGCTTTGCGACTTGAGTTTGCAGCTTCAGTTTGCAGTTAAGCGCGGGTTTCCTGTACTGATCTGGTAAACATACAAGTTGATACTACCAAAGAGACGATAATCCATACGAGGGCTGAAACTTGAAAAGACGTATTGCAGACCAAGGCGGCAAGAAAAAAACAAGATTACAAATTAAACACTCGGCTGCAAATAGGGCTTTAACGAATCACAAAGAGGCCACCTTCACAAGATCAAACACTTGGTCAGCTACAAATCAAAAAAGGAAACCAAGGTTGTAGCATCAATACGCGTCTACTGATCGGATCCTGAATATACTGGCTCCAAGGAAACTTCGAAATCAGTTTGTTTTATTGTCTTCATGTCGATAAGTGAGAAAAGAGCAGAACAGTTGGCTCAGCTCAATGAGCAAGTGGCTATACTCCATACAAACCTCACCAAATTCGATAGCCTAGTTAAGGACACTGCAGTCCAATACGAGGCGATCCAAAAGTTGGGAATAATGCATGGGTCTTTGTTTATGGCAAGTCATACGGTGTTTGGTAATAGCTACAATGACAAGGAACAGTGAAGGCCGGTTTCTACAACAGCCATATTTCCCTTATACCAACAAGGGTTGGATGAGTATAACTCCACGCTACATCAGCCTAGCTGTTTGTGATTATTCTGAAATCACAACGCCGACATGATATAATTTTTCCGTTGAACTGAACCTACTGAAGTTTACTATTTTAGATGACACGTTGCTTACTTGGTTAGCCCCATTTCTGATATCTTTTATTTCAGATCGACTATGCATGTCCGACGTCGAAGTCAGGCCTTGTAATCACTTTCAAGTGTCTTCGTCTGACTTCTGAGTCTGTTGTCCATAAGATCTCATCCTATTTACACTTCCTTGGCCGCCTGGGCCTGTTTCAATTTCTCGCGATATGCTTTTTGCTTCACCTTTTTCTCAGCAATCAAAATGTCTCGCTCCTGGTCAAGATACTCCATGGTCTGGTATTTAGCCACGCAGCCAAGCGACCGCTGGTTGGCTTCTTCGCATTTTTTCATCGCGTCGATGGGATTCTCGTAACTGTTGGAACATTCGACATACGCCTTGATTAAGCTGTCGCAGCGGGCAAAAGTCTTTGCACGCCATCTTTCGAAAATCACCTGTTCCTCCTTTGGTGTCAAGACCCAAACGGGCATATTAGGGTTTGTGGGGAGATCCACGCCGTCATACTCTTTCCTGTAACTCATGGCAAAGAAGCAGAGTGAAAATGGTGTTACAAAAGATGGTGTTGGATGTCTGGATGTGAGCGCGCACCCTTCGTATCTGAATATCGGCCGCTAAAGAAATGTGGTGGGCATCAGCCTATGAACTCTGTTGAGACCACGAAAGGATTGTATTGAAGAAGGAAGGAGAAAGGGGAACCTATACTGGTGAACTCGTCAATGTCTACTAATTTTCTACTTTCGGAAAATTGTTGTTTGTTCTCTAAGCTCTTAATCTAACATATGGGCATTTAAACTTCTCAATCTGCTTGCTTGACATCCGTTATTTGGTTAGCCTAATAATAGTTTTTAATGTTTTGTTGTCCTTTTTACTCGAAGGGCTGTCACTTGATTAAGCGTCAGAATTTGTGGCCATAAATTTACAAAGTATAATTTGGATGCAAATCACCAACAAAATTGATGATATCTTCAAACAGATAATTTGAAAGAAGAACTAATATAATAAAAAAAAGAGCAATTGCACAAGCTCAACAACAGTGAAAGCTTTGGCTATAACTATGATCTGCGCATCGATACACTTATATCGTGTTCGCAGTACAAATATTTGTGAATGTATTTCCGCAGATTGTGTAGAAAAATTGTCCTTTACGTTTATGGGTCGTCATGTCGAGAATTGTTCCTACGTTTCATTGTGATAGAGTATTTCAGAGCCTAGCCTTCTGGTTATTTTATAGTTGTAAGTGATTTAGGGTCTTAACATACATATTGTCTGCAGTACACTTACTATCAAAACACTAGCTCCAACAAAGCAAAACACAGCAAGAAAAGAAAAACACCATGCTTGAAGCTCCAGACAGTCTCATATATTCTGCCATCGACAATTTTGAGACACAGCCTGATCTCGCTAGTCTTCGGCGGATCGCCGAAAACCTCAGAAAAACTGCAGATCTCCGTTCGGCTCGTATTGAAAAGTTGGAAGACCAAGTTCTGCGTCTCGAAAGCGAGCTACGCGAGGTTTCTGAAGAAATCGAATCGCTCAAAGAGCCCAGCGCCACTGTCTATGAAACGCTAGGCCAGTTTGGAGAGGTCCAGAAATCAGACAGTGTGTTCAAGTTGATCAATGCCAAATCTGTCGAGTTGGATAATCTCAAAGTATCCTTGGCCAAACAACTTACAGAATTGGAAAGCGCCATAAACCACATGAGTATGAAGAAAATCAGCATGAGCAGAAGACGGGATGAACTCGCTAGTGAGAGGGAACAGGCACTAGCCGCTAATATCGCATCCAACTTAAATTCCAGCAGCATGAAGATCAGTCTCTACAAAAGTTTGGGGGTACATGTTGAAGACTTTGACGGGGAAAGTGACAAGATCATCATTTTCGACCGTGGTACCGACCTGACTAGTGTTTTGCCTGTTGACGAAAAGTATCTGGACTACTTCATCAGCAACTACATCTGGGACCGGCTCGGCAATGCGTGAATTCTATGTACATGCTTGTGGGTGGAGAACAATGTAATCCGATGCTCAGAAGTACTTTGGGTTCTCGCGGAACGACTTCTTGGTCCACTTTGGAATCAAATGAACAGACTTTCTGTAGCCCTTGGACTTCTTGTCGAATGTTGTGTACTTATCCCTTGGCGACATCTGCGCCTCTTTGGGCAACTCGAACTTCAAGTAGTCGATTTTTTTGAACCCAGTGGATTTGGCGTTGGCTGGCTTTAACGATTGGTAGAGTATTTCGATGTTTCTGTCGACGAGCTTCATTCTGTTTCTCAACCTTTGCTTTTGAGGCGGCGACAACCGTGGAGCCTTCTTCCAGAGATATCCTCCGCAGCGCGCAAGTGTTCCTCTAAATACGCCGAACATGTGGTTTGGTCAGATAGCTGGAGCTGGAAGAGGTTTTTTTTGCTTGTGCGGATGGTTGAGGATGCACGGGTGTTTTGCTAGTACGTGGGATGTATAAGGTTGGTTTTCTTGTCTCATGGGGTGCACGGGTGTGAGGAAGGGTCGAATTGCGATGTACGGGTGTATTGTGGCACGTGCTCCCTCGTGCGATTTGGTGTCGCAGCCCACGCCACCGTGAATGACCTGAAACAAAATTTTCACTTCCGGTGCGTGGTACGTGCAGGTAACTACCGGGGTACATCTCCGCAATAAGCTGTCAACATCTCCGGTGCGGAGTCGTTTTGTGCGCGAACTCCTACGAGCATGATCGGATTGTTGGGTTTCTGCTAAATCCGCCGAGTCTCGGACTCCTTTTATACCACGCTTCACTTTGGCAGCCATCAGGAAGGCACGTGGAAGGGATATTTGCAGCCCCTTTTCCATAGAGCACAGGGTCGTTCCTGTCTGCACGATAATTTTGTACCTTATTGTTTCACACGTTTACATGTACTTCCGTATTCATATATTTGTTTGTTGACTATATACTGTTTTCAACCTAGACAATAGCTAATATAGATGCAGCCACACTAAGTAGCGGGCAGCTTCTCTACAGCCAAATATTTCCTAGTGAAACCCATTTTTTTTGCTTTTCTATTAACCGATATATATAACCCAACCCATAATGCAACGTGAGGCACCTCCTTTCTTGTTATGCTCACATGACTCCAGTCAACCACAAGCGGTAGTTTTGCGATGTGGACAAGGATGGTACCTTGCTTGGCTGCAGCAGATTCACCGAGTAGTTCAACACGAGATCGTCCATGTCCGCGTCATTCAAGTTTGAAGGCAACAACAAAGGCGAAGCGGCAAGCTCGTGCACCTGATGCTGCTGCTGGTACAATGAAGGAGTGAGCAAAGGAGAGACAATGTCTGCGTTGGCAACATCCAAGTTGGTGACGTGATTGTGTTCGTCCTTGTCTCTGCATTGGGGGGAACAGTAAATGGCGTTGGCAGCACACAACTGATCACAGCTGATACAGTAGTTATTGAAGGCGTCCGACATTTCCATGCTTATTGATGTTGATTTTTTAAATGTGATGAGGGGAAAAAAATGTGTTGGGAAGGCTGGTTTTTGTCTGCGATGGAGTAAAACCGTGGATGCAAATGAGAAATGTAAAGGGCGTGGTAATGTGAAAGGTTAGCTGCTGCTCAAACAGAAGTAACTGGGAGTTGTCTGTCACAAAGGGGAGAAGACGAGAATAAAAGGTAGTTGATGGAGGAAAACTGCAATCGGTGAAGTGTGGGAAAACTCGCGCCTTTAAATAAAATGGCACGTTTATGCATTTGGGTCTAGATGGGAAATTGCAGGTGCAGCCATTCCGGGGGGAGCACCACTTCCGGGGGTGGCCGCTTGTCGGAGAACGCTATAGTTGGTGCAATTTGCGCAAGCCTTTTGCCCAGTTCCGGTGGGGAAATGAGGCCAGGTTCACCCTCGGATGTGCCGGCCCCAATCGCTCGTGGCCCACCTGCACCCTCGGAATAGCAATAAGCGAAACTTTTAGAACATTACTCACCCACGGTGTGCAGCTGTGGCGCAAGGTTACTCTTTTTGATTGATTTTTTTTTTTGTTGTGCCCATAACACCAGCTTCTCGACTCAGCTTCGGTTCCAGGCCTTTCCCCTACATCGGTACGTGATGTTGTCTGTAAATGTTGTAGCTTGTTCTTTCGGAACTACTGAACAAGTATTCCGATGGCACGCAGTTTTCCAGAAGGCAGTGGAACGCCTTAGAACTGTAAGTGCGCGCGCACTTTTGCGCCTAATTGGGGCTAACAAAGACCACGGGCTAAAAATACCCTACAAGTGCGGAGCGGCCTCACATAGGGCCATACTGACAGCACACCGTTCGACACTGGCTCTACAAGAGGAAACATGCAAACATAGAATAGGAGAAAGGAATACACGGGGACACAAAACCGGCAAAGCTAACAGTCTAGAGTATACAATAGTCTAATGCGGGGCAACGTAGTGGGTGGAATTGCCATCGTCAGTTGCTGGCCGAGAAAATTGCCTCGAGAAAACGGCGAAAAATAAACAGTAAATTTTTCAAGATGGGCCCTGAGTGCATGGCGCCGCACGTGACACCGTTCTCCTCTTCTTATTGTGGGGGAAACGTGCGATGCCTGTTTAGGAAAACCGACCTTCGCAAAAATCTCGAGCCATTGTCTACGCCAAGCCTGCACCACAACGATTCTATCTGAGGCACCAGATCCTATACGAGCACACGATTCCTCACATTGTAGGGACGCCCTCACCGCCAGCTTTACTTTACATTTCCGGATCTCTTGCGGACTGCTGTGGGATGTGCCAAACGCGCTCCGAGGGCCAGACCTGCACGTGCATGCTCTAGCAATTTGTGGTCCGATTCGGTTTCCCGCCGCCAAAACACCTCCATGTGCTTGGTGTCGCCTATAATGCCGGCACCTGGGTGCTTTTTCCACCGCCAAGATCGGTGACTCGGTCGCCGGTTGCTCACAAACCGAAACCTGGCCAAACCTTCTCCAGCAAAGGTATGGTCTAGATTGTTCTGCATGTAGCGGTGTCCGGGCAGCGCGGCTATTTTGCGGCGCTTTTCGGCAATGACGTTATATTTTCTTCGTACCTCGTTGCTCTTGTCTCACATTGATCCCACCGCATTTAGGCGCGGCCGGCTTTAGACGCATCCTAGAGGCACACATGTGCCTATGTGTGCATTGTAAAACCTTCGGATGTCGGCTTGAACTTGCGTAAGTTTGCTTCGCCAACCCATGTGTGCTCTGCTATTCCGGCCCGGCCATGCTCGTGGTCTAGCTTCGTTTCCGTCCAGCCCTGTCGCTTCTCTATGGCCTGATCCGGCACTTAATCACCATTCTACTGGATCCAAAGGTACGAGTAGGGGCTCACATCCCTACAAAGGAGGAGCCCTATGAAGTGTTCGGGCCTCTGTATTCCGTGGTCTATGGTAGTAGTGAGTTCTAGCCACGGGACACAATGCATTGTTTCTCTTTCTTTTTTTTTTTTTTTTTTTTTTTTTTTTGCTTTCTCCAGCTCCCGTTAGTTGCGGATGCTACGGCAAATGGTCTGGAGCGAGCGAGCCGGCTTGCGAGAAAGGTCGGCGCTGCTGGCGTAGCTAGTAGACTACCCTACTACTGGATCAATCGGACACTGGGTTGAACTGCTGGATCGAATGCGACTTTGGGACGAGCTTGCTTTCATTCAGCTCTCGAGTAGCTGTTCTTTTCGATATGACTTGGAAGCTTTGATATTCTAGCTTGCCTTGAATAGTGAGCCTTTATCGAAAACAATTCCTTTCACTAGAGAAAATCTACTTTTTTAGTATAGAGTTTGGCCCATTTGAACCCGCTGAAGTTCGAATGGTATACTTGCAACAGTAATCTCTAGAGAATAGCTGTATTACACCCTCAACCTTTTGGAACGGCTTTATTCAAACAATTCGTCGACTGTTTGACTCTAGACTCAAGTATCGTCTCGTGTGTCGTTGGGAAAGAACTCACTGAAAGTTATCATCTCCTTTGAGGGATACGGTCCTTCTCCAAACTGAATTGTAAGAAAGATTAGTTCTAACTCTCAACATCGTCTAACTTGCTAGGAACTCTGGAGTATACTGTCATTTTTTGGGTTCTCAGGGAGATTTCTGTTATAGCTTCTCAAATGTATTTTACATACTATCGCAGTAAGAAGACGATGTAAGTCATAGCCAGCGATGTAAAACAAGGATTGTTGGACAGGCCCCGGACACCGGTTACTGTAAATGTCCACATCATGTAGGTGGAATTGCGTTAGGTGGCTTCACGTACTACATTTCATGCTGAATTTTTCTGAAGATTTTTTGTTTTTCGTCATTGCAATGGTTTTCCAAATATAGAAGCAACTACAACTATTTATTAACTACGGTCCAAGATGTCATTCTCGCAGCTTAAATGAGGCTATCGAGTGAATTATCGGCAAAACCTTACTTCGTTCGAGACCATTCGTACGATATTCTCCACTAATTAACGATATTCTCCATTAATTAATAACACGTTCTTTTGGCCGGGTTTTAGCATATTATGCTGTATCGTGCACCTTACATTTTCTTTCCTACTCATTCCTTAACCTCTTAGTCTGGTTTTCACTGACACTCTATTTCAAGCTATCAATCTTCTGGTTTCATTTCATTCGATGTTTCTCTCGTAAAGCGATGTAGTCAGGAACCTAATGCAAAGTTCACGAATCTTTCATTCTATCTTGCTCCACAAAGGGGCATCGGCCAAGGCTTTTATATTGATGTTTGTTGAGTATACTCTACTCGTTATCGCCATTTTCCTAGACGGATTTAAACTTGTAAGTGAGGTCTCGGAGATCATGCACACTCTTGTTGGTGGATATGTGCCAGCGACGAAGCAATACCACTGCACCTAGGTTTGCCGCAGGAACTAAAGCAAATACATCCTGCCAGCAAAGACCGCTACGATAGAGAATAGTCCAGAGTCCAGCCACCAATGCCATATTAGTATAATCAAGTGCTTTGCGGCGCCAATCACGCCAGACTGGCCACATGCTAGCCACCAGAAAAACGCACGAAAGAATAACCATCATAATAGCCAGCGGCGAATACACGCCTTTTTGGGTGAAAGTTACTCGGGCGGCGTGGGCCAAGGGAAGAATCTCAACGACAATGGCCAAAAGTAAGACTCTGCGGTAGAACTGAAAATTGCTATCGTTTTGGGCTGCAAGCAGCGAAATGATGAGTTCCTGGTCGGCGGAATCGAGGGGATCATTTTGCGATAGAAGGGCCCTATCCACTTTTCTATGTCGTGCCATCGTGTTTGTGAAATCGTGCTAGTTAGGAATCGTACTTTGGCTTTTCTTTTGTTGTCTCTCTTCCACTTTGGCTTTTTCACTGCTTCTTCTTGTTTCTTTTCTAGTCGTCTTTTGGTATCTTGCTTGGATCGATACTGTAGAAAGGTGTATGCAAGTCTTCCCAATGCGCGTGTGAAGACATTCACTCTCCTAGCAATTTATAGGAGTCGACGTAGTGCCAGGAAGGAAGTATTGTACTGGGCCTGAAATCTCTACGTCCCGTTATAGTTCTTGCCGTTGTGAAATCATCTGCTTTTATTTTACCTGTTTATAGCCCATCACCTAAGTTTTATCAAGATTCATCTTCGAAATTCAACGCCGTTCGTCGGCAGCTATTCAATTGAGTGGATCAGAATGTGATATTCCATCCTTCCGGTACCTTTCAGTGTATTCCAAGCAATGGTCGAACTAATTTACGTGCCTGTTATTCACACTTGTCTCCTGCGTAAATCAGCTACTTAAATACCTGCAAATTCGGAATGTGCACCCTGTAAGTTTGTGCCCATTCCGAACGATAGCGAAGTTGCGTCATTTGACTTCGAATTTGTCGTTACAGCTTCCTTGCTATTTTCTTTGCGAATGCTCTTTTACTTTGGTACTGATTTCTTGTATTAATCATCTATTGTAAGAGCGGTCCAATAAGCTTTACTAGTGTCCGATATGATAAACGCCAACGCCAACGTCAACTATATGCTTTTGTCTGAAGGCTTTGTTGTCGCATAGTTTGTATTGTTATCGGCTATGGATCCCTAATTTTTATATGCTCGAAGACAAGTAGATATTTACAAAAATAGCGAAATTATGCGCATGAGACCAATAATCCAAACTTTAGTAATGGTGGAAAAAAAACCATTTTCCATTATTTTCCCCTGTAATCAAGTCACAAGCATGATCGAACTAGAATGAACACTTCAAAACAACTTGTTCCGTTTTGAAGAGACTACTGGCCGCTGTTTCTGCCTTTTTACTGTTATGCGCATGTAGAGATAGCGCGACCCTGCTTGAGCAACTTGCCATGTTATCTCAGCAACAGATCAGACAGACAATATCGCAAAAGACGCAGCCCAATGCGGATAAAATCCTCCGCAAACGCGCTTCACCTCAAAGCCTGAATTTTTTTCGTGCGCTAGCGACACGCCTTCTTCTTTGTCTTCTACTTCGTCAGTTATGCACAGAGGTGTATTTTAACGATACGGCGCGCGCCAGCTAAAAAAAGGAACTTAGCCGTGGCAGAGAGGCACTATGTATCTATAGTGACCAGGGGAAAAATATACACAAAACACGTCATCAGAGTAGAAGAACCACGTAGATTCAACAAGAAAGTCATTGGAAGGCAATTGCAACGTTTGCGAAATCTTGAAAGCTATATGGTGATAGACACGGTGCGGTCTAGACCGCTCTGCACCACATGAAACATTCCCCATGCCCCTTCGGCAGATTGCCTGCAGGACAGGAAAAACACTGGTGCCCGTCTTTTTTTTCGTACGCATGTGGCGCCCTAATAAGAAAAGGCGCAAAACAAGAGAGCCTAAAAAAGAAAAAAAACATCACGGTTCCTCGTGAAACCAGCGTCGATAGATCTTATTTTCTCGTGGTCAGAAAAATTTCTTCGCTCCCACCTGTCTTTTCTCCGGCCCGCTCGTTTTCTTTTCGCCTGGAGCCCCGTTTCATTTTGCTTTTTGCTTTTCGCTTGAGCTTCCCTCCCCAACAGGCTGAAACAACTTCATTCAAACAATACTACCGTTCGTTTACCAAGCTATTCTAGACTAACAAAAAAAACAACAACATCCTACTTCAACCAGAAACCTTGGCTAAACACCAAACCCGCCTTCTTTCTTTCCAACTAGTGTCCTTCTTTATCCGCATGCATACGCCATGAGACCTTCAGTTCTTTATGCTTTAGCTGTTTCGCTTTTGGCCCAGTCCGCTTTGGCTGCTCCTGTCTCGTCGACAACCCAGGGGAACTTTTTTCAGCAGTATCTCGAGTCTGTCGCTGAAAACTTTGGCCGACAAACACAGCAGGAGACAACTCTTTCTACAGCTGTAACTTCGCTGACTGCAAGAACATACACAGAGCCTGCTCCTACTCTGGACTCTCATCAGTCTCAGCTGCCCTTTGCGCTTGCAAACGAGTCTGACAACCCTAGCGCAGATTCTCCCGACAGTACTGCTACCGATGCAAACAGCCCTGAAGACAGTCCACAGAGTACTGCCTCTCCTGACACTTCTATCACGCATACAAACAGTCCTGACGACAGTCCGCAAAGTACTGATTCCCCTGAGAGTGTTACTTCATCTCCTGACACTTTTGATGCACAACAAAATGTGCAGAACAGTGAAGACAGAGAAAGTCCACTGCTCGCAAGCTCTCAAGATGATGAACCTGCACTGTCCAAACCTACACAACAACCAGCGGTATCTACTCCGTCGGAATCAACTCCGACAGTGCAGCCTGAACCTTCACCTGCAGCGACTTCTGCGCAGACTGCTTCACCAGAACCTTCGCCAGAGCCTTCTCCAGAACCTTCTCCAGAACCTTCGCCAGAGCCTTCTCCAGAACCCTCTCCAGAACCCTCTCCAGAGCCTTCACCAGAGCCTTCACCAGAGCCTTCACCAGAGCCTTCACCAGAGCCTTCACCAGAGCCTTCTCCAGAGCCTTCTCCAGAGCCCTCTGCACAACCTACTTCTTCATCTGAGGTTCCCCGTGAGACACCGGAGGCATCCACGGCTGGACCTGTACCCTCAGAGACCGCTCCAGCTCCGAAGTCTTCATCTGAAAGTGCTCCAGAAACACATGTGGAAACTTCTTCTCCAGCAAAGGCTATTGATTCTTCTGGTACCGAGACAGGGACTGCCACCGCGCCGGCTCCATCTTCGTCAGAGAAAGCCCCTATTGCTTCGATATCTGGTAACATACCATCTTCGAACCCAACGTTGGATTCAGGCTTTGACAATGCTCAACAAGCTGTGACAAACACGGATGACGCAAACTTAAGTTCAGGCGTTTCTTCGACTGAGACCGATGCATCTCAGACCGACAACCAGCGGAATACAGATGCTCCAGTGTCTTCAAGCGATTTACCGGCAACTTCTACAGATGGTGCCCCGGCTTCTGTACCCCCTAGTCTGACTGGTGACAATGCTCAGCAAACGGCAACCGGCACAGATATTTCCGAATCTCCTACCAATGCTCCAGTTCTGCCAACGGAGCTGCCAGTTGCCCCAACTGATGCGCCAGTGTCTCCTACTGATGTATCTTCAAACTCAGTTCCTGGGGAACCTAAGTCTAGAACAAGCTCTCCGAATGCTCCTGGCGCAACGGACACTGATGTGCCTTCCCTGCCCTCAGTAAGTCCATCGAATGTGCCTGCAACGGACTCTAGCAATACACCCGCACCTAACACGCCATCTGCATTGCCAGAAAGTTCGAGCAGCATCCCCCCGCAGCCAACTTCCAGCGATATTCCAGCTCCACCACCTTCAAGTGCAATTCCAGCTCCACCACCTTCAAGTACAATTCCAGCTCCACCACCTTCAAGTACAGTTCCAACTCCACCATCCTCAACTGCTGTTCCAGTCCCACCACCCTCAAGTGATATTCCTAAGACAGAATCAACGTCGAGTGTGGTCCCTCTTCCCCCACCGAGTGAAAGTTCGGCTGTTCCACCTTCAAGTGAGGTTCCACCAAATGTGGTTTCTAGTTCGACTCCTATCGTCGTTCCTCCAACTTCTAGCACCCCAAGCATCATTGCCTCGGACTCTAATGTTGTTCCAGCCACATCTACTTCTTCCGTTCCACTTGTTAATCCAACTGTCTCGAGTTTGGAAACTTCGTCGACAGTGCCAATTGTTCTGCCAACAACATCTGTGCAGACGTTGTCCCAGCAGACCTCAACGCCGCTGGAAGTTGCCGTTCCACAATCTCTGGAAGTTTCTACTCCTTCTACTGACACGTCAGTAACCACATCGGTGACTCCAGTGCTGGAGCAACCTTCGCAATTAGTAGAGACTACAAGTACTTCGTCAGCCGAAAACACCAACGAGGTCTCAGCACCAGTGGCTACTTCTACTAAACTGGCCCTGGTACCAGAAACCACAGAATCAGAGCCTGTTTCCACTGCGGAAAACCCTGCTTTCACGCAATCATCGAAAACAGCTGCTGCTTCACCTTCCTCGGCTCCTCAAGTTTCTCCAGCTCCTGAATCACCTACCACGATTCCGGCTGCTCCCACGGAAACCACGAGTGCTATTATACCACCAAACACCATAACCGCTTCTCCTGCCCCACCAGCGTCTACTGCAATCCCCGCTCCTGTTTCCCCATCAAATACACCGGGTGCTACTAAGTCCACTTCAAACTGGTTGCCCACACAAATCATTGCCGCTTCCGACACACAGAGTCTTATTGTTGCGTCGCATACGTCATCCCCAGAAACGTCCGGTTTGCCTAAAGCTATCACGCCAGCCACAACTGCATCTCCAGGTAGCGACTACCAAATTATCACCATCGGCTTTAAGGAAGCGTTGAACTATCCATTTGTTGTTGAACACTCTCTTTCTTCGGCTCAGATCTTCGATTACTTACCTCGTGTGTTAGTTTACCCATTTTCTGATAATGATCTTTTCGCTAATGTGACTATCAAGAGCTTGGTTCCATACACTGCAGCAGGAATCGATTATCTCATTACGGTGGCGGAAGTATACTTCCCTATTGAGTCCGTGGCAGCATTACAACTGCTTGTTTTGCTGACAGACTCAAAATTGTACAGCAACCCGGACAGCACTGAACGAATGTTGGCCTCGTTGATCGATAATAGAATTCCCCTCTCTGGATTGGATACATCTTCTTCCTCAGGCTCATCTTCACTGAATTATGGATCGATGGATTCATCCAATTCCCCTGTGAAGGAGAAGGGTACCGTGGCAGGTGTCGCTACAGGTGCAGGTTTGGGAATGATTCTTTACATGTCATTGATGGCATTCTTGTTCAAGAAGTTCAAGAAGAGAAAAGCTTTGGAGCTTCCTCCTTCGGACTCCGAAAGCAACTTGGGCAATCAATCTCCAGTTCAAAGTAACGGCTCTGGTGGGAGACCACAGATTTCGCAACCAGTGAACACGTTCAACTCGCTTGGCTGGGCACCATGATTGAACAGTTTTATTTCGAGCTAGCATTATGAAACAGAGCGGCAACGACGACCCAAACGGCGCTGCTCTTTCTATTACAACAAGTGTCGGGATTTTCTATCCGCCTCTTCGGTTTTCTATACGTTTACATTATTCTGTTGTATACCCAATATTACATACATATTTTACACTAAAGATGCTATGTGCTCGTAGAGCAGATCAACCACATTCGCCGAATCGTCATCCAAAGTTTCTTGCAACTCGTCGATTAATTCTTGACGTTGGTTCAAACTGTGTTCTTTAACATGTTCGAAAATAAAATCAATCAACAAGTTCTCTTTGATCCCCAAATACTCCTCGATCAAATCACTGATTTTCGATTTAATAGTATCTAGCTTTTCTGCGGACAAATTTGCAACCGAAATATCAACAGCTTGTTTTTGGACCACATTATTGACTTTCTGCGCTGGAAGAGTAAACAGATGTGTGTTTGAAGTACTCTCGAGTTCTTCCTTTTCATCCAATGCATCCAATTCTTCTTCTTTTGCTAGCTGAATATTTCTCAAACGAACATACTCCAGATGATTAGAGTAATGCAATTGGAGTCTCGCACTCAACGCTGAGTTGGCTCGAGCAAGATCCATATCGTCAAAACTCTTGATCTCGTCGATGTATGCGGCCTTGTTTTCGATCAAGTTTGATTCATAGTTTTGCAAAAGTGCCAACTGGTCTAAAAGTGCTTGCTTTTCGCTCTTCTCCAACTGTTGCATTTCAGCAAGCTTCGCGTTGTATTCAGCTGCATCGGCACGCAACTTCTCCTCTTTTATATGTTTTTGATATTCTTCCTCCGTTAGGCCTGCTAGAGGGTCACTGTTCTCTTCATTGTCTTCCATATCCAAGTCTTTCACTGAAATTGTCCCCAGAGAATCAATAGCCGCCTCTCGTATTCCTTCAAACATCTGAGTGAGGCGAGCTTTGGCGTTCTTTCTTTCTTTTTCCATCTCTTTCTTTCTCCTATCCCGCTCAATTTGGAGCATCTTGGATCGGAAATTGATAATGTCTCGAACGATGACCTCTTTCATATCTTTCGGTACTTCTACCAACTCAGAATTCTCCACCTTGTATGTTCTGTAATACTGCATCACCCGATCTAAATCCTCTGTTCCAGTTCTTCCCAGATCCAGGCTGAAACTGCTCTTGTTCAGCATGACTTTACTCACAAATGTAGATAACTCTTCTTCGGAAGAAGTTGGTATTTCTTCTGCGCTAGAGCCGTCAATTTCATTATCGAAAACAATGCTAAAATCTGAAATAGTATCTGAAAAGACATTTCGATTTCTGTGAAGCCATTCAATGGCCAGCAAACTTGCAAACTTCACGAAAACATTTCTTCGATCTCCATGTATTCCTATATTTCTCTCAAGAACCGTCGACCATGTGAAGGATCTGGGTACGTTTGGAGGGCTGAGACTCATAAGTTGCCGAAGAATACGATCAACAATCTGTCTTTTAAACGATGGGAAGCCTTGCAAAAGTACAGTGGTCATCTGCTCTTGGCGGTTCAGTGGACTCAATTGTGATAAAGGAACAAAGGAGGCAGGTTCCACATCTTCATCCTGAACATCAAAAACCTCACTATCTGCGTCGTGTGCTTCATTTTTGTTTGCACCTTGGTTGATTTTGGATGCTTTAGTGATGGCCAGGTTATTCTCTTGGACTATGGTAGAAATGTCGACCTGAGGGGATATAGGCACCAACAAGGTTGGCTGAAGAACTTTTTTTTTGGGAACATAGCCTGATAGCACTGAAAGTACCGACTGGTTATTGTCTGAGCTTACAGTAAACGGTCCAGCTAGCTTTATGGTATCCATATTCCAGTAAGAGGTAAGAGGACTTTGCAAGGCGCCAAAAACCTGCAGGATCGGAGTATGGGAAGAAATTAGATGAGATGTGAAGATACAACAGACTAGGGCAACGATCACAAGGAAAAAGAGACACGTAGACAAAATCGGCCAAACTAATCTGACTATTTTTCTGCTTCTCAATGAAGCTGGTCTGAACAACAATTCTATTAACAACCCAAGTTGGAGAGGTACGGATCTACACCACATCACACGTCAAAGGTTACTATTGCAAAATGAATTCGTTCACCATGTCAGACTTGGAAGGGTTCATCCCAGCTGACGTAGACCACTCAAAAGAAGAGCATCTATTAAATCTGAAGCAAGGAGAAGGAAATTCAAAGTTGCCTTTGAAACCCACGAAAAATAAAGACAAATGGGAAATTGCATATGCCTCAGCGGTTGAAGAGCCCAACAATATCGAGAAGTGGAACGAACTTTTCGACTTACTCGACGAAAAATGGGAGCAACTACAGCCTACAGAGCGTTCGGAAGCTTTTAAGACATCCGTTTCTTCGTCATACGCCAAGCTTCTTCTGCGGTTTCCGTATCTCACAGAACATTGGAAACGCTATCTGATTGTCCAATATAAAATGAATGGCATTGATGAATCGCTAAACACTTTGCGCCATAGTACAAGAAGAAATCCACAATCGGTATCATTGTGGGTCGATTTCCTAAGTGCAATGTTGGCCGTTCACGAATCAAAACCAGAAAACGAAAAAGAAACTCATTTGAAAGACATAAGAAAAGAGTTCAAATCTGCGGAGCAATTTATCGGGCTCAACTATAATTCAGATCCTTTCTGGAACAAATATATCGAGTTTGAGACGAAGTATGCTACAGAAGAACCATCTTTATCTCTTCTTGAATTATACAAACGGCTCATATCGATCCCTTTATACCAGTACGCCCAGTATTATAATCAATTTTGCCAAATCTCCAAAAACTATAGCGTCGAACATGTTGTGAAAGACGAGCAGATGCTCCAACAATTCTTGACCCTGTATTCAAAATCACTGGTCAAAGACCTTTCCATTGTGGAACAGCACCAGATCATCGATGCATACGCATACAGTGTGTTCGTTGAGACACAGAAGAAAGTCAATGAAAAATGGGCCTTTGAATCTCTCGTGACTCTTCAAGAGTTTCTGCTACGTGACATCTCAGAGATACAGAAACAATATGAGTCCTGGGAAAAATATGCAGACTATGAAATAGCTTGCTTGCAGAGTATTAGCGATGAAAAAAGGGGATTCCAGTTCCAGCTTGTTAGCAGCGTTTTCGAGAGAGCCTTGGTTCCTCATTGTTTCAACGCAAACTTATGGTTGAAGTACATTAAGTTCTTGGAAGATAATACATCAGATCCCACAGAAAGGTTTTCATCCGTCAAAGCAGTCTACGATAAAGCTATCTTCGAATTTGTCCCTCTAGATGAAAGCAATATTAGGGAGCAGTTTGTGCTGTTCTTGATGAGCAATGAAAAGTTTGATCTTTGCAATGAGTTCTTACTAGATTGTATTCGTCTTTTTTCTGGAATTACCGGGAGCGGTATTTATGCCAAGAAAGCATACATTCATGAAGTCAGACTGATACTTCAACTTTGGGAGGATAATGTGGATATTTCGGAACTTCTCATCCTTCTAGAGGGAATAATTTCTGGATATTTTGAACGAATTGACAGATACAAGAAAGAAGTGGATGCCTCGCCCACCCAGAAGCAAGAAAAGTCAAAATATGAGTTCAAGTCATCATATTCCACTGCCTTATCCAGATTTCTCAACGATGATGGGATATGTATAATCACTGCTCATTATCTTAGACTACTACCAGATTCTGACAAGATCAGAAATTTTTTTAACAAATACCATCGAGAAGAACCATTATCCAGGTCGGTGCAGTTCTGGAAGTTTTTCATTGAGTTTGAGGGTTACAAAGAGCACAATTTGATAAATTTACGAACTATTTTCTCATTCATCAAAACGAAGAGCTCTCTACCAAAACAGGCTGTGGATGCATTTGTTGATATATACTATGACATAATTTGTGCAAATATGGCTGAGGCTTTATGTTTGCGATCTCGCGATGACTTCTTGGACATCCTTATTAATCGCGATATCGAGAAATCTGACGACTTAGTGGTCAATGTGTCTGCTAGAAAAAGACTCGCGAGAAATAATTACATGCTTCGAGATGCGGGAGACCCCAGAGGAAAAGCCAACTTACAGCACCTGCTGAAAGAAGAAGAACTCATGAATATGAGACTGAAACATTTAGACCACCCCGGAATTTTTGTTGATGCTGCGCCAGAGTTCACGAATAGCATGTTTGATAGAAAAGAGTGGGTATCACTCCTCGACACAAACTTAACCGCACCGCCTCTTCCACAAACAAAAAATGTGGAAAAGGCCAATGCTAACATTAGATACTCGGACGAGTAATTGATAGGTCAATACTTTAAACGGCATCGCTTTGGCGTCCAATAATCAACAAGTCAGAGCGCACTTTCGCTTTAGATGTACACTTGTTATCACCGTAAACCTCCAAAATATTAAGTTTGGGACATTCTTCGCTGACTAAAGCAGCAACTCCATCATCAAAGGCTCTGACAAAGCCAACATCCAAGCGCGTTAGAAGCGGGAAATTCACCTTCAGAAAAAAAACCTTCTTCTCCTCCTCATTTTCGATTGTGTCATTGACACCATCTTCAATTGATTCCTTGAGGGTGTTTTTCCAAGTAGCATTATCATCTGTTAATACTTGCAATAGGAAAGATTTGGTCAATTTGTTAAGCGAGTTCAAAGAAAGCTCGACAAGCGTGTTTCCTGAATGGACAAGCAAAGCATGGATCGCTTTATCTCCCAAGCCTACACACTTCGTAAGATCCACAGTAACAAGACCGCCACTGTTTATTGCCGAAAACTCTTCAAAAGCCTGAACGAAACCTTCGTCAGTAATCAAGTCAAGATTTCGCATCGAAAGAGATTCGAGATTGGGACAGAATTTTCCTACTCCTTCAATTAGAAATTGATCAGTAAGGCTCGAGCATCCGTCAACATTAAGGTGCCGAAGTGATTCGCCAGTGACAGCAAGAATGTAAATTAATAGCTCATCTGTGATAATATCGGTCTTGCATGGATAAGAAAGCTCGAGACTAGTCAATGTAGAGGGGCCAAGAAACTCTGGAATGAGTTCGTAGATTCCAACGGTGTCTAGACTGTCCAAGCGAGAGAGTTTCAACGACGTCAAGTTCCGACCCCATCGCTCCAATAGAGCTAATAGAGCGTCGTTACCAAAGCGGTGGGTGTTACGGATCTCAAACTGTTGCAACGGACATTGGGCTTCTTTGAAGAAAGAAGTCCACATCTGGTCACTGATCAAGAAAGGCCCATTCAAGGCCAACTTTTTAAGATTCAAAAGCTTGTCTTTATAGTAAATGAGATTGTCGTTGTGGAACTGCCCGCACATGAACAAAGTCAAGGCTTCGAGTTGAGAACAGTACGCAGCAATCTTGTCAAAACAAGCACTAGACACATTCAGACAATCCCAGAATTCAATCTCTCGAATATCAGGACTCAAAAAAAGGGTCATTGTCTCATCATTGAGAGACCTGTTTTTCGATAGAATTCGTGAGATCTTATTTATGTTCGTCTGGCCAATCTCGCCTAAGGCTTCAACATCAGAGATGTTCTTCGTAATGACGCGAATGCATACATCTTGTAATGATGGGACATGTACTGTAGTTCGATCAAGTAGCGCTTGAGCCAAGCGCTTACGCTTCTTCCTCGCGTTCAACTGATTTCTTCTAGCAGCTTTTTCTTTCTTCTTGAGTGCCTCATTACAGTCCTCACATAGGTATCCCTTGTGCAGATCAAGGTAACGTGAGTACACTGTGAGGGTGAAGGAGTTACCGCAGTCAACACAAAGATCCTGTTCACCAAATTTATGTCCCACATCCAAATCGTCACCGCTTGACGCGTCATCGGAAATGTTGAAGTCGCTATCGGATCCACTGTCCGAGCCGCTATCGCTTCCCTTGGCAAGTTTGCGTGCTGCTCGTCTTTTCTTGCGTCCTGCCGTGCGGATCTGCTCTTCTTCACTAGAAATCTCTTCGGTGGCGCTAGGTTCTGGTTCTTCTGGTGTACGAGACGTCGGTGTGTGGATCTGCCTTCGGCGAAACGCGTCTGTGATTCCTTCATTTTTAAGAAACTCGGTTAATGCCGAGTTGGGCCCGCGTACTCCTGATCTGGGCCTGGACATGGGTAGGTAGCAAGTAGAAGCAAGTAAGATCAGAAGATGAGTGGCGAGGTGCACGGGTGCGAAATAAGATCAGTGTTGCAAATGAACGCTCTGAAAGATGAAAGAAGATAGTGAGTAGGCGGAAAAGAGTTCTAAGCAAATGAAGAAGCAAGGAAATATGCTTGCAGTTGTAGTTTCCGTTAGAGAACAAAGAGGGTGGTGCCTATTGGTAATGGTCTGTGCATGCAGTGATAAGCATCGCGGCAGATAAGACAAGCCGGTAGTAATATAAAAAAACCACTCTTGGGGCAAGATGTCAAGTCTGTGACCATTCATGTAAAAAATACGGTCTGAACATATGACAACAAACTTACATATGACTACAGACTATAAAGAGACTGTGCATACAAATAAATATACTAAGTAGTCACTCCAATGCATGCATCAAGAATATGCGTACTAGTCAGTACACCGAGACTGCCTATTCCAAGAGCCACGGCCGAGCATCCCAAAACCCATCCTTGATGATATCTTCATGATAAACCTTAATCTCCGCCTTCAGCCGCCGTTTTTGAACGCGCTGTTTCTGTCTCGGCGTCATACCCTTCTCGTCCACCGGGGTCCAGTCTTCATACTCGCGCACAATAATCAGCCCCTTCTTGAACATTTCTGGTTCGTTATTGTAGTTGATGCCACATCTCGAGAAGAGAATCTCGTTTTTATCTGCTGCTAGCGTGCCCAGAAGTGCTTGTTCCGCCTCTTGACCTGACATGCCGCATTTCTGCACCAAGCCCCAGAAAGACGTATTGTATAGATTGTTGATGTGGCAGTCCACTTGGCGCCAGCTGAAATAATCTCGTAATACTGCTGCATTAGGATAAACAACTGCCCGGGCATCAAACGTGGGAAGCCGCCCACTGTGTATCTGCTTCTCTGGGAATTCCTGATTCCATTGCATCACATAATGCACAGACATGAAAGATGCAAACGTAGACACTAATTTCATCTCTCTGCGTTCAAACAAGGCGCACGAGCGCCGCAAAAGGAACAGGTACTCGTCCGAATCGCCGTATGCCATGGTAATATCTGGAAACTGCTCGAGCATAGCCGAAGCAGCTCGGTTCATGACTTGAAGTGCACGTACATCGTTCGGTTTAGCAAAAGAATACTCCTGGCTGAACTTGTGGAATCCTTTACCATCCACACGAATAACAATGTATGTATCTGGGAGGAGATAGTTCTCTCGTTCAAAGGCCTTGACGTACTCAAAGCGAGAATTGGCCATTATGTGAAGAAGACTGATGAAGAATTTGAACAGCCAGACTTATGATTGGACTGGTAAAGGTGTTCTGGTCAGTACGAATCACAATAGACTTCAATGTGATGATAATGTATAAGTTCTATTGGTAACGATGTAAACTGAAATAGAATGCAAAAGTGGTAGGCCACGTATTAAATATTGAAGGCACGAGTGTTCAGGGAATTCAATAGTAAATTAGGTCTCTTGTAGCCTTTCGAGACAAGTATTCGATTCTATGGATAGTTAACATTTCCATAATTATGTATGACTTTCGTGTGTTCTGGTGTGCACACAAAGCGATGCATCTTAATCGTACAGTTGTTCTGGTCATGATCGCTGACACTAGTCTGGATGAGAAAAAGGAGTGAAAATCCAAGTGAGGTCTATGGATATAGAGGATTCTTATTTGTTTCAGTCTGGAACATCAGAACCCGGGTGCCATTTGCCATAGATTATTTATTGATAGGCCACGTGACGTCACATGACCAACTCGCACCTCATCCCATCGAAAACGATTTTCGCTTTCCCATTTTCCAATCTCCAACCATGGGTGCCCAGTTCAGAACTCTAGAGCGGGAAAAACGCTTCCAGAACCCGCCTAAAGATAAAAGCGCGTACCCTCTTTTGGCCGATGCCGTGGCTCCCCACGTTGGATCGTTCAATGCGCTCACTGAAGGCGCCGATGGTGGACTTTTGAATCTTGCCGTTAAAGACATTGGCACCAAAACCATTTTCGATTCCAACGACGAAACTCGTTTGGGAAACAAGTTGAAAATCCGTGTGGACTCTGTTCAGTTGGCCCGTCCAAGTGTGCCTCCTACAGACAAACTTTCTGTCAACAGAAAAACTTTCCCATCCGAATGTAGAGAGAGAATGTCCACCTACAGAGGAAAGCTCTTGATGAAAGTCGTTTGGAGCGTTAACGATGGCGAGGAAGTCTCCGAGGTGAGGGATGGTGGCCAGGTGCCCATCATGTTGAAGAGTAACCGTTGTCACTTGGAGAAATTGTCTCCTGACGAATTGGTGGCTCAGAAGGAGGAGAGTGACGAGTTGGGTGGTTACTTCATCGTCAACGGTATTGAGAAGTTGGTGCGTATGTTAATTGTGCAAAGACGTAATCACCCAATGGCGTTGATCCGTCCATCTTTCGGAAACAGAGGTGCTCTGTACACCAAGTTTGGTGTCCAGATCCGTTGTGTTCGGCCCGACCAGACGTCGCAGACGAACGTCTTGCATTATTTGAAGGACGGTAATGTCACCTTCCGTTTTTCGTGGCGCAAGAACGAGTACTTGGTTCCAGTGGTGATGGTGTTGAAGGCCTTGGTGGAAACTAATGATCGTGAGATTTTCGACGGAATTGTCGCTGCCGACACATCCAACTCGTTTTTGACTGATCGTTTGGAGTTGTTGTTGCGTACTTATAAGCAATACAACCTCCACTCCCAGAAGTCCACATTGGCTTATCTTGGAGACAAGTTCCGTGTCGCTTTTGGTGCTACCCCTGACGTTTCGGACATCGATGTGGGCCGCGAAGTGTTGAAGAGAATTGTGCTTGTCCATTTACCTGACAATGCCGACAAATTCCGTCTTTTGTTGTTCCTGATCCGCAAATTGTACACTCTTGTGGCTGGCGACTGTGCCCCAGACAATCCAGATGCGACCCAGCATCAAGAGGTTTTGTTGGGTGGTTTCTTGTACGGAATGATCATCAAGGAGAAGATCGAAGAGTATTTGCAGAACATCAAGATGCAGATTTCCTCGGACATTGGTCGTGGGGTCCGTGTCAACTTCAACGATAGAAAGTACATGTCTCGTGTGTTTATGCGTACGAACGAGAACATTGGCCAGAAGTTGCAATACTTCTTGTCCACCGGTAATTTGGTTTCACAGTCGGGTCTTGATTTGCAGCAGGTTTCCGGTTACACGGTTGTGGCTGAGAAAATCAACTTCTACCGTTTCATCTCGCACTTCCGCATGGTTCACAGAGGTTCTTTCTTTGCCGAGTTGAAAACTACTACTGTTCGTAAATTGTTGCCCGAGTCTTGGGGCTTTTTGTGTCCTGTCCATACACCCGATGGATCGCCCTGTGGTTTGTTGAATCACTTGGCCCATAAGTGCCAGATTGCCACCAAAGCCTCCGACGTTTCGGCTGTCCCAGCAGCATTGGCTCGTTTGGGTGTCTCACCTGCTCACACTTTTGCTGCAGGTCCTGGCTTGTGCTGTGTTCATTTGGACGGAAAGATCGTCGGATGGACCTCTCACGAACAAGGTAGAATTGTGGCTGACTCCTTGCGTTTGTGGAAAGTACAAGGTCTCCACAACTTACCAAAAGACTTGGAAATCGGTTATGTGCCACCATCATCTAAGGGTCAATACCCCGGTTTGTATCTTTTTGGTGGTCACTCGCGTATGATGAGACCAGCCAAGTACTTGCCTTTGGATAAGGAAGACATTTTGGGTCCATTCGAACAGGTGTACATGAATATTGCTGTGACACCAGCGGAAATTGAAGAGAATGTCCACACTCATGTGGAATTTGCACCAACAAACATTTTGTCCATTTTGGCCAACTTGACCCCATTCTCCGACTTCAACCAGTCGCCCAGAAACATGTATCAATGCCAGATGGGTAAGCAAACCATGGGAACTCCAGGTGTGGCTCTTGTCCACCGTTCAGACAACAAACTTTACCGTTTGCAGACAGGCCAGACGCCTATTGTCAAAGCCAATTTGTACGATGACTATGGAATGGACAACTTTCCAAATGGTATGAACGCTGTTGTTGCCGTCATTTCTTACACAGGTTACGATATGGACGACGCCATGATCATTAACAAATCCGCAGATGAGCGTGGTTTCGGTTACGGAACAGTGTACAAGGTGGAGAAAGTGGATCTTTCCTTGTCTCGTAGAAGAGGCGACCCCATCACACAGCACTTTGGCTTCGGTAGCGACGAATGGCCAGAAACATGGAAAGAGAAGTTGGACGACGATGGATTGCCGCTTATTGGTGTGAAAGTGGAGGAAGGCGATCCCATCGTGGCTTACTTTGACGAAACTTTGGGCAAGACGAAGATCAAGACTTATCACTCTAGTGAGCCTGCTTACATTGAAGAAGTTAAGCTTTTGGCTGATGATACCGGTGATCTGGAATGCCAGCAGATCACCATCAAATACAGAGTTACACGTGCACCTTTGATTGGAGACAAGTTTTCGTCTCGTCACGGTCAAAAAGGTGTTTGCTCGCGTAAATGGCCTACCGTGGACATGCCATACTCGGAGTCTGGAATTCAACCAGATGTCATCATTAATCCACACGCTTTCCCCTCTAGAATGACTATCGGTATGTTTGTCGAGTCTTTAGCTGGAAAGGCCGGTGCTTTGCACGGAATTGCCCAAGATTCAACACCTTGGAAGTTCTCTGAAGACGATACTCCAGCAGACTTCTTTGGTGAGCAATTGAAGCTTGCAGGCTACAACTACCACGGTAACGAACCCATGTATTCTGGTGTTACTGGAGAAGAACTCAGGGCGGACATCTACATTGGTGTTGTGTACTACCAGCGGTTGCGTCATATGGTGAATGATAAGTTCCAAGTCAGATCTACCGGTCCTGTCAACTCGTTGACCATGCAACCCGTCAAGGGAAGAAAGAGACATGGAGGTATTCGTGTGGGAGAGATGGAGAGAGATGCCTTGATTGGTCACGGTACCGCTTATCTTCTTCAGGACAGATTGTTGAATCTGTCAGACTATGCACAGACGCCGATCTGCCGTTCTTGTGGCTCGTTGCTCAACACACAAATGTCCGTGCCCCGAATCGGATCGTTGGCTTCGGTCAAGTGCCGTAGTTGTGCTGACAAGTTGGAGACATACATTAAAAAGGGCGAGTATGTAAACGAGGCCGATATTTGGGAGGACGGTCTGGGAACAAAGTTTGTTGGAGGAGCTGACACTACCACTGTGGCCATTCCATTTGTGTTGAAGTATTTGGATTCGGAGTTGACGGCAATGGGAATCAAAATGCGCTACAATGTTGCCCCACTCTAAGACCACTTTGTCATTGTCATATTATCATATCTTCATTAAAATCATTTGTATCAATTTACCAGAGATTGTAGAACGGCAAGGTAGTATGCTTACTCGCAGATGTTTGTGATTTGATACGACAGGACATAAAGGCATGTATCAGATTTGATTTGCAGGGTGTATGGAACTGTAGTATGGATCACCAGTTCCAACGTTTTACAACACCTAGTAGCCAATGCAAGTGAAGACAACTTTCATACTCTTTGTTCTTTTATTTCCTCAAGTGGCTGTACGTCAATAGCGAATACGCTTAAGTAAGTAGAAGAATAAGCTTCCACAGCTACATTTCATGTCCAGCCTGAGCATTGTATTATAAAAGCAATATCTTAAAAAAATTAAAGGTCTTTGCGGGGTATTACTTACTTCTTTTGTCTGGTTCCCTTAGGCACTCTGGCTAACCAGTAGAAGAAAATAGTCAAAATGATGTTGATGCAAATGAACGCAACGAAAATACCATAGTTTCTCCATCTCTGATCGTACTTCGCATTCACAGAAGACAAAAATGCGTTTGTGGTGGCCATCTTACAATATTGACAATCGGAAGTCGCACTTTCGTTGACCAAGTAACCACCAGCCTTGGCAATATAATCTTTCATGTACTCACCACAGGTTTTGCCCAGAGTAGGGTCGAAAGTAAGAAGTTCTCTAGTAGCACAAACAACTTTAGTATTCGCCAACGCTGTACTCAACATGGCTTGAATCAAATACGTGAACGGATTGCATCTGTACATGAAAATCCAGAAGCCAGGCAAGAAGTTTGGACCAGCCAAGACACCGCAGAAGTTCAAGCACATGATAAACAATAAGTTTGCAAGGTTTGCTGCATTATCAGCTAACTCGACAAATGAAACACACAATTGACCCATCGTGGTGGTGTAGACATAGAAGGAAATAACAAGTAACCACATAGTTGCACCACGCTGGTTGACCATATCAGTAGGTTCTGCGTTCTTGTAGAAACCAGCAGGATAATACCAACAGAAGAAAGACAATGTACCGACAGCAATCTGGAAGGGAACTTCTGACGTGATTTGCGCAGAAATGAAAGCAGCCCAACTGAAGGTTCTCGAAGGAGCTTCTCTAACTTCATAGATTTCTCTTTGCTTGATATAGAACGGTAACATTTGCTGAATCATAGTCTGGAAAGGCATGAAAAACATGAACATCGAAAACATTTGATTTTGCAATCCTTGTTGCGAGGTACCAGCTTTGAAAAAGGAGAAACCATTGAACAATGACGAAGAGATCACCAAAAAGAGCTTAGCATAAATGTAGCCTGGAGTTCTCCAATCTTGTTGAATTGTTCTCCAAGTCACAATGAAGTATTGTTTCCACAATGGTGCAGCGTAGGTTAACTTAGCGTCAGGCGATTCATCCCTTGGAAGTTTCACCAATTCAGTTTCCATGCGGTCTAACTCCTTTTGCACATTAGCGTATTCAGTGGAATTTTTCCAGACTTCGAAGTAGTCTTGCAGAGCCTTCGAACCTGGTGCTGCACCGACAACCTCCAACATCCATTCTGCTGGGTTTGCTTCCTTAGGACAAGGGTGGGCGCCATACTTCTCGAAGTAGTTGATCAATTCCTGACAGTTTTCTCCTAAGTCACCAAAGTAGACAGTCTTACCACCCTTTTGCAAGAACAATAAGCGGTCGAATTCCTTCAACAAAATAGCGGAAGGCTGGTGAATGGTACACAAAATAGCCTGGCCATGGTCGGCCAACTTTCTCATCAACTTACAGATAGACCAAGCAGTTTGAGAGTCCAAACCAGAAGTAGGCTCATCCAAGAAAAGTAACAATTTTGGTTTAGCCACCAATTCAACACCAATGGTCAACCGTTTACGTTGCTCGACGTTCAAACCTTCACCAGCAACACCAACCAAGGCATCTGCGTATGCTCTCATTTCTAATAAGTCAATGATGTAGTCAACATATGCATCCTTCTCGGCCCTTGATACAGAATATGGTTGTCTCAAGTAAGCAGAGAAAGTTAAGGCTTCACGAACAGTGGACGTAGGCAAATGGATATCTTGCTGCTGGACATAACCGATAGATCTTTGGAAAGAAGAGTCTAATCCATGACCGTTGACCATTCTCTGGCCATCAGTGATAGTACCCGACGTGACTCTTTCGGACAAACAGTTCAACAATGTAGTCTTACCAGCACCAGAAGCACCCATCAATGCAGTGACTTGACCAGGAGCAACCCAACCATCGACGTGGTTCAAAATAACTCTGTCCTCTGACTTAATCTTCACAGAGTAAGTCAAGTCTCTCCAATGGAAAATGTCTCTTTGCTCTTCAATCTTCTCTGAAGAAGAGTTCTCATTCTCGTCGCCGGCAGCCTCCTTGTAATCAATCTTTTCGTTAGGAAGATTATTCTCCAAATCATCCGAAGTAGCCTTGTTTGCTTCAGTTTTCTTCTTCATTTTCTTCAACGAGCCCTTCAAATAAATAACAATTTCACCCTTTTGCATAGCGCCCTTGTTGAACTCGGTTAAAGAAACGTAGACACCCAAGAAAACAACAATGTAAGCAATAACAATACCAATGTTTCTCCACTTGTGAGAGTTATGGTAATCGTATGACTTGGCCAAGAAAGCGGTACCAGAAACAGTTGCACGACCTCTCACAGCACCAACAACATTACAAATATTGTTTTCAGTCGCTACTTGAGGATAGCCAGGACCAGATGGGATATACTGCGAACATTCGTACTCCACTCCAGCAAATTCGTTCACCATCAAGGATTCGAAGACATAAGACACAGGATTGATATATTGGATCCATCTGCACCAACCCAACATATTTGGAATAGGGATAACAAAACCAGTGAAAATAACCATAGCCAACAAAATCACGGTGGCTGGTGTCATGGCACCTGCCAAGGACGTAGAAACTGCACCCAATGATCTAAACATGTGGGACATGCACAAAGTACAGAAACCACATGCAAGCCAGTAAAAGAAGAACCGTCCTGGATTACGTCTAAAATGCACCATGAAGTAGAAGGTGAAATTGAAGAAGGTCGACATGGCTAATTTCACAGGAAGTTCTGAGACAATGGAAGCCATGGCATCAGCCGATGGTCGGTACAACGCAAACTTCTTGTGCTTTTCGACAATAGGACGAGCCTCAAACAAAGTCATGATTTCCAATAACGAAGCGAAAGCATTGAACAAAACAGCAAAAAACATCGATGCACCACGGTAGTAGAAAGAATCGGTAACACGTTGCAAGTTATAGAACACAGAAGACAAGATTAAACCCATAATACCCTGACCAACGACAGAAAAGAGAGGGATGGATGGATCACCTTTCATTCTGAGGAAATTACGTTGCACGATGTACTTCACCTGCATTCCGAAAGAAACAGTAAATGGAGAACCTGGATGAACGTTCTTCGACTGTTTAGCATTATGCGACTCCTTGTACAATGCTTTCGACTCACCTTTCTCCATCTCCGCCATGTAATTGTCAATGCCTGCAATCAAGTCCTTGTACTCTTGAGATGCACGCCAGTAGTCAGAGAACTCCTTAGCAGTACGAGGAACCTTATTCTCATATCCGGGACGAACAATTCTCTCGGCTGGGTTAGTCAAAGAAGTCAAGTAATCAGCTGTGGTTTGACGTTGAGGGCATTCGTATCCCATGTTCTCGAAAAACGCCTTAGCACTGGCGGCTTTTCCGAAGTAAATTTGATAACCTTCGTAGAGCACAATGACATTATCGAAGAGATCATATGCATCCTGGGAACACTGGTAGATGGCAATCAAGGGAGTAGCATCCAAAATAGCTGCGGCGGTCTTCAAAGCACGAATAAACTCCAATGCAGTGGCTGCATCCAAACCTCTGGTGGCATTATCCCAACATTGGATGTTAGCACCACTCAAAGAAGCCTCGGCGATAGAAACACGCTTTCTCTCACCACCGGAGACACCACGCACAAAGTCATTTCCAACCTTTGTGTTTCTGGTGTGGGAAAGACCATATGTGGCCATGTACACAGACGCCATGTGTTTGGCGTATTCTTCTCTAGAAACGTTACCTCTGTTTTGGGGAGTACGCAATCTAGCGGCAAACTCTAAGGTGTGACCCACACTCAAGTGAGGGAAATGCATATCTGTCTCTGCAGAGTACACCACATCACCACGGTGGTGTTTGGCGATCTCGTCTGGAGTGAAGCCATCGTATGAAATCTTCGACTCTTTGCCGATATGGAAACCATATGTGTTACAGGCAATGGTCTTCAAAAGCGTAGAACATCCAGAACCTGGACGACCCAAAACCACAGTCACTTCACCGGGTTTGAAGTAGCCATCCATGGGCTTCAAGATGTCGAAATAACGGCTCTCATCCTCCTTGCGAAGCGAACGGATACCCTCCACAGCCATCTTCCACAAAGCATCGGTGACAGTAGGCTGGTAGTCAGAGTCAGTAGCCACACCGTATGCTCTCAAATCGCGGTATGCGAGACCCAATTTGGAAGGCTTGTAGTAGTCTGGGTCCAGCTGATACAATTTGCGCATGTTCTTGACCCAGAACTTGGCATTGAAGTTCTCGCTCTCTGGGTTCAAAGTGTCATCCACACCATCTTCAAAGGGAGGCACACCTGGAACTTGCGACATGTGCGACAAGTAACGGAGAAGACCCTCAGACGATTTGGATTTGTCACTTCCCACAGAGTTCTGAGTCAAGGTTCTGGCCAACTGGCGAATTTCGCCCTCGTGGCCCTGGAAGCCTCTGTACTCATTGACAGAAGCATTCTCACTGGACACAGCATCTGAGTAATCCTTTTCAACCAGAGGTTGTTCTGGAGTTGAGGCCATTGTATAGCGCTCGGAATAAATAAGAGGATAGTCGGCTTAAAACAAGAAAAAACCCTTCTACAAATGGGCCATGTGCCAACCTCTTATATCCCTGTGATGTTGCAGGATAAATTTCGTTTCCGGAACTTTAGAACCACCCGAAACTCCGTGTGCGCGCTTCGATTAGGTCTGTTGCTGCGGCTTGGTCGGACATACGGCGTGTGGCGGCTAAAAACATAGGCGTTGGTTCCCTCCTCGCGGAGCTTACTAAGAGACCAGTGGCAAATTATACTCGTTTAAGCTGGGGTGCCGTATCTATTTTTTTATTTTGTATGAGCAGGTAAGTATGATGGGATTCAACAAAAGTGCCCCTGTTGGAATATGTGCAATGTATTGTGTTTTTTGCTGCTACGTTTTGGCTAGCCCATTTATTCTGTTGGCGAACGTTCAAGTAAAGAGGGCTCGCTTCTTTTTCCTGTTTGGATCCTGCAAACTGCGTCCGTTGGCGGTGATAAGATGGCCACTGTGCAGGGGCAACAGAAAAAAGCAGACAAAAGAAAAACAAACTTTTGGGTACTGTCCTTCATACAGTCGGTTTCGGGTCAGGGTTTTACCGAACTCCAGCCAAAGTGTACGCCGGGTCTTCGCATACGTCTTTTACCGGTTCAGCCTCTCGCTTAGCCCAATCTCCTATCTTGACACAGAGGCGTGCGTGCCTTTCGTTTCCCTTTTCTTTTTTTTTCTCTTCATTTTTCCGGCTGCAGCTGGGCCAAACGTTCTGCCGAAATCCGCCCAGAACTTTCTTGTAACTCCCCTCAACCCGACGATCTGGAGTCACGTGTGTTATAGCCGCACGCTGCCCGTCTTCATTTCCTAAAACAGCACCATTGTTCTATGTACAGGGCGGAATTCTGTTCCGTTCCATTCCTCCGGATGTCAGTACTGCTTGCCACAATTATACAAGTGTGGAACGTTACATCCATCAACCAATAAGTGGCTGACTCCACGTCATATTCTGTCTTATTCAATTTTGTTTCAAGCAAAGCGGTATGGCAAATTTCTAGTTCGGCTGGTGTTTTCAGCCCTGGTATCTGCAAGTCATAATTCCTTTTTGCTCATTTCTCTGTTCCTTTTCCTTTTTTTGATCTCTAGGTTCTTGGTTAGCGCACGCTACCCCATCACCACCAAACCACAACAACAACCGTTTTGCAGTCCTGCACGCTATACAGTTCCCGCACGTGATATCAAAACAAAGCACTAGGTGTTTTTGATCTTCATCGCCAATGCCCCAGCCCATGCATCCTCAGGCGTCTTGCGATCCTGTAAAAATCAGAGACTTTGTTTCTCTTCTATTGTTTGGTTCTGATGCCACGACGTTGTGCGAATCGTGGACCTCAAGTGGTTTCAGCCTCTGTTCAGCGTTCGTTTCCAATTACCAGCCTGAGGCCTTGTACGTTTCGTTTTCCCAAACGGGGTTTGATTTTCTATCTGAAATCCCACTAGACCTCCCGTCTTCATGTCTGCTTTCGATCTTGCTCAAGTCTGAAGGTCCGATCACGTCCGAGCAGCCGCTTGCGACGCAGATCCAGCTCTTAAGCATTCCGCATCCTCAATCAACAGATGACGAGACACGCTCGTCTTATGGCCTGATTAGCCGCTTTGTGTCCATGGCATTGGCGCCCTATTTTGATTATGTTTCTCATATGGATCCAGATTCCGCATCTTCTTCCACATCGCTTGCCATGGCTAGGAAAAAGTTCTCGGAGCTCTCCTTCTCCTTACAACAGCTCCAGCAGCGTATACACGTGCCAGATTTGATGCTTTCTGTCAGTCCGATGGTAGCAAAGGTCCTAGACAAGGCCGATTCTGTTGAAGACCCAAGTGTGATTGGGGATACAGCATTTTTAAACGAGTTGACAAAAACCGTCAATGCCTGGTTGCGGCAAGTTCAATCAGTGACACTAATAGAAAGAAATAATGCCGAGGTCTTGTCAATTCAGGAAGAGGTTCTGTTCTGGAACTCAATGGAATTGGCGCTTGAATCCATCAAAGAACAAGTGTCTCAACCATCAGTCAGGAGAGCCATTGAGATTCTCAATGCGGCTAAAAGATTCCAAGTGACCTTGGCTTTTCAAAATAATATAGGCATTGTTGAGAAACTAGACGAAACAAAGGCTTATAATGTTCTCCTCAAGGATCTTCCGATAAACGAGATAATCTATTCCAAAGACAACGAGCTTGACCTCACAAAAATGGAGAGCGGGATTATGTCCCTTTTCAATCATTTGAAGAAGTGGAAGAACCTGAACACTTTTCCATTGGTACGCATGATTGAGTTGATTGAGCTACTTCTTAAGGAAATCGTTTCCAGTTTGACCCGTATTTTGTTGAACATGAATCTCATGGCAATGCCTTTTGCAGCGTTTGAAATTGAATATTCGGGTAAAATCACACTGATATTCCATATCATTGATGTGAATGTAAAATTCATGGTCAACATTATCAGAGAGCTCATGAGAAAGAGACAGGAAAAGTTTATGATTGTGAAGATTGACCAGCATCTCCTAACTGCTTTACATGAAAGAATTGAACATCTACGTGATTTGAGAAGAAGACATCAAGAACTTCTTCACCTATTATCATTTATCGATGATGAGAATAATTTAACTGAAGAAATCACGTTGTCATTCAGTAAGAACATCGCAGCAGTTGATGCATTTGACTTCTCCAAGCAAGGTACGTCCGTTTTACAAGCAAACGAACAGATGTATCTCGAAGCAAGTCTGCGAGTTCTGAATGCTATATCCACGCATGTAAATTACAAGCTTCTGTACTGTGATGTCTTTTCCGATTTTATTGCATACTTTATGAAGTTCCATGAAAATGGTCTACTCAATTCTACCTTAATCGTCAATTTTGTGAACGAAAAGCATAAACTTCGACTATTAGATATTGCATACGCAGACATCCAGTCGCTTTTCAAGACTTCTTATTATACCCACAAGGAATCTATTAAAATTCCGAAATCTGTCAGCCTCATTGACTCCGGTTTATCGTCTTTAATTTGGGACATGTCCATAAAAAACAAATTGGAATTCATCACTCGCACTCTCACGAGTATCCTAGGAGAAAACTGGAATAAATATTCAACTGGTGCTGACATCGAACAAGAGATAACTTCGTTTTCCCAGAAATTGAGAATCAATGCTATTTTTGAAGAATGGGTAACTGATGTCTCGAATGCTATACGAACTAATATGAGCGCAACTCGCATTTTGAAAGTCGAAGAGACTGATGTTCCTGGGACAGACATTTCTTCTACCCCCAAAGTCAAAGTCAATTTTAATCAAGAGATGACTACTTACATTACCCAAGCTCAAGATCTCATGAGCTTGGGCTTCGAAATACCAATGAACTTACTTGTTCAGTTAGAAAAGGTTTGCTCAGCACATCCACTAGCACTCTCTTTACAAGAGCATATTGATATTTTTGATGTTGCAGTTACTGAATTTTTGTTGCATCTGAATGCTGGACGAAAGTTCGGTTTTATGTTGGAATCACAAAAGAAAAGAGTCTTTGAGATGATGCCTAGACTAATGTACGTTGAGTGGTCCTCTTTATGTCAGGAAATTGCCTTGTTTGAGAAAGGAGAGGGGGCAACCGATCAATTCTCAGCAAATGAGTTTCAGCTTACGTATGTTAAGTCATTTCAAGATGAAGTATATCAGCTTCATTGTATGTGCAACCTGATACACAGAACGTATGAGGTACTTGTGCAAGAACACTACGCCAAGCTTGAAGAGTGTACATTTTCGGAAGTATCTATACAAGAAACTTTAACGGTGATACAAGAGGAGGTGTATCTGATAGCAAAATCAACCTATGATGATATCGAGCACTTCGTGGAAGTGGTGAACGAGGATATTATGCACATATTTTCCAAGAAATGCAGCGAAAGATTACGCTGTATAGCAAATGCTATTTCAAAAGAAGCGAGCGATAATTTTGAGGAAGTTCAGATTTCGACACACTTTCTAACGTTTGAAAACAACAGTTTTCTGATCTCCCCTCCTCTTGAAAAAACAAAGCTGTACTGGATAAGCTTGGTAGATAACACTTTTCGCATTTTGGCTCAGCAAAAACTCATTAGCCTCTCGTCTAAAGAATCTAGACTTGTACTTCAATTTGATGAATTTTTGTCCAAAAGCATTGATCAAATAATGAAAATAATCGATGCAAAGTATTCGGAGGCAGCAAAATACCTTCAAGAATGGCGCAACGTCCAACAATTGATCTCACCAGATGGAGAGAGCGCACACCAAGACGACGAAGGCCTCCAATCATGGCTTGTTCTTATAAACAGAGTCAATAAGTGTCACAGCTTGATCCACAACTCGACAACCGTACGCCATTTCGGAAATAAAATGGAAATCAGCTTCTCTGCAATTCAAACTCGAGTGGCTACTTATTTTGATGTTTTCGAAAAGGGTGTGTTCGAGAAATTCTTAGTTCGTGTTCACAATAGCACTTCCCTGCTTCTTAAAAAGCTTAATGAAGCAGTGAAATATTTATCCTCACAATTTTCTATTACCCAAGATGCCTCGAGATCCTTGAAGAATGTCGAGGTATTTTTCTCACTTGTTGATGAGAGAAAATCGTGGCTTGAAGCAGTTAATCATATTTCTACATGTCAAAGGATACTCCAGAGACGAGGAGTTTCTGTACCCCCTGACTGGATATACGTTGAACAGTTGGAAAGTACAATATCGAACGTGAAATCACTTATAAAATCATGCGAGGAAATTATCGAACAGAATATGGATGTTCTTCGGTTGAGCACACAAAGTGAATCTGATCGTTGCTTAAAGATTGTGAATAATATTGCTGAGGAATGGCAACAAAAGAAGCCAATTTCAGCTCATTTACAACCAAAGGAATCTTTATCAATTATAGCTATTTTTCAAACTCGATGCAATGAGGTCAAGAACAATATCTCATCTCTTTCTCGTGTATCCTCATATTTGAACATTGATATTAATCTCGATTCAAATCTTGACTTTATGCTGGAGGAAGTGAAGGACTTAAAAAATGTTTGGACATCCTTACTATCTTTATGGAATTCGCTCAGTGATATTAAAAGCCAGAAGTGGACCAACATAAATGCGAGGACTTTAAAATCTCAACTTGAAGAACTTTTGTCCCAATGTCGAGCAACACCTGTGATTGTGCGTCAATACTCCGCCTTTGAGGAAATCCAGAAATCGGTTAAGAAGCATTTGAATGAGTTCCCGCTTCTTTCAGAGATGAAGAATCCTGCAATAAAGCCACGTCATTGGATTCAAATCTTCAGCTTAACAGGTGACAGCAAACATAGAGATCTTGAGTCTATTCTGGTTGGAGATGTTTTAAAAATTAATCTACAATTGCATGAACTGATGATAAAAGATATCGTAAATCAAGCGAATGGGGAAAGAATTATTGAGGAAGGGCTTAAAGCAATAGAACAAGAGTGGGAAAGTATACTGTTCGAAACGTTCAACTACCAGAATAAAGTTAGACTAGTGAAGAATTGGAATTTTCTATTTGAACAATGTGAAACAAATTTGGGAACGTTGTCCAGTATGAAAAACTCTACCCACCATGGACCGTTCGAGATCGCAAGAGCAGAACTAGAAGATAAAATGAATCGTTTGTTGGGTCTCTTTAATTTGTGGATTGAAGTTCAGAGCCAATGGATGTACCTAGATGGTGTTTTCGATAATTGTAAAGAAGTTCAATCTTCCTTACCTGTTGAGTTTACTCGGTTCAATAACATTACCTTTGAGTTTATTACGTTTTTGAAACGCATTAACAAGTTCAGTACTGTTATCGAGGTCCTCTCCTATAGGGAAGTCGAGAAAACCATGCAAAAGATCTCCGATACTTTGGTAAAAACTCGTAAAGGGTTGACAGAATTCCTTGAAAAGCAGAGGGAAATGTTCCCAAGATTATGCTTTGTGGGAAATGATGACTTACTTGAACTCATTGGAAATGGTACGAATGTGGCTAGGCTGGGAAGACAATTGAAGCAAATGTTCTCTGGTATTGCATCTGTGGAATATGACTCAAACTCATCTAGTATCACTGCTTTAATCAGCCCTCAAGACGAACGATTAGAATTGGAACACCCTATTTCTTTAATCAAAAACAAAGATCTAATAGTGTGGCTTTGCGAGTTAGAGTCAGAAATGCGCTCTTCTTTGTCGAAAAAAGTCTTACTTGCCGTGGATGAATTGAAGCTTATTTTTGCAGATGGCGCAAAAGAGATTGTTGAACCGTTAAAATCATTTCTTGAAAGGCCATGTCAAGTCTTGATTGTGGCTTTCCAGGTATATTTCACACTGTTAGTTGAAACTTCTTTGGCTAACGATCAGTTATCCGAAGCTCGTGATTTTTACGCCAATATTATCAAAGTTTTAGTACAAATCACGTTAGAATCCACTACCTTACTTCAAAGACACAAGCTTCAGTCTATTATTGTCGAAATCATTCACCATAGGGATGTTGTTGAGGAGTTGCTGAATGAAGAATGCAAACTAGCTGCATGGAATTGCAAACAGCGGTACTACCTAAACTCCCAATGTAATGATCCCCTAGAAAGTATCATTATAAAGCTTGGGAGAAGCGAATTCTTTTACGGCTTTGAATATCAGGGAGTTCCCGATCGGTTGGCTTATACACCTTTGGTTGAGAAATGCTTCCTCTCTATGGCTCAAGCTTTAGCTCAAAAATTAGGAGGATCTCCTTTCGGTCCCGCAGGAACCGGTAAGACTGAATGCATCAAAGCATTAGGTATTAACATGGGAAGAATGGTTTTGGTATTCAACTGTGATGAAACATTTGACTATCTATCGATGGGTCGGATCTTGCTTGGTATTTCTAAAGTTGGGTGTTGGGGTTGTTTTGACGAATTCAATCGACTTGAAACCAATAGCTTGAGTGCACTTTCTTCTCAAATATGCAACATTGAAAGGGGTCTCAAGGACTTTTCTGAAATCGTTGAGATTTCGGGGAAAATGATAAATGTTCATCCTGATACTGGAATATTCATAACAATGAATCCAGGGTATGTGGGTAGAAATGAACTTCCTGAAAACTTAAGAAAACAATTCAGAGAGTTCTCCATGCATGAACCGGAGAAGGAAAATATAGTGGATGTGATATTAGCTTCTCATTGCTTTCTACATTCAGCGCTGATTGCAAAACTTTTAACACCATTTGTAACAGAACTTGCTAGTTCGGTAACGAAACAGCCTCATTATGATTTCGGATTGAGGGCAGTTAAAAGTATCTTGAGCAGATGCGGCTTGACCCGAAGACAGAAACTCGAAACATTAACTGAAGGCCAGGAATATGATTTTGAAATGAAGATTCTCCTCCAGTGTTTAAAGGACTCTATTCTCCCCAAGTTAATTAAAGAAGATGAGCAAAAATTTGACTCACTTCTTCTGAAGTATTTTCCAAACATTAATCCAGATGGGAGAGATCAAGCTCACTTCATTGAAGGGTTGCTTCGCTATGCAGAAAAAAATGGCATTGATGCCAACGAAATGTTTGTAAAGAAAGCACTACAAATTTTGCAAATTCAGGAGAATCACCATGGATTTATGCTTGTTGGCAAAACATGTTCTGGAAAGACTACGCTTTACAAACTGGTATTAAATGTTCTCGCTGGCTCTTCCAACGGATTTGAAATTTTTGTTATTGATAGCAAGGTCTTGTCTAAAGAAGAGCTTTATGGTGTTTTGGACCCAATTACTCGAGATTGGAGTGACGGTATTTTTACAAAGATATTGAGAAGTGCAGCTACTAACTTACGCGGAGAACAGAGTAAGCGTATTTGGATCGTTTTCGATGGAGATATTGATCCTGAATGGGCCGAGAATTTAAACAGTGTTCTTGACGATAATAAGCTTTTGACTTTACCAAATGGTGAAAGAATTGAGTTGGCACCAAACCTCAGAATCCTTTTCGAAGTGGACAGCTTGAAGTATACGACGTTAGCAACCATCAGTAGATGTGGGATGGTTTGGTTTGACCGCTCAATTGTTCCTAGCACATCTTTGTGGGATCACCATTTCTTCAAATTCGCGACAGGTATCAGCTCTCTGGACAATTCGGATGACATCGTGGTGTTGGAGACACGGAAACTGATTATGAGTCAGTTTGTGGTTCTCGCGAAACGCTTGACTTCAGAATTACCGCTTCAAGAAATCATAAGAGAGGCAAATAAGATTAATCATATTATGACCTTTGATGAACAACGGTGTCTTAGCAGCTTTTTTACTTATTTCACCACACATTGCTCTTCAGTTCTCAAAGAAAAAGAACGAGATCCATCAGTGCAGCTTGGTGATCTCGAAATATTTGTTTCTAAAGCATTCATACTCTCATTAGTTTGGGCGTTTGCAGGTGATGCCAAATATGAACAGAGGATCCAATTTTCTCGCTACGTTGGGTCTTTTGAAAGTTTCTCAAGTATTGATATACCCGAAAATATCCTTGAACTGAAAATTTCAATTCCTGATTTTGAATGGGTACCTTGGTCGACTATGGTTGAAACAGTGGATCTAGAGCCGCATCATGTTCTTGACGCTAATACAATTGTTCCAACGGTGGATACAGTCATCCATGAATCTCTTATTCACGGAATTATCAATAAGCATTCAGCGTTGATATTATGCGGACCTCCAGGTTCGGGTAAAACTATGACATTATTGAACGCGTTGCGACGGTCTCCTAATCTTGATGTTATTTCTTTGAATTTTTCCAAAGACACATCACCGCAAACTGTTCTTTCTGCGTTACAGCAGCATTGTGCGTATAAAAGAACTAATTCGGGTATGAAGTTGATGCCAAAGGTCTCGGGTAAATGGGTCGTAGTATTCTGCGACGAAATAAATTTACCAGTCGTTGACAAATACGGAACCCAAAGAGTTAATGCTTTCATTAGACAGATGATAGAGCACTCAGGATTTTGGAGACCTAAAGACTTGACATGGGTAACTATCGAAAACATTCAATTCGTGGGGGCTTGTAATGATCCTAATGATCCCGGAAGACACAAGTTATCGGATAGATTCATGCGACACGTCACCTTGGTTATGGTTGACAATCCTGGTCCAACGTCTTTGAAGCAAATATATCAGACTTTCAACAAAGCTAGTTTGAAATGTACCCCGAAATTGAGACAGTTCAGTGATGCCATAACCAATGCCATGTTAGATGTCTACAGCCGAAACAAGAAACAATTTACTGTTGAAAAGCGGAGTCACTATATCTATTCTCCTCGTGAGCTTACAAGATGGTGCCGTGGTGTCTTAGAGGCTTTACTATCTGTGAATTACTCAGAATTATCTGGCTTAATCAGGCTATGGTACCATGAAGGTTTACGACTCTTCTATGATAGATTGGTGGACGAAGACGAGCGAAAATGGTGTAAGGAAACCTTCTGGAAAGTTGGAACTGAGTGCTTCCCGCATGTCCCGTTAGACGTCCCGCTCAAAGATCCGGTTTTATTTTCCACATGGTTAACTTCTGACTACGAATCAGTTGATGAGCTAGAGTTGAGGAATTTCGTTCGCGAACGTCTTCGTGTTTTTAATGAAGAGGAGCAATCTGTCGATTTGATACTCTATGATGATTTGTTAGATCATGTGCTACGCATCGATAGAGTTTTAAGACAACACCAAGGACATGCAATTTTGGTGGGCCCAAGTACAAGTGGTAAAACTACATTAACTCGCTTTGTTGCGTGGATGAATGGCTTGAAAATCATTCAGTTGAGAGTACGATCAGGATTTTCTATTTTGGATTTTGAGGACACACTACGCTCTATCCTCTTTTCTTGTGCCAAAGGTGAAAAGTTGTGCTTCCTAATTGATGAATCTTCTATTCTTGAAACCTCATTCGTGGAACGCATGAATTCTCTTTTAGCAAATTCGGAGGTTCCTGGCCTATTTGAAGGAGATAATTTGCAGAATTTGCTCAAAATATGCCGCGTGGAGTCAACTGCCCAAGGATTGCTCCTCGACAGCGATGAAGAATTATACTCATGGTTTACCAAGCAAATTTCCGAAAACTTGCATGTTATTTTCACCATCAGTAACCTCAGTGGTGGAACAAAACCCCAAGTCAACTCTTCTCCCGCTTTATTCAACAGATGTGTTTTGAGCTGGATGGGAGACTGGTCAGATAATTCGTTATTTGAAGTAGCCTCATCCATTGTGGGAGGTGTGGCCCTTGATCAATCTTCCTATATCATACCAGAATCTTTCACGCCTTCGACTCTTCATCAGATATCCAGCTTTAGGGAAGTCATTGTTGACTGTCTTGTTTTCATTCATAAAACAAGTCTGAAGGCAAATAAAGCAACATATCCCAACAAATTCATCAAGTTTGTTCAAACATTCGTATCACTCTTTGAAAAAAACCAAGGCGAATTGGAAGAAAACCAACGACATACGAATATTGGACTAGACAAGTTAAGAGAGACGGTTTTAGAGGTTAACCAAATGAAAAAAGTACTCTTTGAGAAGAAAGAGATACTCATGTTAAAGGACGAAGATGCCAAGAAGATGCTCAATAAAATGATTGTGGGCCAGAATGAAGCTGAGCGTAAAAGAGAGTTCTCTGTTGCAACGCAAGTTGAGCTTGAGAAACAAGAATTGGAAATAAACGCTAGGCGGGCTAAAGTCATGCAAGATCTCGAACTAGCAGAACCAGCGGTTCTAGAAGCTCAAAGAGGTGTTCAAAATATAAAGAAGCAACATCTCACGGAAATGAGAAGTATGTCAAACCCTCCAAGCGCAGTGAAGTTGGCAATGGAATCTGTTTGCATTCTTCTTGGTTACCAAGTCTCTACTTGGAGAGACGTTCAATTGATTATAAGAAAGGATGATTTCATTACAAGTATTGTCTCTTACGATAACGAAACGTGCCTAACATCTGAAATGAGAAAATACATGGAAGAAGTTTACCTTTCGAGACCCGATTTCAATTATGAAACAGTTAACAGAGCAAGTAAGGCTTGTGGGCCATTGTTGCAATGGGTGATCGCCCAATTGAGATATTCTACAATTTTAGAAGAAATTGGACCTTTGAGAGAAGAAGTCGTGGCATTAGAGACATCAGCCACAAAATCTAAAGCGCAGTTAATTGCAATTGCGGAAATGATCGAAGAACTTGAACAAAGTATTCAAGGTTATAAAAATGATTATAGTGAGCTTATCAGAGAAGCAGAGAGGGTCAAACTTGAAATCGAAAACATCGAAAAGAAAGTGGATAGAAGTTTGAAGTTGATCGAGAATTTGACAAAGGAAAGGCAAAGATGGCAGGCGAGCATCAATGCATTTGAGGCCGGAAGAGAACGGATTATCGGTAACTCTATACTTGGTGCTGCGTTCTGCTGTTTCTGTGGCAATCTTGATCAAAGCCACAGACATTTAGTCGCAAATCAATGGAAGGAAAAGCTTCGCAGATCGGCCGTTTTCTTTGACGAAAGTTTAACAATTACTTCTATGTTGGCGAGCGCCGTTAACATCGCTAAATGGGCATCTGCTGGCTTACCAAATGACCAATTGTTTATTGATAACTTTAGTATAATGGGTTGGTCGACTTTCCCATACATTGTTGATCCGACAGAGAATCTCGTCACTATATTGAAGGAAGTCACAGTTCCAAAGAAAATGATAGTAACGAGTTTCCTAGATGACACATTCATAAAAGTGCTCGAAGATGCGATGAGATTTGGTGGGACAATTTTGATTCAAAATGCTGAAGCATACGATCCTATTCTCGATTCAGTATTACGTCAGGATTATATTCATAATGGTGGAAGAAAATCCTTACAGATTGCCAATAGACTCGTTGACATCCTGGATGATTTTTCTTTGATTCTTTACACCACTGATAATCGTGTTAAGATACCTCCCTTTGTCTCTTCGAGATGCTCGGTGCTCAACTATTCTATCACTGCTGGGAATTTGGAGAACCAAGTATTGAATATTTCCTTGAAACATTCACGGCCAGACTTGTATTCAAAGAGAATTGAGTTAATTTCGTTGCAAAGTGACTATCAAATTCGCTTGCTTGGATTAAGACAGCTGCTCTTGCTGATTCTAAATGATATTTCAGGCACTATATTAGAAAGTGACGAGGTCATCGAGTCTTTAGAGCGCATTGAATCGGAGTCTTCCGATATTGATACGCGCATTGGCGAGTCAGAAGTTGTTATGTCTGAAGTGAACAAGATCAGAAATGAACATACTGAACTTGCTAATCATTCTAAGTCGATATACCGTATTCTAATGGCTTTGGCCCTGTGGAATAGCTTTTACAACTTTTCCTTGAATACCTACATTGAGATATTTATGAAAGTTTTGAACAATAGCAATGATCTTGGGCAGCTTGAAAATTTCGTTAGCAGCCTCTATCATGAAGTCTTTATCATGGTTGCCCCTACTTTACAACGATTGGATAAAATTGTATTTGCTGTTGCTTTGGCCATTTCATTCCATTCGATTGAAACGAACCCCCAAATGGCGGTTATGTTGAAAGCAATCTTGGAAGAGTTTTACTGCAGTGACGAAAAGAAAAGAGGTGCTGTCGATTTGCTAAGATTGTGTTTGGCACTGACTGTTCCAGAAAATATTGCTGACCATTGGAGTGAAATTTTTGAGCTCAACAAGGAGAACGAAACTTTCAAAATACTTTCAGGATTTATTAGACATCTAGTTGGTGCTCCGGGCTGCGAAAGTACACTTATGGAAGTTTATGAAAGTTTTGCTTCCCTGATTCTTCTGGTTGGTTTTGATTCTGATAAATGTTATGGTATAAAAGAATGGGTACATTTTAACAGACGTCCAATTTTGATTTCATCTACCGAGAACGTCGACGTCACATTTAAAGTGCAACAAGTTGCGAAGTTACTCGAGAAAGACACTCGTGTGGTTTCTATGGGGTCAAAGGAAGGTGTTGATGTTGTTTTAAAAGAACTAGAAGAAGGTTCTTCCAAAGGAACTTGGCTCATTGTTCAAAACATTCAATTGGCGTCATATTGGCTTCCAAAATTACAAAGAATTCTTGAAGCGATGTCGTCCCATGAATCATTCCGTCTTTTCTTGACATGCAACTTGAAAGCAGAGGATATTCCAAGCGGACTCATAGCAATGTCACAAGTACTCACATATGAAAACCAACAAAGCTTCAAGGCTACATTGCTTGAAACGTTCGAGAACATAGTTTCTATGAATGATGCAGGTACTTTCAAACACGTTGCTTTCCTCTTGAGTTGGTACCATTCTATTATACGAGAACGGTTAAAATATGTACCCGAATCCTTTGAGAAGCTTTACGATATGAACGAAACAGATGTGGCTGCAGCCGGATTTTTTGTGCAAAAACTCTATTCAAACACGCCTAGAGCTCATGAAAATCCAGATCAAATCTCATGGAAAGAGATTAGTTATGTGGTTGGCAATATAATCTATGGAGGAAAAATATCTAACGAACTGGATGCACAATATTGCACTGAGTTAGCGAGACATGTTTTCTCTAGTGATGTATTCCACCAAGATTTCAATTTGGTCCGCAACGGTGAAGCCAAGGTAAAAATGCCTGACTGTCTCAGCATCAACGCCTACAAAGAGTGGATTGAAAATCTTCCAGAAGTTGTTCCTTTGAGTTGGTTGGAATTGAGTGAAGATGTAAACACTACACTTAAGCAGAAAGAGGCCAAAGTAGTGGCGAGCAAAGTTGTGCAAATTTATAAGTAAAGATACAGCAATCATACGTTAAGAGATTTGAAACATAGTGTACATTTGACATTATCGTACTTAAGCCTACATACCCAGCAACACCAGGGAAAATTTGACGATGCGATTTGCTGATTTATTAGGGCTTAAATACAAAGAAAGAATAGAACAACGTGCTAAGCTTTAAACACGCTTATTCGTCATCCTCCAAAGTTTGAGCAGCAATACGGTCCAAGTCTCTTTGGGCCGTTCTCGGAGATTCTTCTACCACCCTTTGGAGAGATCTCAAGGACACCAATCTTCTCCAAAGCTTGCAAAACTCTTCTGTTGACGGAACCAGAAGCGTCGGCGTGCTTGTGTGGTCTGAAACCTCTGTTGATAGCACCACCGTACAACTTGTTCAACTTACCAACACCAACTTGCTTTCTCAAGTAGATGTGTCTGGCAGCAGAAGCAGCTCTCTTGTAGAACCAGGTCTCGGCTTCTTGTGGTGGCAATTCGTTACCGGCAGAAGTCTTGACAAGTTCAACGTAACCTGGGATTTCCAACTTACCTTGACGCTGCAAGAATTGAGCGTAAGCGTTGATAAAGTCTTGAGCTGGAACGTCTCTGAATATGTTAGTATAAATGATACAAAATCTAGGTGGGAGCAGCCACTGCTTCAGAAGTGTCATGAAAACATGGATGGGAACACTAGAACTGGAGGACGGAACTTTTTCGACATATGTTGGGAATGATGAACATGGTTTTCAGACTTCTCGGAAAGCGCCAATAACTGGTTTAAGACGACGCCAATAACGGGATGATTGTCTTCTGAACATGGCGAAGCTGCTTAAAAGCTCTGAACATACCTAACGGAAACACCTGGCATCTTGTCTGTATGTGTTGTGGGACTAGGTAATAATAGGATGCGTATAAAATTTTCTTTTTTGTTGGAGAGTGAGGAAATTTTCAGCACTGCAGGTGGCGCCAGTCTCGTGGTCGGCATATAGCGCGCATGCGAAGCAAAGACAGTCACAGTGGTCACGTGCGCTGTATTTCCACTTTGGCCATCTCCCTATACGTGAAGAATAAAGTTTTCAATTGCAGCTTGTTCCAGTTGCTTTCGTAATTTTGGCTTCTATTCAACAAAGTATGCCTCAGTTTTCCTCATATGGCCATATGTCTTGCATTTTTATAAATTCCTGCACTTGGTCCTCCCCTTCTGGGTGCAAATTGGCTCATTTGCACAGTGCCATGGGAATTCGTTAAGTTATAAGCGGCTTTGAATGCTTACCCTGTGATTGCATGGAGGCTGTAAAACTTAATGAATGCATTTTAAGGGGTTTCGCTTTGTAATTGGAGTCTCTGTCTAACGATTGCTATGTTGCAAAAATGTATTCTACAGAAGCTACTATAAGCTGTAGAGTACGAGGGAATAAGAATCCTAATGTTGGGGAATGACCACTACGAAAGTTTAATTTGAACCCCTGCTGTCCCTGGAGCAATAATTGTTAGATGTTTTCTACTATTGTAGCATTGGATTGATTTTATGTGTACAAGTTGATGGGTATCTTCAAATCAAGCGCTTCGATGGAGTTACCTTCTAGACCCAGCACCATCACTGTTGTTATTCATCCCTTTCAACTGTGCAATATTTCCTTAAGAGTATCTCTCTGCTCTCCGTGAACATCATCTATTTAAAATCAAGACCATATATGCTTTTTATTCTTCTCTTTGTAGATTGTTTTATCGTTGCTGCCCATTAGTTCCTGTTTGGTGTTTTCTGTGTACTGATTAGACTAGATGCATTACATCATAATGCAAACATGTCAATCCCAAATCGAACTGAGTGCTTTTTCTTTGAGACAATAATGTTCAAGATCTCGGAGCGAGCTTTCGACTGCCCAAAAATCGTCTGGTGATGTTTCATTAGCGTTGTATGGTGATAAGCTTGGTTCTGGAGTGTACGCTAACTCATAATACTCTCGATTATGATAGCGAGGTGTTGAAAACAGCAATTTTTCCGTCAAAGATACAGCAGCTATTTTCTGCTTCAATAACTTGCGATCTTTGCCCGATGATCTATCGTATGTCTCGACAAGCTCTTCATAATACTTACGAACCAAAGAATCATCTACCATAGACCATACTTTTTCCAACGAGACGATTCGAATGTTGCAATATTCCAATGTGGATAAAAATGCCTGAATTCCAGCAAAAGCTTGGAAATGTGATTGGGCAATGACTTCGCCATATGCGAATGCAAACTCTTTAGGTTGCAAAGACTGGATTACACGTCCGATCAACCTCAGCTGACTTTGATCGATCTTCGGAAGCGCAAGTACCAGGTCGACCAAAGTGAAACGCTCTAGCTGCCGATGTGGATTGCCCTCTGTCTCTTGTTGAGAAAACTCAAGATTGCTGAGAAACTCGTAATCTATCATGAATGTTTGGAGCTCTTGAGAGCACAACGAATCAATAAATTTTGAACCGGAATTATGGGCAACATTCCAAAAACGAGGTTGGGCTCTTTGGCCTTTTTTGCGGACAGCCCTAAGCGCAAAATGTTCCAATTCATCATTCTCCATCACGGAAGTTACAAACGAAAGGATCGCTTCATACCGGAGAATGTTGACTTCTGTGACGAATAAATTCAATGTTGTGACTGTGGAGACATTCTTCGCCAAACGATTCAAATCCTGGTCAGGCTCAAGTGCATGTATATCTGTAATCAAATCAAGTCTTTCCAAACTAGGAAAAACGTTGTCTTGTAGCCGAAGTAGAGTCTCAGCGTTTATGGATAAGCATATAACACTTCCCAATATCGGAATACTGAGAACTGGCCCAGTATATGGAATATCCAAGACCTTTAATGAGTGGAGATTGCGAAACTTGTCCAAATGTTCGAGAAAGCGGTTATCAATTTCCAAGTCATCCACAAAAGTTGACATTTTGAGCGATTCTGATGCGTGCTCTTGTAATAAACTCCAGAACTCGTCGGTAATTAATGTGGAGTTGCTCCATCGATCCATTCGACGAGGATAAGACAATATAGAGTCGATTTCGCTCGAGCGAATCAAGCTAGTAAACCCGAAGAGTGCCAGTCCACATAATCGGCGAAGACGAGAGCATGTCAGTGATAGACTAAGTACATCAGAAACATGGTTTCGAAGACGGTTCCGTATGGACGAGTATGTGTGATGTGGCTTCTCCTGACGTGGAAAGCGAGACTCGCGGCGTTTGGACTCAAGAACTAGAATGCCATCCGTAAGATGAAAAACCACACGGCAGAGCAATTCATCAGGAAGAAGAAGTAACGATGCCATGAGGTTCCTACAGTGGTGAACCTAGAAACCTGGGGTAATATGCAAGTCTCGCTGCCGCAGTTAAGACGAACAGCCAACTCGGGCCTTCTACAACGGGAACCGTGTATAATGTATTCGGTATATTACAAATATGGGAAGAGAATTGTTGATTAAAAAATGACTATCAGATGAACCCAGGTCACAACAATTAGACCTTGAAACCTCTGGAGTTTCTCTTACCTCTAGCTCTCTCAAACTTTCTACCCTTAGAGATGACCTTTGGAGCCTTGTTCTTGTGAGGACCGAAACCAAAGTGTCTAACAGCCTCTCTGGCGTTTCTTGGGCCTCTGACAATGACGGTGTTTTGACCCTTTGGAGCTCTCAAAGCCAATTGGTCCAAGGTGATAGCCTCACCACCAGCCTTGAGGATTCTAGCCTTAGCACCGGCAGTGAATCTCAAAGCAGCGACGGTAGCCTTTGGAGCGTCCAACAATCTAACATCGTCAGTGACAGTGCCAACAACGACGATGGTCTTCTCAGCAGCACCCTTTTGCTTCAACACATTGTTGATTCTGGAGAGGGACACTGGTGGTCTGTTAATCTTGGACAAGAACAAAGATCTCAAGATCACCTTGTTGAATGGAGCATCGGTACGGCCTGGACAGGGTTAGTATATGGGGTTTGCCTCTTTGTCTTCTGCTCTAAATCGCACGCTTTGTGAAAAAGGCACTCGCAGAAACACTGCAACTCATGAGAACATCCGGCACCGAATCACCGGCTTTCCGGCTTCTTCGAATCGAACCACCGATCCAAAGAAACGTCTCGACAGGGACAGAGCCCTTTGCTGCTAATCTGATGTCTTAAAAAAAAATCAACGAACTCTTCCGGCACAGCTAGGCAAAACCATTTGCTTATATCTTCATAAGCTAGTAATGCCCATTAATGCAAAAGTGCAACACAGTCACCGGAAGGTCTAGCTGCTTAGGTTATGTTGCTTTTCGTGTTCCCAGGAATCATGTTCTTTTTCACAAAAAGGCAATTTCAAACGGAAGATTCAACAATATACATACGAGCCAAGTAGGTGTACAACTTAACCAAGACGTTCAAGTAAGCGTTCTCGGACTTTGGAGCAGTTCTGTGAGAGACTCTGACGTGCTGCTTTCTGAAGTGATCTTTACCCATGTTGACGATTAAGAAGAGTGATGAGATTCTTTTTTTTTTTTCAAGCGAGCGTTTTTTTCCCACTAGAGGGAAATGTGCACGAATGCGAGGCGAAATGTGCGTCACATGATTTCGGCTGCATCTAGGGCATACGCCCTACAGTGCTTCGATGAAACATAGACAGAACCGTCTGAGCTATTCTGTTTATTGCAAATCAACACGTAATGGGTTTTCTTGCCGTCAGACAGGTACTTGAGTAACAAAATGAAAGTTTTCGCCACAAAGGATGTTGATTGCACTTGATGAACATCTACCATAGATGTTCAATTTAGCTACAAAACTAAGGGAACAAATATTCAATTGAAAGTCAGCTCGGACCATTACATGACGATTGGTAGGATAGACTTCTTATTCCGGTAATTGGTATGATGGTAAAGTAAATCTCTTAGTATGTCACGTGCAGAGATAACACATACGCACCCACCTGGTTACTACAATGTCAATTTTACATGTTTCTCCGGCAGTTCTCTACATCGCCTGCCTTATTGAAAGGGAAAGTCTTGCCTGAATTGAAAAATGCACAAGAAATATCCCAGTTCCTCCGGAAACTGACATGGAATGTGCATGACTTAATTCCATCTAAAGAGCACATCACCAACGAAGTTGATTCGCGTGTTGTGAGAAAGATGCTCCGGCTTTCAGGCTTAGATGAGAACCTACCGGAGCCAGAACTCAACCGGTGGGCGGAAATGCTAAACACACACGTTGCCTTTATCAACCACGTGAGCGATTTGCACAGTAGCACTAAAGGCGAAATAGGCTCTTCAGTGTTCCGGCTCTTGGCTTCAGATCACAAGCCTGAATCACCATTGACACTCAAGGAGTTGCTTCGGCAAGTGGACGAGATTTCCGATCATGTGAGTGACCAAAGGGGAGAACGTGGATTTGACACAAGCGAGCTTCGAACGAGAATAAATAGAGCGAAGTCAACAGCAGAGAAAGAGTAATTGAGGTGACTACTGAACTTTCCAATTTCTTATTCACAGCAAGAAGGAAGAAAAGGAAAGAATATTAAAGTAATGCTCCCTTATTGCATTCTCGATCTATGATTTGATTGTTTCGAGCTCTGTGAGCCATTTTATGGGGTTACCCGTGCCACTCTTGTATCCATGAACATGCGATCTGGCACCTCAAGTTCAAAAAGGTTGGCTAAAGATTCTTTGAGTTTGGCCAAGTCTTTTGTTCCTTGTGTGAGAAGATCAACGCTGGCACCTTTCGGAAAGTTGAGATACGTTTTGATTTGAAAAGTATTGGAGCTGTCGAGAAGCTTGAGTTTCAAGCGCAGATTGACCGCAGGCTCATCGTCGTCACGAATAAACACTTTGAAGATTTCAATGACAATGTCGCCGTAGAAGAAACGGATCCCCTTGATCCAGTATTGATTAACCACATCGTAGCCCAATGCTTCTAGAAACTGAAGGAAGGAGTCCTTGTGTGTCTTAGGTGCATCGATTTCCATCAATTCAGCCCCTTCATTCTTCTCTTCTGCTGCCGTATCCTCTCCCTTTGTGTGATGGTGCACCAATGTACTTTCATGGTAGTTGTGGACCAGCACTGTATTCTTTCCCGCGTTCGGAAGATCTGAGATTTGGAATGTCCAGTGTTTTACTTCTTCTCCAGTAAAAAGTTGCTGTACTAAAATCTGAGTGTCCTCCGTCACAGGCTGAGACAAGTCGAAATGCGACGCTTCATCATTCCATATTGTGGTGCATTTCATATAGTACTGTTCTATCTGGTTGACTTTTCCAGGCTCAAACTTGGGCTTGAAGACATTGTGTGGCTTGGTCAATAGAGTGTACGTAGATATCTCCTGGGGCCGGAGAATCCCGGTCAATGCTTCGAGAGTAGAAACAGTTTGCACGTATTTACTGTGCGGGATGCTAGCACAAAGAAGTAGTTGAGTGCCCATGATGAAGATGAGTGCTTGCTTGTGTAAAGGAATAGCCAAACGGCGGAGCATTCAAGAAATGCCAAACACTCTATCTGGACTGCGTCCAATCATTGAACCCGACGGGGTCATTTGGTTATACCTACTAGGTTAATCATTCCCTTAAAACTACCTCATAGCTGGCCTCCTTTGTATGTGTAAACCTTTACCATATATTTCCATCATTACTATTGACTCGCCTATTGATCTTTCTTGCTCTCCACCGCCTCTTGACTCGTGTCTTCAGAGAAAGCAGCAACAATGTATGCGATAAGCACAGCGTTGGCAGCAACAGCAGCAGATCCGCCGCTAACTATGGAATTATCAAACAAATATTGGCACATGAAAAAAACCACCAACGGAAGGGCCACCATTGCCACAGTAAAAAACATGAGCTTGCGCACCACGGATCTGAAGGTTAATATTATGAACAGAGACGACGTGCGATTGATACATACGTGGGGATATCGACGGCCATTGAAGAAGTAGTAAACGTTGATAAGTTTCGCGTTATATGGAGGTCAAGTTATCTATTCTCGAAGGAAAAAAGTTGCACGCTAGGTATTTCTGCCAAATGGTACTTAACAATTGGCTTTGTTTTTGTTTTACGTTTTATGAATTTATATCTTGTTCTGTTTTGTACTGGTGTTCGTTTTGTATTTATCCCCTTGTTTTCTCGATCATTGTATTTTCTCGCTGGCGTATTGTATCTCCGAGATGTGCAATTTACATGCTATGTCGACCGTCTCGGAAGTACACAACCAGTAAAATTTTCAAGCTAAATTACCATAATGTTCCTCAGCTCATCTACACAATTCTTTCTCCTTCATATCATCCTTCTCATATGCTCTCAGGCCGTTCTGCTCCTATCTACGGCTGGGGGCACCTCTTGTACACGTGACCAATTACGCACCGGCGTTTTCCTTGATAATCAAACTTTATAACCATCCACACCATCATGAAGATTTTGGCCGGGCTTGCTGTGTGCACGGGTGCTGCATGGGCATTTTCGGACACTGCGTCTTTCTACTCATCTCGGGAATTGGACACTTCTCACCATGTTGTACCAGGCAAAGACTTGTCTTTGGAACTTGGACAAATTGCGCCTAGCTTTTGCGCTGACGGCGACAAGTTGCACATTTACAGAGTAAGCAATTTGGCGAGAGTTGCTCCAGCACAAGTTGGTGGAACCTTTATCAAGAATGTCCACTATAAAGGTGTGGACGACATTGAACTGGTTGTGGACTCTTTCTTTGCTGCTGGAGCGTCTGAACCGGTCATTTATGACATCGAGGATGGCCAAAGGCACCTTATCGAAGAGTTTTTGACCTCAAACAGCTGTGTGATCGTCCAGGGCAAGCCTACTTTCAGCAAAATCGAGACACAGAAAAGAGAGGAGGTGGAAGAACACGAAGGAAACGAAGACCAGCCTGAGGCTGTGGATGCTCCTGAAGCTGTAGGTGCCCCTGACGAAGGTGATGCACCAAAATCTTCGAAGAAGAAATCGAACCTTTTTAGAGAATACCAATTTTTCACCCCGGGTGTGTGGCTGGCATTGATTGTCTCGCTTTTCTTGGTTTTCGTTCTGTCCACCGCCATTGGGTGGATCACGTCGATCCAGACATCCTACCATGCTTTCGAAAAGCAAATTGACTACGAGAAGAAGACTGAATAGCGCTGTCTGCAACGTGTATTTAGTTCTGCGTATTAATAAACGTATGGCACGATCTTGTATGGAACTTGTTTCTCGTACTCCTCCCACGCCTTGCCATATTTGTTTCTACACTTGGCTTCATCACGAGTCTGTCTGTGAACCAACAAAACGCCAAAGTAAATGACGTAAAAGTATGTGAGTAAAGTCATAGTGCCCGTGGGTAAGCACCAAGACCAGCCAATAAGCCAGTCTCCGAAGTAATTGATATGCTGACTCGTGCTCCACCAACCGTCAGCAAGTAATTTCGAGCCTGTGGGTGTCGTGATGCTTTTCAAGTGCTTTAATTTGCCCTGCTTAAAGTCCGATTTCTGCTGATTGGCAGAGTGGAAAATATAGTAACCCAAAACGTTCACCAACAAAATGAGAGAGCATTTGAGCCAGCCCAAGTGGTATGCATTTCCTGGTAATGCCAAGTAGCGAGCCTGTAATGAGTACGACCACGGAAGCCAAGCCAAGTCACCAAAGGCAAGCATAAAGCCGAATCCATCGGTAGCAATATCCATCATGGTCAAACAACCTTCTTCATTAAGGACACCTTCAAAGATGTAAAATGCTTGCATGGCGTTAACCAACCACATTGAATCAGCCACTTTTCCCTGGATGTGGTATTGTTGATGAAGACATGACAAGTTAATTAAGAATAGCAAAAGCATGCCTGGTCTGAGTTCGCAGAACAATTTGATGTCCCAAGAACCAATTCTTGGGTTCAACTCCCTTCCGATGAACCAGTCGTAGATTGCGTTACCAGAGTTTCCGTTGATGGATAAGATTCTTTCCTTTGTCTTGGCACCATTAGGGCGGCGTAATGGGATGAAGGAGCAAAAGTAAACGAAGAAGGATAGCAAGAATGAGAAAATAATTGTAACCATTGTCAACTGTAACTGATTGTCATAGAGGAACTGTAATTCCGGCAAGTAAAAGTTTTCTGACGCAAATGCCCTTGCAACAATGATTACTACCAACAAAGAGGACATGAAACGACCATTAATACGGTACATCAACTTCGTTCCGTCTCTCAATTCAACACCTTCAACATCTCTGCCTGGAGAGTAGACATCAAATACTGCAAGAACGAAGAACCACACAAGATAGGCAACCCAACATTTCTTGTCGAAGCAAATATCTGCTAGTTCACTCCACGATTGGGGGATTTGCTCGATAACTTTAGACAAGTCGAGACTGATACCTTTGATGGCGTAATGAGAGTTCGTGATCAATTGGAAGAAAATAATGAGCAAGGGCAAGAATATTGGGATGCCTAGGGCACCAAACATGCCGAAAAACTCTTTCTCCGTCGTTTTAGGATTCAACAGTGCCATTGCAGAAGAAAAGACAAACGGTGAAAGTCTTAGGTATGGCTGTGCATACAAACGAGCGGTACGATGCGGTCGTATTTGGTGGAGTATGAACGTGACCAAGATATAAAATATGAATGTGTAAATGGGACTACAGACGAAGAATGCGGAGCTTTTGACGTGTTTTTAAAAGCGTTCTGGTGTTTTGAATCTCTTTGAAACCTCATATGGATCTTCTTTTGTCTTCTTTTCCGAATCTCGTATATGCTCCATGGGTAATAGAAAACTCCTTCAAACAAACACGAGTTAGAAGAAAATCAGCCGAATAAGCATTTTAGTTCGAAAGGTCTACTGGAATGTTGAAAAAGTGATGTAAAATATACGTAGATTTTTTACAGTGCATGTTGCGTTTCTTTATAGGCATTGCGCTGGTTTATTTGCAATTTTCTCCTATTTTTTACCACCATCTCACGAGACGAGAAGACGGAACATAAACAAAAAATCAAGAACACACAGAAAAACAGAAACATAACATCACACACATAATTTAATCACCATTTTCGTATTATGGAGGCAGCGAAAGGCTACATGGGCCATCACATAAGCACCAACTTCACAATACGGGTGATTGCTCTCTACCTTCCCAATTGGGTAAATTAGGTGCATGAGTGCGCCTTGACAGCGTTGTTTATTTCCCATCGTAGACATGGGAACACGAAAAGATTTAGTAAGAGTCCACGAGGAAAGGCGTCACAAATTAAAGTAATTTGAATTTCAGACACCTTCACTTTCTTCCGCGCTGCATGCTTCTGGATCTCTATTTGAGCTGAACTTACCCTATTGTCTTGCCATAATATGCACCCTGCAACTGTGCTCGCCGCATCTAGAAATTTCACCCTTCCGCACGATAGTCTGCTAATATTTTTTTTCTTCTTCCTTCGAAGGTCCGTCTTTACTAAAACAAAAATACAGTCTTTGGATCGCTGCTTTCTCGCCTATGTCCTCGCTTGTCTCCCCGATGACAGGATTTGCTGAAAATAACCCGCCGCCCGTCAAGAGAAAAAGAGGACGGCCACCAAAGGCCAACAAGCTCGGAGATGCGTTTCCCACTCTCACGCTTCAGTTTGAAACCTCGCCTTCCAGTGGAAGCCCTACTGCAGAATTGAACTCGAGCATGACTGTGAAAATGGGCGAGCCCGACACGTTTACTCCTCTCATGAAAGTTCTGCCCACATACCATCTGGCCCGGCGGAAGAGATCCCGAAGATGCTCAAACGATCTGCCCACACGGAGAGAACGGCCCGAGACGGAAATTCCTACTCCGTTGTCATCAACATCGAGCCATCGAAGACTGAGTTACCAGTTTGATCTGCTGGTGATGGATAAGATGTTTTCTCTTACCCATGAAGGTAAAGTGGGGGAAACGATTGAGCATAAAATGGACAGAATGGATACCAGAATGGATGCTCGAATGGAAGCACGAGATATTTCTGCCAGAGCATCTGCTAAGTTGGGGCTTACAGGCTCCGGCAGCAACCACTATGACAAGTCACTCCAAAATCCAGGAGCGCCCACCCCTTCGGGCCTCAAAGGTTCAATGGGGTTAAATGCGCTGGGATACCCGAGCCCAATGGGGACTTTGAACACCACTGGTGTCTGGAACTCAACGGGAGCTTCGAAGCCCATAGAGCCAGTGCATTCGGGAGCCGGAGGTTCTGCCAGCCACAATGCATGCAAAGGAGGAAGGATTGAGAACAGCGCTAGTACTTCTCGTACCACACACCATTCTGCTACCAATGCTAAACTTCAGTCTGCTCCTCAGTTGGACGCAGGTTTCCAAGGAAGCCGCAAAGAGCGAATGCAATTTGTGGAGGATGATCTATTCACGTTTAAGCTTGTGGTGAATTCACTGGGGCGAGCAGAACTTTCCAAGAGAAAAGAGCCCGGCGAAGACTACGCGGAAGAAACGATCCCTGAAAAACCGGTGCAAGAGTATCAACCTAGTGGAAGTATGTCCGCTAACGACGGTCTGTTGCAGAAGGAGAAGCCGAGCAGTATATCAAACGAGAGCCAGTTTCCAAGTTACCAAAGTGGGATTCTGTCTAGAGGGAACTTGCCCGAAAAACCACCGCTTGTACACCACAATACAGCAATAGGAATTGAGGGCCAGCTCCTTGCTCGAGAAGAGAGCATGCAAATGTCTACAGCGGGCTCTGTGGGCGAAAATATGGATGATGGCGAAAAGCATGTTGTTCCGCAGACACCAAAAGGCCGGGACGATTTTTTGGTTGGATTTACACCCAAATATGAGGAGGGGTCCTTGTTTAAATTGACACCACAATTCAACACAATGATGTACTCCATGATGAATCTAAACTCGCCACAACCGAGCAGGGGCGACGCACAGCCGTTTTTGAGCCCTAATCATGAGATGGACTCGCAGGCTCGAGCCATAGCCATGGACTCTAGCATTGATACCGAAAAGTTGTTGGACCCGTCCGGACATGAAAATTTGGCGGACCAGTTTCTTTCCAAAGACGATGGCGACGCACGAAACGCACTCAAGAAAATCTTGAAGTTACACTAACCAAATTCATTGAAGTTTATACATTCGTTTTATAAAGTAACACATATTATCTACGCAAAAAGTGAAGGGGCTTCTGACTGTAGGAATTATCTATAACTTGTAACAATGCCTGAGATAATACGTACGTCCTTGATCATGCTTTATACAATACTGACATGGTTTTCAATACCCGTACTGTTCAAAATGGTATTCCAATACTTTTCATCCCTTTAAAAAAGAACTTGAATCATACTATAGTCTAATGTATCTACGAATTCCAATTTCAATTTCCATCTATTTTAACTAATCATATCCTCAAATAGTTCTCGCTTTAAGAGGCCAAGTACTTTAGTACTTAGTCCACTTCCACAAAGACTCACCTGGGTTGACCAACTCATCATCGTTAGAGAGCTGAAGGTGACACCACCATCTGGACCCAAAGAGGCAAGAACTTGCAAGTAGTACAAGAATTTGGCTGGGTTGAAACCCTGGCCCCAGACTTCCTTGCTCTGCTTGATAACTTCCTCCTTTGGAACAACTTCCTTAACTTCAAACTTAACATTGTGAGTTTCCTCGTACTTCTTGACGACCTCCTCAAAGGTGACAGTACCGGATTGGATTCTCACCTTGTCTGGGAGTTCAGAGACAGGCTTGGAAGCAATAGAAGCGATGGCCAATCCGACATCCTTAAGGGAGGAGTAAGAGAAGGCGAGACTTGGAGAGTTGAAGTAAGTCACAGTCTTGCTCTCAAGGTCAGCACCAACGTGACCGATGACTTCGTACAACCAAGCACCTTCAGCAAAGAAACCGTTGTAAACGTCAACGACCTTGATACCGGTCTCTCTGATCTTGTCAGAGTGAGCCTTCTTGATACCCAAGAAGCCTGGGAAGGTCTTGGCAGCAGCCTCCAAGTCACATCCAAATTGAGTTGGAATGAACAACTTTGGCTTAACTTGAGTAACAATGGTCTCAATGGCGGCGAAAAGCTCTGGGTTTGGGGAGACCAATTCGATAATCACATCAGTACCCTTCAATTGTTCAGCCAATTCGGAAGTACCGTTGATGTAGTCACCCTTGATGTACTTAACCTTGTCAGTAGAAGTAACCTTAGAGGTGTCTCTGGTGACAGCCAAAACTGGGAACAGGAACTTGTCAGCGAAAGTGGTTTGAATAGCGTTGAGAGTTGGGGCACCCAAGGTACCGTTGAGACCGAAGATTGCGACAGAAGGCTTAGACATTGTAATTGAGGAGTTTGTGTTTTGTGTTTGTTGATGGAAGGAAAAGAGCGATTCTTGAGGGACTTATATACTGATGTCTTAGATAGGGAGAGCATTACTCAGCATTATATGCAATCCTTGCGTCTTGAGTAATATGGGGGTTGTGGCGCGTAAGCAAAGTGCACCAGTACATCTTTCACTTCAGATTTTTTTTTCATGGCAACCAATCAAGTCCTTAGCTAGAGGTAAGGTTCATAGATATCGCAGCAGATTGGAGCTTCATCAGAAAATTTGGAGCATTTTTGTAAAATCCTTTTGATTTTTTTTGAAGCTTACACGTCTGATGAATTTTCTAGAAACAATTTTAGTAATTATTTGTAAGCTTTGAGACACATCCTGCAGAATGATTAGCAAAGCACATCAGGTGCACTTTGCAACAAACCGAAATTACTAAAATGGGACCCGTACCTCCCGAAGTGTGTATGCCACACCACCTTACACCAAAGTGTGGATTGACAATTGTGGATGATAATTTGCCACTACATATTATTGGGGCAGTCAAGGGTATTGGACGAAGCTATCAAGTAGAGAATATTGAATTTCGTAATTCAAGACAAGTAAGACTGGTTCGGCAATAACCTGAACCATGCTTATTAGACACTGATGTAAAGGACTCCGTGCCCTTTATCTTATCTAGTGCGTATGTGCTAAATCCAAGCCTAAAAAAAACTTCACCATAGCACTGATTGACGTCCCAATCTTTTAAAAATGCCAGTATACAACTGAGATTAATGAAGGTTAAAATAGAGCTCAGTATGAACTGTGGGCGGATATGCCCATTACATCTAAGGTTGATACCTAGTGACCAAGGCTTGATCATTGCTAAGATAGGCAGTTACAGGGCGTACGACATCACTGCTGAGTATTGGAGCCAACGTTAAATGATGGCTCTTCTACTCTGGTTGCGTAATATTAGCAATACTATCTTCTTGAGTGTTATTCGTTATTGACCTGCCACGTACAAGATAACAGACACGGACCATCTTTATACTGATCACAAAGATCATGTAATTCATCAACTGGAGTGTCCCAAAGCAAAACAACGCACCATTGTCATTCTGAAGTGAAGCTTGTAGCGTGAGTAATCTCTGATTCGTGAAAAGACAGAACAACTTACTTTGGTTTGGTCTAGTTCCTGTGATACTCTCTATTATAGACAAATACATATTTATGATCGAGAGAGAGGTAAGCAGCCTACGCAAACATTCAACATGGTTCGCAAACTTTCACACTTGAACTTCGGATTCGAAGTGTTTAAAAGTCCCCATTGCCCAACTAGGAGGACACAGTAGTGCATAGTATGACAAGAAGAGAGATGCTCAACAGTCTTACAGAGGTACGGATGTAGTCATGTGAGAGAAGAGTGAAACCGCAGAAAAAGTCGTGCGCCTGCAGCATCGCGCAGTTACCCGCCTCTCTGTGCGCCTTTAAGACTGAAAAATTTTTTTTCACTCAATTCTTCACTTCCACAACTAAGCATGTCGCACAGAAAGTACGAGCAACCAAGACACGGTTCTTTGGGTTTCCTCCCAAGAAAGAGATCTGCCTCCCACAGAGGTCAAGTCAAGTCCTTCCCTAAGGATGTCAAGTCCAAGCCAGTTGCTTTGACTGCTTTCCTCGGTTACAAGGCTGGTATGACCACCATCGTCAGAGACTTGGACAGACCAGGTTCTAAGATGCACAAGCGTGAGGTCGTTGAGGCTGCCACTGTTGTGGACACTCCACCAATGGTTATCGTTGGTGTTGTGGGTTACGTCGAAACCCCAAGAGGTTTGAGATCCTTGACCACTGTCTGGGCCGAGCACCTCTCTGAGGAAGTTAGAAGAAGATTCTACAAGAACTGGTACAAGTCCAAGAAGAAGGCCTTCACCAAGTACTCTGCTAAGTACGCTCAAAACGGTGAGGAAATCAACCGTGAGTTGGCCAGAATCACCAAGTACGCTTCTGTTGTCAGAGTGTTGGTCCACACCCAGGTCAAGAAGACCCCATTGTCCCAAAAGAAGGCTCACCTTGCTGAGATCCAAATCAACGGTGGTTCCATCGAGGACAAGGTCAACTGGGCCAAGGAGCACTTCGAGAAGACCGTCTCCGTCGACTCTGTTTTCGAGAAGGACGAGATGATTGACGTTGTCGCTGTCACCAAGGGTCACGGTTTCGAGGGTGTTACCCACAGATGGGGTACCAAGAAGTTGCCAAGAAAGACCCACAGAGGTTTGAGAAAGGTTGCTTGTATTGGTGCTTGGCACCCAGCTAACGTCAACTGGACTGTTGCCAGAGCTGGTCAAAACGGTTACCACCACAGAACCTCCATCAACCACAAGGTCTACAGAGTTGGATCTGGTGCTGACGAGGCTAACGGTGCTACCGAGTTCGACAGAACCAAGAAGACCATCAACCCATTGGGCGGTTTCGTCAGATACGGTTTGGTCAACAACGACTTTGTCTTGTTGAAGGGTTCTATCCCAGGTATCAAGAAGAGAGTCGTCACCTTGAGAAAGTCCTTGTACGTTGACACCTCCAGAAGAGCTCTTGAGAAGGTCAACTTGAAGTGGATCGACACCGCTTCTAAGTTCGGTAAGGGTAGATTCCAGACCCCAGCCGAGAAGAGAGCCTTCATGGGTACCTTGAAGAAGGACTTGAACTAAATGTTCTAGCTTCTAGCTTCGGCCACGGTGTACTGTCTAGTTATGAATGTATGGTACATGTGACTTATGAATGTAGCTCGTAGTAATGTAGCCTTTTCAATTATGGATGCGATGATGTATATTTATTGCGTACAGCACTTTGCGAAAATTGATCACTGATACGGACAATTGGTTTTGGACTACCATCATCTCGACTTTAACTTTAAGTAAAACGAAATGCATATCATCGTCTGAAAATGAGCTCACATAACAAATAGTTTAAGATAGATAATGACACCTGTCTCTCCAAGGACCATTATTGAGAAGACGATGGTCTGTGTATTATGTATGTATGCATGTCGCGCACCGCGTTCATGCTGAAGACGCATCAACATGTCGCATGTCAACGCCATGGAGTCTGTTGTTGCTGAGTCCAGCTCCATCTATAGTACCTATATTGCCACGATAGACCATCTTCCATGCGACATTGTCCGATCACTTTGGCTAGTTCAAAGCTGCAATCTCGCGGCGGAAAAAGAAAGCCATAAACTCAACCTGATGCTCTTACATGAAAACGCAGAGTCTGTTCTCCAGAAGATCAAGCAGGGAAATTTGGAAATAGTAAAAGCATACGCCGAACTGAAGAAACAGATCCAACGCTTCAATGCTGAGGCGGTAGCCGAAATGGAGAGCCTCTGTGACCAATTATCTACTCACGAACAAATGGTTTCAAAGGAGATCTCTCAACTTCAGACTATGGTGCATGCTCCAGAAAGGGACAATCTGCTGCATTCAGCTCAGCTACGGGCACAGCTCATTGAACACTACAGGAAAAATCCTCTTGCATCGCAGGTCGAGGCTCTCAAGGAGCAAGAGTACATCCTTCGGAAACTGGACAATGTCATCATCTCTAAATCACCTGGAACACTGACTGGCCTTAAGATTGTCTTCAAACTCTCAGGTGACAAAAAACCGACTCGTTCCAAAGCCGAAATGTCCAAGTCTCGAGGCTTGGATAGAACACATCCAAAATCCCGAACTGGACGGGGAAAATGGCCCAAACAACGCATATCTAAGAAGGAAACACAACTTAAGGTAGCCCAACCTTTCGAGGAAATGGTTGAACCCATAGTGGAAGCTGAACCAGAGAAGTATTGTTTCTGCAAGCAGCCGTCCTTTGGCGATATGATTGCATGCGATAATGAAAAGTGTCCCAACGGAGAATGGTTCCATTATAAATGCGTGGGACTTCTAAATCGGGTAGAAGCTCTTAAATATAACAAACAGAAATGGTTCTGTTCCCCACAATGCAGAGAGACCTTTGAGAGCCGCCAAAAGAGGAAAAGACACAAGAGCAGAAAGAACCGATGGTAAGAAGGAGTAAATGAAATAGAACAAGACAAGACGAAACTGGGAAAATAGATGGACAGGTCACAGGAAAATAGACTTAACGGGAAATCATCGTCTATGTTAGATGCGCAGTACAAAGAAAGAAGTTTATCTGCTCGGAAGAGTGAAATAAAAGACAACTAAGTTGAAACCAACATAGATTTTCGAAATATTTTTTTTTTCTCTCAAAGAAAAGTTTCGTATTAGCTATTTTTTTCTATGATTTCCAAACATGATTTATAATACCCTTAATAAAGACAACACAGGCTGCATATACAGTCATCCGATTGTCAAAGCTTAATTAGCATCTCCACTTCAAAAGACAGACTATAACAATGTGACCCTACTGACTGAAACTGTTGCCTCGTCGAAATTCTTTAAATCAAAAAAGTTTGCATTGTAATCTTCTCATTTAATATTGTACGTATTCACATTTTGAGTTCAATACATGAGGAGACCAGGGAGACAAGATTATCTTCAACAAATTGTCTCAACCCATATCTACAACTAATCTGTCATGCCAATATTATGGGCTATACTCAACTGCCCCATCATGGAAACATGCTGATTTTACTGTGTAAAATAAACACGAAACCCGTCACTTCATTTTTTATGATGGCGGAAGTGGATCCGTAGTTGGCCAGTCTATAAATCATAACTCGATTCATTATCAGCCCTTCTTCATGCTTGTTGTACTCAGACAGCCAACATCTCCAACATACCTGTGATCTCATTTGCCTCTCTGCATTTCTTCACCTCAGATTCGATTCTGCGAGACAATGTAGTGAAGGCTTCTTCGAGAGCAACACTCTTTTCCACCAAGTGTCCATACATTTCAAGTAGCACTGCAAGGAAGTCACAGATGATGTTGAATGACCGTACGTCTGCAAGGTTTTTACTGAACCACAGCAACACAGGCATGAGTGATATTTCATCACGGCCATATAAACAGATCCGTGTCTTACCTCGTTTCTTCAACTCATGTAAAAGCGAAACAACCTGCTCGCGGGGCAAACCAGTAGAAATGGCCAGGTCCAAGGCCTCAGCCCACCTGAAAGCATTCATGTGCTTTTCAAACTGTTTTAAACGCTTTGTCAGCGGCGCACTTGTATGTACCACATGGTGCTCTTCCTCACCGAGATATTCGGCGCCCTTAACTATACGTGCATATGTGCTTGAACGGGTTGGTTTTGCGGCAGCGGTCTTTGGTTCTGTTTTGCGGGTACGGATCGAAAGAAGACCAGATGTCAATCCTGTAGCGAAGTGCTTGAAGTCAGGCGAAACAGCGGAGCAAAGTACTCCACCGCTTCCGAATTTCCAGCCGAATTTGACATCCCAATTGGAAGGATCAAAGATCTTCACGTGGCCGTCCAACAGGCCCACCAACAACCCACGCTCTCCTGCGGAATGCAAGGTGGTGGCAGTTTTGGTGAAGTTGCGGAACTCATGGAGTTGGCTGCCACGAGACAAGTCCCATACTTTTACTTGTGGCCCACCCGCACTAACCAAAGTGGTGGGAGAGAGCGCCAAAACATCTTCGACTGGGTTACCTTGCTCGAAGCTGGCCACCAACTGCTTCTGTCTCGTATCGAACACGCGCACAATGCCGTCGTAGCATCCAGTAGTGAGCAAGTTTGGGTTTCCAGGCACAAAGCCACAGCTACGCACGTAATCGCCGTGGTGGGATGCGCCAAACTCGACAATCGGACCTGAAGATGTGTGTGCAATGTCGTACAAGCGCACGACACGGTCGTCAGATCCAGTAACCATCTGGTTTCCAATTGTAGGATGGAAACGGGCCACATGGGTCGGATGCGTCAGGGGGTTGACACTGACCAATAAGTTACGCGGCTGGTATGCATCAAAAAGAGACACCAATCCCAGCGCATCGGCGGCTGCTAGAAGCTTTCCGTCGAAACGATACTCTCCCGAGTATACGGTGTCCTTGAAGCGCGAGAAAGTACGGATCACCTGGCGCGTTTTGGAGGAAAATACTTGGATTCTTGTGGAGGATGTGACGGCAAAGTCATGTGGGGCCACCGGGTTGAAGTGAATGTGTGTGATTGGGTAGTTTTCCTTGATGAGCTGAGGATTGACAAACCCGCGCCAGTACTTTTGTTCGGGTGTAGTCTTGGCGGGGAGCACGGGCTGCCGTGCCTGTGGAAGACGCTGTCTGCTGGCTGACATGGCGAAAAATAGGGAAATGGAAAACGCAGAGGCAAAAATGTAGAAGCAGCTACAGTATGAGGTGAAAGTGAAAAGTAGTAGGAAAAGTGCGATGGTCGCTGTGCAGGAGCTCATCTGGTGGATTTTCGCATCTACATCTTCGTTCAAGGCTCAGTGTGATCACATAGAAAAGACATGACTTGGGTCGAGTGAAGATGCAATTGGGACAATAGGTGGGTTCTCAGGCTTGATTTCTTTCAGACAAACTGGGCCACTTCATATGTAGGCGATTTTGTGGATTCAAGAAGTGTATCGAGCGCGTTATAGAAATTTCAACATGCGAGACATTGTGCAACTAAAGTTACAGCCGTCCATAATAAAGGCGTAAAATTACCACCTATACGTGAAACCTCTAGTGACCTTAAATGATATCCCTAGTGGCCTTATGTAGTATTATAGTCCAACAAGTAATAGCTAGGTTATCTATATTTCTTTTCGCGCATTCGGTTTCTAGCTTCTAGACTAGTCTCATGCAATTGTAAAAAATCATGAAATTAAGGTAGAACAGCTATCACACTAAACCCAGAAGAATCCACCAAATAACTCCATCCTCGTAAACAAAATTATTTACTCCCTTCAGTTTCCAGAGATCTTGCAGCAGTAAGGTTTGAGAAAACAAACCAACGAAGGTCCTTCAAAATAACAAATGAGATAACTTATATCAGAAAGTAACTTAAACTCTTGAAGTGGAGCAGACAATATATTCCCACGTTCGAAAACAAATGGAAACACAAGTATGCTCATGGTTTGTCCTTTCTTGATTAATTCATGAGGATATGCTTTATGCTGATTGTGGAACAAACGCATCCGCTAGCCGCAAGGCCTGTCTAACATGTGTCGGACAATGCAAAAGCCTCTCAGAAGTGCGTAGAATCTAGTAAAAATTGGAATGAAAGGTTTTGTCCAGCTAAGCTTATAACATGTCATCAAAGCAAATTGCGGCTATCACAGTTGCCAGGCCTTAACATTTGTCATAGCCTGGTATTGACATGACCCAACGGAAACTAAAGCCGGACCCAGTGTTTGTAGGGCTGTATGTTATATGTCATTGCCCCTAAATTATTCCAGTGAACTGTTTCACTGGCATTAGTCATTCTCATTAGTTCAATTTGCCTGAAGTTGATAGTTTGCTTCGCTTCCAATTTCAATAGGAAGAAACACTATATCAAAATCCATACATATAATTTGTCATTTGTGACAGTCAATTTACTACCTTGTTCAATCCAAATCTCTTTTACAGGACGGAAGCACTTGAAAATAAAGAAGTCGCCAGGACCGACTAGGATCAGTTTTTCCAACGCAACAAATTTATTCAAAGCTCAACTTCAGCAGCTTTCATGACCCTGCTCTAGATATTCATGGTGCAGCAATTCCTGGATGCCTCTAAATGTGCATAGAATCAGAAACCAACTGAAGAGTGGGCTTCGTACACGAAAGGATAGAATTTCCTAAACATGAAGACATAACATAGATTTTCTTGCCCCAACAAATGAGGAAAGTCTCTTTCTGGAACCCGACGAAGACAAACGAGGATAGCCTACAGCTTACCATGAAATTATACTTAGAAAAAATATTCGTGACTCGTGTTGTGGGTAAATGGGATTACAGTACCGCCTTAAGAACGCGGAATAGATTTAAAGTTCTTTCAATGTTGCATAATTTTCTCCTTCGGAGAAACAATTTGAAAATGAATAAAAAAGAAGCAATACATTAGAAGACTATATTGACAAACAACGCAAGCCAAGATTCAGACCAGTGATTCATCAGATGTGGGCGTCACCGCTATAATGTACGACTGCATGGTTTCCAAGGCAACGCTTTAGGTGCATCTAACTTCAGATCTTGCAGGACACCCGCATATTCCGGAATCTTTCTCGCAAAGATTTTTTGGGCCACTTCAAAGGGTACGAAATAAGTACCTAATGGTCTACATACGCCTCGAAAACCTTGGTCATCATAAGGCAGAATAGAGGTGGTAGCATCAGAAACTGGAAAAAAGACAAAAAAAAAAAAAAAAAAAAGAAACGCAACAAAAAAGGAAAAAAATCCCACGCTTCGAAGCTTCGACGTACCTACTATGCATAGTTCCTAAATATTCGATTCTCGTAAGTGGGGGTAAGTCCGCTCAATCAATCACTGGAAACACACATTCACAGCGTAATATAGTGGGAAATACGTGATCTCCAGTAGATAGAAAAAAAGTGACATGTTTTCAAAATGGCAAAAAGTGGCCTGTTTCTCTATAATGACCAGAGCAATGAATGATATCTTTCACATCAAAATTCGCCTGCAACTGAATCTAGGAAGAAAATAAAAATTTCGGACCCGCAGTAGAACTCTACAGATAATGAAAGAGGTCTAACCAATGATTTGTCAGCAAGTGGCTTTGGATGTGGCCCATGAGATTATTCGGCACAAAAGTAGGTTCTCGACAAAATAAGCTATGGTACTGCATACACTACAGCAAAACGTCGAATTCACTAGTTGGTTTTTGGGAAGAAATATTGTGTTTGCTCAATCTTAGACATCATGGTTAGTAAAAGATTGGAATGGGATCTCATGCAGCGAAATATCAAGTGAAAGAAATGTAAAAGTGGCAAGTTTGGGTGAGTGACACATGATGCATATAGTGCACATATTAGCGAATCTCCTGTCGGTAAAGTTAGCGAACACTTCCGCGGAACTTGGCAACGTGAAAAAAATAATCATGACTACGTTTGCTACATCAAAGTTTAGCAAAAATGAATATGTCTATTAAATACTTCTATTAAATACATGAATTGAACCCATTAGCCACGTCCGCCCATTACGTCATGGGGCTAAATAAATAAGTGCGACCTCGCTTTCACCCGCTTAGTCAATAAGAAGGAACGTTGGAGTTCCAAGCATATGTGGATACTCAGTAGAATTGTTGTCGAGCAGCACACCAGAGTCAACCCCAGTCTGAATAGGACGAGCCACAGCAGCAGAAACAATTGTAGCAGTGAAGAAAAGAGTGGAAAACTTCATATTGTGTGTGATGGAGAAATGGAAAACAATGTGGGACTGTCGTCTCTTTAATACTTCCCGTTGTTTCTGCATGGAACTACGAGTCAAAGGCCAAAGCATTCCGTAAATGCAAGCCCAAAAGCCGCTGCAGATAACATGCAGTAAGTGTCATAGAGTACGTGTATATCCTACACATAAAATATCGCTTGCATGAGTTACGCGTATAACTACGGGTGAGCAAATATTTGATCGCACCCCAGCGCCGTTTGTGCAAACAATATTAATCACGAGCTTTATGAAATTCCTTCATTCAGTGTACATAATACTTGGGTAACAGCAGAAAGTCCTCAAACGGTCTGTTGTGGGATATTGGAGGTCTTCACTAAATATACTAAAATACAATCGTTTAGCGAGTCGCATAAGGGTGCGTCTTTCTGGTGAGTGACAGTACACACGAAAAAAGAAACGACTAAACGTGGGGACGTAAATGGCGGTAGGTCGCAAATGGAGACATTTCATTGTTAGGTTTCAAACATACAAACTGACACTAAGTTACTGGGTTGTAGCTCCTGTACTTTTTACTTCCTTTACTTTTCCTTCCTTTAATATTACTTTTTTTCATTCTTTACTTTTACCTTTTGTATAAACTCACATGAACTTTCGGATGTGTGGAAGTCTAAATCCGGCTCATGCATGGAAGCAGTGCCTTTGCGAATGATCATACACACACATTATCTTTGCGTATATGTCCTACGCCATGCATACTCCGTATCGAAGGCGGGCTAATAATCTCCACCAGCCATCGAAATCCTAATATCGGACGTCGTGGGTGTCCTTAATTGAAATTTACTTAGCGTTCATAGACAGTGTTTACTAACTATTCTTAGCGTTACTGACTATTCTTTTCTATAGCGACTATTTGACTGTCGAAGGCATCTGTAGACAAGTTACTATTTGTTTTGGCGAAAAGATGAAAACACAATTCAAGTGTCAAGCCTATCCTAGTTGGGATTTTAGCTCTCAATTTTTTTCGCGAGTCGCGATTAAAAATTTCTAGAAAGATGAGAGAGCCGTAAAATTTCTTTTTTTCTATGACGCGAGGGAAAAAGTTACGTAGCGATTCATGTACGCCACAAAATCTACGAAAGCAGACATACAGGGAGATTATATCCTGCTAGATATACAAAAAGGAACACGCACCGTTTTTGCTCCAAGTGCCTTTTCTATGTGCTCGGTTAACGAAGTCTGTTTTTCTGAACACGAATTTTTGGTACTGAATGTAGACCGCAAGACATTAGTAGTTCCATGTATGTAAATACTTTCAACCATTCTAATTGGTGAAAGAAAATAAAAGAGTTATATACAATCGCTCGAATGGAAAAAAGCAAAAAGAACAAAGAAAACAGGCAAGATGATGTCATTTTCCCCATATTGATTATTTTTCATTGAGTGTCAATTTGTTTTCGGAATTATTGACTCTGAAAAGAGAATTTGACATCCATTAATACTATGATGTCTATTCCATATACGGCATTCCGGTTTCGTTGTTGTACTTCTACTTCAGAGCCATACGGTTCTCATGCTCTCGGAACCATAATTTTCTTTTTTTTTAATGACAACACCATTTACAATGCTCTGAGCAATAATAAAGAATGCACGAGACACTTTCAGTGTACGAAATCATTCATCTATACTAGAAAAACAAAATGTTTGATGTATCAAATGTTGCTAGAAAGGGCAGTGAAGACTAAGACCCGTGCACCAAGCAATACAACATACTCTCAGACACTCCTACAATACTAAAAGTGTTCTGGTCACACGTTTCGGTCTTCAAAGAATCTGATATCCGACTCGTTAGCCGTTCTCTTGAAGGCGAGATCCATGAAAATATCGTTATCTAAGCATATACCTTGATATCCAAAAGTAAACGCCGCAGATAACTCAGTGTACATTAATCTGGGGAACACCGGTCACCAATGTCGATGATTCCAGGCACTTTCCCCTCTGTGCCATATGCATCCGAGGAAACCGAAGATGCATCGATGTCTTTTTCTGCTGCCACATTGTCTGATATGGATCAACCGTACCAAAGCAAGTTCTCTGAGCGAGAAAACGCTAGCAGACGGGTTTTTTTCCAACGCCACATGATTCTTCAGCTCAGCACCCTCGCATACTTTCTTATGGGTTTCCAGTTCGTGCGCTACTTCCGATGGGCATGTTTTGTCCCTTTTCTTATGCATTTAATGGTGCACTTTCAAATGCAAGTGGGCAGTGTTGTTCGTGGCGACAACACGGGTGCAAATTTCCTTCTGCAGACACTTGACCAACAGCAGGCTGTGGCCAACCGTAGTGGGATTCCTTTCGACCGTGCAGCCGCCACTACTCGCGCCATTGCTACCGTCTGGCTTTGCCTCTACTGGAAAAGTCTTATCACAGCGGCATGGCATGTGGTTTTCGTTGTGGCGTGGTTGCGGCCGCAGGCTGACGTTGAAGGCATAACCAAGCTCACTCAGAACCTGTGGCTTTTCTTCCTGCTCTTGGGGGATACATGGGACTACTACTCCAAAGACGACCCATTGTGGCTTCGGCTATGGAACTTGCGGCTTGTGGGCGCAGTGACGCTTGATGTTGCCATTCTGCTTATTCAGCTATGTCTATTTCAATGTGTGTACTTGCAAGCAGAAAACTCACCGCGGGGATTGAGGTTGAACGAACAGGAAATCAATATTCTTCGAGTGAAACCTGCGGCGCTGGCGCCAAAAGGAGCCGTACTTCATATCCGGTTATATCAAGCATTAGAAGGCAGTTGGGATTGAAGGGGGAGTAGACTTTGGCGTTGCATCATCTAATAATGATCCCATGCCTTCATCTTAATGTTTGATTGCCACACTCTTGATCATTGTATCTGCAAACATATCCCTTTGCGAACGTGAACAAATGAGGATCCTCGCGACTATATGCTTGTCTATACTACCCGAGAGATCCATGAAAATTATGGTGCCTGGTACCATGAACATTAGTGCTTTAGTACCTTACTGAGCCAATGGGCAATTGTTGGATCATCCGCGAAACTACGCTTTTGAAAATGGTCCCGGTAAACAATATTCATATCCTACCTCTTCCTGCGGGTGCTGAACGCAAAACGAAACGAATTGGGTGGGTCTGGCAGGAGCTTATGCTGCTCCTAACATCGAAAATGTGCTCAGATAATAGAACCTAATATTGGCATTGACAAATTTAGGATACATAATCTCTATTATTGAAAACGATAATCAATGGCAGGTAACCTGAAAGGTCAATTTGAAGATGAAATTTGAGATTAAGTAGGTCCAAGATCTACACGCAAAGGGCACTTCCAACCACTTTCATTGGGGAGGTACGGATGTGCACTATTTTTTCAACGCGTGTAAAACGCGTTTTTCTCTCCTCTAACCCATGTCCATTGAAAAGAAAATGAAGACTGCTGACCAACTTAAAGTGTTCTTGCGTTCAGAAAAGGCTACTGTCCCTACAAAAGGGTCTGCTTTAGCTGCAGGGTACGATCTTTATGCTTCTGAAGACGCTGTTATTCCAGCTCAGGGCCAAGGCTTAGTTGCTACTGATTTGTCCATTATTGTTCCAATTGGAACCTACGGAAGAGTGGCACCAAGATCGGGTCTCGCGGTTAAACACGGGATTTCAACAGGTGCCGGTGTTATTGATGCAGACTACAGAGGCGAGGTGAAGATTGTTCTTTTCAACCATTCAAAGAAGGACTTTGAGATCAAAACTGGAGACAGAATTGCACAATTGGTGTTGGAGCAAATCATCAATGCCGACATCAATGTTATTTCTAAGGAAGAATTGGATATCACAGACAGAGGTGAAGGGGGCTTTGGGTCCACAGGCTCCAACTAATTATGGACTTGCTCATACGAGAGTATTACAAACTAATATACATCTGACGGAAAAATTCTTTGTGCATGAAGAGACATAGAAATGCTAAAGTAATCTATGAATCGCGTATGGTTGACGTTCTTGTTGCTGTTACTCATCACGAGGACCAAAACTTAATAAATAAAGTCGTAATTTTTTCTATGATCAACAGATCTGTGTTCATGACGAAGCTTTTGCTTCGTTTTTCTCGGCCTTGGTTTCCGACTTTTCCAGAGAGTTTGGTTCAGCAGATTCGTGCTTGTCGCTCTTATCCTGCTCAGTCTTCTCAGATTCACTAGACTTTTCGCCCGGCTCATCTTGTTCAATCTTCATACCTTCGGTAGCGGTTTCTTCGTATTCATCCAATTTGATGTTATCCTTCACGTGGTTGACAGTATCCTTTTCACGCAAGTTCTCCTCTTGGATCATCTCGTCCTGCTCCTTCAAGATGTTCAACTTCAACTTTGAATCATGAGACAATTCCAACTTGGCCACGTTGTAAACTTCATCTGGAATCGATGACAAGACAGCCAACAAGGCGTCGTAGTACGTGTCGATACCCAGATTGTGTTCTCCATAAGTGTATGTAGAGGAAAGAATCAAAAGCGTAGAAGGAATCTTCTGTCTCAATCTCAAGTCCAACCAGGTGTCCAAGTCTTCTCTTAATCTGCCGGGGGAAACATCCTGAGTCCTGATACCTCTTTGGGAACAGGCCATTTGTAATTCAGGCACAGTCAAAGATTCGACACCTTCGTAGTCAATGGCTTTGTCGTCCTTGATAATGGTCAACAAGCGGTGTCTAATTTGGTATCTCAAGATCGAGTCGGTTCCATAAGGTCTAAGAGACATGTATTTAGCCATGGCAAGCAACTGTGGACGCGACAAATTATCCAACACTTGGTCATTCTTGAACATACGAGCCACTTGAATCAAATGTTCCCTAGTAGGAGTTTTACCCATTGAAATAGTATCGAAAAAGGACACGAAGGCTTCACGTTCTTTTTCCGAGATTTTCTTCGATAATTTGAGACCATTTTCTTCCATGGTCTTCTTGATAAACTCTGAAGCACTAGTTCTGGCCTTGATTAATTTCAACCTCTTCTTGTTGATGTCTGAAGAAGACTCATAAGTGGAAGGTAACAAGTTAGGGAAGAACTTTAAGGCTACTGGCAATAAGAGCTCAGCGAAAGGTACGATCACAAACATGGAGAATGGAATCAACCGCGCCACATCGACTAAAGTTCTCTGTAACTGGTTATTTTCTCTTCTGGACAAGCCATAACCAGCCGCCACTTTGAATAGTAATTTGGTGGAAACCTTGATCTCGTAACCCAAAAGCTTGGTACCGTTCCAGTAGTGAGCTACCTCGTGCTTGATACGGTCCCAAAGAGGAGGTTTTGGAGGCGCTTCAACAGCAATGACTTCAGTAGATGTCGATTCCTGTTTATGAGCTAACTCAGTACTCGGGCTAGGCCCTGCCTTGACGTCTTTTTCGCCAGCACTTACAGAAGGGGATTTTTCATCTTTCTTTGACGACGTGGATTGAAATCTGGTGGCGATTTTCGACTTCACGGAGACAGCGGCAAATGCGGAGGTGGATGCCGAAAAGGGAAGGGCAGCAGCTCTGGGGGTCAGAAGGACGTGGCGCGCCAAAGCCGCTCGGGTCAATAATCGGGAAGCCATTAAGGTATTGTAAAGCAAAAGGTCAAACACAAAAGGAAAAGCGGAGCGAAAGACAAAGATGGAGACAAAGCTGGCGGAGAATTCCATCAGGTAAGGTGGTGAGAAGATGAGATGCAGGAACGCCAGTCACGTGCGCCAGAGTCGGAAGGAAAAAAAACGAATATCGCCTCTCCGCATTGGGCAAGAGGCAAAGGCGCACCCAATTAGAGAGGGTATAAAAGATTGAAAACTATATAGAAAAGAAAATTGGGGAAAAAAGTATGATATTATGATCGAAAGCAGGTGATGTAGATTTATTGAAGAAAGAGTTTCCAATGTTTGTATAGGAAACGAGGATTCTAATGGAAATGAAACCGTGCAAACAGGATAGGTTAAAGTGGAAAATAAAGTGACAGTTTAACCCCCCATGGGCTAAGACAACATCTTTGAATGGAATTAACTTAGCAAGAGGATTTAAGGCCAAGGCCGTGGTGCAAACTGTTGGCACTAATCGGTGGTAAATAGTAACAAAAGCGGTGAAACTTTCCTATCCAAGCTTTGATTAAGCACAAATTTGGGCCTAAGCTGATTGATAGAATTAGAGCAAAGCATCAGTACACACAAAGCCATGTTCAATCCGAACCAGATGTCCCATCCAAGTCATGTGTGCTGAGTTCTGTTCCCCCGATTTCTCTCTAAGGATCTTAAAAGAGAGATGCTACTCCGATATGTTCACGTATAAGCCGTCCAAGAAGGAAATTGTTGGCAAGGCAAGCGAAAAGGTAGTTATCTTATAGTAATACTCGCCAACGCCATGCAAATAGTCGTGAAATAGAAAGCCAAATCACAGAATTACGTACAATGGTGCCTTCTCGATCCTGCCGTAGATTCCCTGCAGCAAAAGTGTATTGAAGTAAGGATCTTATTAGAAACTGATTGCCCAAAGCAAATATCTCTACAAGACACTTCTAGGAAGGACACACTAAAAACTCGTCTATTTCCATTAAATACTTACTCCTCGTGGCTGAGGGTCACGGGCTCCGCAGAGTCACCCAGCACACCAATGATAGCTATTTTCTCAATCAAAGTATGCATGTCTTCGTCTTCGCCATCGAGAAAGATATTTAAGTTTTGCACATTTTGGAAACGCACATATTTGAGCCGGATCTCGTGCCAAGGTCCTTTAGCATCCAGCTCGATAGTCTCGACATGGGGAGGATTCGACTCTGCGGCAGCATCGTCAAACGAGAGAACACCTGGTTTGTTAGGCCACACCTTGATCTTGCAGGGTCTCTGTGTTTCTGAAGAGAGCTCCTCCTCGTCTAAAGCAAGATTGTCACCAGTGCAAGTTGCAGGATCAGCAAATTTCACGAGAATAGAGTATACTTTGCTAATATAGTTCAAGGGCACGAAAAAAAGCGCTTGTGAGTCAGCATCAGTGAAAATCGTTGTAGGGTTTTTAGAATCGGGTCTAAAGACTTCCCTGGCATCAGCCTCGCCGTCCGAAGAACGTAAAGGGGACACGTTCAATGCCACCATTTCCCCAAAGTGAATCACGTTGTTCAACACACTGAAGCCTTTAGGAACAAGCAGAGAGACTTCCAGCTCGAGCCCCAGAAGTTTTTTGTTGCCCCGTGGACCGCTTGCAGAGTCGGCGTTGGCCCGTTCAGCCATCTTATCCAAGGATGCCTTTAACAGTGACGCATGTGCACGGTCCACTTCTTCGCCCAGCTCAAAGAAAATGAAAGTAGGAACACTGGTAACAACATACTTAGCTGCCACAGGACCACAGTCATCTAAATCAACGCGGACAATTTCGATCTTCGAAAACTTGGGGTTGGCATAAATCTGGTCAACCATTGGTTTGATCGCCTGGCACGGGCCACACCAGGACGCAGTGAAGTTTGCCACTAGATACTTGTTTTGGCGAAGATGCTTTTCAAAGTCTGCTTCGTTCTTGACGTACTGGATTTCCATTGGTGAAGTAAGATGGTGAAGATACGCGCACATGAGATCACAGTCTGATACAGGTCTTTGCAGTTATAGAAATCGACAATTGGAAATCTGCTAACCAAAATCAGCCACAATAATAGGTTCGAATGCAAACTAATACAATAGGTGGAAATCCTTGGTTGGATACAGTGCGTATCTCATGGTGGCTCAGGGCCAGATCCAGCGGTCGATCAGTATGCGTATACGTAGTTTCTGATCAAAACTGCAAAAATGCATGACAAAAAAAAACCGAGCTATACCTTCCTATGGGTGGCTTTCAAATGCTTGTAACTGTTTATTATAAAGACGTATGTTGAAAACATTCTCGTGACTCGATTAAAACAAAAGCGGAATACTTAATTCTAATTAAACATTTGTAAGTTGAGGGAAACTGCTTTATAGCGAGGGAGCGTTCGAGAAGCAAAGAGCAATTCCTTCGAAAGAAGAAGGTAACGCAATGAAATTAGAGACATACTTTCAATAAAAATTGTTCTCAGACTACAGCAAGAACAGAGGCACACTGATTTTCCGTCGTAAATGTACCGCCAACAAATTCGAAATCCAATGTGGCAATCTCCATCTTCGAAGCAGAAGTTTAGAGCAGCATACCCCTTTCTTTTGTATTCGGGCCACTGAAATCCAAGCTCGTTCAAAGATTTGAAGCGTTCAGGATCCTACAATATATTACAAATCACAGAAATACACGATTCACATGTTGCGACGCCTTAAAAGCACACATGCAGGTTCTGTTCTACATATCTTTATTTCGTTCTTATCTTTCATTTCCGTTTTCCTTACTCCAGTGCTACATATCGCCGATGAAATGTCAGAGCAAGACTTTTTAGAACAGATCGAAATCTTGACGTTTAATGCGATTTGGTTTCATGGCCTAACGAGCATAGCCTCATGCATTCTGCACAGTGGTGTTATCACCTCGCGCAATCGAACAATCAATAAATTACCTTTTCTATCTCTGGCCGCACAAGTCATAAACCCCCGCCTTAATTGTTCAACTGTAAAGAAAAAAAGGCACCATTCTAAAAAAAAAATCGGGCATAATAAGAGGTGTCTCTTCTAATATCACCAGCTATACCCCATCTCCTCCATTTTTTATTCGCCCTATTTTCCCCACTATCACATCTCTCCACCTACACCTTCGCATCGCTAACACACCCGTGCCTCCAGTCTCCACCTACCACTTTTCTTTATGGACGGTCCGGTTCCATTCTATCCTGGGGAGTCAGAGCTGCCGTCGCCGCTTGCGCCGCTTCGAATGAAGCTCCGGCCGACGTCAACAAGACGTCTGCGAAAGCGTCGCTCGCACAAGTCTCCTGAGGCGCCGCAAACTCCGAAAGTCCGAAACCTTCACGCCAGTCATTCTTCTGATTTAGACGGCACAACGCAGTTGCAGCAGGAGCAGGACTGCGGTCCCGGGTTCGGATTTCCTGTGGCAAGCCCTTTTGAGCTGCCAGAGCTCCCCCTGGCACATGACGACGAGGAAATCGAAAGTGCCCAAAGACTAGCGACCCTCTTGCTCAGCGCGGGCCGAACAGTTAACCTGCGGTTCAATGTGGTCAATCCGGTGCGGCCGGGTCTAGATGGTAGTCTGAAGTTGCGCATTCTGCGCTCTACTCAAAGTCGAATCGATACGGTTCGGGCCATGTTCTCGCTCAAATACAAATGGCTCGAGGCTAGTCAACAAACAGAAGGAGCACACCCGGGCGTAGAAGGTGTGTACAACCCACTACAGGTGATTAGGAACCGCTTAATTCGTACGAAAAACCACGAGTCGGCTCCATACACCGCGTTCAAAAACTTTCCTCTTCCATGCAATGCTTTCAGCTCACACAATCGGGCGGGTGGCCGCTGGTCTATGACCTGGGGCATAGAATTGAGTGAGCTAGTCTACGATATGTCGTGGCGTCAGCTGCACTGGCACGAACTTAAAGGGCCCAAGGGCGAGTTGTGGTTTCCCCAGGAAAGGCTCCATGAGCGTTTATGGCAGACTCAGTTTCTCTCACCAAGTCACCATAATGATGCTCTAAGCAACAGGCCTGAGTCAGTGAGATCAGGGACAACGAGAGCTAGCAAAGGAAGTCTTCCCCGAAATAAATCCGGCATCAGCCTTTATCCAGATGTTTACGCGGAGCTGGGAGGTGCCAACAGCAGCGGAGCAAGCGGCGGAAGCGGTGGAAGCACAGTTATGCATACTGGAGCTGGAACCAGCAGTGGCAGCAGCAATAGCGGAAACGCTACGGGCCCTAATTCCTCTGCCATCACCACACCCAATGGAGCAGTATCAGACACTATTGTTGCCAACGGTTCTCCCAACGGTGCCGTATACGACGTTTCCAATAACACTACGAACGATGCGATAGCGAATGGCAACGGAACTTACAATAGCCTTGGTATCGGTGGTGTTAGTTCCAAAAACGCCAGTGCTACAAATATTGGCAACAGTTCCAACGTTTCTACAAATGGAACTACTGGGGGTTCAACTAATAACTCCAGCTACAATGGTGGTCTGTCATTAGGAGGGCTGGGGAACAGCTCTCTAAGTGTTGGAATAGGCAATGCCAGCACAGGAACCTTAGCCAATGCCAGCATGAACGCTAGTCTCAGCGCTTCCAACGGTGGTACCATAACGTCCAGCAATAATCTTGTTACGAACAACTCGAATACAGGTACCAACAACACTAGCATTGGTACTCGGGCCAGCACTATCCCTAATAATGGTCCCCGCGCTCCGCCTATCATCATCATTGGAAACGACAGCACTGAGGAACTCAGTGAAACTGAACGTGTGCTCGATGTGCCGTTTAGTCCCTTGCATCTGCGTTCAGCTCTGAACCAAGCTGTCAATGAAGAACCACCTCCTTCTGAGGAGGTTTCTGACTCCATCCCGCCAGGACTTGCTCGCCATTTACGTTTCTTGGCCAAAGTAATCGCGGTGAATACAAACTTCTTGAACTCAGTCTACCCGCAGATGCTAGAAGCAATAGAGCTTCGACTTCGTGCAGTGATTGAAAACGATATTCACGCATTGCTTAACCTTGAAGTGGATGTCATCGATAATGTCTTTCCATCACACGAAGCCATCTACAGTGGGTTTTTGGGCGAATGCAAATCCTTAATCCACATGGCTAATGTTAATTATGCGGTAAAAATAGACCACCTCCTTGGTTCGACAGACCGGTCCATCGGTGAAATCAACACGTCGCTAGCAATGGATTTGCGTAAAGCCAGTGAACGCTTAGATCGGCTAAATGCACTGTTTTTTGGTCAGCCCCGGCTCCACTCTACCAGCGAGCATCGTACGCTTTACGCAATCCTAGAGAATGCCATTGTGATTACCTTGCGTCTTGTATGGGTTATCGTGAACTTGTACAAATCGGTTCTTACAATACTTCGCTTTTTTTGGCGAATTCTAGGGTGGCTCTTCTGATTCTGTCTATTCATGCACTCGAAATGTCGTGTTGAATCACAGGACATATATCATGTATGATTTTCCTTTCCCGCCTTTGGCAATTGTACCTGGCTTTTGCATCACTTAGACGTTCATTTCTTTTCTTTTCTTGTGATATCCACGCAGGGCAGACATACTGAAGCAAGAATGCACTTTTAACTTCTAAACACCCCAATGCTGAAGATTACAGGAAAACTCTACAATATCTAATAACGAATAATGATTACCACAACCATCATAATACCGAAGATCAAATCAACAAGTGTTGCCTTGATCATCGCGACGCTTCTCATGCATTGTTTCACTGAAGAAATCACAATAACAACACTAATTTTAATGATACCTCAGTTTCTGCCATCAAGAATGAAGGATACATAGCATAAATGGACTAGATCTCATTTAATATGTAGTGGATGAGAATGTACTGCAGTGCTGTTTATGCACCAACGTACTCCAGATTAGATTCACAGATGAATAATGCAGAAATACAGGGACACACATTCTACCCTCATGTTTCAGAAGGTCATCCTGGTAGCGCACACGGGTATATAAGAGGACTTACTTATTCCTAGTTGGATCCTCTTCAAGGATCATACCCATTTCTGATATATCAATTCTAAGTAAACGTCACATATCCAATATCCAACCCATCCGGCTCTCCTAAAGATGCTCACTCAATTACTTCTCTGGCTGGCTTCCTTTGAGAGACTCCGGTAGATTGATATCTGATTCACTAGCAAGAAGTGTTGAGATCTTCCTATTTCGCAAGAAGGATGGGTGTACATAGATCTGCCTCTACTGCACATGCCTATTCAGATTGTATATAACATATATCTTTATACCAGTCGTTTCGGTTGAACAAGACCATCTCCAGTGACAAACATGCAACAGAAATCGGTGAATCTACTAAGTATGTAACTTAAATACATGTGCGAGGCTCTACTAACGCATAGAAAAGATAGATGCCACTATCTATCAAATCCTCGAAAAATTCCAGGAAATGTTTGATAAAGCTATTATTCAAGATAAATCCAAAGAGCTGTTAGCTGTGGAAAGTCTTACTTTAGAAGCCGACGCATTAGCCATTATCCGTCTATGTAAAGATATCCTCACAATAACACGCGGATTAAAGGAAACATGGTGTTTGGGCACCATGAAAGTTCAACAAAAAGACACCCTGGAGGCTTCTCCAGAAGAAGTTCAACAAGTGTTTACGAAGTTCAATGCCTTGCTCGATCGTATTGCTGTACTTGAAAAACGCCAAGCCATCCAAGTGGCATAATAAAATTGACAGTTTTTAATCGAGCACGGAAATAGCACTGCGCCAGAACATACTTTAAAAAATGCCTTATCGTTCATTCGTTATACATCTGTTACATGAAAACAGCGTCATTAATTGGCAGCGTCTAACGTATGCCACATCATTCAAAACGCTTCAGAGTCAACTCGAGGTTTTCAATGGGCTAGCAGGTCGCGTTGAATTTCGACTGCCAAGATTACTTTTTGGCTCGACTTCTGTCTGCTCCTCAAACATATGTACAAATTTTTGTACTTTGCCAATCTTAATGAACTTGAACTTTTTATCCTGTTTGATGAAAGAGGGTACTTCGGTGGATTGGTCCCTGAAGGCGTACTCCAAGCCAAAGTTGTCCTCTGTAGTGATCAAGGCAATGGACGTCTTTTTGCCGGTTGGGGATTGGGAAGTCGTTTGCGCTAAACGAACTGGGGATCCAGAAGGTTTGGGAGTGAACTCAGAAAAGTTTGTCTGGTTTTTTGGACTCTTTGCGGGCGAGTTTGTCCGGGTACTAGTTTCAGCAACTAGGATAGAACCAGATGAAAAGCCTGGTTCTTCAATATTGGCGCGGTCGCGGCTAGAGTTAAGTTCATAGAGTGTTGGAGATTCCTGTAAGCCCATCGTCATAGGATTGGCCCTACCATTAGACAGCGTACTCGATTCGGATTTGGTAGCAAAAGTACTGACTGAGGTTGGAATGCTGGATTCCCGTTGGCTAAACACATCGGGTTGAATGGTATCACCAGACATCGATTCGTTGGGAGGATTTGGTTGTAGTTCTTGCATTGGCTGTAACAGAGCCGGTTGTAATAGACTCTTTTTCAATGTAATATTGTCTTCTGGATTAGCTTTTAAGGATAAACATCCAATGTCTGGATATGCGGGTCCAATGTCTTTAAGATTTGAATGTAATGTTTCTGCTGAATTCATCAGCGACAATTGTTCACCGGGGTTCAGGCTTTGTACATTCTCACGGAATTTTCCCGAGTTGATGCCCTCCTCTCGGTCAGTATTCTCCTCCTGGAAGGTAAATGACTCTTGGCTATTACCTGCGTGTGCGCTGAGGTTGCGCTCAATTATTTTGAAAGCGGTTGAGATACTCAGCATCTCTGATCCAATTTTAGTTGCATAGTCAGCATAGCATTCATCGTCATCATCATTAGCTGTGCATTTCCCACTGTCATCAGAGCCTAATAAGCGTAGTTCATCTGCGGAAACATCAAAATCATCATCACCAATGTCAAACAGCTTCTCGAACACTCCTTCAGAGTCAAGAGTAAGATCGAAAAGAGTACTTTCATCCTGCTGCGACGAGAAATCCCGCATACTGACCATGGGCACTGGCAGCTCTTGCAAGATTGTAGATGAGTTGGCAATATCAGCAGGGAGGTTTGAATTATTTCGAAGTTCAGCCCGCAACTTGCGGCAAATATACTCCTTTATAGTGTCAGTAATATTCACGTGGTCTACGAGCACCGCCAGCGGCTGAGAAAACCCGATCTGTATGTTTGCCACGTTTGCCAAGTCCACTGTAAGTTGTTCCAAGACAAGGGTAGTACTAACAACGAAAACCTCTCCATCACACGCAGAGCGAAGTACTGAACCCCATACTTCAAGAAGGCGCGGATCATGGAGTGTAGGGGGTGCCAGAATATGGTGTGGTTTTGTTGTTTTCGCAACAAAAATCTGATTTCGACGGACAAAACCAGAAGGGGCCAAAGACGGAACTCTAACCAAAAGCGCATTTAGCTCAAGCACAATGTTAAAGCTTCGAATGCTCTGAGTCAAGTCCACAAGCCTGCTTGTGGCACCTCCTTCAAACAAATGCATATCAGCGACACACGTTGCAATCTTAGCAGGGATATCTGAGGAAAAGAGTATGTTAGGCTTCTCTGGATCAAGTATCACATGCCGTGCCAGAGACGGCCACACTGTGTGAAACGCCATTGGAGGGTGCTATAGGAACAGATTCAATAGATCGGTGCGCAGGTCCGAGAATAGGTGATGTTATTCTTCGCTTTGGGTGTATATCAAAACTCGCGATACCAAAACAGTGCCATATGCAGGTTCACAATACCTGGTGTTGAAGCAAGAGGAAAATAGGAGACGGATATCAACGTGAAAATGTTTCCTGGTTTTATATTTTCTCGTTCATTCATAATTTTTTTTTCTATTGTGTGATATTTTTCAGTTTTCTTCTTTTTTGTCACCGCTTCCATTTTCGGTTCCGCTCTCTATACAATTTACTCTAGAATCCTGCAGAGCTCTTGTATTCAAGTCCAATCTGATCGGCGCCTAGAACTTTGCATGTCTTCATACTACTTTACCATCATAGGAACGAGTGACAATCCACTTTATGAGTTGGAATTCTCTTCTTTCAAGACTTCTACAGGCATACCAGGCCAAGCTCAATTTCTGCCCAAAGTGAAGGAGCTCTTACCCTTCATCACCAATCTGTCCCTAGATTTGATTGAGGATGCTCAGTGGAGCGGGAACAATTTCCATTTAGGAAAGATAGACTCTTTCTATGGCCTTCAGGTTAGTGCATTTATCACGCAGGGCAGCATAAAGTTTGTACTTTGCCAAGATGCGGGCAAAGAGACGCTGGGATTCACCGGTGCTGGAAGACACGACGAAAGTGGCATCAAGCTGTTTTTCTTTGAAGTTTACGATTTGTACGTCAAAGCAATGCTCAATCCGTTTTATGCAGTTAACGACCCCCTCGTTTCCCCTGATTTTGATTACCGGGTAAAGACTCTTGTTCGCAAGTACTTGTGATCAAAAAATCTTCCTCAGTATAGAGGCGGCCAGGTACTCACTGGAAGAAACAATATATGTGCGGAAGTATCATAGCAAATCATGTCTTCATAATTACTCTCTGGCTAGAGTTTTTTTGGTTAATTCTTGTTAGACAGGAGTGACAACTCTATTTCTAGGACAGGTGAATAGGTGTTGGATTCTTTCTCTGTTCAATTGGAAATGATGAAGATATAGTGAAGATTTGTCACCAGACTGGTGGTGTTCTTGACAGCACTAACGCTTCTTATTACTACATGAACTATATGAGTGCCAGAAGAAAGAGTGTGTTGAAACAAGATGCTCTACATTAGAACCGATCGACATTATCGTTAGAAGAACATGATACTAAAACTGGCAATATAGTGCCGGTAATTAGACTATTTACAGTAATCAAACTCTGAATCCCGTCTAAGACAGCCTATGGATCCTTTGGAGGATTCTTCAAAGCAGCATCGGCTTCGATTTTGTAGTTTCCGTTTTCATCTTCCACCAAAATATTTTGTTCTTTCAATACATCGAACATGTCTTGGGGAACCCATCCGCCTGTGGCAGCAAATGGAGTAGAAGCAACCTCCAACTGATAGTTTTCCAAGTCTGATTGATGCTCATCCAAATATTCAGCAGTGTACTCGATAGGAAATTCAGGTGTAGTCGAGTTACATATTTGGTTAGCAACATATGCTTCCCACATAGCTTGCAATTGGATGATTGCGTTCTCAATAAACATAAAGTCCTTATCTGTCTTACAGTTCACAACTTGCAAATATGGAGCCTTCAAAAGTTTGATATGAGGCGAAGCAACAGCAATAAGATCGTGTCTCTTGTTGTTGAGAGCAAACTCCCATAAGCGTTCATTTCTAGTCTTGTAGTACATGAACTCATATTGTTGTTTTTCAACATCATCCATGTCTTTGAAGCCAGGAATTTCTTCTTCCAAATTGTACAATTTAGTACCCTGGTAGGCAACAAAAGCAGGATAAGAAGCCAAGATGAATGGTTTGATGACTGTGTGCTCAAAATCAATGAAGAACGGCTTGGAACTTTTCTGCTCGACAATCACATTCAAAGGATCCAAGTCTGGAACAAAAAGCCGTGGTTTGAATAATTCTTCCACATTCTTGATCGCTGGGGAGGATGGGTTTAACAATTTATCGCTGATAATTTTGAAGTTTTCAAATGTTTGTATTTGTTTCTTCAACTGATCCACATCTTCAACTTGGTTAGAAGAGTCTGCCTGGGCCAAGCCTAATCTGAATCTCAAACTTTCTACTTGCACTTCAGCCAAGTCCTTGAGCATTTTCTCAACACTGTCCCAAGGCCCATTGAACTGGGAAATTTTTTGAGAGGCCAATTGTTTCTTGTTCTTTGAGAAAACCAGTTCAGTAGATGGTCCAATTCTCCATCTGTCCTTCAAAAGGTTATCTTCTTCATCATATGGGACCACTTTTTGGTTGGCAGCACTGACATCATCGAAAAAGTATAGCGAACCAAATCGGTTGAATGTCACGCTCAAAAGTTTGTCCTGGAATTCCATGATTGGATCAATGACTTTTTTCAACTCTTCTTCGCTTGTTTCCGAATCTGGAACCAATGGATTCCATTGTTTCATCAACAAATCGCCTTCAATATATTCCATCAAAATAAAAGGAGTTTGCAATATATTTGTACGTGTAGGACCGTAAGCAAGGACACGGGGAACATTCAACTTCAACTTAAGCGCCAAAAAATCCAATGTTGCTACTTCGCTGTTGATTTTGTTTTCAATAGCATAGTCCGATTCGAGGCGGTAAGGAATTCTCAACACCAACTGCCTGTCGTTGGCCAACGTAACTTTATAGATTCTATGGTGCTTTCCCTCATGAATGCTTGCAATAGACTTCACATCATGACCTGTCTCTCCAAGAATTTCTTTGGTCCAGTTGTTCTTCAATGCAACAGTCCCGTTGGTCAAATGCTCAGGTTTGCCCAAAGCAGCGTCTTGAGGTTTGAAATCTTTGGCAAACTTGCTAAGACCTTCGATGGAAAATCTTGTCTGTCTTCTTGCACGTTCCAACTTATCATTTTTCATCCAAGAGCCCCAAGTGTATTGAAAAAACTGGTTTCTAGCTGGATCCTTGGTGTCGTTGATTTTGGTGTAGACTTCTTTCGTCTGATCAGACAAACGTCTCGAGAAACAGAGGGCCGAGCTTCTAGGCGGGACCCGAAAAAGGCGTTTTGTGCCAGTGTTGACGATTCTTCTCAACATTGCAGATTGAACAAAGAAGATATGTGAGTTTTTCAAAAGTTTTTGTGTTCCTACACCTACGACATTTGTGGGGAGTGCAGTGAACAGTAATGCATAAAATGTGTGTAACCCAGTATAATTTACAGGGGAAATTAACAGTCTTTTACTTTTTTTTTCCCGAGTAGTCGTAGGTGTGAAAAGAGTAAATAATTAATTGGTGCATGATTCAGAGAATTTTTGAGTTGGGATTTATGTGACTTTTATTACTTTATATTGCATTGCTGTTACTTATAGGAATTGGTCGACCATTAAAGCAGGTAAGCATGAACACTGCGAAGTATGAAAGGTGCACAGTCAACATGATATCCTGCTTAAAGCATTGAGATCCACCTTTTGGATGAACATTGTTCAATTTATATGATCTTATCTAAAGAGATGACGAATAAGGCAGCACACTAAATATGTGCATCCAATACTACTACCCCAAGCCTGTCTATTCATAACAATACTGCTACAGACATAAAGTTCGTGTTAGCCACGTTGGCGTGGATCTGGGTTCAAGAGTCCGATCTTTTCTTTCAAAGTCACCGGCGGAAGTCCAAGAGCGTCTGGGTCTTCTTCTGGTCTACCTGAGTAAGGATATGGCATGCGATGGAGTCGTTTGCCCTCGATTCCGTCTTTCGTAGCCGTGGTAGAAAGACACGAGGTGTTGGAATTACGAGACCACGGGCGAGAAACGCCATCGGGCGCAGGCTCCAACTGGCTTGAATCTGAGCTGTAAGCGTCTGTATCACGAATGTAAACTTGCTGATAGTCGCTTCCAGAAGATGCTAAAGAAATGTTTGTGGAGGAACTTTGAAGGGGATAAAAATCGGAGCCAGGGCCCTTTTGAAGAGCCATTATGCGCAAGTTTTTCAGCAGCACAGATGTGACATCATGAGAATGGTCCAAAGAGGGCTCTCCTTCGTATTCCAGTAAGTAGGCTGTTGTTTTAGGCGCAGCATATTGGGATCTGGCATCCGGGGAGTTTGGGTTTTTCAAATCGTATGAGGTTTTTAGGTCATACTCTGAATCTGGCTTGAAGTCTGAGCGCTCATCATACGAGTAATTGGTTTGGCCTGAGTTGATATAAGACCCCGAATCGCTTCTGTTGGACGAATCGTCAAGATCCGTGTCAGTGAAATTGACTTTGCCGCTGAATATAGATTTAATGCTGGCAGCCGGATGCGACATTGGGCACTTCGAAATCGAATTAGAAAAAAACAAGTACAAAAAGAAGAAGAACGTTAAATTATCAGAGTGATCAGAAAGTGATGTGATGTGGTTAGAAGTCTCATTTCCCCGGAGTATGAGAACAGGGGGTGCAGGCATGACCGCACTTATACAGGCGGAAATTATGCCCTAGCGTGGATATGAGCGAAATGCGCGAAAGCTAGGCGAATGATCGGGACAAATTTGTGGGGCAACATCAATTACGATCGCCTCAAGTTCATTGGCTGTGAGCAATCAATTACTTAGAAAGCGAAAAAAGCATTGTGGGGGTTGGAATGGGCGGGGAACAAAGGATGAAAGCTAACGTGATATTTAGACGAATGGGGCTTCTTAAAGCATGCTTAGGGCGGTCCCTGCCTTGCGCATGATTTTTCAGTTTAGGCGCGGTGAAGGTGCGGCCTTTCTTTTTCTATTCCTCTTCAGTTCGTATTTTTTTTCACTCGATGCAAGTCTCACATTCCCATGCGTTCGGTTTTGACTTGAACATTCCATGTCCCCAATTAGAGAGAGCGTTACAAGGCAAGTGCTTTCAGTAGCTTCTCTTTTTTTTTTTTTCATTCTTCTCTGCCATTCTTGAGCATGTTCGTACCTGAAAACATCTACAATTCAAACGATTCAGGGTACGGTTCTGTTCTAGATTGGTACGGAAATCTCTTATGCTTTCTACCATGAAAGGGTTATGAACTAATGCATATCTTGATTGCTTACATCGCAATGAAAAGTGAACTGAGCACTCATTGTGGTTCAATTGGAGCACTTGGTATATAATAATAAGCCAAACGGTGGCCAACTAAGTAGCGGTGCGAATAATTCTATTGCATTAAGAAACGTGATTGCAAACTTAGGCAACCTTAATCACATGTAAAGGTAATTTTAAAGTCATGCATATTTTAACTTTCAGAAAAGCTGCAAGTACATGAAACGTAATCAAATGCATTTGGCAAAGATTCAGCCCTTTCCAAACCCCTCAGATTTGTAACTGAAAATCAATTAGGAAGCAAAAACGCGAACCACAGTCTACCTCAAGTGTGAAGTGTCCTTTAATAAATAGGGACTTCCTCGATTGTATACTTACCTGAAGACTGTGAAGCAACGACTCCAATTTACTACTTTTCCACTTATATAACTCTTCCCACTTTAGTGTGTTTTTCTTGTCAAGTTATTTTATAGTTCGAATCTCAACGACAACCGTTTAAACGCACGAACTACGGCTGAAAAAACATGTTATAGACTCAACATAACTGAGAACTTCTACTTTTTCTGAGTTGGCCAACACTTATCTTTCATTGGGGTCAGATGGGCCAGTTGACATAATGTCACATGATTTACTTGAATTGACGATTCGCAGTTGTGGCTAATCACACCATTTATTGGCCGCTTACTATCTCCCTGACAAGAGAGAGTATCAATATACGGCCAAGAATATAACAGCAGTAAACTACCGTCTTGATCATCTAATCTTCTAGGAATGTTGTTGAAAGCGTAATTTGTCGCATGTTAGACTCTTTGCCTTTATGTGCTAAACCCTATCGCCGATTTTGAACCTGCATGCAGTCAAACTGTGCATTAATCTGACTGTCTGATGAAGACGTACGTAATCGCCGAAACGTATTTCGCATTTCGTGGATCAATCGTACTCTTTTTCCCTTCTCTCTTTTCTCCTTCGATTTCTCACTTTCATTTTCGTCCTACTATGTCACTTCGTCGAATTGCGATCATTGGTGGAGGTCCTGCTGGACTTGCAGCTGCAAAAGCATTGGTGTCTGAACCCGTGAAATTTACCATCGACCTTTTCGAAAGAAGAAGTAATGTCGGTGGTTTGTGGTACTATCATGGTGATAAGTCAAAGGTTTTGCCTTCGGTTCCTTCTGTTGATCCTAATGGAGGTGAGATTTTGTTGCCCAACGGTGGGTTTGAAAACCGCTTCTTCTCGCCCATGTACAATCACTTGGAAACTAATTTGATTGATCGTATGATGGAATTTAAGGACGTGCCATTTGAGCCTCGCCATTTGGCGTATCTTTCCAGGTCAGAGGTCCAAGAGTATATGCTCAAGTATGCTGCTTCGATTCCCGAGGGTGTGAATTTTCATCTCAATACACTGGTCACTCGCGTTTTTAAAGAAAATGGGGAGTGGTCGGTTTCTTTTGAGCATGTACAGACTCAAGAAGCTCAAGAAAAGAAATATGATGCAGTTATAGTGTCCAACGGTCATAGCGATTTGCCGTTCATTCCGGATACGGAAGGAATTTCCGATTGGAATGAAAAGGCCCCAGGAACGGTGACGCATGCAAAATATTACGTGGACGCCGAGCAATACTGGGGAAAGAATGTGCTTGTTATTGGAAATTACGCAAGCGGAGTTGACTTGGCCACGCAAATCAGCACTACTGCTAAACATGTTTACGTCAGCATGAAGGACCAGAGCGAATTGATTGAAATAGAGGAGGACAATGTCTCGTACTTGCAGTTGGTGACAAAATACGACTATGATGCCAACAAGTCTGCCTATACGATTGACGGCAAGACAGTTTCTAATATTGATGTGATTGTATTTTGCACCGGCTACTTATACACTCTTCCTTTCTTGAACGATTATCTCCCTGGAATCACTGATGGTAATTACGTGAAGGATTTGTACAAGCAAATCTTTAATGTCGAAGACCCAACCTTGTCATTCATCGGATTGCCCAAATTCATTGTGCCTATGCCATTGTCGGAGTCACAAAGTGCCATTGTGGCTAGAGTTTACTCGGGTCGAATTCAATTGCCTTCACTAGAGGAACGCAAAGCATCTTATGAAGAGGAGATTGCAACCAAGGGAACAGGAAAGCCGTTCCATTCTTTGAAACCGCCTGCTGATTACACTTACTGCAATGAGTTGTATGACTGGATCAAGAAGGAAAATACCGACGACGTTGGTCTTGTTCCAATCTACTGGGACTCCCAAAAAATCAAAGATCGTCATATGGCCAAGGAAATCAAGGACAAAAGATATCTTGAAGTGGTGGAGTATGCAAAAAAGTTGAAAAGCGAAGGTAAGGCGTTCGTGTTGCCTCCTAGAGCTCAACCTATTGACTACGAATAGAGAAATCTTTTCATTTACGGTATTTGCATGCACTGATGTATCCGATTTTTTTAATAGATAGACTTGTTAGATTACAATATAGAGCACCACTTCCGAGAGTTGATTTTTTTTTTTTTTTAATGTAGAGGCCTCGTATATGCGACAAGAAAGCAATTGATACCTGACACCTGGAACTTTTTAACATCATGCAGTACCTTAATAGACCACATGAAAAGTGCCATTAAAAAAGGAGGCAAGCCAACCGTATTGACTGGAAAGATTCAATTTTGACAGAAAGACCATCCAACAATTCCTCTAGCATGATTGGTGCATTTACTCTCTTCGAGAACTGGAATATTATCTGAAGCCACCAGATACACCCGTACACCACCAATCGTCAAGGAGCGCTCTCATGTGCTGAAATCTGATCTATTCGCTTTCCTTCTATACGAATAAACTCAGACACATGTGGTTATTTAGTTGGGGTATGTAAGCCTTTCTTATGTTGTAATAATGGCAGTACACTAACATATTCAGTTCAGGATGTCTTGTCCTCTTTGGGATTGTGGAACAAGCACGGCAAATTGTTGTTTTTAGGATTGGATAATGCCGGAAAGACAACCTTGTTGCACATGTTGAAAAACGACAGATTGGCTACTTTGCAACCCACTTTGCACCCAACCTCTGAAGAGTTGGCCATTGGAAACATTAGATTCACCACCTTCGATTTGGGTGGTCACCAGCAAGCTCGTCGTTTGTGGAAGGACTACTTTCCAGAAGTTAACGGCATTGTGTTTTTGGTGGACGCTGCCGACCAAGGCAGATTAACCGAAGCTAGAGCTGAGTTGGAAGCTTTGTTTGCTATCGAGGAGTTGAACAATGTTCCATTCTTGATTTTGGGTAACAAAATCGATGCACCAAACGCTGTCAACGAGATGGAATTGAAGTCTGCCTTGAACTTGTTCGGTACCACTGGAAAGGACGTTGGAAAGCTTCCAGAGAATGTCAGACCAATTGAGGTTTTCATGGTTTCTGTGGTGATGAGAATGGGTTACGGTGAGGGTTTCAAATGGTTGTCGCAGTACATTTGAGCGGAAGTTATAGGCGTATCATGTATAAATTACAAATTTTGTATTGAATCTACGTGAGTTTGACAATATTTTTTTCTTCACTTGTGTATCTACTTCGGCCCTCTTTTTTTTTTTTCGCCTTGTACGGGTGGATACAACATCCGTGCACCTCTATAATTTGTGGTGCATCGCATCGAAGACATCGCTTACTAAAAAGTTCCGAACCACAAATGAGTGAAAACAAAGTCTCTTTGCATCCGGAACCAAAGAAATGGAAGGCTCCCAAGGGACCAAAACCCGTTCACCATAAGAACAAGAACCTTATTGGTTTGGGAAGAGCGATCGCTAAACAGAGACGAACAGAAAATGCTGTTGAATTCTTGCCCGATGGCGAAATGCGTTTTACAACAGACAAGAAGGAAGCAAATTGGGTGAAGTTAAGATCTGTGACACAAGAAAACTCTTTGGATGAGTTTTTGAATACCGCAGAGTTGGCTGACCAAGATTTTACAGCAGAAAAGTATCAGCAAGTCAAGATCATCAAGGTGGGAAACACATCTCTCGTGAACCAGTCTGGATTGTTGACCGAGGAGGAAAGAATCGAATTACGTAAGAAACACCAAATCTTCGAGAACAAGTTGACAATTCCTAAGAGGCCAAAATGGTCGAAAGATCAACTGAAGTTTCAAATCGAAAGACAGGAAAACTTGGCCTTTTTGGAATGGAGAAGAGAGTTGGCGTCTTTGAGTGAAAACAATGACTTGTTATTGACTCCCTTCGAAAGAAACATTGAAGTTTGGAGACAGTTATGGAGAGTTGTTGAAAGATGTGACTTGATTGTGCAGATCGTGGATGCCAGAAATCCATTGTTTTTCAGATCTGTTGATTTGGAGAAGTATGTCTCGTCTTTGAGCAGGCCGGAAGAAAACCATGAGAAGCGTAATTTGCTTTTAGTTAACAAAGCTGATTTGCTTACTCGTGCGCAAAGAATTGAGTGGGCCAAATACTTCAAGAGTAAACAAATCAACTACGTTTTCTTTTCCGCTGCTAACGCCAATATGTTGTTGGAAAAGGAGCTCGAGGAGGCGGAGAAGATGAAGAATGACCCAACATATGTTCGCGAGACTCCAGCCAGTATTCAAGATCAAGAGGAAGAAGAGGCTGATATCAAAATTCTCAAGATTGAAGAGTTGGAAGAATTGTTCATGACTACGGCTCCTAAGTTCGAAGTAACTCCGGACTTTCCAGATCGTAAATTGCAGATCGGTTTAGTCGGATACCCTAATGTTGGTAAATCTTCTACAATTAACGCCTTAGTGGGATCGAAGATGGTTTCTGTTTCCGCTACTCCTGGTAAAACCAAACATTTCCAGACTATTTTCTTGACTCCAGAAGTCCTTCTATGTGATTGTCCTGGTTTAGTTTTCCCTAACTTTGCTTACGGAAGTGGAGAATTAGTTTGTAATGGTGTTTTACCTATTGACCAGTTACGTGAACATATCCCTCCAGTTTCTCTTGTATGTCAGAGAATTCCTAAGTTCTACCTTGAAGCGGTTTACGGTATTCACATTCCAATTCAGAGTAAGAAAGATGGAGGAAATGGCATTTATCCTACGGCACGGGAGCTTTTGAATGCTTATGCTAGAGCTAGAGGCTATATGACGCAAGGTTTTGGAAGTGCAGATGAATCTAGAGCTTCCAGATACATCTTAAAGGATTATGTCAATGGAAAGTTGCTTTACATCAATCCGCCACCCCGTCAACTCGAAGACGGAACATGGGACATTCCATCTGTTGAAGAGTCGAGAGAGTTTAATAAGGAGCTTTACACATTGCACACCTTGCCTGAGTCTAGACAACAACAGATCATTTCTGCTTTAACGTCAAAGAACATGGAAATTGATGAATTTGATTTGGCGAGAGACTTAGCTGCTCTCAATTTCTCCCAGCATATCTCCGAATCCGAAAATCAAAAGTTTACGGGTGACTCTACCGCAGGAGCCACAACTAAGTTTTACGGAGGAAGACAAGCAGCTTTGGAAAGTGCCGCTGATGATTTGGATAGAGATTTTTTCAAGATGAATAATGTGGAAGCGAAAATGAACACGCCTTTCCACAAAAACCAAGCATTGGGCCGTGGCAACAAGAAACATAACAAGAAGAACAAGAAGGCTGAGAAGAAAGTCAGGGTAGTGGGCTACTAAGCTGTGATGTGTTACATTTTGTGTTCGTGGGGGTATTGGGGCATCTTTTATCATTGGTGTTAAATAGCTTGAACTTTTTTAGCAAATAAAAAAAAATATTAATATGGTGCAATTACGAATTAATCTTAGTTTAGAGTAACATCATCTTTGACGGAAAACTAATAATAAATACATAACCCAGAACTAAATTTCTAAAAATCCTCATTTAATCTCCGTATCTTCTCGTCTCTCCAAAGTTTGTAGTCATCTCCAATAATCGTTGAATTGGCTAAGCTGTTAATGCTCATTCTCTTGTCATCCACGAGAGCCAGGACTTCGCTATTTTCAGACTGATAACTTTTTGTCCGCTCCTGTGGCATATTAATCGGAGATAGAGCATATTTCTCTATTTCTATTCCATGATTTTCCTTGTTCTCAGTATTATTAGTGAGCGGTACTCTTATGGGAGAGAAATTAGCTTGCAATGCTGAATCATCACCCTTGCCATTCCGAAGAGGCGACACCCTGGAACACATAGAGTATAATGTACTGTTGTCACTTTTGTTATCGAAATCAGCACATATGGTTTCAGTTGGGCGAAGAGGGGAATTAAGAGGTTGAATATGAGATCCAAGTAAATTAGCGAGGTTAGAACTTGGATTTCTTGTTTGAAGTTTTGGAGGGCTGAAGGAAAGTGAAGGAGATAAAATACTTGAATCTCTCCTGTTGTGTATGATCAGCTTGTGCTTCTTTTCAAAAGAATTCTTGATGACAGAAGAGCCAGAAGAGTGAATCGGATTAGAACTAGAGGAGAAACGGCTACGCACCAGTGTTTCCTTGCCAATTTTGGCAGGGCTTCTCTTTCTAGGAGAGATACTGGAGCGTGGGTTGCTCTTTTTTGGAGATTCGGCTCGGGCCACTCTGCCTTTGTTTCCTCTGAAGGGTTTGGAGTTCCGTTGATTATTATTTTCTGCCTCTAATAAAAGCACATGTTCAAAGAAATCTTCTCCCCTGATTGTGATCGGTCTCTTTCCCTCTCCAAATTGTTTATTGTTGAATTCAATCACCTCTTGTTTTAAGTTTTCAATAACACGGGGCAAATTTTTGTGGATCCTTTTTCTAATCTTCTCTTCATTAAGCAAAATCTTGCATGAGTTTTTGCTCAATAATCTAGAAGAGTCTTTTGAGGACTCCTCTAAAAATTTTCGGTCTTTGATAAGTTCATTGAACTGTGCATAGAGGGAAAGAATGGACTCTTTCGACTTGTATTCTTTTGTCAAACGTTCAACCTCAGCTTCATGCTCGTTAAGAATCTCTTCTTTTTTCTCTGACCCGTACTCTATCGTACACTCATCGTACTTGAATGCTTTTCTCTCTTCGTCAGAATAATAAAGAGCATCTTGTAAGCTTTTGATGGATTTTCTAGCGTCAGCAATGAATGTATCCACAAACTCTTGCCTCTTAATCAAAAGCCTCTTAAGTTCCATCTTGAGATTTGACAACGACATATCCGTAAGAGATGAATTTGCTTCCAAAAACTGTTCCGCATACTCTTTACGCTCTCCTAACTTTTCCCAAAGTCCAACGCAAGACCTCGAATAGTAATCCCATCTTTTTTGTTTCGCTTCTTTCAATGATTGTAAAGTTCCTGCTAACCTCGTAACAAACTTTAGATGATGGTCCATTAATCCGAATTCCTTCGGATTGTTCTGGATGAAACGTAAAGTGTCAACATCGAAGTAGCTCTCGTTCAGATCCAGAGTGTTTTCTCGATTCTGCATTTCGTGCATCTTTTGCATAGATATTAGGTCCTGGTCTGATAGGTTGAGGATACTGATGAGCGATAAGCAAAGGCTGATTGTCTCTTTGATCTTTTCAATTCGCAGTCTCATTTGATTTTCGGTCCATTCTATTTGTTTCTCGAGATGTGAATAACGGCATCAGTTATTTTCGTGAGCTTAAGACTCCTTATGGATCTGACCAATTTGTAATTGACGTCTCGTAAATTATCCATAATAGATCCAGTAGCACCCAGCGCACTCGAATCTGGAATATCAGAATTATCTTCTTTACCATTAGGCTTCTTCGGACTCGAGACAATGAATGTAAGACAGTCACTTGATTTCATCTGAGTGACGTCTGAGAGTCCCATACTAAGTCGCTTGCCTGATTGGGGTAGTTGTTGGATTGCTTGCTCAAATGTTGCTAGGAGATGTGCTTGTTCTTCAGCCTCCGATTTAGTTGGTAAAGAACTTATTAAAGAAATGTCCGCAGTGGATGGCCAGCATTCACCGATAGTCTCTATATTTTCCCAGAAAATCAAGTTGAGGTGGTTGAATTTCAGAAACAGCTTGACAAATGCCATTAAGACTTCTAGAAAAGTCGAATTTAGTGCACTTTTAACTTGAAGCAATGACAAGTTCGGTGTTTGTTTGACCATGTATTCACACTGTTGCTGCATGGAAAAGTCATCACTGGAAAATTCATTCGCCATATTAAAAGGGGAGTCAGAAAAGAACCGTTCGTTGTTAGAGTTATACTTCTTCATTTGCTCGAATACGTCATCTTTATGGCCATTTTGATACATGGTTTCGTCACCAAAAAGAATGCCTCTGCTTGAGAGTTTAAGTGTCTTTTCGCCTGTGTTATCATTCAACATTGCCAAGATGATTCGGATCTGTTGTCGTAGCCACTCACATTCGTTTTGAATATTATTCTTCTCCCTTTGAAGATTTAGGGTGAAGGAACTAATTGTATCCTGGATAACTCGAAAAATTTCCGCCTTTTTATGATCCATTTCCTTTTCTGAATAACCAATGGACCGGTATATTCTATCAAGTTCCTTGATGGTGCCATTTACTTTGGTGACGATGATATCAAATTCCTGTTCCGTGTTTAGATTAGTCTTAAACGAGTCACGGATTATCAGTTGAGAATCGCCAGCTAAAGTCGATTCTACGTCCATAAATACTCCGCTCCGTGTATTTTTGTCTGGCGGTGTGAAAACGGATAGTTTGGTATGATTCTCCGGCAGTAGCGGCGGTGATGTTGGGATGTTTGATTCAGGCGGAAAAGCCATTTGGTATTATCTTTTAAACTTGGCACACTGGAGATTCAGGGATCAGTAACGAACACAGATATTGGAAATTGAAAATAATAGATTGGAATAGTGTGAATAAAACCGTAATGAATAAAAACGGTCCTGCCAGCTTCTTACACTGGGCTTTCTGTATTGTGTAAAAATGTCTAACTACAATTTAATGATGTTGCCTAATTGGGAAAAAACATAAACATCTCATCCTTCATTTTTAGGAATAGCGTTGAGTAATGCTCCCAACTCGTCGAAAAGATTAGGATCGTGTGCAGGTTTATGAGCGACATTCTTGGTCTTTGAATAGTTCGATTGGGTTGTGGCCAACTTCGCCAACTCTTTTTTAGCTCGTTTGTTTCTGGCGTAACTTGAACTTCTATAGTATGTGCCTTTCACGTCCCACTTTAATTCTCTGGCAATTTCGAAAAGCTTCTTAGCCGCAATGGACTTTGATTTCACGCCATTTTGAAGTAAAAGCAAGTACCACTGATGTGCCTTGTTGTAGTCGCCGTTCGAATAATGAAACATAATAAAAGGGAATAATTGGTTAAAAGAGAGTGGAAGCCCGATTTGACGAGACTGCTTCATGACGTAGCCTGCAAATGAAAGATCGCGATGCTTAAGCAAACAAGCTGATATCATCAAATCCACCAAGTAGGGTTTACGTTGGTTTCTTGAGAGATCAACTTGGCCAAAGAAATCCCTCCACATACTAGTTGCGCATGTGTAATTTAATTTATCAGAATTTAAGTCCATATCTGAAGTAGAGTATGGATTCTGTCGAAGAAGATGGTCCATGAAAAGGGAAATGATACTGTCATCGATTGCATTGGGGTGGAAAAGACTTTTTTTGTCATCATTTTCTTGAGCCTTTTTCACTTGCTTTAAGTACTGGGTGAACAATTGTTGTACAAGAGGGCCACTCTTCTTTTCTGGGGTAAGGTTTCGAAGTACAATGGAATAAATGTCCTTCAAGGTATCATGAGTTAACTCAGAACCTTTCAAATCTTCGTGAAGATCCGCCCTTTCGATGACAGAGAACAGTGTGTCGAAAACATCTTGACCATATACAAGTTCTAGAAGTCCCAAATCTTGGAGGCACTTAAGTGCCTTGTCGTTTTCTCCACTGAAAAGGGAAGCGAAATATCCAATGGCAATTCTAGGATGGTGTGAGAATTTGGCTGAAATCACAAGCATAATCTCTTTGACGAGTAGTTTGCGCTGAGCCTGGTCTAGCGATGTTGTATGCAAAAAGTTTATTAGGAGCAATGCCTCTTCATAGCACTTATCCTCTCGAAATCTCATTAAAAGTCGAAGAAGTGTGGCCGGCCGCACTTGTATTTTAGATTCAACCATGTAACGTAGGAACTTCAAGCATTCCTGTGGGCCGATAAACCTCATCGAATGATTGAGCAATATAGTGAGAACAAGTTGGAGCTGTTTTGGCTGATTAGAAACGTCCTTCGTGTTCTCGAATTTCGTCACCAAAAGATCAAGATAAAGATTCGCATTGACCACATCCTTCTCCTTGATGGCATGCTGGGTGAAAAATACAAGGTCATTAAAAGTAAAGTAATATACCATCTTCCTTTTGTGCTCAGCGCTGAAGCTGAAGCGGTTCGTGTCATGCCATTTTGCGTCTAATATTCCTGTTCGAGCTACAGTTTTCTCAATGAGAGAACCAGCTAGAAGCTTTCTCTTGAATTGCTCAAATTTCTGATTATCCTTAAATTTGATATTCGTGTGGAATAGGCATGCAAAAAGTGTTGCTTGATCCAGCGAGTTAATATTGGCCATTAGTTGGGATGCATGTTCACCTGAAAGCAATATGACATTAGGGTTTACACTACCGGTCTGTGCAAGTTTCCGTAAGTAATTTAACACCATATTGGCTGCCTGTGATGAGGATTCTGAATAACGGGATAGAATATGGTCGATATTGCATAAGATTTCTCTTTTGGTTTCCGACCCTCCAGGATTCTGCATGAAAAGAAGTATAGACCGCCGAAGACGGTCAGACTCATAATAATGCGTCAAGCATGTCATTATAATATCTTTCATCTCTGGATCCTTAATGGTGTGGATGAATCGGGCTGCAAGAGATGGATTCTCGAGTATGTTCTCATGGATGATTTCAATGACGTTATAACAGAATTTGTCGGTTTCGCAAGTCGATTTGTATGGAATTTTAAGAAGATGTTGTAGTTCTGAGCCACTTAGACGTAAAATGTCATTCTTTTCAAGCCCAAAAAGCGGATTAGGATATGTGTTTAGAGGAATGCTTGTGATTTGAGCTGGTAGCGACTTAGATGAAAAAAGATTCGACCTGAGAGTTGGATTTGTACTTCCTTCTCGTATTAGGGATAATGAACGGCTTAGTCGAAGCCCTTTATACATGAGAAGTTTGTGGCGAGAAAACATGTGCTGAAAGATGAATTGAAGCAGATGGATGAAAAACCAGTGAGTTATAATCACGTGCGACAGTATTCAACAGGAACCTAACTGAACTATCATCTTGAAAGATAAAAAACCGAATTGAAGGTAAAGAGGGCTTTACAATAGATATCCGATTTATTTATAATTATATTGAGACAGTGTGGTTTCTTGACATTGAAATAAAACGTGTAATTTGGGCAGATGAATGTGGAGATTCTGCATCCAGGCTGACGTAGCGGTTCTGGTTTAAGAATACTACTTTTTGATGTAACATGCGAACTCTCTATTTCTCAATCGATTGTATCTAAACGATAGTGAAGATTTATTAGGTAATGCGGATTATCATATTAATAAATAGAAGGGTTGACTGGATACGGAAGAGGTGTCAAATATCTCACGTCAAATGAACAATGCGAAATGGAACGGAGGAACAGAATAAGAGAGACTTAAGTAATGCTCCAGTTCAATACCATCATCGTTTTCTTGACATGAAAATGCATATTCAAATTTTGGAACATTAGATAACTGAAATGCATGCAACATTTCATGCTGAAGTCCATGGTTCTAGACCCATCACTGTATTATTGGCTCCAGCATTGCGGTACAAATATCTCTGATAGAAATACGCCATATCAAACACTATGGTGCCTGCACTGCCCAAAATGTAGGGAAGTTGGCGCCAGAAAAATTCTGTTTTGTTGGAGTCGTAGAGAAAATCGCAGCTGGTCAAAATGGACATCGTGTACGTGAGGTTGCCCATCAAAGCTGAACCAAACAACAATGGCGAGACTCCTTCAACAGATTTTCGCTTATAATTCTTGTAGAGTTGTGGACAGCGTGATGACATGTATACGAAGGTGCATCCCCAAGCTAGAACCAAACCGATATTTGCGACCGAATCGACTGATGCGTGATTGGCAATTGAAAGGAGTGAAACCACACCAGATGCACCTTTGGCACCAGCAGTAACCGCATTGCCATCAGGTTTCAAAATCGGCTGTGCTTGTGCAACGCCTGCTTGCATAGCTGCTCCCACAATTGCCACAGATCCAAAATTGCTAGCTCTAGGTCCATCTGGAGGTGTCAAGCTGGAGCTTTCCAGCAGCAGTGCTCTTTTGTGACGAATATGAATGCTGTCAGTTTTGTGTGTTTCAGATTCACCTGAGAACACACTCTGTTCAAGTACAGCTTGCTGCTGAAGATGCTGGAGATGTTTTCGTGGATATGAGCTGTTGTAGTAATAGTACTGGTAGCAGAGTGTCACGTCATTGAGAAGAAAGAACAAACTGAGATACACCTGAAATTTAAGCACCACGTCATTGAGAAGACAGCTGGTAAAACTAAGGAAATCACCGCAAAGCCAGAGGAGCAAAAACAGCGGCGAGATTCCTTCGGCAGACTTTGCGTTGTAGTTGGTGTAAATCTGTGGTAGTTGAGCACACATCCAACTAACAAGAGAGATGGTGCTGAAAAACCCTGATATTGGCGACACTAGACCACAGGAGTTCATGGGGAAAACAAAGACAGGGTGATGTACAAAAAGTTGTTTGATGTAATGAGAAAAGACAAGACGTCGGATATCACTTGGAATGCAATGAAGCTATGGAGTTTCCAGTTGAGGAAGAAGATAGGCGGAGAAGAAATATAGGAAAGAAGAAGTGGAAACGATAAGTAGGGCAGACGTGCACTATGATAAAACACCGCGGGTATGACTAATTGCCGTTTTGGGACGAGCCGTGCGTCCTCTTAGTCACTTGGCCCCAAATCTATATACTTAATGCGCAGTGAAAAAATAAAGGAACGTTTCTCCATTTCTAAACCATCATTTGTTAATCATACAATGAGTAGAGAAACATACTTTTTCATTCAATATTATAGCTGTTATTTATAATATAGTAAACGAAAAAAAATATCGGTGTCTAGATCAACGCAATACTTTTTCATATATCGTTGAATGGTCATCATCAATGTCATTCATCCTTTTGTGTTAGAGTTTGTACAAGGTGTTCAAAAATGCTACGATAATGCGGTCTGCAACTCTGGCAGTTGCAACACTTCCCGCAACACCGTATAATGCCGCAGTATCGCCATGGGGGATGTCTGTGCTGTCCTTTCTGAGCTGCCACTGTCTCTATAAGATCTGAGATAAGCTCATCAACGACCGGCACTGTAAGTCTTGTCAAAGCAAAGTGCAATGCTGCTGGGATTTCGAGTGTCGACAAATGCAAGCCCTTTTTGACATGCATCGGCATAGCGTAGATGTAGAGCGACTTGTAGCACGTGTCTTGAACGCTAATACGGAGGCAATTGGGTCCCCAAGAACCTCCAAATGTTGCGAGAGCAAGGGCTCCGTTTCAATAGCACGCCGAAGTTTCATCGTGGCAGAGACTATGGCATGGCACGAATCACGGTAACCGTTAGTACCAATGTGAACCAATGTGGCCCAGCATCCTGCCATGAGCGCACCAGGGCGTGAGCCAGCAAGCGTCGGCGAACCGTACATGCCTCCAGTCCAATCACTCAGGACGTAGTACTGGCACTCACGAAGTTCTGGAGTACGGTACATGATGATGGACGAGCCCTTAGGGGCAAAGCCATATTTGTGGGTATCACAGGAAATCGAAGTAACTCCAGGAAGACGGAAATCAAAGAGGGGAAGTTTGCGGTCACCATGAACGCCCGATCTCTCAAGAAACGAAACGATGAATGATCCTAAACATGCGTCCACATGCAATGGGATCTTGTGGCGAACAGCAAGACGCGACAATGCCTCAATGTCATCGATGATGCCATGTGGGTAATTGGGCGCAGAACCAACGAGCAAGACGGTATTGCTATTGATTAAACGCAGAACTTGCTTGATGTCCACTTTATACGTTTGCGAGTCGAGCGGAACCTTATGGAGGCGCATGCCAAAGTAAGAGCACGCCTTTTCAATACCAGCGTGTACGGTGACAGGCGCAATCACCTCCGGTTTGGATATGTTCTTGTGGCGACGGCCCCACTCGCGTGCAGCCAAACCAGCCAATAATAGCGACTCGGTCCCGCCCAGGGTGGTGGTGCCACAGCCCAGCTCTGGCGCATGGAATAGTTCAAGAACCATCGCTACCACCTCAGCCTCCATCTTCCGAACTGCAGGAAACACGTCCGGGTGGAGCTGGTTGGCGACACTATACTTCTCGTATGCCGCCAGTTGCAAAGCCAACAACTCCTGGCCACCATGGTACACGGCACCACTCACGCGTCCTGCCTCCCACTCCAGGTGGGAGAGCACTTGTTGCGCACGGTCCATCTCGTCTTCAACATCTGCACGGGCAAGTCCTTGTTCAGGCAAAGTGGCAAACTGTCGCAAGGAGGCGTCATTACGTATCACCTCGCGTTCTATAGTCTTCACAGTGGCAGCCAACTCGCGCTCCACCTTGCCTCTTGCCGGTGGCAATGCCATGACAATTCTCCAAAAGCGCTGGTGCACGTAACGTATACCCGCCCGCACGATTCCGATCACTCCGTATGTCCAGAGCAGCAGTGCTACTTGCTTGAGGAAAGCAACGAGCACCCACGTAGAGACAATGTCCCGGATTAAAATCGCTGCCACATAAGGCCATTGACTGTCGAAAGTTGTAAGAGCGGCTAGTCGATCTGATACGTATTGTTGCAAGACAATATAGGCGTGGCGTACATATATCTCGGCAAGAAATGCAGCCTGCGTGAGATCTGTTGGCATGTAAGGCTGGCCGAATATTTTGTGGCTAAGAAACTCGGCCTGGTAATAGGGCATGATGTGGTAATCTTCCTAATCTTTTTTTGTCTGGGGTAGATGGTGGATTGCCTAGCAGGCCACATTAATAGAGTGCACAAGAATCATGAGGTGTGCACATAAGATAGTAGACTACCCATGGAGTTAAGGGATTAAGTCCGGCTAAAGTGATTTCCACACTATATCGGTACTTATTGATCTGTTCCACTGACTCGTTAATTCAGAATCAATTTTATGCCTTGGTTCTACTTGGAGCACACGAATTAGTGAACTCTTGCCAATTACGTTGAATGCAGTCTAATCTAGAAAATGCTTCAACCGGGAAAGTTGTAGGAAGAAGATAGAGTCAAGTAAAAAGATGCAAAGTTAATATTTTGGATTTACTGAAGTTGTCGAACGTGGCATAAGGGATAATTCTAACTGTGAATGTTTTTTTGGAGAATTTCCACAACGTACAGATTTCCGCACCATATAGAGTAATCTTGATCAGCCTAATGTAGATGATATTTATCAAACAGTAAGGCCATATATATTTTTCCTCTTTTCTCCTTTTTTGCTCTTCTCTCATCTTTTATTTGTATTGAAGAACGTTGGTTTAATAAGCTGCTAGTGTGAAGAATGAATTGATAAGATCCGAATTCGTTGTCCTACTAAATAAAGCGAACGTAGTGTATGATTACAGCCTCATGAATTCATTAGTCTAGTTCCGACATAGACATACAGCGCTCGATTTATTCCTGGCCCTCCGCCCCGAATACTTCTATAACACTCCCGATACGCTATTCCACTGATCTCATGTAAAGGGCGATGATGCACGGCTAATCCTGTTGGTGGGTCGCGAGGTCAGACCAGTGCTCGTAGAATCAAGCAAAGCACTGCGCTCACGCACAAGACGCTCGAGTCGCTGAGCCAACAACTGTGAAAGAAACGCATTTTCTGCTTCTAAGCGGCGCAGTCTTGTTTCAAGCATGTGGAGTTCATCCTTGCGAGCTAAGCTTGGAAGTACAGTCATTCCCGGTCCGGTCAAGTGTTTTTCGAGACGCTGTTGTTCAGTACGGGCTGCGGCCGCTTCACCAGTGGCACGAACCGCGCGAGCTGACTCGGCCTGGTACTGAGCACGGAGTTTTTCACTTTCCTCAGTGAGGCGCACATGTTCCACCGCGAGGCGTTCGCGCTCTGCTTCAAGGTCTGCAAGGACTTCTTCCAAAGCGATCTCACCAGTAACGGGCTCCTTATCTCCATCTGTATTTGTCTTTTCATTTTCTGCTCCCTCCATCTTGACATCGACATTGTTCGGTTCACTCTTATCCTCCTCCGTATGGTCGACATCCATGTCAACACCAGCATTATTCTCACTCTTAGTGTCCGTTTTCGTTCCTTCTTTTACTTCGACCACCACTTCCTTTGCGGTCTCAGCCATCTCTTTTCTAACTTCCAGGCTCTCAGTCGCACTTTTGATCCGAGTCAACATGTTTATTGCTTCATGAGCTACACGCTGTGCGCGGCCAAAATCCGTTTCAGCCCTAGCAAGACGTCGCTCTGCTGCGGCTGCATCATCGTTGAGCCGCCGAAGCTTGCGAAACAGCTCAGATACACGGTCCTCATCTGCATCAATCTGTTCCTGGCGTGCTGTTTCCGCCTCACGTCGTGCCGGAAGTACCTTCGACCCAGCACGCATCAAACGGTCAAGATGCTCAATTCTCGCGTTCAAAAATCGCGCGAGAGCACTTTTGAGCGCTTCATAATCTGCCCAATCCACATTTGCCCAGTCGGATATCCGGCTATTCGACCATTCCGCCTTGTTGAATTGTATGCCATTGTGATCAAGACTCCAGCTGTCTGTCTCCAATTTCAAGCTTGGGGAAGCGAAGGGATCTTCTTGCTTTACTTCTCTCTTTTCAATCTCATCCCGCTCCATGGTACAGATCACCTCAAAGTAGCTTTCGCGTAGACGAGTACGCACTTCTTCGTCTCCGCACTCTTCAGGCTCAAACAGGGCAAGAAGGTCTCCAACTTCGGCCCCATCCAAGAAAGAATCGAGCGCGTGGCCGCCATCCATGTCGATTTTTTCCGTGTTCACACAAGCGTAATGTCCGTTTTCCTCAGAAGAGTCCACACGCTTAGCTTCCCAGAGTCTGAACCGGTTAGCCACAAAAGCCTTGACAGCCGCAACTCGTCCACCTGGAACCACTCGTGACATATGCTCAACAGAGTAGACAGGCACTGGCACAATCATGCGCACATTACTCATAGTTTGATGCTGTATTGTTTGGTCAAATGCGAAAATGGCATCGAAATTTGACGCACCAATGGCACCAACCACGCCCTCTGCCTGGCGTGTAGTAACAAGCCGCACATGAACTTCAGGCGCAGGCGTCCGCTTTTGAGCAAACATGCGGGCTCGTTTCTGCGCACGTCTGCGCCCGCGGCGAATCTCGCTCTCATCTTCACTGGGTTCACGCGTCTCGTCTTCGGCGCCAGCATCAAAGAGTTTGCGAGCACTAAGGTTTTCGTACTTCAAGCGCTTTCCCACTATAACACCTTCAATCCATTCAAGTTCCTTGACGGACTGTGCTACCACAAGAAGCGAATATCCTTTCCCTCCATCGCAGCGATCCACAAGTCGATCCACTAGCCTGTTGAATGTCTCAAGCTTCCCAGACATAGAGACTAGCCTTTCACTTGTTTCCGAAAGAAGTAACTTTTTTGGTACAAAGTGGTCCACCACAAGCAGCGGATGACGGCACACGACTGCAAGATGCTCGTAAAGCGCATCTACAGCCTCCGCCCCTCCCCCCGAAAGTAACCTTGTGATACTGCTACGGCCATGTAACTGTTGCTCGAGTGCAGGCGCAAACATCTGTACAATGGCCTCACTGATGTCACGTTGGAGCCGCGTCAAATATGTCGGGAGAAATACAACGCGGTTGCCTGTGTCGTTGTTTGTAAAGCCGTTGCTGTCGCCAAATGCTGTGCTACTGTAAGGATTAGGTGTTTCCATCACATTGTTCGGCGTTATCATTGATGCAATATTTTGATTTGTGTCACCATTGTTAGGATAAGATGTGGGCGTGTCAAGCGTCGTTTCCGAGAGCATGCCCAATAAGTTCATTGCGGGCTTTTTTGAAGTGTTGGTGGGATTTTCTGATTAAAATTGAGTGCTTCAAGAAATGAAATGCAACAGGGAAAATAGAGAGTCTCCGTTGCACAATTATTGCAGTTTCGTACAGCCTGTAGTAGCTATAGCTGCGCCTCTGTGATATGACAACTCTTTAGTCGTAGGTATAGCTATTGGTGTTATGTCAGCAATCTGTAAAAAATAATTATATGCTGGCAACACTTGGAATAACGCTATTTGTCGGGGTGAAAATCTCTCTTGGAATTAGACGAATGATATGAGCATATGTTCAAAAATAGAAGAGTGCAACTTCTGGATAAAATCCTCTTAAAATCTAGCAGTGGATGGGAACCAAGTTGGGTAGTTTGAAATTTTCGCGATTTCTTGAGATAATTTTCGGGGATCCAGTAGGACTTTAAATGAAGAAACGACGCCTTTTGTTTTTTAAAAAACAAGATTTCAGTTCGATTGAAGAAGAATTGGCGCTAAGAATCGGTGAAATGCTAGATACTTTAAGCGATTTTGTGTGCAGTACGGTGTGAGTCCCATGCACTTCCTTTTTTGCTTTGGGTGTCTGAGCTTAACGGTTCTGGCTACACTTACGGAGAGCCTGGATTTCCAACTTGGAATCACATAAATGATGACCTACTTCATATTGTTTTCGAGTCTGTATTTTGTAATTACTAGTGCAATAGCATAACGAATAAATATTGCTGTATGAGGAGGAACGCCCATTTAAGCATTTGCATAAGGCGTTAGCAAGTTCAGCATACTCCAACCTAGTCTATACAGTGGAATCTTATGATTGAATTCATACTATAGAGAGATCATTTTACCTACGTTGCGGATAAGATATTTTAAAATTGTGCGTTATGGGCTATTTTTCTTGCGGTGGCAGATTAAGTCGCATGTTCTGAAAAGGTGACGCCGAAAATGCCGAAAAAAAAAATGAGGCACAAGACTCACCACTTCACTTGCACAAACCACTTACGAAACCACGATTATTTGATAATACGTAAAGTAAAGGAAAACATTCGTTTGACTTATAAATAAGTGCCTAAAATCTGGCGGCATATCTTAAAGTTGGATACATTATGCAAAAGGAGCTAAATGGCAATATGCATGCACATGGGTTTCAGTACTCATTATCCAAGTTTTGATAGTCTAGGCTGTGTAGTATTCAGATTGAGCCGTGTTGATTTCTGGTTTTTCATATTGTAAAAAGCTTTATTCTAGCAGATACTTATTGGCTCTGGTGCATAATCTTATCATTCCGCTCTCTATTGCATTCTCATAAGTTCATCTTTTTCGATGAGGCTAAAGGGGCAATTTGTCCGTTCAGGATCGGAAGCTGATGTGGTTATTTTACCGTCTCGAGAGCTAACCACATCTTTAAGACAGCTATTTTACATCGAGTTCAGGTAGGAGCAACAACGGTCTGCGATAAGAAAATGGAATACCTCAATTTCTGAGCGTCTTATTAATATCGCTACGTTGGCTAAAATGAGTGGTGTGTTGGCATGAAGACTTCAATAGAAAAAGCGCCATAAAAATACGTTCAAGTGCTGTCTGTTGTGGTTCGGTACTCGAACCTGAAATACTCATTGTTGCATGATAGCTTAAAGTATCCATGTGTGTATCTATTTGTTCTCTATTTCTGTTCTTCCCTATTCTATCCTCACCGTCTCTTCTTCTTTACATTCACGCTGATACCAAGGCTTCCAAGGCTTGCCCATACCAGCAGTGGCACTCGTTTAGGAAGCTTTCGCCCGTAAAGACACTGGTCCACAAGCCATATTCCTGCAATGAACTCTGCCCGATTCAATGTTCCATCCTTTCGGTAATCTACGAGGTCCCATATTGCGGCAAGAGTTTCCTGTGGAAGTCTACTGCGGCTCCATATCCGCAGAACCACCACTGCATGCATCAACTCCAGGATTTCCACGTGGTCAAGGCCGTGCAATTGTCTTACATCTCCTTCATCCACATCTGTCGATAGTGACTGGGACGAAAGCCTGGCCGCTCGTTCGGAAATTTCACGTACTGACAAAGCATCCTTTGGTACAAAACCGGCTGTCGTCGAATCATCCTCCTCGTAATTTACTCCCACAAGTCGTGTGACGACGCGGGTCAAATATACTCCTCTGTTACTCGCCCAGAGCGCTTCATATTTCTTACGCTGCAGATCTGAGACGTAGTCCAAATCGCTGTGATTTTTCCACGGTTTATCCTCATTAAATGCTTTTTTTTCCTTGCGTCGACTGGTTTTGCGCATGGTACTTTTGAGCTTGACTTGCGACAGCATAACTGGGGGACCAAGTGCTGACAACTCCACACTGCTGCGAGCCGGATCTCGCTCTCTCAGTACTTCTCTTTCAAATAGAGGCTCAGGTTCCCTCATATTTTCTCTATCTCTCAGGGCAACCCTCTCTAACTCTTTCAGTGCTGCTCTCTCTCGCAGTATTTCGCGTTCTCTTCCACGGCGAAGATGGAATAGTCTGTGTTTGGGCCGCTCCCCAATTTCCGGGAACTGTGGGAATTCATCTGAGTCTTCATCATTCGACCCACTAGTTTCCATCGGTTCAGGTGGTTTCCGTCTGCGAGGCCGCTCCATCACATCTTCAGCAGAATGCAGTTGAAGCGAAAATGCGCCAACATTATCGCCTGTAGCCGCAGCACCACGAGCTACAGCATTGGGGGATGGCGGAATGGGAATTGGCGACGGCGCAATGCTTGTCCCTGGATTTTGGAATTGTCCACCAGGAGTCGAACCGGAGCTAGAGCCGGGAACCGAGATATGTGCAGCAGGACCGGAAGCCGGAACATTCGGGATAGGAATTGGTGCTGTCCGTTCCAGTGGGGTAAGTGTAAACCTGGGTGCATCATGCGTTGTGTCACTTGCTGTCGACAGCGCCTCAAAAGAGCCAAAGGAAGAGTTCGAAGTATTGACACCGTAAATCGTACGGCCGGCGAAATCGCCCAGTTCTGGCCCGCTCGATACCAGCCCTACCAGTACATCATCCTGAAGTTGTGCCAAAAACAGTGCACTGTCATGAAGAGCCAGCGACATTGCTCGCTTCTGATCTACAGAATTGCGAAACTCGCTGAGTGCAACAAGCGAACGACGTGCTGCATCTTTCCCCACGCCCAGCTTTGCTTTAGAATTGATTGACAGTCGCACGTGTTCTAACATACTTTGGGGTGTGGCCGGGTGAGATGACTGTGAGGAAAGTGGTCCATAAATGGAAAGGGCACCAGGCGAACGCGGTGACCGCGGAGTCAGAGCTGCTGCTGCTGCTGCCACGGGCAAGCTAAAATAATCTTCTGTACTTTTTGCGGTCCGGGGTGCTGAGTTTGTCGCCGGTGTTGATGTTGCTGGTATTTTTGCCGCTGTTTGTGTCTTTGGAGTTTGCTGAGGTGTTTGCTGTGCTTTAGGCGTTGAGTTTGGTGACCCATCTGCCTTCGTCACTAGTCCACTAGTTGTTATATGAAGATTTGGGCGTTTTGTCTGTGCTGTCAGACCTCCTGAGGCAACTGGCCTGTTTGTAGTTGTACCCTTTTTTTCGTCATTGATGTTTGCTTTCAGAGACAGTCCTGGTCGAGCAGTTTCTGCTACAGCCTTTTGTTGCCTCAATCCACCTTCTGTCTGCAAACTCTCAGTAATTTTTGAGCTGTCTAACTTTGCTTGTTCCGCCTTGTCAATGTTGCTTAGTGGCTTTGCGTAGGCGCTGGTTGGGCGTGTTTTACTCACAGTGGAATTGGATCTGTCACCTGTTCCGCTCCTTAGACTCGCGTTGCTTGTGGATTTGTTCAATGTTTTCCCTCTGGTTGTTCTATTCTCCTTTGCTGTTGTAACGGTGTTTGGAGTCTTTGTGGTCGGCTGTGCCGCTTTTGTGATTTTAACAGACGATGACTTGGCTATAGTTTTCATTGCAGTCCTTGCCTCTGCCTTGGCTTTCCCCTTCTCCAACTCCTCTTGCCGCAGCTTTTGCGCCGTGCCTCGAAAAGCAGCCGAAGCAGCTGCTTTGGCCGAACTCATATGGTAGGAGATAATAGAAGTGTGCAGGCGATAAGCTTGATGGAGTAGTCAAATGTACTATGTGCAGTGCATATTTCCACAGCCTTGTCGATTTTCGTCATTGTTTTGCCAGCTGTATGGGAGATGTATTTGGAATTATATCTCTGTTACTAATTTCTTTGGACGGGCCACGAGAATTTTCATAAATCTCATGCGGTATCAATTTACGTTGTACGTAATTTTGGCATCGCCGTTTCTGTAGGATTTTGGGTTGTTGATTATGATAGGCTGCTTAAAGGTTGCCTCATGTCAAATTTTTAAATTTACGAAGATTTGTGATCATGTTATTGCAATCATTTGCTTTGAAGCACGAAAGTGGCATTAATATTATGGTTTTCCTGGCACTAGCCACTTTCTTACAAGTTTAGTTTGTCTATGATAAAAATAGCACAATGATCATATTCGTGGGCTCCACATGTCTCTCATTAGGATATGAGCTACGTAGATGAAATTGAGAGGACACAGAAACTCATTAAGATTAACGCATACTTGCCGTAGCCTAACTGCAATACTACACTTCACAAGACCATTACATCAATGAACTAACATCCCATTATCCCAATCTACTTACGTTTGCTCTTCACGGCATTGGCATTGCGGCCCCTGCCGACTTTGACTCCAGATGTACGATAGTTCGTAGAGAAAGGAGACATGTAGTTGTCAGCACTTCCACCGCCGATCCACTCTTGAAGCATTTTCTCGCTCTTCTTCCGGTGCCATGCACTGTCCTTCAATGCCTGCGCGTACTCCTTCTGGTCCTCTCTGAGAATCAATGGCTCTTGCAAGTTCTTGTGTCTGTTTTCTTTGTTGTGTTGGTATCCCCTGTTTCCTTGTTGTTTCTTTTGGTTCTTGCTGAGTGGTGATGCAATGGAATATACCTGGCCTCGCGTGATCCACTGGAAGTTTGCCTTTAAATGTGGAGTGACCTTACCTGTGGCCTCGTCAATCGAGACTGCGCACCGAAGCAAAGTATTTCCTCCACACTTAGAACAGAAATGCTTAGGCTGGCCGTCCTTCAGCATGGGCGACATGGCAAAACAAGCGTGGCATCTGTACATGTAGTTTCTTACCCGCTTGATTTGCTTTCCTGAAACATAGTTCATTAGCTTGAGCCCAATTTGCATTGTCACATTCTGGCATGCAAAATCTCCTGTGGAAAGAGCAACTGCAATCGCTTCACTTTGTTGGGTATCCTGAACCACTTCATTATTGTCCTTGAGTAACTCTTCTTGGAGATTTTCGGGCGTAATCCAGTCGCCATCGTCATCCTCCTCATTGTACTCCTGTGTAAGAGAGGATTCGGCTTCGTTGGCTGCCTCGGTATTAGATTCCACTTGTTCGATTTCTTGTGCATTTTCAGAATTATCTTCTGACTTTTCTTCTTGGTGAGCAGTTTCTTCAATGTTGGAGACGTTCTGAGCATCATCTTTCTCTTCTTCTTTTTGTTCTTCCTTCTCTGTCTCTTGCGTTTCGCTATCTTTCTTCTCTGCTCTTTGCTTGTATCTCCACTTTCTGCTCACTTTCTTCTTGCGGACCACAGTCTGAAAACCATCATCATCCTCAGGTAAAGTTTCTTCGGGTTCCTCGTAAGAGTTGTACCTTCTAGGCTTATATTCTTTTGTTTCTTCTCCCGCAAGTTTTTCGCCTGGGTACTTTCTCAACTTGTCTGCTCCATTTTTCTCACATTCAAGTTCATATGCCAAAGCGATAATGTGCACATCATTCATAGACAAAACGCTGTAATCACCAGTCAACTTTGCAAATGCAGAAACAGCATCAACATACTTCTGTTTTGGTTGCCTCACTTGTAGAGCGTCGCCCCAAAGTAGAAGCTGGTTTCTGGTATGTTCATCTTTCAATTCAGCGCGGACACCAGGCGTAGTGTAAAAAACAGATGCAAACTGTTGAAGAGCAGTAGCTGGCTGGGTGATCAAAGGAGTTGCATCAAGCACGAGGGCTTCCACAGGCTTGTTCTGAGTCATTTTTTCCGTTGCAAATCTGATCAAAAATGCTCTCTACAGCGGTTTTTTTCCGCATCTCATCGGATTAGATACTGGGGAGATATATGTGCAGGCGCTGATCATACAACGTTTCTGCCATGTTAAACATTATCAACGAAATGCTGAATCAGTGAAGTCTTGAAGCCATAATAGATCAAAAATGACTGGCTCTACAGGCTAGTACTCGGAACAAATGTATGTTTGACGATACTTGTAATCAAATATTGCTGATTTAGACGAGCACGCTCAGTCTTTATCTACATTGTGTTCGGAAACACAAAGTCTCAAGTAACTGAAAGAATCAGACCTCCTTGAATCTTCTCCAGTTTCTAATAGTCGATATTGTTGCAGTGCACGGCTGTCCAAGTATCTTCGCGTGTGATGGTACGGTCTCCTGCAGGAGAATTGAACATTGCTGGCACATGCTATATTGTGGAGCCACGGCCAAAGTATCACCGCATTCTTTCCATTTGCCTTCTTTAATTGACAATGGCTTCCGAAACCCAAGACAAATTCCTTTTGCACCAGTATGTATTTGAATTGAGGCAAGTCTTGACCGGCTACTAACTTTCAACAGTCTCAACTATTCCAGGTCGTCTAGAATCATTTGGATTTTAGAAGAGTTGAAGTTGAACTACGAAATCAAGTACTACAAGAGAACAAAGGAGTTCCTCGCACCTAAGGAGTTGCGCGATGTTTTCCCTACTGGCACAGCTCCGATCTTGCAAGTATTCAAAGCTGGTAGAGAGGAGCCAATTACGCTTGCTGAATCTGGCCATATTATCCAGTACCTTATTCAGCACTACGATCCAGAAGGTAAATTGAGCGGTGAGACCGAAGATGAAAAGGAATTGATCGACTACTATTTGCACTTTGCTGAGGGCAGTTTGCAACCTCACTTGGTGTCAATGTTGATTGGCAAAGTGGCCGTTTCCAAAACGCCTTGGCCTCTCCAACTTCTTACTAAAACTATCACAGGAAAAATGAATGACAGCTACTACTTCAAAAGGCTCTCTACGAACCTTCGTTTGTTGGACGACAGATTGGCTAAGAAAGGTGGTGGCTACTTTGTGGGAAATAAGTTGACTGCGGCTGACATTATCTTGGACTTCCCAATCAACGAGAATATTTTTGGATCTGACACGCGGTTGGAGGGCGTCGACTTCAAAACGGAATACCCCAACTTGTACAAGTGGCACCAATTGACAACAAAGGAGCCACTTCATGTTACTGCAGTCGAGAAATCGAAGTTGTAAGTCCGCTCTCATAACGTTTTGATTCTTTTTAGTTTGCTTTTCGAGGCTAGTATCTACTGGCTAGAATCACTTATCTGCTTGTTAGAACTATTATGTCTAGCTTGCTTTTGGCGACCCACGTTTTTTTACTTTTCTTTTCTTCCATGTTTCATTTCGCTCTCCATGTTGAAGGCTGTGAATAGAAATTATAGGAATACTACTATCTAGCTTATAGCGAATGTGTACTAATAAATTGCTTCTCTACTTTACCATGTTGGTACATTATATGCACTCCGGTGTACAAATTTCAGCCTCCGCATAATGCGATGAGATAGATACTCATATTTTACCCCTCTCGAAAGATGCCCAAGCCAAGAGGAAGAAGAGTCCAATCAGCATTCAAGGAAAGAGTGGAAAATTCAGAGGCAACTCATGAAAATTCCATTGCTGAAACTGGTTCGGATGTTGAGATTTCATTACACGAAGATCAACCTCAAACTTCTGACAACAAGAACCAGGGAGAGTTTTCCAGCGTTTTTTACGGTTTGGTTGACTCTGCCGAAATCGACTACTTCAAACAAGCTGAATCTACACTCAACGCTAATGTTTTTGAGAGCGACGAAGACAGAGCTGGTTTCATTAGATCCGTGTTGGAAGAGTCTAGAGGGAAAGAACTTAAGTTGGTTACCAACCAAATTTGTTCCAAGTTGATGGAACGTTTGGTTTTGCTTGCCTCAGACCGTCAACTCAAGCATATTTTCCACCAATTCTTGGGCCATTTTCCAGCGTTGGCTCACCATAAGTACTCTTCCCATGTTCTTGAAACATTGTTGGTGAGATCGGCAGCCTTGATTGAGAAAGAAATTGTTAACGAATACCAACAAGACGAAGAAGACCAGGATGAGAATGCCGATAATGATGAAGACAATTTCGTTGCATCTACTACTATGGAATCCATGTTCCTTCAAATGTTGGACCAGCTTGAACCTTACTGGTCTTCGATGATTCAACACCAATATGCCTCTCATGTGATGCGTATCATCATTCTTATTGTTTCAGGCAAAGAACTTCCTTCTTCGACCATGGCGAACTCCGTGTTGCGTTCGAAGAAATCCAAGGTTGCGAGAAAGATGATCGAAATCAAAGACAATGAAGATTTCAACAGGGCATACCAAGTGCCATCTTCTTTCAAGGATCGTTTGAGAACTATCATTAGCGCTGTCTCTTCGCCGCTTGATACGAAATCTGCGCGAAGCTTGGCTATCCATAAAGTGGCTTCGCCTGTTCTTCAACTTATTATCCGCGTTGAAGGAATTGTCGACAAGGAGCGTTCTGTATGGCATTTGATTTTCTTGCTGGAGAAGGCTCCAAAGGATTCGCTGGAGGAGGCGTTTGTGGAATATCTCTTGTCTGACTCCGTTGGATCGCATTTCCTTGAGGCTATTATCAAAAACGATGGTGCCAGAATGAAATACATTGAAAGATTGTACAGACTATACATGAAGGACCGTGTGTTGAAATTGGCTAGAAGAGCAACTACTGGTGTTTACATCATTCAGGCATTGTTGTTGAAATTAAAGCCTGGTGAAGTGGAACATATTTTGGATGAGATTATTCCGGAATTATCATCTTTGATTTCGATTTCTGAGTCACAAAACATTGACTTAGGAAAGGCTATCATTGATGCTTCCATATCCAGATTCAACTATAGAAGGGACGAACTCATTGAGCAACTTTTCCAAAAGTTTGCGCCAAACTATAATGTGAGTGATCCAAGCGAAGACACAACGACAGAATTGTTTGAGAATGTTCTTCAACTAGCCAGTTCTACATTAGGAAACACTAGGGATGATTGGCCTACGGCAGAAGAGAGAAGAAGATCGCTTTTCTTGGAAAAATTAATGCAATACGACTATTCTTTTGTTGTCTGTGTGTGGCTAAATTGCATGGCTTTGCCCCAGGAAAGATTGATGCAAATGTGCTTTCACGGAGTGTTTTCACATGTCATTGAGCATGCATTGGTGGTAAAACCGGCGCTGGAGGGAGAACCAAAGGAAGTTCTAATCTTGCGAAAGAAATTCTTGAACTTGTTTCAGGGTAAAATCTTCGAGTTAGCTTGTAACTCCTACGGCTCGCATATTGTTGACAAGCTTTGGGATTTTACTGTCCTTTTGCCGATGTATAAAGATAGAATTGCCTCTGAGATGATGGCCCAGGCCAATAGAGTCAAGGATTCCACATATGGTAGATTAGTGTGGAAAAATTGGTCGATGGAGTTATTCGTCAGAAAGAAGTATGACTGGAAAGTCTTGGTCAAGGAGCAAGAGGAAAACTACTACGCTGAAGAAGGGACCCAGGGAGATGCTATGAAAAAGAAGAAACCCATCGAATTGAAAATGGAAGAAATATTTAAGAAGAAGCAGTATCAAGAGGAAAGGGCCAAAAGAGAAGGCGAAGATTTGGCTGGATCCAACCAAAAAAGAATGAAGGGAAGAGGCCGCAATCGCTAAGCACATATCGATAGAATCACTAATAGATGTAAACCATTTATCTTCGGATTCACTGGATCTTAAAACATGCATGATAATCAACTCTTTAATAAATGAAATATTGAAAGCTATAGATACTTAAAGTCACTTCAAAATATTGGTTCTCTTTTCTGGTTTTCTTCAAACTTCAACTGATGAGCATTGGTTCATTCAGGATTAAGATAGTCTATTGGTATTTACAAGATTTATAGATGCTTTGTGATGTTATACTGGTGCAATGTTGAGTCAGGAACATCTGTTGGACTTTCAACCACAGGATCAGTACCCGATTGATTTTTAGGAAATGCGATGACATCTCGGATGCTGGCGCTACCGACTAGCATAGCACATAGTCTATCAAATCCAAGAGCAATTCCCGCATGAGGAGGGCAGCCCATGCTCAACGCTTTGAGAAGGTGACCAAATAAGTTTTCATAGTTGTTGATTTTGAGAATCGACTCGAAAATATATTTTTGAAGTTCGGGATCATGTACTCTTCGGGATCCTCCACCAACTTCAACACCATTGATGACTAAATCATAATGTTCACCATGAACCTTGAGAGGGTCTGTCGCAAGAAGTTCATAATCCTCGCTTTTCGCCATAGTGAACGGGTGATGCGTCGCCTCCAATTGAGACATGTCATAAACAGGAAACTCCGTATCGTTAGAGTCTGAAACTTCCACAGGACTAAAAAGAGGAAAGTCAACCAACCAGGAACCCACAAACGTTGAGTTTCGGTCGTAATCTGTGGTCACCTTTCCATTACGAAGTATTGGCCGATTCCATTTGTTAGGAAATTGCTCGATCGCCAATTGTCTAAACTTCCCCAAAGGAGTAGGATTCTCGTAAGGTAATTCTGCTCTAGTCGAAAAGGCCAAAATATCACCAGGCTGAAGATTAAGTGTCTTTTCCAAATCTTCGCTTGAGAAGTTCTCTGTAGGTTTTAAAACGTTTTTATCAACAAATTTCTCATACCAGGAAACAGTGTCTTCCTCGGTTTTGATAGCCAAAACTATTGGTTTTCGCTTCGGATAATTGATGGAGTCCGTAAGGGCATGCGGAACTTTGAATGGTTTCTCCGGATCAAATGCTCCTTTCAACACACATGCCTCAACAACACCAAAGTCTTTTGTATTTTTTGTAGGTTTGAAATGCTTGGAAATGTCTAAAAAGGCTAAAGCCGAGCGCAAGTCAGGTTTATCAATTCCATATTTCAGCAATGCCTCGATGTAAGAAAGTTTGTTGAAAGCAGGCTTTGAGTGATCGTGATTCTCAAAATCCACTTCAACCATAGTACCATCGTCATCTACCTTGTAGATCGGAAGACCACCGACTTTGTTCCAGACACTTTGGATTATATCGTCAATAACCGTGCTCACCTGGTCGGTGTGATTGACAAAACTCATTTCAAGGTCAACCTGTGTAAACTCTGGTTGTCGATCAGCCCGCAAGTCCTCGTCTCTAAAACAGCGTGCAATTTGAAAATAGCGTGTGAACCCAGAGCTCATCAATATTTGTTTATATTGCTGTGGCGACTGCGGAAGAGCATAGAATCTATCCGGGGCTCTTGTTGGTACCAAGAACTCTCTAGCACCTTCTGGCGTCGACTTGAAAAGTAGAGGAGTTTCGATCTCAACAAAGTCATGGTTTTCCACTAAGACACGCCGCACTTCATTCACAGCCTTACTACGGAGTCTCAATGTTTTCTGGTAAAATGGTGTCCGCAACTGCAAAAAACGGTATTTTGGAGGAAGTTCGCTTGGGTTCAGATGTTTCAATTTGTCAAGTCGGCCAGCCTCCACTCCCGCAGGATTTAAAGTCTGGAAGTGAGAGACTACGAGCTCAAGTTGTTTAGGAGCATCGGGCCGGTCATCTTTCCCTTTTTTCTCTTGAACATATCCTGTAACACTAACAGAATCTTCTGCACCGCTCTTTTCAAGTCGCTCAAAATACTTTTCATTCGTAACTTCTGGCGCCATGTATATCTGAATAATATCTCCGTTGGGGTCTCGGAGCTCGGCAAAACTTCTCTTTGCCATAATCCGTGGCTTCCTATTCAAATGGCCATGCACGGTAACTTGGTCTGAAGTGGGCTTTTGTAGGTCTTTGACATTGTGGGTTGCTGAAGGAAAAACAAACTTTGCCAAGGTTGTCTCCTTGGGAGGTAGACTAGCAAGGCCACGGAATGCCCTGAGAAATTTTGTGGGAGCCCGTGCAATCATAGTGGAAATTCTGAGATCAAGTGTCTTTCGAAACTCGCAGCATAAACGAGTTGAGATAGATCTTAAGTACAGTCTTGTAAAAAGAGCGTTGTCTCGGTTGAAAGTTGGAATAGGAAAGTTTGCAATACTGCCTCGACAGTATGCCTATAGTCTTCTTCTAGAGTCAGAACTATCATATTAGTTGCAAGTACATTACATAGAAAAGCACAAGAATTGCCCATATGCGATTCTTCTGGCTTTCAACACAGGATACTGTTCCTTTGTCTGTTCCACGCTCTCCTTTCTACGTTTCGTTTTTGTCTTTTTTTTTTCCTTCGTTCGTCTAGTAATAGGGCTATTTTCAATGTATTATTGCAAAAGGGGACGCTTTGACACTTTGCGTCGAGACGCGCGATGTCAAATCGTCAAGGGTCCTGTCTGAAGAAGGAGCATAGACAATACGGGCTTCTATTCTTGCCCAATTCAAAGCAGCATCGTAAGACTAAAGTTTCTTCTTGTTCCTAAAGGTTTCCATACTTTAGCTTGATCTGATGGCAATATTTTCATATCTGTATATGAATAAGTCTTCTTTTTTCCCCTATTGGGACTCGGCGAAGCTGTTCCTGTACTCACCAGAAGGTTAAGTGAATGCAAATTTACGTTGGTCAAGAATTGCCCGGTTCTCATCTTTCCTTCCATTTTCGGTGCTTTTCTTCCCCGTATTCCATATGATTTCACTTCTATCTTTGAAATTGCCTCAAACGCTCTGTCGGGTGGTTTTGTTTGTGGCCGCTGTGGTGGCATTCTTGGTCTTTCTCACCATGAACACGAATGACAGCATAGTTTCTGCCAGCAGCAGCTTGCGTACTGTTCTATCCAAATTCAACACATCCATATATTATGACCCCTCGTATGGCTACAAAATCGCTCCTGGTGCGGTTCTGTTTCTGTTTGTGCCCAAGAGGGGCACCAAGGATTCACCTAAGGACGTTTTGAAAGAAAACACGGCTCTTTACGAGAGTGTAATGGCTCAAGAAATCGGCGAGCCCAAGGACTTCGATATAGATAGCATCCGTCCTCCGGAAAATGTCACAACATATCAAAGAGAAAATGCCACCATAGTTGCTCTTGTCCGAAACAACGAAATCAAAAAGATCCAGAGAACAATCACCCAGTTTGAAGAGAAATTCAACAAGAAGTTCGGGTACCCATACACTTTCATAAATGATGAACCTTTTACAGAAAGGTTTATGGAGAAAGTAAGAGGATTTACCTCAGCTCCAGTGTCGTTTGTCCATCTCGATCCTCAGGCATGGAACAAGCCCGAATGGATCGATACCGAACGTGAATGGAGAGAAATGAATCTTCTTGCTAACCAGAATGTGGCATATGCTAAGAAAGGATCGTACCACAACATGTGTCGTTTCTACTCGGGACCCTTTTTCGATGTCCCCGAAATGCGCAAGTATAGATATTACTGGCGTATTGAACCCAACGTTAAGTTTTTTACCGATGTCAACTACGATGTATTCAAATATTTGGCGGGAACAGGAAAAATATATGGCTTTACCATTAGCGTCTACGATATACATCAGACAGTGAGGACACTTTTCCCGGAAACTCTCAAGTTCCTAAACAAAGGCGATAACTACAAGTACGTCAATGAAAACGGAGCATTCCAGTGGATTACGGAAAACAAGCAGTTGCCCGAGAAGGCGATTTACACAGGCGGATACTCCACATGCCATTTCTGGTCCAACTTTGAAATGGGCGATATGAATTTCTTCAGAGATGAAGCATATAGTAGTTGGTTCAAGCACTTGGACGCTACAGGAAACTTCTATTATGAACGATGGGGTGACGCGCCCGTCCACTCTCTTGGGTTGGCATTATTCGCGGATAAACGCAAAATTCACTGGTTTAGGGACATTGGCTATTACCATGATCCATACATGCACTGTCCTAATACGCCATCTCGTAAAGGCTGTGATGTCGGCCACTTCGGCCCAAACGAGCAAAGCTTGTCACAAAACTGTATGGCTACCTGGATTCGATACGAGATCGACGACCTTAGCTCCATATATTAGTTTCCCCCAACATAGTGGTCTTCTTCCGTTATGGCGAGTGAGATTTCAAATGGGCATTTCGAATTTGAGAGTGTCGCTGTCGTATCACTATTTTGGTTGTTATGTCTACAATAACGACAAATTGTCAGATCTCTAAAAAGGGGAATGGAACACTCAAGATAATGAGTCATAATACAGGCGCCACACATCCTGTTTCAGGCAAAATGATGAGCACCCCCGCAAGTGCATATCTTTTGGTCCCAATATGGACGGTTAGGCTTCACTCCTTCGATCTAGAGCAGCTTACAGGCTGACAACAGTTTGCTGTCCAAGTAGTTTAGTTGTCTTCTACTGAAGTCATTCATATAAGATGTCTGATGTATTATATCCTTTCCCGTAGGTTTAATATTTTGAACATCTGACTTGGTATTTAATGGAGTTTTATATATTTGATTAATCACAAGTATAGGGTCTGTTCAGTTACGAAAACGTGTTCACGGAAAAGACTTCGACTATTCCGCATCTGGAAACTTATTATTTCTGTTTTTGCTAAGTTTCCTTTTTTTTTTTGTTTTGTTGACCGGTATTTCTCTTACATGGTATATCTCAATAATTTGTGCTTGGACAATCTCAAAGTGTGGATGTGCGGAATTATGTAGGCAAATGAGTTGATATTAGTGGATGAAAATTAGTAATCCAACCTAAATTTCATAAAGCAATGAGTTTGAGTGTTGGTGTGGCAAGCTTATCGCGACATCTGACCCCGATGCAGCGCATATATATCGGTTTCGTTATCGAGATGAATTGGGATTGGCCATTCCGATGCCACAGTCGGAGCGGAATTGGTGTATGCAATACTGTGGAGTTCACGCATGTCGCATTTGGGTGCAAAACTGTGGTAGGCCCTATGTTAGCATTAGTAATCGACCAAGATAAGGGTGGGTATAAATAGGTTTTGGAAAATCTTTTCTCCGGTTGCTTTTTACCAGGAAAAACGAAGACACAAAAATGGCTCCTATCTCCACCGCTAAAGAAGACGCTACTGCTGACTTGGACAGTGCAATTGCCAAATTGGCCTCTTTGAAGGTTGTTGGCGCAAAAGAGTACAAGAAAGCTGTGAAAACAGGATCTAGTGCCTCTTGGGCTGAAAGATTACCTGCTCCAGCTAGGGCCAGATACGAAAAGTACGGAATTGATTTGTCTAAGGGCTATCCAAAGGTGCCAGAGATCAGCGAAATTCCAAAGTTCGTGGATGAGGCTTTTGCTCTCAGAAATGAGGAGTACCCTTACATCGAGAGGGGTAAGAACGCTGATCCAGAAAAGAAAGCTTTGTTCGGTGCAGCTAAGGAGGTCCGGAACCTTACCAAGCACATCGGAACTGAGATTGTCGGTTTGCAATTGTCAGAATTGAACGACAAGCAAAAGGATGAGTTGGCTCTTTTGATTGCCGAACGTGTGGTCGTGTTCTTCCGTGACCAGGACTTGTCTCCTCAAAAGCAGTTGGAGCTTGGTAAATACTGGGGTCAGGTTGAAGTTCATGCCCAAGTTCCAAGAGTGCCGGACACCAAGGACGGCGAGGCATTGCCTGGTATCACTGTGATCTGGCAAGACTACGCTCGTGAGTTTTTTGGACTTCCATTAACTTTCAAGAACAGCATTGGTGGAAACTCCCAATGGCACACCGATTTGGTGCACGAGTTCCAACCAGCTGGTATCACCCATCTTTACAACGACACCATTCCTGAAGTTGGTGGAGACACTGTCTGGGCTTCTGGATATGCTGCCTACGACAAGTTGTCGCCAGCTTTCCAAAAGTTCTTGGATGGCAAGACTGCCATTTACCGTTCAGCTCACCTGTACTTGGACAGAGAAAACCCATTGAATGGGCCAAAGCATATTGAGAGAGAACATCCTTTGGTTAGAACTCACCCAGCCACTGGATGGAAGTACTTGTTTGTCAACAGATCAATGACTGTTCGTATTGTTGGCTTGCAACCAAAGGAATCTGAGGTGATTTTGGAGTACTTGTTTGGATTGTTTGAGCGTAACTTGGACATCCAGGTGAGATGGAACTGGAAATCTAAGCCAGGTTACGGTACTTCTGCAATTTGGGACAACAGAATTTCTCAGCACAACGCTGTTTGGGACCACGAAGGTTTGGAACCAAGACATGGTACTCGTGTTACTTCTTTGGCTGAAGTTCCTTACTTTGACCCATCTTCCAAGTCTCAAAGAGAAGCCTTGGGATTGTCTTTGGACTAGATTCCTCGGTGTGTTGTTGCTTTGATTATATATAATCAAATAAAAAATTGTTTCTCCTTTAGTAGCCAATTGCATTTGGAAAGTATTAAAATTGGGTCTCCAGATTTCTTTTGCTTTACTGACTAGCATCGCTTGAGCCTATAAGTCCATTGAATCCGAAGCTCTCGAATCGAACATCACAGACGAGGTTCAACGTGACAATATTTCAGCCATTTCGAATTTATATTTTGTCGATTACTTAATACACGGTAGCTCATGTCACTTCAATATAAGTATGACATGCCCTTCGCTGACGCCTTCCTTTTACCGTGGCCAGAACAGATGAAGTGATTACTCATAAATAGAATCTCAAAGACGAACCTCCATGTGTTACAGTTACATAAAGCGGATGAGGTTCCGCCCTCCCTCTTTATTTCACTGGATACTTATCGTCTTCGTTGTTCATGGCGAATCTCCTCCACTTTTCTTCTCATCACGGTGGTAATTCTCGAGTAGATTGGGTCGTTTTTCACCTTGTCACACCAGGCACCCAATAGTGGGTATTTTCTGTATAGGTCTGTTTCACCTGAGCATTCCTTCACACCTGCCTCATTGTCGAATAAGTTCTCATAAACCGGAAAACTCAACATGATATCTGCTGCAGTGAGCTTCCCTGCAACAAAATAGCCAGTACCCTCTTCACGAAGGCGAGCGTTTAAGTATTCCAAATTTAATTTGAATTCGTGAATGTAGTAGCCATTATTTAAACCCTTAGTCACTAATTTGGCCACTGTCTTTAGTCCAATGGGTGCGACTCGCTTTGCTGTGGTATTTATTAGCATAGCCATCAATATTGGCTGGAGTGTTCCTTCTGAGTAGTGGATAAAATAGTCAACCATAAGTTGCTCATCCTCTCTTTTGGGTGTGAGAATAAACGATGGATCATAGTGTCTCAATAGATATTGCATAATCAACCCGGTTTCTGCTAACTGAAGATTTGGTCGGCCATCGGCAAATTTGATCTCTAGAACCGGGGCCTTTCCCAAGGGGTGAACATTGAACAATTCTGCTGGGCCTCTCCAAGTTTCTGGGTGGCGAAGATGAACATCAACTTCATACTCAAGCCCAAGCAACTCCAACATCCACATAATACGATGGGCTCTGGACTCATCGAGCCAGTACAAAGTGAATTTATCAGGCATTGTTAAAAAAACATCGAGATCTATCAGGGGAAGGAAGATCTTTAAATGGTACTAGCTCAACCCCTCTGGGCAAAATGAGTGCTACATGATGCTTCTTTGGGAAACTCTGTTCTCGTTATTACTACTTTAGGCAAGTGCTATTTAGTGCGCATAAGTGACCCCAGAAATTGATCTAGTATGCTGGAAAATACCATGTTCACTTATAATGCAGGTTAAACCAGAATAAATCAAGTATTTCAAGAGTGGTGGCCAGTACATGACCCATGGACATAGAAATTTGTATACATGTTTTACAGGTTTGAGCCAACAAATAAACAAGAAAAAATTGCTTTGCTGTGGAATTAACAGAGATGATGAAGCCATGAAAAATCAATCAATTGAGGAAAACTACAAACAACCGTTGATTACAGAAGCGAGGGTTAGCGCCTTTTCCTCTTCGAGCTTTTTTGTCACAACCTGCAAACACACAGGCATACCATCAAACAATTCCGGCTTATATGCCTCTTGAACGGATCTATCCAATTCGCTCGTTGGCTTGTACGACGAATCGGGCTTATCAATATCTTTGTCCACTTTTGTCACTGGAAACACAACCAGAGCACAATCGCAGAGATTAAAAGGGCATGTATAGTTCAACGTAGGTGGAGAAATAGGCAACACGGATGCTGAAGGCCAAACAGGGCAAATAATTCCGTCAATTGGGCTTCCGGATTTTGTTTTCTTGCTGGTGCCTGACCAGAAAGAAAGAAACTGCTGCTTTTCTTCGTACACTTTGTTGCAGAGATCCCACCACTTGTTCACCGTGATAGGATTTTGTGAATTATTTGGAACACAATCGGCGACAACTTCGACTACAGGCTCACCAGAAACTTTGCACTCTGTTATGATTTCGTAGCCCTCGTCTGCACCATAAACTTGCAGTGCCGTTAGCATGATCAGATCATGGTTGGGAATTTGAACCTCAATTACCTCGTGGCCTTGTTCTTTCAAAGCTTTGGACACCGATTCCAAAGCCCTGTCAATGTATGGATGAGGCTTCACTTTGTTGTCGTACTTCCAGAGCCCAAAAGTGAGTTTTCTTTCTTTCAATTCCGAAGTGTCTTTCCATGGAACTGCTAATACCTTCGGGTCCTGAACCCAATGTTGCGCATCCACAATAAGTTTTGTGATGAAAGAAATGTCTTCCAAGCTTTTTCCCATTGGCCCAATCACGGATGGGAATGCTTCTTGGCCACTGGCTGAGTTGGTGACATTCAAATATGAAATGCGTCCAGTCGATGGCTTAAGAGCGTAAAGTCCTTGATGAGACGACGGAATACGGATACTCCCTCCAATATCAGTTCCAAATCCCAACGGAGAAGCATCAGCTGCTATCATTGCCCCTTCTCCTCCAGAGGAGCCACCAGAAGATAAGTTGATATTGAGCGAATTATAAGTATAGCCATAAATATTGGACATAGTTTCAGGGGCCATCATAGCCATTGGAACAGTAGTTTTCACGTAAAAAACTGCGCCTTTGCTGAATAGCTCCTGCGCTAACAAACTGGTGGTGTCTTTGGGCTTATTGAGTCGGCCAATAAATCCTATCGCAGAATCTTTCCCTGCTAAATCCACCTGGTCCTTCAAGCTTATAGGTACACCATGAAGAGGTCCAACTGTTTTACCAGTGGATGCATATATATCATCCAATTTCTTAGCTCTTGCAATGGCCTCGTCAAAAAATATCTCCGAGCAGCAGTTGACAATCTGATGAGCATATGCGGCTCTGTGACAAAAGGCGGACGTAACGGCAAGAGCGGAAAGTTTGCCCGACAGAATTTGCTGCTGAAGTTGGCCCACCAGCAAGCTCGTGATGGCCACTTCCTCTTGTGGAAGAATTGAGTCTAAATACGCCTTCGTGCTCGTATAGCCGGCTTGGATCATTTTCAGCTTCAAATCAGCATCGATCCATTTCTGGGGAATCAGTTCCAACACGCTGCGTCTTTTCGCATCTGCTATTTCTTCCCAGCTCTGTGACATTGTTTGAGTTCGTTGTCTTCTCTTTTTTTTTTTTGCGTCGGTGGTGTTTTTCGGAAAAGTGCCCCGATATTTCAATACGTAAAATCCTTTATGCATAAATTGGACCCACTATCGTCGGCTTACTAAAACGGGCAAACCCTTTTGCGCGTTCTGCATGTCCATGCACTAAGAATGGCCATTCCCCAGCCGCATGCATGCACCGTTTAACTTCACCTTATCAGTCAATCTTCCTACTGTCTAGGTGACATTGCTTGCCTTATGTGTTTAGAGATAGGAAATTGCGCATTTGAAAACGCAAGTACGGATCCGTTGCGGCCGTTGGTTATCTTTCATTCCGCTTCTTATCTTATCTCCATCTATATATAACAGATGGACATCATGTCTATGCAAATGACTATATTGTTGACAGTTTCTAATGGAACCTATTCTCAGTCAAGCTTATGGCTACGGGTTTTCTGTGGGCCTTGGTGCAGCATTTGCCCTTTTGATGTCTGTGATTACCAGAGTGCTCTCTTCATATCTTGGACAGGTGCAAAACTCTGAGCGGTTTTCCACAGCTTCCAGAAACGTCAAGTCGGGTTTGATTGCATCCAGTACTGTATCTGCCTGGACCTGGCCTGCCACACTCCTTTCATCAGGTGCCTGGAGCTATTCGCATGGCATTAGTGGCGGATTTTTGTATGGTGTTGGTGGAACAATACAAGTGACATTATTTTTGTTCTTGGCCATCCAGATCAAGCGAAAGGCCCCTTCAGCTCATACTGTGTCCGAATGTTTTTCTATCCGCTTTGGAAAGACAGGCCATTGGATGTTTTTAGCTTACTGTGTTGCAACCAACGTTTTAATTTCGTCTTTGCTTCTCTTGGGCGGGTCCCAAGGGTTCTCTGCTGCCACTGGAATGCATACCGTTGCTGCTTCCTTTCTTTTGCCTTTGGGTGTTGTGGTGTACACTGCTTTGGGTGGCTTGAAAGCCACGTTTGTGTCAGATTGGATCCACACTGTCATTATCTACGGAATGCTTCTTGCCACAGCGTACAAAGTGTACTGTTCTTCGCCACTAATTGGGTCTCCTGCAAAAATGTACGACCTCTTGGTGAAAGCTCAGAGCCTTTTTCCATCGGAAACTGGAAGCAGTTATCTTTCCTTCAAAGATAAAGATATGATGTTTTTAACCTGGACGGTGACCATTGGTGGGCTTAGTTCCGTTTTCGGCGATCCAGGCTACTCACAGAGAGCGATTGCAGCAGACCCTTCTAATGCTTTCGCTGGCTACTTGATGGGAGGAATTTGCTGGTGGGTCATTCCGTTTTCCTTGGGCTCTTCAGCTGGTTTGGCATGTCGAGCATTGTTGGACAATCCTGCTTCTGTCACTTATCCCAATCCACTAACCCCACATGAGGTTGATGCTGGCTTACCAGTGATCTATGGAATGGCTGCTGTTTTTGGTAAAAGTGGTGCTGCTGCTGGATTAGTGATGCTTTTCATGTCCGTGACCTCGGCAACTTCAGCTGAACTTATTGCTTTCTCTTCCATCACCACATACGACGTTTACAGGACGTATATCAATCCAGAAGCCAGCGGAAAAAAGTTGGTACGAGCGGCGCATGTTTCTGTTGTGACCTTTGGAATTTTTATGGCTATCTTATCTGTTGTCTTTAACTACATTGGAGTCACTGTGAGCTGGCTTTTAAGTTTCTTGGGCATCATCCTTTCGCCTGAAGTTACAGCAGTGACTTTGACGTTATTTTGGGGCAAGATGACCAAACTCTCATTGATCGTTGCTTGTCCCTTGGGAACTTTGACCGGAGTCGCCTGCTGGATGGGTGCTACATATCATTTTGCAGATGGTGTCATTAACAGAGACACTGTGATGACAGCTCAAGCAACTTTTGTTGGTAACATCACTTCATTATTGTCCACGCCGATATACATTGCAATAATTTCCTACCTCAAGCCTGAAGGGCTGTTTGATTTGAACCTTTTAAACGACGAGATCAAAATGGGTGATGATATCGACACTGAGGAAAAACAGGCTCTTATCAAAAGTCCGCTGGTGGAGAGAACCTTAAGGATCCAACTGTGGTCAAGTTTATTCATCAACTTGTTCATTGTGCTCGGGGCGTATGTGATTATTCCCACGGCACTTTACGGCAGTAATCATGATCTCAGCAAAAGCTCCTTTGTGGGATTGATTGTCGTGATGTTGATTTGGCTTGTCTTAGCTGCGGTATACATTGTTGCCACTCCTTTGTGGCAAGGAAGACACTCGATCATTCAAATCGTTCGTGCACTTTGTGGAAAAGAAACTTCAGCTTTGGCCAGTGTTTCGCATCTGAGCCAGGAAAGTAGCGTCGAGGAGGTCACTGATGTGTTTCAAATTAAGAAGTAAACGGTTAATAAAGTCTTTCAAATCTATGGTTGATCAGCAACGCTAACATTCTGTATATCCTCTGATTTCTTGTTCTTCAACAGATCACGGGGGCTTCCCCGGATATTTGGTCCAAGTAGTGCCCCTTTCGTAATGGGTCCAACTCAATCAAGCGTTTCAAAGAATCGATTATTTCTGAATCGAGAAACTCTCTTCTCCCTCCGTCTTCGTTTATCAAACTCTTGATGAATATTATTAGCTTGAGACACCAGACATTATCCGCGTTTGTGGGACTATCGTCCTTCTCTAAACCGTTAAGTTCTTCAACATCAGCTAACATGCGGCGGAGAATATCACGGTACGCCTCGCTGTTTGTGGCTTTGAGGTCATCAACAAAAAGGGTCTCGCTTAAAAGCCATTTCATATAGAGCCACACTGATGTGTCTTCAGGATCCATATACATGCCCGTTTTTCACCATTTCAAGCTCCTTAAGGAGAAGATGGTGTGGGGACGAAAATAGTGCAAGCTCTTCTCTGTAATCATGTTCCAAAGTCTTCCGATCTGGGTCCTCCGCAATGAGACTGAAAATCTTGGGGATTAGCTTGGAGCGATTATGCCATGCACTGAAGTTGGAGATATTCTTCTTTATCTTCTGCGTAGTGTATCTGAACTCGTCCAAATCAATTTTAAGGGTCGATAAAGCTTTATCAGATGGAGTTTTCGCTTCTTTTACGGCTTTACTTTCGATCTGCTGCACCACGTATCTGCGATAGTGCCATCCGTGGAAGTTTCTGCTGTCTGCTTCCAAAAGTTTCAGGACAATTCCCAACTCAAACGTCCAGTTTGCCTTTCCCAACGATTCTAGTTCCTGTAAGCACCATGTACGGTGGTTCCAGATCCAGTAGCATTTAGGGTAAAGCTTCAATTGAGCCATGACCATACGAAGATCGTCGTTAATTGCTTGGTCCACATCGATTCCTCCCTCTTCAAACAATGAAACCAAGATATGTCTGCGGAAGTTCCACACAGCATTGAATTCTGGATTGAGCGCAAGGAGTTCGGTAGTGTGCCCAAGTGTTTCGACGGTGTAGACTTTCAGTTTCTTCTCTTGTAGCACCTGTTTGGTGAGTCGACGATAATGTGCAATCTTGGCCTTATCTTTCTCAATTTTTGCTTTTCGGGCTGCCTCCGATAACAGAACCCGTTTGATTCCGTGTTGCTATCTGTTAGTAAGTCGGATTGTACATATTAGATGCCCTCTACTTACCATTGTGAATAATTGTGAGTTCGCGGAAGAAATCTGTGTACTAGAAATGGAGTACTTGGAATACGAGACTCAAAAGAAGAAGTGAGACGCACAATACTAAGAAAAAGAAGCATTTCCTAATAATATTTATGCCCCATTCGTCGAAACAACCATGGGAGATTTTTTCTATAGCTTTATGGCAAAAACATGCAGCCATTAATTTCTTTACACTATGTACATGATTAATGTGGGTCGCATCAAGCAGCAGTGGCCTTCATTTCAATGTTTGCCATTCCGATCGGCTCAAGCTCACCCTCGTTGTAAGAAGCCTTGAAGAAGGAGTAGTTCAAGACAACATCGTCGATGTTTCTCATGGCGGGGTCTTTCGCAAAGTCGGGGTCGATGAAAAAGAAGACAGGCATGTCCACCTCTTCGCCAGCAGCTAATCTCTGTTCCTCAAAACAGAAACATTGAATTTTGTTGAAGTATGGCGCAACATGGTCCGGGGAGACAGAGTATGTCGCCATGCCAACAATGTCTTCCTTCGACATGTTTTTTGCCCTGTAAAAAACCAAAGCGGTTTCTCCAGGCACCACATAAACCTCTTTCTGCAAGGGTGTGAACTTCCAGGGAAGGATTCCGGAGGCCTGGCACGTGAAAGAGATCCTAATTCGCTTATTTGTGTTGACAGGAATGACTTTATCTGGTGTAAAGATTCGTGCATCTGTAATGGGAACTCCACCCCATCCAGTTCTCTTACAAAGATAGCGATAAAACGGAACAGCAACACATGAGAGACCCAAGAAAAACATGATAACGGCGCCCGAATAGTAACCTGCGCTTCTGTTTCTTAACTTTATCTGCTCTTCTTTCTTTTTCTGTAACGTCTCTAAATTGTTTTTGAGTCTATTGGGTGGCTGAGACTGCAACCGAAAGCTCGACGAATGAAATTTTCTTGTCACATGAAGTCTTTCTCTCTGCAATGAAAAAACGACTCTTTTCTGACAGAGTGAAAGAAAACTTCGCTCTAAACCGATTCTGAACATGGATGAACGACTATGCGAGATCAGTATACTTTACGCAGAAGCTCAATATGGTGTCACCTCCAACCTTATGTTGCACGTGACCTCCTTCTTTTTTGCATCTTTTTTTATTTATTATATATGCATTTATCGGGATACGACGGGACAATATGTCTGTCAGTTTAGTGATTATTGTAGTAATTCCTGGAGCTTTTCGTTGGTGTACAGATCGTTCAACGACATAATTGTGTTGAAGTCGCTCTCATTCAAATCCTGTCTCAAGCTCAAAACCACACTCTTGAAGTAGGCCTTCAAGTTGAACTTGTATACTGGATCCAGAGTTTCAAGTAGTTTTTGGTATCTCAACTTCTCTCCGTGTGGAGCAATATCCGCATCTAAGTATGCATAGTTGTCAATATCTGCGTAGATATAATCACCAGTATACGCCTGACAGTTGCCAGTAGCATCTTCATTCACTTCTTCGAGAAAAAGGAAGGTCCACCTGGCCATTTCTGCAAATTTCTGTGGAAGGCCAAGTAAATTTTTGGGGCACACCGTAAGAAGCCAACGTGAGAAGAGCAAGAAGATTAACCTTCTTGTTTCGAGGGTTACCATTGTTCTTGTAATAATTTCATCCAAACATTCATGAAAGCGGAGCAGTCAATAGACAAGTGCTCGAAGACTTGGGAAGAAAATTTCAGCTGACTTCGTGGCCAATCCTTGAAATTACAAGCAAAATCTTGTTGGCCAACACAATGGTATGGTTTTCATCTAAGGGACGTAGTTTACCATGGCGTTGATTAGTCCACTGTTAATCAAATTGGTGATGAACTGTTCGTTGGCAGATTCCTGTAAGAACAAAATGTCCGATAATGCAATAAAGACCTCAAAAGCATCATCTCTCATGTTTGCCAAATATCCAGAAAGAACTCTGAAGATACCCACTCCATATTCGGTCTCATATGCCTTTGGAATTAAGAGCGAATAGCTTCTAGCGATAGACAAGATTGTTGGTAAGATTTCCGTTGAGTCAACTAGTGCTGGTTGCACAAGCCCAAAGTATTCTACAACTTCCAGGTTAGGCTCTAGGTCAATTGGGTAATATTGGAGGATTGCAGACCATAATTCATACCCATCTTCTGAGAGCAAAGAGTAATACTCACTGGTTGGCGTGCAGCAGCTTTTAATTAAAGGCAATGTGATGAAGTAAGTTTCTGATGATTTCTGGTTTAATGCCACGACCAAGTTTTTCAAAACACGCAACAATGAAGTTTTGATAATCGATTCCTCGCTGCTTTCAATATTCGCTTTCTCCCAGTAACCAGGCACAATCTGAAGAATCTTTATCAACGTGGGTTGATCAATTAATGGGTTGCATCTTTCAATCAACGTAGACAAGGTATCCAAGATGTATAATTTAGATTCCGTAAAGTTCATTTCTGACATCATGTCTATCGAGAGGGAAACAAATTCCTTCAAGAATGGTTGAAAGTCTTGCTTGTTGAAGTCCCAGTCATTTATAACAGTCCTCAAAGTTTGAATTGCTGTTAATTTCACAACTTTATCGTTAATCTTATTCGTCGGGTCTAAGAAGTTGATAAGAAGTTTGTAAATCTCCACTCTGCTTTCTCTGGAACAATTCACCACTACCCACGAGTTGATTATGAGACACATTCTGCGTTTCAAGATTTTATTTTCCACCATATCATTTTTCAATCCTTCTGGAATGAAGACTTGTTGCAATAGCTGGTCAAAGTTGACTTTGTCAGCTATAGAATCTGCTGAAAGTTGAAAAGTGCAGAAAATGGAATCCTTGATTAATATATTTGTCACTGTGTCATTGTTCGAGAGACCGTTGGATATTTTGTTCAAAACGAAATCTGAGAGATCGTCCTTGAAAAACTTGATAAGATCCATATAGAAGTTTTCCGCACAGGGTCTTACTTGGTACTCCCAGCTCGAACTAAGTTCCTCATTGGTCCATTCTTCAGGCTCTAGAAGCCAGCTTTCCAAATCCGAGGGCTTTAGTCTTAGGTACCAGGTGATTATGAGATCGCAAAGATTGAAGATGACTTCCTTGGTGAAAAAATCGGTCTTCAACTTATTAATGGCATTATTAACTTCATCCTTATCGTTCCTTTGCTTTAATGTCACTGCACCTTGCTTGTACACGTAGCTTACCATTTTCTTTAAGATCAAAAAACCTTTCAATGCTAAAGTTTCCCAAAAGTCATTCTCCTCGCTACTGTTATAGATGACTTCAGCTTTGCTTTCGAGTAGAGTCATGAATGTCGACACTATCTCCTGGGAGCACGAAAGAAGAATGAAACTTGTCGGATTGTGGTTAATTAGATTGACATACAATTTGCTGTAGCTTTTCACATACCGCTCAAGCAAATCGGAAGAGTATTTCTCGTGCTCCATAACCAAACCTTGTAAATGGGACACGGTTAGTTTCAAGAACTCAACAATATCTATGTTTTTATGTGGTTGTTCGAAGCCTTCAGGAATGATCCTGCGCAAGTTTTTCAAGCACAAGTAACAAATCTCCATAATAGTTAGGTCCATCGATGTCGTCCACATGTGGAAAAACTTGCAATACAGTTTAATCAATACTGGAACAAGTATTGGGGCTTTGCTTTGCAAAGCGTGCCTAGCGCGTCCAATTCTTACCATCGAGACCGCTTTTATCATCTGGTTTAGAATCACTAGCAAGTTATTCGTCGCCACTAGATTGCCCTTGTTGAAAACGTAATCTTCCAAAGACTTGCTCATATCATCAAACAAAGTAGGCCATTCTCCTGGAAAATCAAACCGCACGATTCGTGCAATAGCGTGGGCATTTTGAATAGTCAATTGGCTATTCTTTTCATCAATGAGGTAAAAGAGCCTTGCCTTGATCTGGGTCTTTTCTTCTTTACTGATGGCGTTGGTGCGAGACGACCTCCAGTACTTCTCAATTCCATTCTTAAAGTAAATGATCGCCATCCATCTCACACGCAAAGGCAACTCTGTCTTCAAGTAAATCTCTTGGAGAGTGTAATGGAAACCAGGACATATTTCCCACGCCTTCAATTGTTGTTCGGCATTCTGTTGAAGGGGTCCTCTTTCAGAGCCATCTGCTATGTTCAAAACATTCAAGATCTCCTCGTAAGTGATTGGCATTCCTCGTTTTTGCGTAGTTCCCGAAACTCCATCAGCCGCTTTGATGGAATGATGTGCTGATGTGTGCAGGTCATGGTCAAGAAAGACATTTCTAATCCTTTAAATACTGGCTAATAAAAATAGATAAAGATTATTATTCAAAATTATGTATAGAAAAGCCGAAGATTCACCATCTATGTGTCTCGTCCCCCTCTTCCCACTCTTTTTCGAGGTATCCAAGTTGCAACTTTACCTTCTTTACAAGTTCTGGGTCACCCATGTTTTTCCCCAAATTGTCACTAATTTTGATGGATGGGTTACCTGCTGCTTCACTCAACTTAATGACAATGTTTCATGGGTGGGGATTTTTCATAAGGAGCAACGTTGTTCTTGAAGTCGTTGGTCAAGAACGTGCCGATGCCAAAAATCACCTTAAGCCCGTCAGCCTCCGCCGTCTTCTTGTACTTCAAGCACTTCTCGACATTCAAGGAATCTGAAAAAACAGATAGTCTTAGAAAATGGTGGATAACCCAATTTCTTGTAATGCGCAGCTATCTTGTGGCAGTACAATTCCGGATCACCGGAGTCTTGTCTAACTCCGACGTAATAATCCGATAAAGGCTTTGTAAAAAACTTAAGGTATGCGTCTGTTCCAAAAGTGTCTGTAAGAGCCAAACCAGCATTCTCAGGTCCAAACGACTCAATCCAGTAGTCCATAGCCAATTTATTAGCATTGACATAATCCTGCGTAATCGAAGCAACTCCCATGAACCATTCGTGGGCGACAGTTCCTATGGGAGGAATGTTGTATTGCTTAGCCAACAACACGTTTGAAGTGCCCAAGAATAGCTTTTGGTTTCCTGTCCGTTCAGCAAAATCACAAAGTGTCTTTACCACTATTTCTTGAGCTTTGAATGATCTTCTTCTGCGGGTTCCAAAATCACTGAAGGCGCACTGGGCGTCCATGAGTTGCTTTGCTTTTTGCTCCACGAGTTCTTCCTGTCCATTGAAATCCCACTTAGTGTCCACAAACTTGAAGTAAGCTTCCGACACAAGAGCCAAAAGTGGGATTTCGTATGGAATGGTTCCGAACCAAGTTCCCGAAATAGATATTGAGAAGTCCTCTAAGTTGGATTCGTCGTTAAAGAAAACAACTTGCTCCTCAGGCTTCAATCGGAAGTCCTTCAATGACTCAAAGTATTCCTTGGGATAATGAGGCAAAGTTTTCCTCAAGTATCCAATTTCCTCCTCGGTGAAACGAAGATTTCCCAATTGAGCTACCTGTTCTTTTATCCATGAAATTGCTTCGCGATTAAGCACCATCAGCTTTGTTCTATTAGTATATTTGTACTTGACGGGAACATCTTTGAAATGCTGGAAGACTGCAGCTTGCATAGACAATTTGTACAAGTCTGTGTCTAGAAGGGATGTGATTGGCATTTTTTGCTCGGAGTTCTATAAATTGTAGGTGGTTGCTATGGCAAAAGCGTCGTTGTCTATCTCGTTTATCTACTAATGCATGGGTCACACCCGTACCTCCTGTAATCATCTCAGACCATACAAATGAGTTATTTTCAAGGAGATGGTTGTTCTAGCCAAGAAAACTACTAATGGCCAATTATTGTCTTTCTCTATTAGTTTAGAAAGTGGCAAAGCAAAAAAATAAAGAAGATAGTGACTTCCGGCGTGATTCGAACACGCGCATCTTACGATAACAGAACTTGAGTCTGCCGCCTTAGACCGCTCGGCCACAGAGCCATTAATGAATGATAACTTCAGTGTGAAGACTCGGTTTTCTTTGTTTTTGCACAGAAGAGTGGAAAAAATAATGACTCCGGCGTGATTCGAACACGCGCATCTTACGATAACAGAACTTGAGTCTGCCGCCTTAGACCGCTCGGCCACAGAGCCATTAATGAAGTGTATTTTACGGTGGTTATCTTCATTGTCTGACATCTATAATTAACGGAAAAGGTTGGTTGCAACTAATGAGAAATGTTGGTTGCAACCGTCTTAACCTAATTTTATGTTGTTTTTTTTGACTTCACCCCATGTCTGGTTTAAATTTGAAGTTGGAGTACATGAGCCTTGAGTATAACTGACACACTCTTTTTCACACAGTAGATAATTGAAATCATAAATAGTGGCAAATACAGAGAAGTAATTATATAGGCATTCTCGATTCGTTAGATATCGGTATCGCGTTTAAGTGTACCTGACGTTGCCTTGAGGGCCGTTGTTCTTGCTGACTGACACTTCTTACTAAAAATTGGGATCACAAATTTAGAATTAACTATTCATGGCAATACCCTCGAACACAAAGTATGAGTGTTCTAATGAGCCAAATTAGTACATACTTATCTCCACTATGCTTGCTCGCTTCGGGTTCATGGCAACTCGTATGTCGAAGTTTGAGAACAGAAACATGTTACTATTGCCTCAAAGAACAGGATGTACTCCTCATCCTTCACGCTTGCGGACGAGGTGAGGGTGAACTATACCAGCCAAATAAAAATATAATGAGAAAGTAATGATAGCACTTGGCACAGATCACACAGCTTTAGAAACTTTAACGAGGATCTAGAAGAATCCCAGTATATGAATACCGATCGTACGTTGAAAAAGAACTACATTGTATGAATAAGAAATCAAAGATCAAAGAAAGTGCAGTACTCTATGCTGTTGAGAACTAGCAGTGGTATATACACACTGAACCAAATTCTCTATTACTAATTCTTATGACAACACGGCGTTCTAACGGTACGTAAGATGTCATTACACATACATATCACCGCGGACGCAACACTAATGTATTTGCACTAGATCTTCCTGTCCTCATTGGATATAATCCTGACAGTGAAGTAAGTGCATGCATTGAACAATGGTTGCAAGGTACAACGGCACGACAGGTGCACAGCAACGTCCTGCCGGTGCAGCCAACTCATCTCTTAAACGCCGTCCTATCATCTTAGAAGAAGGACACTCCATATCTCCTCTCAAGTATATAAGATCACCATTTTTCCCTCTAGGATGGATTCTTCTCCAAGGATCATCCCCATCCCGATATATCAATCCCAATACACTTGCTACTCAAATGTCCAACACCTCTGACTCTATGGAAGGTTCCACTCTGTCTGAAGTCTCCTTCAGAGACTCTCATGGATTGATCTCTGATTTACCAGCAAGAAGCCCAGGAGTGTATAGAGCTGACGCTATTGCACAAAGGGTTTCACATATGCGAAAGCATCATGAGGTGAATGGGGAATTTAAAAGATGATCATGGTCTGGCACATCTATTATTTCTCCAAGGGTATAAGTGAATTTGACTTCGGCTAAGTTATAAAGACACACAAGTACCTAATACTCTATGGCATATTCTCGAATGCTGATTTTTCCGCTCATGCTCACGCGCGACGCATATGGTGTCTCAGTTGGGACGGGCTCATAATAAGATTGTCACGATGGGACGTACTCCCACTATTGATCAGTTTAACAAGCAAGAAAAACAAGCAGATCCGAAAGATAGGCATCAAAAAGAAAGAATTCCAAAAAGTAATGACTCCGGCGTGATTCGAACACGCGCATCTTACGATAACAGAACTTGAGTCTGCCGCCTTAGACCGCTCGGCCACAGAGCCCTACTTGAACGGAAATATAGGCTGGGAGACCAGGACAGGAAATTATGACTAGTGACTAATGGCGCAGTCTGCATAAGCGCATACTCTAGAATTCGGTGATTTTACGGGGTAGGAGAATAAGAAGGCAGAATGCATGCATGCAGTTGTGGAACAATAGGTGCGTCCATTATTTTCTGGAATAATCATGTACGCCTGCGGGGAATGCTAATCACCGGACTGGGGCGACAACACCACGTTGACGGAAAAACTTGACATTCCTCTCGAAGCCGAAATCCAGCTATACTGTCCCAACAGTATACAATTTTGCTCATGCTGGCCAATCAAGTGGTACCAACGTCTACCGCAAGCCAACGTTATTGACGCGGCAAAGCAAGCACAAGTAAGCTAGACAGCAAGAAACGAGAAACACACAGTAAAAATAAACTCAGAGCCAAATAGGCCCGGAAAAAGAGACTGTAGGTTTTTGTGCTTAGCGATGCACCTTTTCTCTTTTACCGGCATTTTGTGAGAGGAAAAGGTAAAGTGTTCGGATCATGCCATGTCTTAATTGGATCAACGCAATTAATTGGCCCTGTGTAATGGCCAGGTCGCGCAATCCACGAGTCGAGAAGTTGCGATCAAAAATGAAGAATAAGGCATGAAGAAGAATATTGTATCTCATTAGACTACTTGTGTAATTATTCTGGGGCGAAGATTTGTAAAAGCCCAAAGATCGTTTATTTTGTTGGCGGATGATTGCTCTCCGAGAATTTTCTACAATGCGGTGTGCGTGTGCCGCTTTTGGGGGTGCGCCTGTCTGTGGATAAAAATATCTGTCTTTCCTTCTTTCTCCACTTTCTTGTTCTTCCACTAGAAATTACTTAGCGTCGTACAAGATGAAGAAGCACACCAAGACTCAATCCACATATGTATGTAGTAGACATTCTCGGCCGTCTCAATGTCTCGTCATTAACCGTGCCTTACTATCTTCCATCATGCAATCTTACTAACTTCAGGCTTTCGACAACACCGCAACCAATGTCGCTGCCTCCCAGATGCGGAATGCTTTGAATCGCTTGGCCGATACCGTGAAGGATCCTGAGCAGCAACGCCGTGTTGAAAACGAGTTGGATACGTTTTTCGCCTTGTTCAGAAGATACTTGACAGACAAGGCGTCGGGAAACACTTTGGACTGGGACAAGATCAAATCTCCTTCCCCCAGTGAAGTCGTGCAGTACAGCAGCTTGAAAGAGGAGCCCGAGAAGGAAACCGCTAACTTGGCCAAATTGGCCGTGTTAAAATTGAATGGTGGCTTGGGTACCTCCATGGGATGTGTGGGACCAAAGTCTGTCATTGAGGTGAGAGACGGAAACACGTTTTTGGACTTGTCTGTGCGTCAGATCGAGCACTTGAACAGAAAATACGACACTGATGTGCCTCTTCTTTTGATGAACTCTTTCAACACCGATGCTGACACCGCCAAGATCATTCAAAAATACCAGGGCCACAGAATCCGTGTGAGAACCTTCAACCAGTCGAGATTCCCTAGAATTTTCAAGGACTCTTTGTTGCCTGTTCCTGACTCTGAAGACGATGACTTGGAATGTTGGTACCCACCAGGACACGGTGACTTGTTTGAAAGTTTAGTGTCCTCGGGCGAGTTGGACTCTTTGTTGGCTCAAGGCAGAGAGATCTTGTTTGTCTCTAACGGTGACAACTTGGGTGCGACTGTGGACACCAAAATTTTGGACCACATGATCGAAACCGGTGCTGAATACCTTATGGAGTTGACTGACAAGACCAGAGCCGATGTGAAAGGTGGTACTTTGATCAACTACGAGGGTGAGGTCAGGTTGTTGGAAATTGCGCAAGTTCCTAAGGAACATGTGGAAGAGTTCAAGAGTATCAAGAAGTTCAAGTACTTCAACACCAACAACTTGTGGATCAACCTAAGAGCTGTCAAGAGATTGGTGGAATCCAACAGCATTGAGTCGGAGATCATTCCTAACCAAAAAACCATCTCCAAAGGCAACTCAGACATCAATGTGTTGCAATTGGAAACCGCTGTTGGTGCAGCCATCAGACACTTTGAAGGTGCACATGGTGTTGTTGTGCCTAGATCCAGATTCTTGCCTGTCAAAACCTGTTCCGACTTATTGTTAGTCAAGTCTGACTTGTTCTATCTCGAACACGGCGCCTTGAAGTTAGACCCAATTAGAGATGGCTTTTCGAACCCATTGATTAAGTTGGGCTCACACTTTAAGAAAGTGAATGACTTTCAAAAGAGAGTGCCTCATATGCCTAAAATTTTGGAGTTAGACCACTTAACCATCACTGGTAATGTTAGCTTGGGTAGAAATGTGACTTTGAAGGGCACTGTCATCATTGTTGTGAATGAAGGCGAGTCGATCGACATTCCAAATGGTGCTATTTTGGAAAACGTTGTTGTTACTGGAAACTTGCGTATCTTGGAACATTAGTTACGATAGTAGAACTAATAGACATAGTTCCGACATCTGATGTATTATGTTTGCACAGAGTGGTGAAGTACCGCTGGCACATTTTAAAGCAATTCCGTAATCGCAAATATTTCCATTAGTGTACTACGGATTACTGGATCTTAAGTTGTACAGTCGAAGATTTAAAAATGACTTCGTTATGTTAGTAAAGTATCCTTGCATTTTACAAAGCAGAAAAGAGATGAATTTCAAGGGTATTTGACTTGACAAGTCGTCTGGTCTCAGTTAAGTAGGAGGGTTTGATTGTGCGTCTCAGACAGTTCACGAATTATCGCGTTCGTACCGAAGTTTGAACAAAATGAGAGCACCTGAATCAAAACACATACTTCATTCACCTCTTCTTAAAAATCGAAAGTGACAATTTTTTTGCCTAATAAGCTTCCGAGGGTATCCACTTTGTTTTACATATCAGAGAGGCTATTAGTATAAAAAGTTAAATATTCAAGTGGACGTAAGATATCTTATAAACGAAAAGCAAGTGTTAGTAGGTGAATGAATGTATCGGAAAAATCGTAATGCATATGATCAAAGTAATACACTACCAAAAGAGCTCAAATTGGATAGAGAACGATGATCTAACCGACTACGAAAGTAAGTACGTTTTACATATTACCATATTCGTCTCATTATGCTCAGCTCAACTCAAAATTCGCGACAAAAAAACAGATGAGTTCCCCTTCGAAATTCTGTATTTCAGTTAACATGGAATACTAATACTGGCGACAATTCAAAGTAGTTTAAACTGTGATAGTTATACACATGGTTTAACCATCAACAAATGGCTCTGTGGCCGAGCGGTCTAAGGCGGCAGACTCAAGTTCTGTTATCGTAAGATGCGCGTGTTCGAATCACGCCGGAGTCATTACTTTTTGCACATCTATGCTCAGTCTTTTTATGTTCTCCAAAGTTGATAATACTCAATCTAAGTCAATCCACTTACTTTAGAAGAATAACAAACACATATACGTCTCAAATTTATTACGATTATATACAGTTACAGTGGCCGAGTGGTTAAGGCGACACCCTGCTACTAGCAGTTTAGGTGTTGGGCATTGCCTGCGCAGGTTCGAATCCTGTCTGTGACGTTATTTTTTGGTTTACGAATGTTATCATACTTTTCCCCAAGATGCAAATTAATTCAAGTTATATATATTGGTTGGGTGCCTAAGTTATTCTTAACCACACGAGCCTTTATTGTTTATTCCAACTTATACTTTGCTTCCGTATTCCCACAAATCGAATAGAAATCTATAGCGACTTGTAACCTTCTTACCATAGTCAATAATCAACCCCCTATTCGGCAGTAGAGCACTGCCTACGATGTCGTAGGCACACCAATAATCTTTTGCCAGTCCGAAAGTATTCAAATGGCGCCAAGCTTTAGTCTGTTCCCCAGCCATATTTGGATATGGCTCTTCCAACGGAATAGTTTGGAGAACAGACTGGATAAAAAGAAGATTCTTGGCAACGGTATTTTGTACTAGGGTGTGATCCAGTTTATTTGCGCCCGCACCAGATTCAACGTATTTTTGTTCCAAATCCTCTCGAAATTTTGGCAAAACACCATTATCGAGTTGATGAGACGTGACATAAATGAGTGTATAGTCGTCGACATCGGACAACTGGGCCCATGAACTCGAGCATAATTCTTGTGAGCTGCCCGAAACTTCTCTGTTACTGAATGGCGTAATCACGCCAGCAGCAACTGCAAACTTCGAGTTAAAGTTGACCTTCTGAACTGTGCCCGAAAGCTCTTGTCCAAGCCACATTATTTCAGGATTTAATTCTCCTGAGAAATCATATTTAGGTTTTAATACACCATAAAACGGTAAAGCCGATGAGATGAGGAGACCAGGTAACGTTTTAGTTTTATTTAAAAGCATGAAGGAAGGATCCGCAAGTCTGGTAAAACCTTTTTCTCTTACCCAGCTTGTATGCTGAGTTTCCGGAACATGGAGTCCGAAAAATTGTTTGTCATAATCATTAACACCCGCATATCGATTGATTAGCTGCTTGACGTCATAGTATCCCGCTGGAGGTTTCTGAGGCTTGAACTCCAACAGAGATCTTTCTTTGAAGAAAAGGGTACCATGTTGCTTGTATCCATCGTTTTCAAATAGAGATTCCAAGTTCTCTTTCAAGGGAATCGTTCTCGGAGAAATCATCATAACTTCTTCAAAAGAATTGAAGATGTTGGACAAAACCAACATGAGACTGTCGCTTACTTGAAGTGAGTTAACTAGGGTTGGATCTAAATTGACGAACCTGATATTTTGAGCTGGCCATTCAAACAGTGTATTTGCAATTCCATTCAAGTTAGCATATTCGACTTGAGAATGGGGAACGACATCCAAAGGGTCTTTTGCAGCATTCCGAAGTGAGTCCTCGGTTGCTTTATTGATAAACTTTTCTCCAACGTATGTAATTTCGATCGGAAGTTTATTTTGCAAAGCGCGAAGCACATAAATTAAGCCTTTAGTATTCCGCAACTGAACTGATTTCTCTTGATGGGGGAAAAGCGGGATCACGATTCCCTTTCCTTTCAGTGTCTCCTTAAGCTGGGCTAAAAGAGATTTTGTAGACGCCATGGCTAATTTTCGATCCACAGTGGGCATGGAGCCCAGAAACCACGGAAGTAACTTCCCAGTAAGACTCTTGGAATGAGCATCGTCACTTAAGATAGTACATTTCTCGTCTGTGAGACAATTTCCAAAAGTACGTAGATGATTGAGATCATGAATAAAACCCTTCTCGAAGAGACTCAATTTTCGCAATTCGTCGTAGTAAAGTTTCTCCAAGATCTTCATGTGGCCATCGTTCAAACGGATTCCCTTATCCCTGAGCCTTCTCCGGTAGTGTTTCTTCTCTTCTGCTATCCAGCGCTTTTTCTTATACAAGAGCGGTGTGAAAACGGTCTTGCGAACTTCTTCAAATCCCGGTAAAGTCCGATGCGGGAGCAACTTCTCAAGCCGATTCAAGTAGTCATCACATCTAGAAAGTTTGCTCTTCAGTGGAGTATGTTTAGCCCAAGAATCGTAGATGGGATTTTTGAAAGTGTTTCTTTCTTGGGCCAACGTGACAGGTTTAACAAGGACGTCGCGTGGTTTGACGTAATTCAATGTGAAGAAAACCAACATGCTAAGGGCCAATACGAAAGCCAAAAGAACGCTTTTTTTCAAGCGAGGTTGAACTCCTCGAAGCATTTTGGCGACGTAGCAGTATGTAGTTTAAGGAAGAGTGGCTGTGGAAGCGTGTGCATTTACCGCGATCAAAAGATAAGTTGTACTATTATGGAGGTGCAGAATGAGAACTCCACCAAAGCAGATGATACTACGTTAATTTTATGTAATTTGCAAGTCGCCAAGGTCCTCACGTAGACCCAGGACATCTGGGGATTCACCTTTGGGGACATCGGCGGCCCGATCTAACCGAGGACTCGCGACTTCAAGGTGGCCAGCACTCAACGGAGTCATTCCGTCAAAGTCGAATCCTGGAGCGACTTTCATTTGCAGTTTCTTCAACCACTGCGTGTAGTTGACTGACGCTTGCGTTTGCAGCTCCAGATGAAGATTGTTCTGCTTGATATTCTTCAACTGCTCTATCCATTGCTCGAGTTCTTCCTTCTTCAAGGCAACTTTCGGGGGAATCACGCTCCCAGGAAGTGTGGCTAGTAACTTCCCGTAGTTTGTATTGAGCGAAACGGGTTTTGGCGGCTGGAAGGCCGGATTGCGAATCAACGGCACTTGTTGGAGGAAAGGATCGGCTGTATGTTAGAACACGCGTTCATATAACGTTCTTGAAAAGCGGTTGGCAGTCCAAGACAAATTTGGAGTCGCTTTACTTACGGGCATCTGTGTCTTCCATTGAAGTATAATGTAGTTATCAACGAAACGACTATCAAATGTAATAGCGATAATGAAGATCGGTGCGCACTTGCACTTCACATACATTCAGCCTCAATTCTGCGAACGAACTAGGTTGACTAGAATTTCTTTTCACTGCAGCATTTGAGGACGACGGAAAACGTTTCAAACAGGCCCACACGACGGATTTTGCTCATTTGAAAAATCCTATATAGTGTCGACGCCTAATACTGAGAGACTGTCCACAATATCATCCTTGAAACAATTCTTGAATAACGAACGAATCGAAGTTCGTTTGATATAGGCTCTACCAATTATTATTTACACAGATATGACTTCAGGCTTTTCTTAAGCTAGATCTGAGAGATACATCTACCGCGTGCTACTTATAGGCTGGTTAAGCGTCGGGACTATATGACCATTGAAGATGGGCGAAAACCGAGATCGATTCAAGTACTTCATACATTCACTCGTTACACTCGTTGAATAAGCTTGAACAATCAGTGATAGTCATAAGTGCGACAGTATTCTCGGCCTAACTTCCATGATGCTGTGTGGTTGTGCTACAGCAAAAACCCTTATGATGACTTCATTCTATATTACACACGAGAGCCCGCCTAGTTGTCTTTGTAGTGGCGAATCAAAATGTAAGCGTTCTCTTGCTTCAAGCTGGACAAGGACCGATAGCCACCCTCCAAGCGCATCAACAAACCACCAAAAGAGATGTAAACTGCCATCTTGTCATTGTCCGAGCTTTCTTCGAATTTGTAGACAGTGCCGTACATCACGTAGTCGTAGTCGTCAGCCAAAGATCTGTCGCCTCTCTTAGGAGGTCTCCATGAACCGTTGGAGGTCAACATAGAGGACTCGTTACCCAAAGAGGAAGCCAAAGCGATCGTAAGAGAGTCATTGTCCTTGACTGGAAACAACTCTCTATTTATGTCCAATGTGATTTTGATGTCCTGCGAAGTGGAGGACTGAGCCTCTATACGGCTAACTTTGTTGTATCTCGCATTGTCGATAGACTCGACATTGAACATGTCCTCAAACAAAATCCCCGACATGGCTAATGTTGACCTTTGTTGCAGAGATGAGAAAGAAAAATGAAAATGGTGGAGCTGCGCGCGCACGTGACCATACAGCCAAAGCTCACTTTTCACTCAGTGGATCCAAAGGCACGGGCCTGTATCTGGCGCACTTAGTTAACCGTTTTGGGAATCAGGTAAATACACTCTGGTTTCTTCGCTTCCTTCCCTTCATCGCTCAGATTTCATTTGCTTCCGCCTCCATCTTCTGCTGAAAATGAATGAAAAGACTGTCTCGAGGCAATCACTGTCTAAGATGCTCAAACGTTTTACGTTTTTTAGTGCCCTTCTTCTCTTTGTCGGGTTGGTTTTGTTTTTCTACCCTCAGTCCGAACTGGGTTTGCGCCCATGGAACGGCGATATGGGATCACAAGCAGAAGTAGCTTTTGGTGCAAAACGGGAATATGTGCTCAGGAGAGACGACAACAAGGATGATAAGAAAGACGACAAGAAAGACGACAAGAAAGACGACAAGAAGGACGACAAGAACGATAACAAGGACGATAACAAAGACGACAAGAAGAAGTCAAAACATAAGGAGTTCACCAAATCTACAGGCTTCAAAATTTTGGTCGCCATCGGGGTTTTTGTCGCTCTCAATGTGGTAACTATCACTATCCATCACATGGTGCAAAAAGTGAGCCGGTCTACCAATCTGTACCGTTCGATGGATCATGTTGTGTCTCCATTTTAAACTTCTTTCATGGTAAAGTGACCAATGAACTGAATCTACGCAAAGGAAGACTAAGATCAAGATTACTTCCTGGTGCATTGACAGTCTGGTGATCATTCGTACGGTCAAAACCTCACGTGTCATCTCCAAGAAACGGCCTTCTTAGTTTTTATGAATAAGTTCCCTGCAACACTCGTTGCAGAGAAACAGAAGGGTTTTTAACATTGAACCTGAAATTCATTTGGAGACGTTTTCATACATAACATTTCCCCAATTTCACTGCAGCCATTTTCAGTGAGACCCCTCCATATTTGTTTTCCGTGCATATACACTAACTCCAAATGTCCCCTTACAAGCTAGCATCGGTTATTTATGAATCAACCACATCTCAGATCCCGTATTTTATCTTAGTAAATTTCTTAGCGCCATGTAGTGCGCATATGCTTGCTTCGCACATCGGTAAAGTCCGAGAAAGATAAAGCAAGCTCGAGCATTATAAAAAAGGACTAGCCACCCCGCTTGAAAATTTTTTCCCTCCCAGTACATACTTCCAATGGCAGAGGTTAGCCGAGTGCGCAAAGTTATCCAAGTCTCTTGTGCTATCATCTGGTGCTTGTTAGCCGCTGGCCCAGTTTTTGGATTCGCTGCTATCAAGCCGATATTGTTGAAAGAGGGTGTCTACAGCGAGAAATGTGATATCAAAGTGAACTCGTCCGGACACCCTGTGTCTTGCGTGGCCCAAGATTTGTCCTTGAATTTTCTTTTTACTGTGGCATGCATGGTTACCAACATTTCAGCTCTCCCTGTTGGTTCATTACTAGATGAGTACGGACCAAAAGTTTCAGGAATCATTGGCTCCTTTATCATCTTTTTGGGTGCCACCACATTGCTGTTTGCCAAATCGATCTCTTTTATTGATGGGTACCTTTGTGGATATACATTGTTGGCTTTGGGCGGTCCGTTTGTGTTCATCTCATGTTTCCAGTTGGCAAACAGCTTTCCCAAAAACTCTGGGCTCATTTTGGCTCTCTTGACCGGAGCATTTGACTCGCTGTCTGCATTGTTTCTCGTTTACAGACTTATTTACACCAATGTGACCCACTTGTCTGTCCACCAGTTTTTCCTTTACTACTTAGTGGTGCCTATTTTCATTTTCCTTTGTCAAATCACCATTATGCCTACCGACTCTTACAAAACTGTGGGCACGTTGGCAAAGATTGCAGAAACAGCCATCGACGAAACCGGAAAGCCTTTGGATAAGGATTTGCTTATTCCATCTGACAGAAACACAGCAGATGATACTGCAGTGTACTACCAGCCCACTGTTGGAGAAACCACGTCTCTTCTCATTAGAAGAGGATCTTATACTTCATTTGCCGACAGAAGAGACTCTACTATACTGCGTGCTTCACGGTGCTCGGTGAAATCTGTGTACGAACAACAGGCTGAAGACAAATTGTACGAATCTACTGGAGGCGTTTTTGGCGTGATGCACGGCTATACAATAAATGAGCAATTGAAGTCTCCCTGGTTCTTGTTGATGACAGTCTTCACTACCATTCAAATGCTTCGAATCAACTATTTTGTCGCCACTATCAGAGCGCAAGAATTGTATCTTTACGGAGACGAAGAGATTGCTACAAAGATTAACCACTTTTTTGACTTTGCCTTGCCATTGGGCGGACTAGTAGCGATCCCATTTATTGGCTTGATATTGGACAACTTGACCACGGTAAGTGTTTTGAGAATCCTTTCTGCCATTTCCATTACCATTGGTGTTCTTGGCTGTTTGTCGTGGCTTCCTGCGACGTATCTTGGGATTCTTCTTTTGGTGGTCTATAGACCCTTCTATTACACAGCAGTTTCTGACTTCTGCGCCAAAGTTTTCGGCTTCGAAACTTTTGGTACAGTCTATGGCACAATCATTTGCTTTTCAGGTTTGTGCAATATCTTGCAACAAGTCATGGACAGTATCACACACAATTACCTTAATATGAATCCAATCCCAATTAATGCGCTTTTGACCGGCTTGACAGTGGTTTTCGCCTTTGCCATAGTGCGTTTTGTCACTTCGCAAGAAACTTCTATGCGCAGACAAAACTTGGAGATCGAAGCGCAAGAGGCTTCGATTGGTTCAGTACCTCATTAAAGACATTTCTTCCGCTTTCTCTTGAGGATATGTCTACTTTCGCTCTCATTTCAAAATAATCCATGTTAATAATATACAAATACCAGTGCGTTTAGTAGAGTTTGCGGCGGGTTTTCCTCTGCGCTTTCAAGTCATCCGCCGCCAAATCAGGATCCAAAGATGCCAACTCGGGAATGCCACTCACATGTGTCTCTGGCAGGTCCTGATTTCTTGAATCAGAAACGTTTGTTTCTGAATTAGCCTTCTCAATATCGTAAGGCAAAGCCTCATCGTCAGGAATCTCAAACTGTACTTCTGCGTCTTCGTTCAGCATTCTTACTTGGCCGACTTTTTCTTTGAAGCTTTGTCTTCCTTTTCGATTTGTCTTCTCGAACCTTTAATAAGTTCCAAATGACCAACTCTGCTAGCAATCAACTTTTCTGTCCCGATAGAAGAACCCACAGATTGCTTCAACTTAAAAGCTTGTTTAGCTGTGGCTTTCTTGGGTTTAAGAATCAAAGGGGCAGCTGCTCGCAAGTTAGATTGCTTTTTTGTGACTCTGCCTTTGGCCTTGGACTTCAACTTAAGGTTTCCCTGAGCCATTATCAAGAAGAGCTAGTTGGAGAACGAGATGAGATGAATTGGTGCAGGACCTTTGGGCGTTTCTTGGACCCGATGAGATTGAGCACGGTCCTTGGTAAGGGAACATTTCACCTCAATATGAATCATTTATTATTGAATTTATTGATGTGATAAAGTTATCCTGTCATCACTATTCATTTATCCCCAGTACCTTCGAAGTCTGTTTCTGTAATGTTCGTACATTCGTTCGTTAAACTTGTTTGACCTGATTAGGTTCAAAATTCCTTGTCTTCACCGATCTCTTACTTTGTACTAAACACTTTGTCTATACACCAATCATACAATATCACATTTACTCATGTGGAGTTGTTCAAGATCTTCACATCACCATATCATCTCATCATTCATCAATGAGTGCGCATAATTAATTGACTCTGACTCTGTCGCGATAGAAAAACGCTTCAATTTCCTGCGTGGGTTTTTCGTCCTTTCACCTCCAGGTCTATTTAGCGTTTTAGCAAATACAAACTTGACTCGAAGCAAATCTTGAGCGACGCTGCTGCCTCAAGATCTCTTGCCCTGTCTGAACCCATATGAGTGACAGTTTTCTTATTTTGCCGGGCCCAAGCGCCTTGTCTCGCTTCAGAGTCAGCACCTTGGTCCAGGAGCTTGAAAAAAAATTGGGCCACGCTGGTGTCATCTCCGATGTGAGTTCCGCCTACACCCACTATGTGTCGTTGAAAAAAGACTTGACCGCTGCGCAATTGAAGTTGGTGGAGATTTTGTTGACATATGATTCTCCAGTCGATGTGACTGTGGAGTCGAACAAATTGTTGCAACAGTTGGCTGTCGTTTCGGGCGACGCCGTTGACACCGCTGAGTTTGCGCCTTTGGAAGAGAAAAACGCCGTCTTGGTGCGTGTTTTGCCCAGAGCAGGCACCATCTCTCCTTGGTCTTCTAAAGCCACAGATATTTCTAATATCTGTGGTTTGGGCGACTTTGTCGAGCGTATCGAGCGTGGAATGTCTTTGTTGATCACTGCGAAGCCTGGATTTCCATTGCTTCAGCACTTGCGTGAGCTGAAGGGCGAATTGTTGACTTCAGTCTTCGATCGCATGACCCAGACTTTGTTCTTTAATGAAGATGCTCCTCACCACGATGATTTGTTTGCCCACCATTCGCCCAAACCTTTGGTTGAAGTGGACATCTCGGGAGACAAGTTGGTGCAAGCTAACAAAGACTTGGGATTGGCATTGGACCAAGGTGAAATCGATTACTTAATCCATGCTTTCAACACAGTTATTGGAAGGAAACCAACTGACGTTGAACTTTTCATGTTTGCCCAGGTCAACTCCGAACACTGTCGTCACAAAATCTTCAATGCGGATTGGACCATTGACGGTGTAAAGAAGGACATGTCTTTGTTCCAAATGATTCGTAACACTCACAAGAAAAATCCACAATATACCGTTTCCGCATACTCTGATAATGCTGCGGTTTTCGAGGGTCCTTTGGGTTACGTCTTCACCCCAGATTTCAAGACAAAGGAATGGAAATCTATCCGCGAGAATGTGTTCACCTTGGTGAAAGTCGAAACCCACAATCACCCTACTGCTGTTTCTCCTTTCCCGGGTGCTGCCACAGGTTCTGGTGGTGAAATTAGAGATGAGGGTGCTGTTGGTCGTGGATCTAAGTCCAAGGCTGGCTTGTCTGGATTCTCTGTTTCTGACTTGAACATTCCTACATTACCCCAACCATGGGAAAGAGACGTAGGAAAACCTGACCACATTGCTTCTGCTTTAGATATTATGATTGAGGCTCCAATCGGCTCTGCTGCGTTTAACAACGAGTTCGGTAGACCTGCTATCAATGGTTATTTCCGGACTTTGACCACTGAGGTCAAAAACCACAATGGCGATCCAGAGTTGAGAGGCTTCCATAAACCAATCATGTTGGCAGGTGGTATGGGTGCTATTCGTCCAGATTTGGCATTGAAAAACACAAAGATCACTCCTGGAGCTCACCTTATTGTTCTCGGTGGCCAATGTATGTTAATTGGTTTGGGCGGAGGTGCTGCATCTTCTGTTTCTTCTGGTGAGGGTTCGGCCGACTTGGACTTTGCATCCGTTCAACGTGGAAACCCAGAAATCCAAAGAAGAGCGCAACAGGTTATCGACGCTTGTGTTTCGCTTGGCGCAAAGGGAAACCCAATCCAATCCATTCATGATGTTGGAGCTGGTGGATTGTCTAACGCTTTGCCTGAGTTGGTCCATGACAACGACTTGGGTGCCCAATTCGAGTTGCGTCTGATCTTGTCCTTGGAACCTGGAATGTCTCCTATGGAGATCTGGTGTAACGAATCTCAAGAAAGATACGTTTTGGGAGTGGCTCCAGAAAACCTCGAGTTGTTCAAGGGTATTTGTGAAAGAGAAAGAGCTCCTTTTGCCGTCGTCGGAACAGCCACAGAAGAACAACGCTTGGTTTTGCACGACTCGCTTTTGAAGACCACTCCAATTGACTTGGACATGTCTGTTTTGTTCGGAAAGCCACCCAAGATGGCCAGAACTGCCCTCACGCAAAACTTGCGCTTGGAGCCATTCTCTACTGCAAACTTGGACTTCAGCCAAGCCGTTGAACGTGTCTTGCAGCTCCCAGCTGTGGGCTCCAAGAACTTCTTGATCACCATTGGTGACCGTTTTGTCACCGGTTTGGTTGATCGTGACCAAATGGTTGGACCATGGCAAGTCCCTGTTGCCGATGTTGGTGTGACAGCAACTTCGCTCGGTGAAACCGTTGTCACCACAGGAGAAGCCATGGCTATGGGTGAAAAACCGACTTTGGCCTTGATTTCCGCATCGGCATCAGCAAAGATGTGTGTGGCTGAATCGTTGCTCAATGTTTTTGCTGCCCATATCCCAGCCATTGACACAGTGAAGTTGTCTGCTAACTGGATGTCCGCTGCTCTGCATGATGGAGAGGGTGCCAAGTTGTACGAAGCTGTGCAAGCAGTGGGCTTGGACTTGTGTCCAGATTTGGGTGTAGCAATTCCTGTCGGAAAGGACTCCATGTCCATGAAGATGAAGTGGGACAACAAAGAAGTTGCTGCACCTTTGTCTTTGTGTGTGACGGCGTTTGCCCCTGTTGTGAATACTTCTCACACCTGGACTCCTCAACTTAAATTTGTTGGCGAAGACACAGTGTTGGTGTTGGTGGATTTGGCATCTGATGTTTCCAAAGCATTGGGTGGCTCTGCATTGGCCCAAGTTTACCAGCAAGTTGGCGATTCCGCTCCAACAGTACGTTCGCATGCACTTTTCAAGGGTTTCTTGAATGCCTTGATTGCTTTGCACAAAGACTTGGATGTCTTGGCTTATCACGACCGTTCTGAAGGTGGTTTGTTCACCACCGTTGTTGAAATGGCTTTTGCTGGCCGTTGCGGACTTGATTTGAACGTTTCGAGCAAAGAAGATGCGTTGACTTCTTTGTTCAACGAGGAGCTTGGTGCTGTTTTCCAGATTCGCTCATCTGACCTTGAGAAGTTTTCGGAAATTTTGGCTTCTCATGGCTTGGACGAGAAATACATTTCCGTCATTGGTAAGCCACAAAAGGCTCAAACAGTCTCCGTGAAGGTTAATGGAGAGGTTGTGTATGAAAACACCAGAGCGGAGTTGCAAAAGTTGTGGAGCAACACATCTTATCACCTCCAGAAATTGAGAGACAATCCCGAAACCAGTGAACAGGAATACGCTTCTATTTCTGACGACAACGACCCTGGTTTGTCTTATCAATTGACCTTTGACCCAAAAAGCATTGGTGTTCCAGCTGGTTCCAAAAAGCCTAAGGTGGCCATTTTGAGAGAGCAAGGTGTCAATTCTCAACAAGAAATGGCATGGTCATTCCAACAGGCCGGTTTCGAAGTTTACGATGTGCACATGTCTGACATTTTGAGCGGAAGAGTCACTTTGGACCAATTTACCGGTATTGCGGCGTGCGGAGGCTTTTCTTACGGTGATGTTTTGGGCGCCGGTGCTGGCTGGGCCAAATCTGTTTTGTTCAACGACGTGGCCAGAAACGAGTTCAAAAAGTTCTTCCAGGACAGAAACGACACTTTCGCAATTGGTGCATGCAATGGTTGTCAGTTTTTGAGTCGTATCGCGGAGTTGATTCCAGGTACGGAACATTGGCCAACATTCGAGAGAAACTTGAGTGAGCAGTACGAGGCTAGATACGTCATGGTTGAGGTTGACCAGAACAATAACTCGATCTTTTTGCAAAAGTTGAAGGGTTCTAAACTTCCAATTGTCGTTGCTCATGGAGAAGGTAGAGCATCTTTCAAGGACGGGGCCACTCAAGAGTCTTTCCAAGCAGACAAGCAGTCGGTTATCAGATACATTGACAACTACGGTCAGACGGCCAAGACTTACCCATTCAATCCAAATGGTTCTCCTGATGGCATTGCGGGTATTTCTAACGCTAGTGGACGTGTTTTGGCTATGATGCCTCACCCAGAGAGAACTACCCGTTTGGAGTCCAACTCGTGGTACCCTGCAGAAAAGTATGCCGAGTGGGAAGGCTATGGGCCATGGATCGGCTTGTTCAGATCGGCAAGAGAATGGGTCGGGGACAACTTTTAAATAGATTAATTAATACGAATGAATAGCAGGAAGCATTATGTCAAGATAAAATCGCAAGGTTGAGAGATAAGATACAACAAAGCATGCATGAACCGGCGTCAATACTTACTATTGGAAGTATTCGAGGATGAAATCAAGGGGAAAATAGCACTAATATTCTAATTAGTGTCTTCAAAGGAAGTCGAGATTAGCATTCATTCGGCTGTGGCCCAAATTATTACTTTTGTGCTTCCCGTAAACTAGACAGCGAATTTGCGGGCATGAAGATTACAGCTACTCAAAAAGCTTTCTATCTCTATAGATATCAGCTGCTTACTTCGAATATCTTCAGCAATATTGAGGAGACCTAATAGTGTAGTTACTATTCTGTAGTCTGTACAGAGGTAGTTCTCCAGTCCAAATTCACGTGACTTTTATCACTTTCACACGACCAGCTGTGAAAAAGTGTTGACTGGGTCGTGTACGGACACAAACGCACTCCAGCGGTGCAAAATTTTTCAGCCTGTGTGAAAAAAAAAGTTTCTTCTTTTCTTAACTCAAACAACAATGTCTGCTCAAACCCAAAGAATCTTGTCCAAGAAGAGAAAGTTGGTCGCTGACGGTGTCTTCTACGCCGAATTGAACGAATTCTTCACCAGAGAATTGGCCGAACAAGGTTACGCTGGTGTTGAGGTCAGAAAGACCAACACCAAGACTGAAGTCATTGTTAAGGCTTCTAACACCCAAGGTGTTTTGGGTGAGCAAGGTAGAAGAATCCACGAATTGACTTCTTTGATTGTCAAGAGATTCAAGTTGCCTCAAGACGGTATTGTCATCTACGCTGAGAGAGTTGAAGAGAGAGCTCTTTCTGCTGCTGTCCAAGCCGAGGCTTTGAAGGCTAAGTTGTTGAGTGGTTTGCCAATCAGAAGAGCCGCTTACGGTGTCTTGAGATTCACCATGGCTGCTGGTGCCAAGGGTGTTGAGGTTGTCATTTCTGGTAAGTTGAGAGCTGCCAGAGCCAAGTCCCAAAAGTACGCTGACGGTTTCATGATCCACTCTGGTCAACCAACCAGAGAGTTCATTGACACTGCCATCAGACACGTTTTGATGAGACAAGGTGTTTTGGGTATCAGAGTCAAGATCATGAGAGACCCAGCTAAGAACAAGTTCGGTCCAAAGGCTTTGCCAGATGCTGTCATGATTGCTGAGTACAAGGAGGAGGACGAGTCTGTTCCAGCTCCAACTGTCAAGGTCTACAAGCAAGCTGAGCCAGCTGCTGCCGAGGCCACTGCTTAAACTGTTTAATCTCTGTTTAATACATGTCGATCGGAATGTCTTGTAATCATAACCTGTAGAATATGCTAAACGATGTGTGGGCATGTCTAGTAGACAATTTAGATCTTATCTAAGCAAAGAGCATAGGCTGCATGTCGCCGAATCAGCCCAACGCAAGATTTATGCAATGTCGTTTAGATTGTCCCTTACAGCTTGAACAAGTTTCTGGTTGATACAAAGAAAGGAAGTACCCCTTTTAGTGCATGATGGAACGACTTGTACGCAAATTTTCAATCTCTAACTTCACAGTTGGATGAAGAATAGAAACATCTTCAACGATAATTAAATCTTGGACTGATGTTATCGGAGATGCTTTCGTGGTGTGGCTTATACAAACGGATAAAAAACAATAGCATTCCCCTGAACTAATCGTACACAACAGAACTTTCTTCGTAAGAAAGTTAATGTGTTAACATCAAAAAAATTAATGCAAATTATAGAGCTTTCTACGCGAATACGCCCCAGCCTGACGCAAGTTTTTTTTTTTTTTTTTTTTTTTTTTTTTTCTCATCCTATCTTGGCGCGGTGACTAATGTGTCTGCGTGTCTTGTGCCATTTTTGTGTGAATCAACTTCAAACCAGCTTTATAAGATTCCGAACTGTTTTTGAACACTGTTTCGTCGCAGCTACTGGAATTTTTGCTCATGCTTAAGATCTACACTTTTGGTGTGGAAAATCATCCGGAAAAGCCACACTTAGCATGTTAGGAGGCGATTTCCATCCGCAATATTCGAGTACGCTTCCATCATTCTTCATCCATTACGTAACTCTGTGATATATTATTTTTCGTATCCACCTGCTCGTAGCTCACTATTGTTTTCTTATCCCTGTCGTATTTTCCTCAATTTGTACGATCCATCAGCAGATTGTATGCTGATTAATGTGAAAGTCCTGCACATGTTGCATTTTGGTCGGCTCATGCTGTCGTATTTTTCGGAGTTGTGCACACAATAGGTCATTCAAATGCGGCGCATCTGTGACGCATCTATCATTTCGGTCCGAGGACCTTTTAACCCCTAAACCAAGCCAAAGCAACTTAGCAAAAACTTTCGGGTTCTTCCCAAATTTATTATTCGTAGACGTGCAAGAGTAATAAAAGACTCTGCAAAAACTTTTGTCGGAAAAATGAGGGGCAAAAATGAGGCTTGACGTCACTTCGGATGAGGGGAGCGGAGTATCATTTCGGAGTTACCCCAGAATATGCGCGATCCGCAGCTCCGTCGGAAGTACATGTCCAGCAGTCTATAAAAGAGACTTGCCATCTCCCCCGTTTCCCATTCTTTTTTTTTTCCTCATCCTCCAAGTTCTATCTCAGCTACTTCAATACACTGCTGAAATACCTATCGAAAAACAAATTGATTACTTCACTGAATAACTCCTTGAAAGCAAACTCGCATACAAACAACAATACAATGTCTACCCCAATGAAGTTTTTGGAATTATCTAACAAGGTGTCCGAGCCATTTGTGATCCCTAATGTGTCTCCAACCTCGCCACCTTTGGCTCCATCTGACTCGCAAGCCCCAAGCCCTGTGCTTGATTCGACTATCTGTAGAGACAGACAGATTTCGATTGTGGAACTCAACTAGAGTTCTTATGGGATAAGGGATGGTTACGACTTCAGTTCTTGCTAGCTATTTAACACAATATTATTAGTCTACATATTTATTTAACGACCATTTTATGAACTCTTTTTGTAGTTGCGGCTAAAAGGCTTCGAAAACGTACTGTCATCCGGTGGGCCGACGCTCGGTTCCTTTCGGCTAATCTAGCGCATACGCAAATGCCCCACGTATGCCATTTCGAGTTTTGCTATAATTGGTGATTACCCAGAATCCATGCCTGTGGTAGTGTTTTACATTTCACTTACTATATTGTTACTTGTTCATAAGTATCGTGAAATATCCAAACTATGTAATACGGGCGAATATCCGCTGTTCCGAAAAGTATATCAGCATATAAAATTTGTTATATTCCGTTAACAATCTGGATAAGCGACAATGGAAGTTGATCTTTCCCTTTTGTTATCAAGACTTAGAAAAGAGGATAGAACTCATTGTATTTCTTACCGTAGTAAGCAGTAGACAAACCGCCCAAAGCAAGCAACACCAAAGGAACAGGCTTCTTGAAGTTTGTAGATGAAGACCTGCTGAAACCTGCAACAAGCAAAGTGGATGAACAGCCCAAAGCCAATTCCAAACCCCAGTCGGCGTTGTTCTTCAACAAGTAACCAGCAACTCCATACAATGCGCCAAATGCAATGCCGGCAACCAAAGAAGGCTTTGAGTTTTTACGGAGATATCCCATTGTGCCTCCAACGAGGCACAAACCAGACAATGTGAAAGCAGGGTGTTCCATGGTTGAAATTTACTAGACGAGGATGTTAGAATTTCCGAATGAGAATGTTTGTCAGCAAATGGTGCGGTCGTGCATTCACCGATCTCCGTGTCGAAGCACATTCTACCAAATTGCCCGTGGAGACGTACTGGGAGAGACTCCCAGTCCAACAGTCCCAAGTACAACAACTACATACATAAAAGCAGGCATCTCTATGGCCAACCCTATGGGTGGTAGCGATGACGTGATTCACGTGATCATGATCACGTGATGTGAACCATTTACACCCATTTGGTTGTTTTGTCCAATCCGTTGCCTGGATCGAATGATATTGGAACCAGCGTCTTTTTGTGCTGCCATCATTTTTCCCCACAAGTAGCGTACCCCTGTAACCCTGAAATTGGAGACGTGTGAAACTGTGCACCCGTACACCACGGCTTTTGGAAACGCGACTTCGAGTGGAGCGGGTGGATATCATCGTCCATCATAGGCCCGAATGGCGAGACTCACCAATGGGGTGCCGCAGCAACTAACACTACGCCACGTTTTCGGCCCAACAACAACAAAAACACAAACAAAAAATTACATCCACTTCGGGATACACGTAGAGTGACACTATCTAGTTGACGTAAACCCACCCAAGGCCAATATTTTGGCGATGGGTGGTGAGATATTAAAAGTGAGAACTACTCTAAAGATACTGCTACCGCATAATATTAGAGTGCGCTCAACAGAGAGCGCTCTACAAAGCAGGAGGAAAAAAAAAAGACCTCGACAAAAAAAAAACCACTCCCCTTTCTAGTTTCTTGTCTATCTCCTCCCACCCCCATACTTCCTATCATAGACTAAGCACCGATTTTTTCTAGCCGATATTTCTGCCCTTGTCCCGATTCTAAACTAGTGTCCAAATTGTTTTTCGGCGCCCATGAATCTACAATCCATCCTTTCCGAAAACACGCCGCCTCCTGCTGCCTACTCCCATAACAATGTGCCCCACAGTAATCCATCGAGCTTGGGTCCAACGAAAGGCACCGCTTCGGCACCATACTTGGCCAATGGTATGTCCGAAGATCCGGCGCTTTTCTCCCACGTCGATCTGAGCTATTTGAAAGACTTTGAAGACCGGGTCACGGTTCTTACTAGACTCGATCATGCTATGGCTCGGGCACAGAATCTTTCCATTATCGCTGCTGAGCGTGAACGTTTGACGTCTGCCATTAGCAGAAACGAGTCTTTCGCCTCCAATTACATGGACAGAATGGTTATGGAAGATGTTTTGGCTGATCCTAATGCGTCTCGATCTCTTCGAACGATCAACTGGGGTTCTACCAGAACACATCCCGATGAATCAGAGTTGGAAGCTAAGAGACTTCTGCTCGTGGAAAATGCTGCTGCACTTCTTCTGGCCGATCTCAAAGACGATGGCGATCTTGTGGATGATGCGACTGGTCTGAAAAGAGCTGCCTCTTTTGAAGCTAACGATACTAAGAGACGGAAAGCTGACGATGATGGTATTGACAAATCTCGCTCGCGTGACGCCAAAGAAAACGGTAGACTCCGCATTAAGATGTCATTGAAAGAGGCTGAGAATGCTGCGGAATCTTCTCCTGCTGCTGATGCGAAGTCGTCTCCAACAAAGACAAAGGAGTTGAAGTCTGTGATGAAACAATACGATAACACTTTTGTCGCCATTTGGAAAGATATGTCCAGAAAAGATGGTCCTAAGGTGTCTCGATTAATGCAACAAAGCAACCAGGCCAAATTGATAAACTTGAAGAAAACAGCCATTTTGGCATCAAGAGAAGCCAAACGTTGGCAGTTGAAAAATAATAAGAACCAGAAGGATTTGACTTCAAAAGCCAGACGTGCCATGAGAGAAATGTTCAATTTCTGGAAGCGTAATGAAAGGCTTGAAAGGGAAGCCCGCAAAAAGCATGAGAAGGAGATCATGGACAAGGCCAAGAAAGAAGAAGAAGACCGTGAAGCAAAGAGACAATCGAGAAAGTTGAACTTCTTGATCACACAGACAGAGTTGTATTCGCATTTCATCAGCAAAAAGATCAAAACAAGCGAAATTGAAGGTTCTGATTCGGATCCAAATTTGAAGGCTGCAAATGGCTCGAGTCATTTGGATAAATACCATGGCGTCGAAGGGGCTGCTACGGACTTCAACTCTATCGATTTTGATGATGATGACGAAGAAGCGTTGCACAGAGCTGCTGCTGCTAACGCACAAAATGCATTAAACAGTGCCAAATCCAAGGCTGAAGCTTTTGATGACGATCCATTCCGTAACCCAGATACCAATGGTGAGGAAATGAACTTCCAGAATCCTACATTAATTGGAGATATGAGTGTTACTCAGCCAAAAATGTTAAAGTGTACGTTAAAGGAATATCAAGTGAAAGGATTGAATTGGCTAGCAAACTTGTATGAACAAGGTATTAATGGTATTTTGGCCGATGAGATGGGTTTGGGTAAAACCGTTCAAAGTATTTCTGTCTTGGCGTATTTGGCCGAGACGCACAACATATGGGGTCCATATTTGGTAGTGACCCCCGCATCCACATTGCACAACTGGCAACAGGAAATCTCCAAGTTTGTTCCAGAGTTCAAAGTTTTACCGTACTGGGGTAATGCTAAAGATCGGAAGGTTTTGAGAAAATTTTGGGACAGGAAGAGTGTCAGATATGGAAAGGATGCGCCATTTCATGTGTTGGTGACGTCCTATCAGTTGGTTGTTGCCGACGCGCCATACTTCCAGAAGATGAAATGGCAATATATGATCTTGGATGAGGCCCAGGCCATCAAGTCCTCTCAATCCTCGAGGTGGAAGTCTTTGTTGAGCTTCTCTTGCCGAAACCGTTTGTTACTTACTGGTACCCCTATTCAAAATTCCATGCAAGAATTGTGGGCATTATTGCATTTTATCATGCCTTCGCTTTTTGACTCGCATGATGAGTTTAGTGATTGGTTTTCTAAAGATATCGAAAGTCATGCGCAGTCAAACACACAATTGAACGAGCAACAGTTGAAGCGTTTGCACGTTATTTTGAAGCCATTCATGTTGAGACGTGTGAAGAAGAACGTTCAGAGTGAACTTGGTGACAAGGTAGAAATCGATATCTACTGTGATTTGACAAACAGACAAAAGAAGTATTACCAAATGTTGAAATCCCAGATTTCCATTATGGACTTGCTATCTAATAGCTCTAACGATGAAAGCAACCAGTCATTGATGAATTTGGTGATGCAATTCAGAAAAGTGTGCAATCATCCAGACTTATTCGAAAGAGCTGACGTGGAATCTAGCTTTACATTTGGTACATTTGCGGAGACAAGCTCCTTTTTACGTGAATCAGAGTTAGAACTTTACTATTCCTTGAAGAATCTGATTCACTTCGACTTGCCTCGACAAATTTATCAAGAGTTACTAGTCCCTAGCGAAAAGAGTAACGTTGGTTCTAAAAACAAAATTTATGAGATGTTCAGCATTTACAACCCTGAAAATATAACACATGACGATACTTTGGACAATTTTGGGTGGTTAAGATTTGTTGACGCATCCCCAGCGGAGTTAAAACAATACACCAAGAAAAACCTTCTTGAGAGAGCAATTTCATTGCGTGAGTACTCAAGTATTAATTACGATGGTATTAATCGTTTCAAGTACTTTTATGATGACGATGAACAATTTGTTCCTCAAAACAAACGTCTCTTGATCCTGGAACTCAATAACGATAATTGCGTCAAATCAAACTCCGTCGTTTTCAACCAACTATTTTCAATTAAGGACAAAGTTTATGTTGATATGTATATGAACGTCCTTCAAGCTGCTGCTCATCCAAAGGTATCATCCGCTCCAATTAATTTGAGATGCAGCAATTACATGTGTTCTCAAGACTACGACACAGTGTTATTCGATCAAGAAATCAGATCGTCCTTAGTGCCACTCTCATTGAATACGGAGCTTGATTTGATGAAAGACAAAGTACCTATATCTGAGTATCCAAAGTCTGACATGCTTCCGGCACCAATCAACAATTTCATCGATTATTCTAATATCCGGATGCCTTCGATGACTAGGTTCATTACTGAATCCGGTAAGTTGAGTAAGCTTGACAAATTATTAGATGAACTCAAACAGAATGACCACAGAGTGTTGGTTTATTTCCAAATGACGAAGATGATGGACTTGATGGAGGAATTCTTAACCTTCAGACAGCATAATTATGTCCGTTTGGACGGATCCTCGAAGTTGGAAGATAGAAGAGACTTGGTTCATGACTGGCAAACAAAGCCTGAAATATTTGTTTTCCTTTTATCTACAAGAGCTGGTGGATTAGGTATTAACTTGACTGCTGCAGATACTGTCATCTTCTATGATTCCGATTGGAATCCAACAATTGATTCCCAAGCCATGGATAGAGCTCACAGATTGGGCCAAACAAAGCAGGTTACAGTGTACAGACTCTTGACGAAGGGTACAATCGAAGAAAGAATGAGAGATCGTGCCAAGCAAAAGGAACAGGTTCAACAAGTTGTGATGGAAGGTAAATCTTCCTTTGGAAAGAAGAAGGAGGATACAGCAAGCAAGAAGAAGGATGTTGCTTTCCTCCTTTTGGGCGGGGATGAAAATGGCGACTCCAATTCCAAGGATACGTCTGGTGAAACTAGCACTGAGGCGTCAACACCCAAAGAACCCATGTCCCAAGCATTGGAGGCGATGTATCATGAAGGCGAGGGTGAGTTTTCTGGCAATATCACACCTGTGCCGTAATTCAAAACAAGAAATTTATTACAGATATAGAAAATAAATTAGTGATCACTATGTATGTCTAGCTTTCAAAGTCTTCTCCAAAGAGGTTAAAAATTCTGCATCTTGGGGAGTGCCAGATGAGAAAATAGGGTCGATAGTGTTGTCGTCTTGTATTGACTCGCCAGGAGTCTCAAAGGGCCGATTTTCTTGAATGAACACTTTCTTTTCGTTTTCAAGGCTATAAATTCGTTGTAAACTCTCCTCTAACTTTGCTTGCAATTCTTCTTTTGACATCCCGTCTGCCTTTCCGTTCCCAAAGATACTGCTCTTCGACTGGTCGATATCATCATCAGTAGTTGTCATGTGTGTGGAGGCTATCAAATCAGACAAACCAGACACGTTTGAATTCACTGAATTCATTGAATAGCGGCTGGTAGAGTTGCGCGTGTTTCTCTTTGTCAAAGCATCTAATGTACTTTGATTGTACGTTCCATGCACTGATGGTGAGACGCCATCATATTTGTCATCGTCTAGATACTCCTTCGTATCTTGAAGTCTATGTCTTTCTGCTCTTGGTTCTTCCAAAACGGTTAGAAGCCCTAGTTGAAGTCCGGTAGACATCCTCTTGTATTTCTTGTCGGATGGTTTCGATGCCAGTGATTTGGGCGGCTGTTCAAATTGAATAGGCGATGAAAGCTTTTTCTTAGAGCTTGAGGAGGTTCGAAATGATTTGAGACTGAAATGATCATCCTTGTTGTAGGAATTTCTTTGCGAGCTCGATTGGGATGAAGCATTAGAGTCCTGGTTCCTAAACCTGGAAGCAAAATCACTTTCGTACTCTTGTACGCATATGTTATACATATCTGCACAAGAATTTATCTCTTTGTTGAACAGATGTAGTATTGACATTCTTTCATCGTGTTCTTGAGCATCGTCGACACCAGCAACGGAGCGACTGTATTTCTTGAAATACTTTAAACTGGTAGTTAAACTCTGAAGTTTATTGATAAGGTTGTTGAGGTTGAGTTCTGCATCAGGCGCCAAAACATCGTCGCTTATCTCACCTTGCTTGAAAGAAATCCCAGGCGACGACAATATGTTGTCATTTGCAAAATCCGTGCTATGCGACGGGCTGAAGAGAAGGTGGAACTTTTTGTTCAAGGAATGTAACTCCTCAAGTGCTGCCGTATGTTCTTGAAAGACAAGTTGCAATGATTTTAGTTTGTCAATCGTGGACGTGTACGTCGAGGTTTTAATAGGGGTTGGAAGGTAGTCACGAATTTTTGAAATGAAAAAATTATGCAGAGGTGGATCATGAATAGTTAGCAACTGGCAAATGAAAAACCTTCTCAAATTATTAAAGTGACCTAATTTAGACGTGAGGATCTCAAGAGACGAGACCTCCTCGATGCTCTCATCATGCTCTTCAAAAATCCAGCTCATCTGAACATTATTGATTTGACAATATTTTTCGAGAATCTCACCATTTGAGAAGGGTAGAAGTGCACTAATGGAATGCTTCATATTCAACAGCAAAAGTCTTAGAGTTGTGTTCAAATGCTTCGCGAGGTCTTTAGGGTAGCCGGAACTGATCTGCTCCTGCTTAGGTCTATCAAGAAAGCTAAACATTTGAAATTCCTTGAGAGTTATGATGCTAGTGATGATGTCCTTATTAATTTGGCAGTTTGAAAGCATGAAATCGTCAAGGCTGCGCAACGTTTTAGATGAGTAAATGAGAATCGCAGCCCTCTGGAATTTGACAATTTTGGTAGCCATAATTAACAATAGCTTGAATAGTTGATAATGTTGAGAGGAATCCAATGTTTGTCTTGGTAATAGTCTCTGCTTCAATAAGTAAACAATCAACAATACCGTATCCACAAGGAGAAGAGTTTTTCTGTATGTCCTCGGATAAATTAATCGATAATGTATGTTAGTAATTTGGAGCTCTGATCTAGTATAGTCGAAATTCTTTGTAAGCCTTATACAGAAAGGATGGTCTACTGAATCACGCATCTGCTTTAGGCTGTTCATAGCTTGTTCATTCTTTGACAAAACGAGAGTATCATCCAAAAGGTTGGAAACGACCAAGTTATAGTTGAACTTTTCCCGAAGTTGAGCACTTTCTCGGCCTATGGCTAGATATTTGCGAATATATTTCCGGAAGTTTCCGGTATTGGATTGTATTTGGGTGAAATCATGCTTAAGAGAAGACACTTTATTTTTCTCTTCAAAATGAAAACTATCTTGGGTAAGACTGGGAGAAGAAAACTGGTACAGGGACCGGAAGAATGGGGGCTGGCTCAATTCGCTTGTGGTAGTGGAGTCAAAGCGTTTACGTGGTGGTATGTGCTCTTCGATTCCCCAGTCCGCATCAGAAGGAAGATAATCTGATAGTAGGCTCGGACGATCAAAATTCATGGCACGGTTTTGATCTGTACATTGGGCGGATAGCAGACAAAATCAAGAGCTCTGACGGGAAGTAGAAACCTGATAGGGAGTGAAAACGTCGTGGTGGGCTGTTATTCAAGGATGAAGTAAGCTTCTGTCCCGGCTATCTGGTATATTTTGTTACTGTTCTGGGTAGTGTGTGTTATCCGAGGCGCGATTATAAGAAGAGAATACTACCAATACGCCTCAGGCCACTGTATTAATAAAATTTTAGATAGTCTCTTTAGTAGTTACTTTACGTGCACAAATATAGATGGCTGATGCTTTTTTTTCTATCGTTTTTTGCGAGACGTAGACTGGTCTATGCAACGTGTGTTTATATGTTTTCTTCCCGATGCAGGAGGGGATGCACAACTAAACAAACACACATCATATGCACTACAAGCTGTTATGACGGAAAACTTCCTAATACAGTAGAATTCCGTTTTTCTTCACCCTATGCAATTCTGAGATGAATGACAGGGATAAACAAAATTAGTAGGGATTTCTCATCTAAAATAAAACCATGCAGAGATGAGTTAGTAAAATATGTTGAGTTTATTCTCGTATTCGTGCGTTCTCACTATGGTAGTTTAAGTTTTCACCCAAGTTTGTTAATCTTGATTAATTTCGCAAACTGAAAAACTACAAAAAAAAAATCGAAAATAAGAGATATAGTCCACTAAAGCTAGGCAATATCTGTAACTCACATATAGCTCACTCATGGTTTTCTTCTTTTACATCCACACTCCATAGTGTTCGGAAGAAAGAAGGAAACAGGAAAAAGCGCATATCTCAAATACATGCCATCCCTCAGCATTGCATAGAAAACCATGTTCAATGCCTTTATCTACAGAACACTCCAAAAGAACTAGGATCCGATCACTTTCTTGCCAGAGATGTCGTGCTCGTAAAAGCAAATGTGACACAAAACTGCCTTGTGAAGCTTGCAGAAAAGAAGGTGTCGAATGCATCCGAATAGTCAACGACCGGAGGAAGGAAAGATATTCTTCCGAGTATACGGAGAGTTTGCAGAAGAAGATCCATTCTTTGGAAGGTGTTATAGAAAACATTCGAGATCTCATCAACGTTAAACATGATCACACGCTAGACACAGATTCAAAAGAACACGATCTGAAGTTTAATATTAAGTCACTAGGAGGTGATAAGAAAGAAGAGCCTCTGCAAGTTTTGGACAACCAAACGTTGTCCGTCTACGGACCTACAAGCGTTTTCGATAGTCATTCAGTTGACGAAAGCAGTGATGCCAACCACTTGGCGGAGATTAAGGCCCTCCAGAGCGACCCTCATATCTTACATTGTATTAAGTTATTCTTCAAATGGCAGTACCCAGATTTGAACTCTTTTGTGGTGAGAGAAGCATTTCTTTTGGAATTTTTCACTCCCATGACGAAACCTGTCTACTGTTCAGCTGGTCTAGTATTGGCTATATGTGCTTTGGGCTCAAGAATGTCCGACGATATAGACATTTTCAACAAGTCCTCTCGGTATTATCGTGAGGCCAAGAAAATTGTCATGAGCAGATTCGATAAGCCAACAATCCCAACAATGCAAGCATATTTGTTGCTTTCCGTTTTTGACATCTCACATGGGAACAATTCAACAGGTTGGATGTTGTCGGGGTGTGGATTAAGAATGGGATTCGATTTAGGTTTTCAATTGGATCCTACGGTATGGTTTCTCAAATCTAATGGGGCTTTGAACGATCTCAATATTGCTATTCGAAGTCGCATTTACTGGGGCTGTTACTTTGCAGACCATTTTATAAGTTTGGTTCTCGGTAGACCTTCAGTGTTGAAGATTGCCGATTCATCAATACCAGAAACAGGTTATCTTCCAGACTTGGATTGGATTGCTGACTATACCTACTTGAGTCCAGGAGCAGACCCAAAAGACAGGTCAACCATTATCGATGTCTCGGATCCCTTAAAACATTTGGTCCGCCTAATTAATATATCAACTGATATGCTAAATGATGTTTTCACGCGAGATGGAAGTCGCACGTTTGATTGGAAGAAAAAGGTAGAAATGTCCCAGCACTATAATAATTCTATCCTTCAATGGCGGTCTTCTCTTCCTGAGAACCTTCAATGGGACAGGCAATCACTTCAAATTTCTGGAGAGAATCCTACGAAGATGTTCCTAAGACAATATTACTACATTTTGCTCTTGTGTCTCAATCGACCATTTTTAGAAGCAGCAAACCAGAGTAAGCTCGACCTACCCTCAGCTAGAATATGCGACGAAGTGATTGATGATTTGATGGTATCTATTGAGAGATTTCGCGTGGTTCATGGCCTACGAAAGTCGTCCATTTTCATTGTTTATTGTTGCATCTTATCTGTATCGGTATTGCTCATTTCCAGTTTGAAAAGTGGAATGGAAGGAGAAACAGGGTGCAAAATACAATTTTACTTGAGTGCATTGTATCATTGCTCAGAGATTTGGCCACTTGCTGAGAAGTCATTTAAACTTATCCAGTCACAACTCGAAAAGACTTTTGAGGTTGAGGTTCGGATTAGTAATGGCGAGGTCAAGATTGTGCTTCCGAGCCTGCCAGAAATGGATACAGACCACAAAATCCTTCATTTTTTGAATGGCGAACAAAACCAAGAAACAAAAGACCAAGGAATTGAAAATTATGAGCTTTTTGGAGGACCTCCATTACTATTGACATCTGATCTCCTTACGCAAGAATACGAAAATTTATTCTCTACATCAGTATTAGGATATAGTGATTAAAACTTTCAGGTTACTAATTTTGTAGTGTAGCTTAGAGAAGGGACAAAACTAGAACTTATTATAGCGTATTCAAAAGCCAACAAGAAATCCGTGATAGTTTAGTGGCTAGAATTACCGCTTGTCGCGCGGTAGACCGGGGTTCAATTCCCCGTCGCGGAGCTTTATTTTTGGAACCTTACATCACATTTTTTCCTTCTGTTAGTTTTCTATACTTCCTACATTTCCAACTTAAAGACGCCGACCATGTATTTATTACCTCATTCAGCATTAGATTTCATCAACTTCTTACCGCGAGATAAGAACTTTCTCCCAAGACTTGTCGCCTGTAGACCAAAATTTCCTGCTTCCATTTTGTCCTTCACTAAAGAGACCTTGCTTCTAATGGATGTATGTCTCTTGAGATCACCATGTTGTGCATTTTGATATGCTTGCGTAGCAATTTTCCCAATTTGGATATTAGGAGCGACAGAACTCAGTCTTAAAGTTTCAGTAAGCCAGTAGTTCAAGCCTGTATCGTAGTTCGCTTCATCCTCTTTAGCTCTCCTTAGACTATCAATGCGGTCCGTGGGCTGAGATATGCTCATAATTTTCTTCCAGTTAAAAACAGGGTAGCCTTGTTGTATAGGTTTCGCATGCTCTGCAAGTGTCAGCGCGTCTTCTCGTGCCCTTTCTGTAGATGTGTTAGCAGAACCATCACTGACCTTGCTCAATCTATTTTGATTTTCAATATCTTTCGATTCAAGCGTGTTATCCTCAGTAGAAGGATCCAGAGAAGGATCCATTTCTTCGAACCGAGCTTGATCATACGAGTGATCTTTGAGTACTGAATTATTCGTAGTGACTTTACTTTCCAATGTGTTGTCGCTGTTTTTCCTCTCGCCTTCCTCTTCATCGTCAGATCCTGTTTCATGAATGCTAGGCAAATATGCATCAACAGTTTCTGGCACGGATAACACACTTCGTGAGGAAGAGTAAACTTCTTCAGATTTCATGCCGGTGAATTTGCTGTAGTTTGTTTCATCGTTGTTGAAAATGCTCATGTTCATTTGTGATTCCATGTCGTTGTCAGTGACGAATTTGTCACGATAGATACTTGTATTCGGCTTCCAGTTGCCCATGTTAAAAGTTTGCTGCGAAGCAGTTGACTCTCGCCTGGACAATGCATCCGCACTTCGTGGTACAGGAGGGGGAAGTATACTGGATGAATCAAAAGAACCTCCTTTCTTGGAAAAGCTGTCAAACGCATCTTGTTTGCTAGGAACATCGGGGGGATTCTTGCCCAAATCAGTATTAGATCCATGTCTTTCTACTTCTTTGTTGGACAACAAGGTATGGTCAAGAACAGGAGGTGCCTTTCGTAATGAAGAGTTTCTAGTCAGCACGTTGGATACAAAATCTTCATGTTGTCTTTTAAAGTCTTCCACGGATTTATTCAGTTCAGGTAACACAGGAAGTTTTGGAACAGGTCCCTCTTCCGCCGTAAAGGATGTTTCCTGGAAATCTGGAAGACTAAACTCATGAATCGAATTCAATGAAGGCAACTTGCCAATGCCACTTGTGTCCGCAACGGTACTGGTGTCCTTCTCTTCAGCTTTTGCGTTCTCAAAATCATAATTATCTGTGCTGTCAGATCCAATATTGTTTTCATTATTTTCAGTCATATTCACGTCTGCTTCATCCAAATCAACGGGATTTTTGTCAAACATGGTGGACTGCTTTTCCATTTTCAGCAAGTCGCTTATAAGCGAGTCCAAGGCGTCCGTTTTGATGTGGTGTTTCGCAGGCGCCACCTCCTCTGTCTCATGGGGTACATCTAAATCATCACCCTCATCGTTACTGCTGTGCTGGCTGTTGTAGCCCCAATCATCCTCATCTGAAGAAACGGTTCCTTTGTCGTTTCCAAACGAGAACTGGTCGTTCTTGTTATCGTTTACGCTGTCACGGAAATCATCATCAGAGTCATCATTGTCACTGCTGTTATTCAAGTTCATCCGATCAATTGAGAGAATCAAGGACTCTGGCGCAGGCGAAGTCGCGTGCGGTACAATGGCCGGAGAGGCAAGACGAGTGGCTGAACTTGTTTCGCGCATAAGGGCTAGATGAGTAGCCAGTTTCGGTTCTTCTACTATTTCATTCAATTGCGGAGCAGGCATCATGTTTAAATGCTCGGGCTCCCGCTGGATGGAATCAGCGTCGGAAACGAAACTATGTTCTGACTGCGGTGTGTCGGGAGGCGCCTGGCTCTGTTGATGCGTCGAAAATGTCGGCGTTGGAGGGGCAAAAGACAGATCTTGTGGTGTGGCAGAATTTATTGGCGGCAATGCTGCAGCCTGTTCTGCCTTGGGCGGATCGGCCCGTTGCGTTTGCGGCTGGCGATCGTTGGTCTGCTGGTCGATCTCAGCCTCTTCGTCTTCTTCGGAATCATCCTCTTCTCCATCTTCAGCATGCAGCTTGAGTTTGTCGATGGAAAGCACAAGGGTAGAGCCACTGGCAGCCTTTTCCGGAACGGACCCCGTCTGTTGTGGAGAAAGTTGTGATGTAGAATCCGGGTGCGAAGGAGTAGCTTCGTAGTCATAGTCGCCATACTCATCTTCCCAAGCGTCTCCATACGAAGGCACGCTGTTTCTGACCCAGCGAGTGGATTTATGTCTCTCGAAATTCTCGGCCATAGTGGGAGAAGAATGAAGAGTTAGCATTCTGGAATGAGGCTGAGAAGCGCGAGTGACGTGCATCGTTTTCCTGCACGCACAGCCATTACTGCAGAACGGCCGAGCTATACCAAAATAGCCAGGGAACGTATATATGAGAAAGTAGATATTGTAATGAAAGAAACTTCACGTGAACAAATCAGGTAACAGAAGGCTGAGAATTGAGTGGCTCAACTCTGATGCAATGGCGTGTTACACGTTGTTACTTTAAATCTGAGTTTTTTGCTTGCACCATATTAAGTTGTTTGTCAATTATGAGCAGGATTCAAAGGAGTCTATTTTGCTATGAATGGAACGATATTTAGTCAACATAACGCATATACGCAGAATAATCCGTATAATACCACTTACTTCCTGATACAGGGTGCAAGATGAATGAAGCAGCGCTTGATATTATCGAATTCCTGATTTTTTATTCCCCTTCGCCCTGTCACTTTCCAAATGGAGAACAATAGTATTATCGTATTCTATAAATACTACTGCTTAGTAGAGACGTTTCAATTAAAAGAAAGTTTTTAAATGCATATACACATTTTAAACTGCGTGAAACTTTAATCGTGTATTCCGAACAAGATCATTCCTACGAATGTAAAAAGCTTAGCCGCCACTTAAAATATACATTAAGATAAAATAACTTTTTTTAGGAGTTAGATATAAGAAGATGAAAGAGATAAGGAACAGAGAGATAAGAAACAGAGACAGAGTTCAAGATATAGAGAGATCAAGGTATAGAGAGATCAAGATATAGAGAGATCAAGGAATAGAGAGATAAAGGAATAGTGAGACGAAGGAGCAGAGATGAAGGAACAGAGATGATGGAAGAGAGATGATGGAAGAGAATGGTGAAGATGTAGAGAGATGAAATGGTAGAAAGAGGGAGATGTAAAGCTGGAAAGGCGAGAAAGAGATACCAAAAAGACACAAAGAGACGAAATATAGACAACAATTTGCAAAAAAAGAGAACTGATAAGTTGGAATTTATGCCAGAAGAACATGAAAGGTAACATAATCAATTCTTTAGGCAGAAGTACCCGATACGGTACAACACAAATGTAGAAATAAACACAAATAGCACAGGTCATGGATTGGAAGTACGATAACTGAATGGAACAAATGAAAGGAGAAGGAAACTCCCACACAAAGCATTGATGCATTTAGGGGATAAGCGGGAAGAGATGGGACAATAAAACGCAAGAAAAGCAAGAGACGATAACAGAACAAAATAAAGAGAGTCCAAAGTAAAGAGAGCAGAAGAGGAAATTGATAGAGTTGAGAAAGGGAAGAATAGAAAATGCTAAAGAGAACAAAAAGAACAAGATGTGGAGAAAAAAAATTGTGAGGATAGAAAACTGTTTACAAACACAAAAGTAAGCGCATGCAAGAGCTTGTGCGGTCATCAAAGAAAATACACAGATATTTCATCACATGAGCAGAGGGTAATAATATAGGCGAGTAATATCCACACATTTAAATACCTTGGGAAGGGCATTAAATTGTTTGACTTACTCTTACAGATTGAAGTTTCTTAGAGGGATTCTAATTGAAACAAAAGGGACAAAAAACGACAATCACAAAACAGAGAAATCAATTACGAACGAAGGTACTACGACGACGAAGAGATCGATCCTAGTTGATTTCAAAGGATAGTAGAAGTCACAATCGTCCACTCGAAAATGTTGTCATGTATATCAATATATCAATATTTTACATGAAGAACTGTAAATTCATATCCTGAGGGTGGGAGGCACTTAATTGCGGTTTCTGGGAGTACTTTGCCGCAAGTAAGTTACGCATACCATTTAAGAGCGACAAGTACAGTTGGTTTCTGTTTTGCGAAAGCACGGAAATGAAGGCCCAACTCATAGCACCAGTGTTTGCACCCGCTTCCTGAGCGTCTGCAGAAGTTTGATCGTCTTTGCATCCCAGAAGCGAAATGACATCTGCTGGAGACATTTTCGAGCGGATAACGTCGTCTCTGCTAGCACCATTACCAAACTTGGAGACCTTCTTAACCACACCTGTCAAGGACGAAAGAGCGCCTGAGATGTTTCCTGTTTCGTAATTCATGAACGCCTTGAGCGCACCAGCACCAGCATCTTTCCACAAATTGGGTTCCTTCACCACACCTTTGGTGGAGTAGACAAAAGGCAAATCCAATGCGGTACCCAGATGGCAACAGTCAAACAAAGCCATCAAACGACATCCTGGAGGCAAAGGCTTGACCATTATGTCGTGCATTTCATCGTCAATAATTGGTCCACTTCTCTCAAAGTCAACTGGGTAGACACACAGATCAAAGCCCGATTCTTCGTCACCGTTCTGGTCCGGTACCAAACCTCCATGGCTCAGAATATGGAAAAAGTAAGAGTCATTAGGTTGTGCGCCCGACACAAGCCATTGCATGGCACGTATAATATTGTCCCTGGTTGGAACACGAGCCATTTCACGCTGGTCGTCAGTCAAGATCACCATATCATCGTACAGGTATCCATAAAAGTCATGCAAGAAACGACTCATGTTCTTGACATCATTGATACAGCCACGCAACTCGTTCTTTGATCCAAAGTAATTGATACCAATCAACAATGCCTTCTTACGCCCCGAGCAGTTAGAGTACTGGAAGGACATGTTGGAGTTACCACCAAAAGACTGTGGTGCCGTGGGTGGTGGTCCGGAGGGAGCTTGCTCATTGTAATGGCCAGATGAGTCGTACGACAGATTTGGTGGTGGCGCTGAAGGCCGCTCATAATGTTGTTGCTGCTGTTGCTGCTGTTGTTGTTGATAGCGGAATTGTTGTTGCTGAAATTGTGGCGAGTTTAGCGATGGTGGGCCAGGTGGGGGACGGAAGTCCTGGTTTTCATACTGACCCCGGTTTTCATATTGTGTGTTTCCGTAAGGCTGATTTCCATATTGGTTTCCATACTGTTGATTTCCATACTGGTTGTTGCCGTATTGGTTGTTTTCGTACTGGTTTCCGTATTGGTTCCCGTATTGGTTCCCGTATTGGTTAGGGTACGAACCCTGGTTATAGCTTTGGTGACCGTTGCCAGGAAACATGTGGTCTACTTAAAGTTGGAGGTGGGCAGTTAGAATTGCGCGCAATGACAAAGCCACGATTCATATTGTGCCAATAATTGAGCAAGTTTCTGGCTTGGGACACTGATTTACTTTGGCAACGTAAGCAAAAATGGGATAAAAACAATGGATCTGTAATTACTAATACCTCTATTGGGCCTCCGTGAATTTCAACTTAGTCTTCTGGATGAAATTTGGCAGAGGTCTGCGACACGGATTTAAGCCAATTACATTGCAATTGTTGAAATGTTAGACATCCTGACGGAACCAAAACCATCAATTTTGTCAGTTGGAAACAATTCTTTTACGTTCTGGACATAGTATTCATCTCAGCACGATAACTGCTGGTATCACCATACACTATCTAAAACCCACATGAAGCGATGTGCAATAACGACTTCTATAATAACTTGCGCTATGTCTATTAGCCAAATCCTATGGATAGGATTGGAAACTATTGCTTTTTTGTTCTTCTATAGATTTAGAATGTGCGTGATCATTTTGTGAATACATTTGTAGTTTCGTCGAGCTCAAATCAGGTCTCAGCGAGTTAGCGATAGTCTCAAAGCTTAACTGATAGTTTTGTCACGTCACGTTTGCTCAAGTTTCGTCTACAATTCATCATTTGTACTACAAGACTTCATCAAATGTGGCCAGAGAATGAAGTTTGGAAGAAAACGTAAATCTTTCGTGAAATATCGAGCATTTAAGCGTGCTTTCAATCAATTAAATTTCCATTGATGTCGTCATACGAAAGGCAACAAATATCAGAGATACGAAGTGCTCGAAATAATGCATCAGTTCTCAATGTAGATCAATAATCCATCGTGGAAGACTCTAATTGTCAATGTATTGTAGAATCATTTCTTATAATTTCCCCTCTTGACTGTTCTGGTTGATAATCACGTCCGGGTAGACTCCCGCCGTGAGGTTGCACATTTGCCAAAAGGCTCCATCCACAACCTGGACTGTGCCTGTGACATACGACGCTGCGGGCGAAAACAAGAATACCGTCGCCTCAGCAATATCTTGTGTTGTGCCCCACCTTCCCAAAGGCACCTTTTCCGCCACACCACCGTCTGGCATCAACCGTGACATACCCTCGGTACCTTCAATTCCACCGGGGGCAATACAGTTGCAACGAATACCCAAGGGCCCTAGCTCCACCGCCAATGCATTGGATAGCGCATCAACACCAGCCTTGGCAGCGCCTACATGGGCCTGGAAAGGAACACCGTAGTAATGCAAAGTAGCCAGCACAAACAACACCGCACCTTTGTTGCGGCGGAGCTCCGGGAACGCTGCTTTCACCGTGTTGAACGATCCCAACAAGTCTATTGATACCACAGACTTGAATGCGTTCGATGACAAGTGGTTGAAGTCAGACAAGAAGTTGCCTGCTGCCCCAGCAATCACAAAGTCCACGCGGCCCAAGGCTTCCACCGTCCTAGCGACTGCCGAAGCAATACTCTCGACACTGCGCACGTCAATACCTCCAATGCCGATCACCTTGCTTCCAGAGCGCAAGCCCTGGATCTCGAGCGCTGCTTTCTCCGTTTTCTCGACGTTGCGACCAATAATGGCGGCATTGGCTCCAAGAAGCACCAAGGCCTCGGTCTGAACGCGACAAATGGTGCCTGCGCCTCCCGTAACAAACACCACCTTGCCCCGGAAAAGATCTGGCTTCCAGCTGGAATTTTCCACAAATGATTGGTCCAACATGAGCGTGGAAATGTCAAGAGGGAGCCATGGCGCCTTTTATACTTGCGGGCTTCACATGCGAATGCGGGGAAGCGCTTGGGTGCAAACTTGCACATGGCAAGGTGTTGGTGAGACAATTCATTGCACCGAGCAAGGAAAAAGCAGTCTCTTGACACTCTTCTAGATTTTGCTTACCCTGGTAAAAGATGGATTTTCAGCCTCAAAAGCTTTCTATTTCCTCAACAACGTCAGAAGAATCTATTTCGGTTGATCGCGTAGTGCAAATGTAATACAACTCTTGAATTCGCATCGGTTCCCATTATCGGGATCCACTTTTAAGGTCCACAGCATTCAATCTTGCTGTTTTTTGAGGGTTAGCTAACAATGTTGCTCCAGCTCAATTATCCTAGGGTTTTCTGTATGTTTATTATCGCGGAACACTTTTGGAAGACACGGTTAGTTAGTGGAGATTCGTTCAACCTGTCGTATTTGTCTCAGCAAATGGGTGATTTTGCTAAAGGACTAGTAATTGAAAGGAATTACATCTATCATAGCATATGTGCTCATGATATACAAATAATTCTTGACTCTTGTAAGTGTTCCGAGTATCCAGTACGAATTCCTGCCATTTCTCTCAAGAGAAGAAAGAACGACGTGTAATGCACTTGCAATGGAAGGGGACAATGCATTTTCTCTCAAAACTATGGACATGAGAGAGAAAAAAACAGATGGATCTGCTCTGATCGATTGCCATGTTTTCATCAATTTACAATACAAAATGCAAGTCATTTCTAATAGATCAATTGCTTGTATGGTCTTAAATAATCCAGTTTCATCTGCAACAGAATCTTGATCTCCTTGTACTTGTTTTATTAGCTCTTGAGTCTATTAATTTGTTCCTCCCGCGGAACAATCACTATACACCATTATGAGAAAGTCTGACTGGAAAAGTAAGGTCACTTTCACAATTCACTGGTACTGAATTCGGCTAGCCAGTTTGCCCTGGGCAACTAAGTCTGTCACTTCTGAAGCGAAACCATACCGTCTCAGGAACTTCTGAACGTTGTAGGGGCATATTAGAATCCATGTGTCTGCCTGACTCTTTTAGTAAACCCTGAAAGATATGAGCCGGGTCTTAAAGAAGTCCCAAATCGCGTAACTCCTGACAGTGTGGCATGGGCATATTTTCTGCCGCCTCCATCTTACGCTGGTCTGTGTAAAACCAGCCCTGAGCATCCTCCATAAGATTATTCTTCGCAACCTGTTCTCTGCTGCACTTTGCCCGTCTATCTTGAACATAGAGGTTTTCCACCTTGTGGTCGAAATTGCGCAACTTGTTGTCGCTCTTGTGCACAGCAAACTTCTCCCCCACATAAAAGGGGATATGGAGTCGAGGAGTTTCGCGCTGAACAGGGTACTTTGAAGTTTTCGTGAACAGGTATTCTGGAGTGTCTTCACCTGAAAACAAGGATGACAAGAGCGTCGCCAACAAAATGATGAGCACAGGAGCAAGCTGGCGGAGAGTATCGAACATAGATGGCTCTTCTTGGCGTTGCTGCTGCTGTGGCCGTCTAGTTTGGCGACGAGCGCCTGTAAATGGATCAAAGCCGTCTGCACCAAAAGACTGGAAAGTGAAACCGTTTCCACCAAAGGTGAATGTCGACCCTGGACGTGCACCACCACCAAAAAACATGTTGAAAATGTCATCCTGGAACTGGCCGTCAAAGCCTCCTTGGAATCCTGGCGTAGCTCTGAAGGCAGAAGAGCCGCCCCCGGAACTTTGGCCTGATACGCCAGCAAAACGCAGATCGGGATCAGCACCCGTCTGGTCATAAATGCGCTTTTTAGAAGGGTCGCCCAACACACCCCATGCCTTGTTGATATATTTGAAAGCCTCACTAGCACGAGGATGCGGGTTTTTATCTGGATGGAGCTTGATGGCTAACTTCCGATAGGACTTTTTGATGTCGCCGTCAGAAGAGGTTTTCGAGACAGAAAGAATCTCATAGTACTGGTGCGGCTGATTTGCCAAGACCCGCGTCACGATCTCTTCTTGCTCTTTGGTATATGACATGGCGGTTTTGATGGAAGGCGGTGGAGAAGAACCGAAATGTTGGCGAGAAGCTATCTGCAGGCACATAAACCAAAGTTGTCAGTGATAGCGATAAACCGGTCGTGCGGGGATGAGAATTCGGAGGCTTGGAAGGCCAGTCCAGACACTAATGAAGAACGGTACAAGACATGAAACGAGGACAGACAGCAAGGAGAGACAGTAGTACAAGATGGCGGAAAGGATAAAAAATTCAACTATTATAAGACAAGACCGACACGAGGTATTTCAGCACAATCAAGGGCTGGAATTCTACAGACTAGAGTGACTTACTCAATTATCGGAAGGAACGCTCTTCCTTGTATTAATCACTGGGGCTCTAGTACCGATGCTGGCATATCTTATCTAGTTGCACTTTAAAGTGGCCAATGACGTTGTGCTTCTTTTACGGAGTATTCGCGAAGGCGGAGAAGGTAATAAGTCATTAATTAACACTGGAGCTGCATAGTCGACTACTTTTCCTATTTTATGGACCCCGTGTCCAACTGTAAGTTTAGTTAAAATCAAGAAGACGAAAGGTAGAAAATAGACTCGTAGTCAATCTGACATAGGTTGGGTACCCAGACCACCTGTGCAGTTTCTTAAATCGTGTCATTGAACATGCCTCATCTATCTTATTTTCAGACACTACATGGACAATACCGTTGATTGTATTTTCATCTTTCTCTCAGTACACTGAACATTGGTTAAATAGCAGATATTATACTTCACACTTCGTATACTGTAGCATACATGATTCGGTCCTTCATTACTAATGAGTACAGGTGGGACTGCACCAATTGCACCTACGAGTAAGTATAGTGCATTGCTGCTCTGCCGAGCCAAGACTTACAACGGAAAAAAGAAAGAGAGCTCGCTTTGAGGAGAAATGGGCACTAGAGCAATCATGATCCAGGAAAACAGAAGTAGCCTAGACGGAAAGAAGAGCCTGCGCACAAATATGCTAGTGAGGCGTTACGGTCATTCTTCAAGAGCCAATTGACAGGCGTAAACCCAAAGAGCCGAGATATGCGCCTGTATGCAGACCAGCTACCATATATAAAACAAAATAGCACAGGGAAAACCCAAGGAACTTTTGCAAAAAGCCAACAGCTCACAACCAGATCATTCTTATCAGAAGCATCTGGCATGTTTAAAGTATGGAAAAATGCAGGGGTCCAGACTCGTGGTGGCTCAGCTAAAGCAATAGGCACGCACAGATGCATAATATCGCGGCGCAGCATGTAGGCCGCTACTATTTATTCCCACTAGCCGCTTCTTTTGCATACTACACTACGCTTCCTTTTCTTTGGCAGCTTAATTGTTCATACCGTGACAATCTAGTTCATTTAGTTGCACTGCTGGACCTGCAGTAATATATTTCCTCAGTACTAGTGCCTTCTACCACGGCACGTAAGTACAACTGTACATCAGCCTACCTAACTACATCATAGTACCGGGCTGTTATCCCAGAGTATTCCCATACTATACCCATAGTACCACGCAAACACATCAACGTTTTCCATGAAGTTTTTGTCTTTGGTTACGTTGGCGGCGGCCGTCTCCGGCGCCACCGTCGAAAACTTGAGACGCGAAGAAAACAAGCAAGAAACGATTGTACCTTTGCGTCTCGATTTTTCTGTGCTCCGTGGTAGCTCGCCGCAAGATATGGCCCCCGGCCGTGGTGCGGCGCTTGCCAAACGTGATGGCCAAGCGGAATTGACTATTCAAAATGAACAAACGTACTACAGTGCCGATTTGAAACTTGGACTGGACCATCAGGAGGTTTCCGTGTTAGTGGACACGGGGTCCTCCGATCTTTGGATCATGGCTTCTGATGTAGAGTGTTACTCCTCGCAACTGCAGAGCAGTTCCACCAAGAGATCCGTGGGTGACCATTTCGGCCGGCGCCGAGCTTTAAGCGAAGATGACTTGGCCCATGCGCTCTTCCAAGAGCAAAGTGACAATACTCCAGACGCTTCGCAACCTCTTCAAGACAAACGTGACACTGAACTGATGGCTTTTCCTGATATTGCCTCTATTTTAGAGAGTTTCACAATCATAGAAACGAATATTCCACAGCCTTCTGGGTCAAGCTCTCCCGATGTATCAGGTGGATCAGGTGGGTCCGGTGGCTACGGCGGCTCCAATACATGTACTTCGGAGGGATCGTTTAACACAGACTCCTCAGACACTTTCCATATGAACAGTTCTGCGCCTGATTTTGCAATTCAATATGCGGACGGCACTAGTGCCCGTGGGTTTTGGGGAACTGATTACGTATCCATTGATACTGCCAATGTTTCGGACGTGAGTTTTGCTGTGGTAAACGAAACGGACCTGGGATTCGGTGTGTTGGGCATAGGGCTTCCAGGCTTGGAAACCACCTATTCGGGCACTTCGGGAAGCTACATGTACGAGAACTTTCCAATGCGGTTGAAGAGCTCTGGAGTCATTCACAAAAACGTGTACTCACTTTACTTGAATAAAGCTGATGCACAACTGGGACTGGTTTTGTTTGGAGGAGTGGACCACGCTAAGTATACCGGACAATTGACAACAGTGCCACTCGTGAACATCTACAGCAAATACTATAAAAACCCAATCCGCTTGGACGTGGCATTGGACAGCATTTCCTTCGAACTGACCTCTTCAAACATTACTGCCTACAAAGGCAACTTAGCAGCCTTGTTGGATCTGGGAACCACTTACTCATATCTTCCAACTTCTGTGTTTGAGAGATTTATAAATGTGGTCAATGCTCAAAGCTCCTCCATAGGTCTCTACCAGCTCAGCTGCAGCTACAACACCGACCTGGCATCGGTAGTATTCAACTTTTCGGGCGCGCAAATCAAAGTGCCATTATCAGATTTGGTCATGACATACAGAAACCGCTGCTATCTCACTGTGTTGGAGCAACTGCTGCTGTCGCTGTCGTCTCTGTCTCTGTCAACCCCTGAATATGCCGTTTTGGGTGACAACTTCCTCCGCAATGCCTACGTGGTGTATAACTTGGACGACTACGAGATTTCTCTTGCTCAAGCCAAGTACACGGATGAAGAGGACATTGAGATTGTGAGCTCGCTGGTTCCACTGGCAGTGAAGGCGGGAGGATACTCAAGTACCTCGTTGAGCGAATCCTCCGATACACTGGAGGTTACGACGCTTTCGTCGTCGCTGTTGAAGAAATCTGGCGCGCCTCGGTTAGCACCATGGAAAGAAATGGGCGCTGCGTTGATGGTGCTTTTAGCCTTTGCATTAATGTGAACTTTGAGTCAAGGTTGAATAGCTGAATAAAATGAAGGAAACGACACGTGGGGATACTGAAGATCTCATCGAAGATTAGGAGTGACAATAGCTTTTGTAGCCGAGGCCACCCAACAAGGTTAATTGAGGGTGATTTTTAGTATGAAATATTGTGTGCTTATACTGGGTAGAGAATTAATGTTATTAAGTAATCTTTCGGGGTGAGAAGGAGGCTTCGTTACTACAAACGAATGGGCCGTCCTGAAATAATTTCAGTGAAAACTTTAAATGGCTCTACAATTTCATGAAAGCGATATTGCGTAACTTTTTTGATAGCGGCAACATGCTACAAGCGAAGACGTCAAAGGATCAGTCGCAGCCTTTTGTCCGACCAGTGATACAGGAGTTCACATCTTCCGCACATGCACATGCAGATGCAGATGGGAAGGCATCAGGCTATTGTAGCAAAGACAAAGCCAAAATAACCTCTCCACAAGAAGTTGCCAAATGCCCGAAGAGAATCACCAATTCTAAAAGAAGAAGAGAAAAAAGGATGAAAAGAAAGTGGCCGAAAAACAAGGAGAGTTAATAATGAAAGAAGAAATGGCCGAACAAGGGTTTGAGGAAGCAGTGTGCACCAAAAATAGATGCGCGATTGGTACAACGGCGTGAACAATGTACACGATTAAGAAGCGGCGTCACGCCAAACAGACTTCCTGTCAAGTTTTTCTGAATCTATCGAATTTTTTACAGTTTATTTTTTACAATATTTTCTTTCCCGGGCCAGTGCGCTTTTACTTGTCCCATCGTTGTCGATACCTTTGTCTTGTGCTTTGTGTATCTTCGCCGTATCTGCGCCTTACGTCATTGATCAAACTTGTTGCGCGGAAAAGATTCTCCTGACCACGTCTCACAATCTGAAACAAACAAAACACTAAGTGACTCGCCGCCATATTCGTGTGATTGAAGGCCAAACAGGGTATTTTCTTCGCCGCTATTGTTTTTTTTCCTCCCTTCGTCACTAATTTTTTTTCGGTTTCTAGTCTTGAGACAACACTCCATCTCTCTCCTTCTTTTCCTGTTCTGCACACGTTTCAACCAGGCCCCACTTTTCCATCTGTGTGCAACTTCTGAGGCTCTTTGTTTTCACCCTTCGTTTTGCTGTCTTTACTTTCGCCGCCGTTGAAAAAACCTCGCTTGGCTGCCGATATGGAAGTCTCCCAGTTGTTGGCCATACTAGAGGACCCCAAGGCTTTTGCCGAAAAAGGGGAAGAGCTAAGAGGCGACTTGCTTCTGGCTTTAAAGGCCCAGCAACATCAGATCGAAGAGATATCTACAGATTACCAGACGGTTTGTGATGCAAACAAGGCTTTCAAACTGGCCCTTTCCGAAATAGGAACCGTCGTTATATCTGTTGCCATGGGTGACTTATCGAAAAAGGTGGAGATCCACTCGGTGGAGTCCGATCCGGAGATTCTCAAGGTCAAAATGACAATCAATACCATGATGGACCAGCTTCAGACGTTTGCCAACGAGGTAACTAAAGTTGCTACAGAGGTGGCTAATGGTGAACTAGGTGGTCAGGCCAAAAACGAAGGTTCTGTGGGAATCTGGCGGTCTTTAACTGATAACGTCAATATCATGGCGCTCAACCTCACGAACCAAGTCCGTGAAATTGCTGATGTTACGCGAGCCGTGGCACAGGGTGACTTGTCCCGAAAAATCAATGTCCATGCACAGGGTGAAATTTTGCAGTTGCAAATGACAATAAATACCATGGTGGACCAACTTCGAACGTTTGCCTTCGAGGTCTCGAAGGTGGCTAGAGATGTGGGTGTTTTGGGTATTTTGGGTGGACAGGCGTTCATCGAGAACGTTGAAGGAATTTGGAAAGAATTAACCGACAACGTAAATGCCATGGCGCTCAACTTGACGACCCAGGTGCGGAATATTGCCAATGTTACAACTGCCGTGGCTCAAGGAGACTTGTCGAAGAAGGTTACCGCAGATTGTAAAGGCGAAATTTTGGACTTGAAGCTCACCATTAATCAGATGGTGGATCGTTTGCAGACTTTTGCCTTAGAAGTGACTACCCTATCACGCGAGGTCGGAACATACGGAATTCTTGGTGGTCAGGCCAACGTGAGAGACGTTGAAGGTGCTTGGAAAGCTGTCACAGAAAATGTCAATTTGATGGCTACTAACTTGACCAACCAAGTCCGTTCGATTGCCACGGTCACCACAGCCGTTGCCCATGGTGATTTGTCCCAAAAAATTGATGTTCACGCTCAGGGCGAAATTTTGCAGTTGAAAAATACCATTAACAAAATGGTGGATTCGTTGCAGCTTTTCGCATCCGAAGTCTCGAAAGTCGCCCGAGATGTGGGTATTAATGGTAAGTTAGGCATCCAGGCGCAGGTGAGTGATGTAGATGGCTTGTGGAAGGAAATTACATCCAATGTCAACACTATGGCCGCTAACTTGACCTCTCAAGTGAGAGCATTCGCACAAATCACCGCCGCAGCAACTGACGGTGACTTCACTCGGTTTATCACAGTCGAAGCATCGGGTGAAATGGATGCGTTAAAAACTAAAATCAACCAGATGGTGCTCAATTTGCGTGAGTCTATTCAAAGAAATACAGCAGCGAGAGAAGCAGCCGAGTTGGCCAATAGTGCAAAATCAGAGTTCTTGGCAAACATGTCGCATGAAATCAGAACTCCATTGAACGGTATTATAGGTATGACTCAATTATCGCTTGATACTGAACTCACTCAGTACCAGAGGGAAATGCTTAGTATTGTCAACAATTTAGCCAATTCCCTTCTTACCATCATAGATGATATTCTTGATATTTCGAAGATTGAAGCGAACAGAATGACCGTGGAGCAAATCGACTTTTCTTTGCGTGGAAATGTTTTCGGTGCGTTGAAAACTTTAGCTGTCAAGGCAATTGAGAAAAACTTGGATCTTACATACCAGTGTGACTCCTCTTTCCCCGACAATTTGATTGGAGATTCTTTTAGATTGCGGCAAGTCATTCTCAATTTAGCAGGAAATGCAATCAAATTCACTAAGAAAGGAAAAGTCAGCGTGAGTGTTAAAAAATCCGATGTCACCCCTGCGGATTCCGATAAACTTTTGCTTGAATTCAATGTTAGCGACACAGGTATCGGAATTGAGAGAGATAAACTAGGTTTGATTTTCGATACTTTCTGTCAAGCGGATGGATCCACGACAAGAAAATTCGGTGGTACCGGTTTGGGATTGTCTATCTCCAAGCAGTTAATCCAATTGATGGGAGGCGAGATATGGGTGACTTCGGATTACGGCCATGGCTCTTGCTTTTCTTTCACTGTTAGTGTGTCTCAATCCAAAATCAAATATACCAGTGAAAGTGAGCAATTACTCCCATTCAGAAATCATCATGTGTTGTTCGTCTCCACTGAACACTCAGATGCTGGTACCGAACAAATAAGGCAAGGAATTTCTGAGTTGGGATTAAAACCTGTCATAGTCAGAGACATCAATGAAGCTAATCTCACAGAGCCCATTAAGTATGACATCATAATGATTGATTCCATCAATACAGCTAAGGAATTGAGGAAACTTTCTGAGGTGAAATACATTCCTTTGGTTTTGGTGCATCACTCATTACCTGAGTTGAATATGAGGGTTTGCATTGATTTGGGAATCTCCTCATATGGAAATACTCCCTGTACTATTTCAGATTTGGCTAGTGCGATAATTCCTGCTTTAGAGTCTCGATCCATCGCACAAAACACTGATGACTCTGTTTGCTACAAGATTTTACTTGCAGAAGACAATTTGGTGAACCAAAAACTCGCAGTCAAAATCCTTGAGAAACAAGGGCACAAAGTTCATGTTGTTGAGAACGGATTAGAAGCATTTGAAGCGATTCGTAAAAACAAATACGATGTTGTCCTCATGGATGTTCAGATGCCCGTTATGGGAGGCTTTGAAGCTACAGAGAAGATCAGACAATGGGAGAAGAAGTCGAACCCTATTGATTCTCTTAGTTTCCGTACACCAATCATTGCCTTGACGGCACATGCTATGTTGGGAGATCGTGAAAAATCACTTGCTAAAGGTATGGATGACTACGTTTCAAAGCCTTTGAAGCCAAAGTTATTGATGCAGACCATTGCAAAATGCATTCATAATATTAAACAATTAAAGGAGCTATCGAAGCAAAATAATAATAATCGCTCATCGGAGTTTGCGAAAAACTTGAAGAAAATCACGAACGACATGCCTGGAGGTGCAATTTCTAATGGTCACGGAAACGAGTTGGCAACTCCAAAGATTGTCGAGTTGGGAAAACAACCACTCAAATCACGTAGCTCCGAGGAGGTCATTCCTACACAAAGAAGGCCTGGAGCACTTTCTGCATCTACTAGATCTTTTACCGACAGCTCGCTAGCGAAGAAAGATTGATCCTCATTAAAAAATGATCGAGCTTTCATACCTTTAATGCTATATATAAATTATAATATGCTCTCCTCGAATTGTATATGCATGGAATTTACCAGATCGTCTCATCCCATTTTCTGAGCTCTTCTGCTTGCTGGAATGTGTCCTTTTGTGCCTTTTTCCGCATATAGAAGATTGGACAATCCTTATTAGAACACAAAACTTCTTGATGTAACGATCCTTGGCATCTCTGGCACTCTGTCCACAAACGAGAAAATTTGTTCTCCAAATAATTCATTTGCGCTAAAGCATCACAGTAAAGTTCTGGAGCTTTGGAGACACAATTTTCACAAAGAGCACCTTTGTTCCCCGGTTTCAAAGGCGACTTACAATTCTTGCAAAGCTCGGCCTTCTTGGCGAATCTCATTAATCCGCCGCTCTTCGGAGCACTCATTTTGATTGTCCTCGTGTGTGCTCCCGCCAATAGTTCCTTTGCCTTTCTTTCTCCAAGAATGGGCTCGAAAATTCTCATTAAAGGTTTAGAGAGCTGGTTTTCCAAGTAATACTTGACGTCGATGGGAAGAGAGTTCTCCAAGACATACAAAGGATCTTCTGATTTTTCATAGTTCTTCTGACTAGCAGAATTGACGATGACATATGCCACCCGGTCACCCAAAGCAGGTGCAGAACCAGGATCTCTCTTCTTCATCCTTTTAGCTAACTCAACGTGAGCTTGTTTACCATCATATTCATGTTTGGAGTACGCTTTGGTAATCACCAATTGAGATAAATCGACTCTGTTTTGTAGAAGATCTGCAATAGTCTGCTTCACGAATAATTCTGCCTTTTCAACATTACGTTCCTCTAAAATGTAGTCAAGAACTTTGGTAATGACGTTTTGAACTAAACGACAATTGTCTCTTCTCACTGTTTCAATACCTTTCGTGTCCATTTTATCGGCTTTCTCTGGCCGTGTCCAATACAATCCAGCATATCTCTTTTTGTTAATCAAGAGATATGGAAAGTATACTTTTTCGAACTCCAATTTGATGGGCTTTTTGAACTTTGTGGAAACATAATTGGCAGCCTCTTCACCTAGCTTCATGCAAGTTTCCAAATCAGAATGGCCAAATTTAACCATGACTGAATCGGTATCACCGTAAATAACTTGTGCATCGTAATCATATCCATTCTTTGTACAATATTGTTCTTGGACAACATTTTTTGTTTTTTCAATCATCTCTCTTCCAAAGGCTGTAACAGATGATGAGATGGCCAAACAGGGTAACTTGCCAATAGTTGCACCAGTGAAACCATAAACCGAGTTTGCAGAAATCTTCAATGCCAACTGCCTACCATTAAGCACATCTCTTTTAAATGGATCTTTCTCATTCTTCAAATCGTTCTTGGCCTTCTTTCTCGCAGTCAACAACTCATTAAGAATTGCGGGCAATAGACCTTGTCTCTTGTTGCTTTTCACAAAGTAATCACCATTCGGAGTGAGAGTATAGTCATCCTCTGTCAAACTGGAACGCTTTTATAGACTGCTTGTTAAGCAACGTTGTATAACACAAGTTGTGAGCCATCATGATGGACGGATACAAAGAGCTGAAATCCAAAGTTGCGATCGGCACATCATAGTATCCTCTTATGGGTTCAATGACGGTAGCACCTTCATATTCTTCGTTCGATCCCTCACTTCTCATGTTGGGAACAACAATATTTTCCTCCAAACACTTTCTGAACAACTGAGAGATGACCTTGATCTGCTGGCCTCTTGCTAGAAGATAGGAGAAAGGAACTCCTGTGACTCTGGCCATTTCGGTATAGTTGACCAAACACATCAATTTCTCTAGTAATCTTAACGGCAAATACGCATCTTTTAAACAGTAGACAGCTAAGCGTCTTCTAGTTTCCGCAGTACCTTCCTGTAAATCTGTAATGATCGAATGTTGCACATCTTCTTTCTGCTCACCTAAGAAATGAGCCGAAACAGAGTTCAATGTATAGGATCTCAATTTATATTCTCTTTGAATAAATTGCAAAAGATCCAATTGCATTCTTCCGTCGATGTTGACAACTTTATTTTCTCTAGTACCGTATGCACGAGAGCTGAACACTGCGTCTTTCGCCTCTTGTTTGATATTGAACATTCTTCCAAAATATGGAAACTTAGGAAGGCCAAGAGCCTTAGCTCTATCCAAAAGATACGGAAGATCAAAATTTGAAGTATTGTATCCAATAAGCACATCTGGGTCGGCTTTCACCACGAATTTTCTCCAAGCCATGAGCATATCTTCTTCTTTCGCATGAGAAAAAATCTCAGAACCGATAATTGGTGAACAGGTATTCACTGTGAAGACATTTCTAACAAATGGGCGTGATTCACCATGCTTCAGAATCACATTCGCAATCTGAATCACAGGGTCAAGTTGTGCTTCTGGAAATACACCTTTTCGACCAGCACATTCTATGTCGAATGACATTATACGCAAAGGAGCCATCTTGAGCCATTCGCCCTCGGGAGCATGAGAAACCAAGTCTTTGTAATCTATCGAACATTCCACCTGGCATGTTGATACCTTTAGCTCGGGAGCAACAAGTGTGTAAGCGCCTTTGGGAAGAGTGATCCATGACATACCTGTGATTTTGCAATCAATCATCATTCGAAGCAAGTAATTGATGTTGTCGTATGTGACATTATTCTGAGGGAAGAAATTCTCAAAGCTTATCTCGCCTCGTTCAAAAGCACCTCTGATCTTGGTGATTTCCCTAGCATTTTTAACCACAACCTTAAAAAACGGTGTTTTCATGTTATTATTAAAACCCCAGATCGACTCCTTCAAAACAATTTCGATGTCGTGGATGCCATAATAGTTTTCTTTCATATGACTTGTAAAACGTGCCAAATGGCTATCTCTCATGAATCCTTTGGGCACAGGAACGTAAAAATAATGCAAAAAGCCTGTCACATTGCATAATACTGAGTGGCCTTCTTCTGTCACACCGAAAAAGCGGGCTGCAGTCGAATCACCGTTATTTGCCTCCTCTGCATCCAACTGCTGAAAGGATATATCCTTCTCTGTGTAATCTGCGGGTAGCGGCGGTCTTGTCCATACTTGGCGGCTCTCCTGAATACCCTGTGCTTCTTGCGTCATATCAAGAAGCTCTTTTTCGAAAACCAGCGGCTCTTCTGTGCCATTTGGTCTCTTGACCTTTTTGAGGAGCTGTTGCTGAGATGCAGTGAGTTCGACTTGCGAGCTTAAACCTTGAGAGGCCACTGGAAGCGAATGTGCCCCCTCCTGACTGGCCAGCCAAACCCTTTTGGTGCCTGTGGGATCTTGTGACATCTGATTTGAAGAGAAAAGAAAACGTCGTAGAGTCTGAGGGACGTGAAAAGACGCGTGCGACGTGCATAATGCAGAAGAGGTTCGCGCGCCCACAACATGCATATTGAGACGTTCTATTAGCACGTACATTACTAACACGAAAAATGATATTGAAACATCCACATTGCATTATTACACGATACATAGACTTTCAAAGAAAAGCAATACATTTTTACATTATTTGCGCTTTTAAATACATCAACATCGCTATAGTGTCCATGAGTTGCTGTTTATTCCTTTTTTGACAGATCGTACATCGTTTAAGTCATATGTCCCTTTTCCCCATGTGTGTACAGTTCTTCCTCGTACACATCAGTGTCGTCGCTTGTAAGATTAGACTTAGGACCGTGGTAGTGTCTGTAACCGTAAACAAAAAAGTACACCAAAGACAATAACCACACTCCTCCATTTATGACACACGTGTAGTTCATAGTGTCTTTTGTAACCGTCTTGCTGTCTGGGAACATGGACATTACAATGACATAGGCCACCCACAAGCAAGAAATGATGTTAACAGGGTAGAAAAACGTCTTAGAGTAGAAAGGTCCTGGCACAAATCTCTTTGCAGCCTTTGTGGGAAGGATAACCAAAAGCATGGGGACACCCCACGCAAGCAAGTTTCCTGCAACAGCCAAAGAGAAAAGTGCGTTTGCTGCCGTGGAATTAATCAAAATCAACAAGGCCAAGATACAAGACAAGATTCCCGAGAAGAGCGTAGCACGAAGAGGAACCATAATTTTTGGGTTAATGACCTTCACGTAGTTGTACACGAAAGGCAAACCTTCATCTCTGGCGAAGGAGAAAACTTGTCTTGACAAGGCAATGAGAATCGAAGCACCCATCATATACTGGGCTGCGCAAATCAATGCCATGAAAGCTATGGCCCATTTTTTTCCCAAGGAATCGTAGATGATTTGTGCAACGACCATACCCGTGTCAGACTCAATGACTCTGGTGATGTCTCCATCTTTGATGCAAGCACACAAGACGATGCAAATACACCATCCGACAACCCAGCACACAGTAATGGAGCCGATGATTCCAATTGGCACTTTTCTAGTTGGGTCTCTGC